GCGGCCCAACAGTCCTTCGTAAACAGTCTTGGCTTCGTCAGGCATACCGCTAGCTTCATACGTGCGCCCGAGATTGAAGCTGATAGTAGTGACCAATGCATCGGTATCCATACCTTCAAGCTTTTCACCAGCCTTAACGCAAGCGTTTAATGCAGATTGGAACATCTCGCGAGCTTGATCGTATTTCTCGGATTGATAGTAAAAGCATCCTATGTTGTTCAGGAGCTGAGGGGATAAGTTTTCGCGCATAGCACTTTTGTATGCGGCCTCGTCATCCGTCTCCTCTGGCCTGTCTGCAGCTGGGATTTGGTCAAACTCGATCTGCTCCACTTGCTGAAGGCATTGCAAGCTCTTCTCCGGTTGCTCTGTTTCGTAAAGTCTCGCAAGATTAAGAAGAACCGAGGCATCAGGAACGAGATTCTTCTTGGGATCCTTCCATGCTGTACGGACATTCTCCAAGTAACCGATAGCTTTTTTGAATTCCGTGGTCTTATCTTCCTTGACTCCACTTTCCTGACTGCTGAACACTTCTTCCGCATACAACGTTCCAAGTAAAATCATGGCTTCAATATTCTTGGATTGTTGAATAATTTTCTCCAGTCGTAGTTTTGCTTCGCCAAAGTCACCTTTCAGCACAGATAATTGCGCAGCTCCAAATTTAGCAGGCATATATCCTCTATCAATACCACCACGCGCATCATCGGCCCGGCCATAGTAATCCAAAGCCTTTTCATAATTATCATCAAAGTGCTCTTTCCTCGCAAGCAAATACCATCCATCACTTGCAATCGCATTGACGTCTGTGTATTGAATGGCCTTTTGGGCTAGGGCTTCGACATTTGGCATAGATTTTCGCGATAAAAAGTATCCGGCAAAAGTAGCACAAGTCAAGGGCATATCTTTATCGACCTTGTAGGATCTTTGAGTGTACTCGGTCATGGCTTTCTTGTATAACTGGATGAATTCGGGGCTGTTCGTTGGTACATGTGCGCTTTGATCGAGATAGAACTGAGCAAGTAATATGTTTGCGACCTTCGAATCCGGATTGATTTCTAGTGATCGTTCCCAAGCGGCTTTTGCGTCTTCCTTGAAACCCAATTGCCAGAAACAACAGCCTATTCCAATTCTTGGATCGGGGTCTACCAGGTCGGGCATTGACCGCAATGCCTCTTGGTATCCTTCCAAGGCCTCCGCGTATTTTCCCATTGAAAATGCAGCTCTCGCTTTACCCAAAACTGCCAACATATTCCTGCCATGTGAGGCCTTTATCGCATCCTCAAATGACTTTTGAGCTCCTCGCAGAAGCTCAGCCTTCTCAGGATCCAGTGCGCCGGGAGCTGTATTATTCTTAGGGAACGGCCGAGTGGAAGCTCGGAGGAGCTGCAAAACACCTCGAGCTAGAAATAGTGGTGGAAAAGATGGATTAATCCGGGAAGCATCGTTTAAATTCGACGTCGCCATCTTCAACCAATCCTCTTTCGTTTTAATCTCATCTCCATCCTCCAAGTTATCTGGCCGATGGCGAGGCGCCTCTTTACTTTTCCAGAGATACATCCAGCATAAGCATGTGAGCATACTTAGTCTCTCTTTGTTGCCGCCACGCATAGCAGATTGGCCTTTCGTCAACATCTCAATGGCATGATCGACCTTCTTCTGCTTCGCGTATGCCAATGCAACAGTCATCCAATATGTGCGAGCCGCGCCTTCATTTTCGAGTAATGTACACAATTCGGTAGGGTCGTCCAGTAAATCTTCGAGATCGATTTCGACTGCTTGATCATCATCTTCTCCAGTCACTGGAATATCGATAGCTGAGGGAATGTCGGAAAATCGTTTGCTAATCATTCTCCCATTTGGATTCCCAGCATCATAACCATTTGCGCCGCCATTGATATGGCCATTCTTGTTGGCAGACATGATGTTAGATTGCTATTCTACGCGTTGTTGAGTATGGAAGAGCCTGAGCAATTGGCGCAATCGAAGAACTGGGGAAAGTCGCGTCGAGGATCAACCTATCGAGTTGAAAATTTCCTCATCTGCGAAAGCTTTGTGCAACAAACCGATAAAATTTGCAAAGAAATTCGACCCGTGAGCTGATATTTTTCTGCTGTATGCAATGCTGAAATATTGCAGATAATAAACCTGAAAGCCTTTGAATACGGGTATTATGACAACGCTATAAATTTAAGCTCGGACCTTTATCTGAGAAGGGTTACGCTAAGCCCGATATAGTTCAACAACACCATAATATAGCTACCAACAAGACTTGACTTGTTCATTACTATTATAGTCAGAAGTTTGCTCCACAATGTAAATCTCATTATACAATCCTTCCATTCAATCAGCACTTTTACACAGTCTCTCCATTTCAGCCAATAGGCTACCGACCACTATGGAATATCTCTCATGCATCTCATTCGCTTCTATTAGAATACATTCTAAGCAAGGGCCTTTTGATAGAATAGAAAAGGCCATTGTCATGCCTTCGCGTCAAATGCGCAAATATATTTTCCCCTTTCAACTAACTCCTTTCCATGTGATGTAAACGCCACTAAAAAAACAACATGCACGGGATCGTACGCGCGAGAAAAGTAACCCAATAAACCCAACCCCCCTCCCAATCATGAATCACAATGAATCTCATGTATGAGTGTCTACTCATCATCGTCATCGTCGTCACTTTGAATACTACTATTTCTGCCATTAGCCGCCTGCTTATTGAATGTAAGCTTCAACTTCGTGCTTGGCCCTGGTGCTGGCAAAGGGGTACCGGCACTCGTAGTAGGAGCCGTTGAGCCACCGTTTCGTGATGTCTCATCACCTTCAGCACCAAGCTCCGGATGCTCGTTAACTTCATCTTGAATTCGAGATTCACACTCCTCCTAGTATTTGTTAGTATTGTGATGTGTGTGGATATCAATTCAACTTACGCTGATCGCAACAGCATCAACATAGATCAAACTGCCATCCTCGTTATACGTCTTAGCATTGGTGCAGAGAGTGTCGATATCTTTTTTGAAATCCTGGAGACTGTTGTATTCTCTCTTGTTTATTTTCTTTTCAATAAGCTTCATAGCAATTGGCTCCTTGATAATCACGTAATAATCTGGAAAGTCTTTCTTCGATGGCAAGGAAACAAATGGAAATATGATCTCCCGTGCGGTTTGCTCTCCTTGCGAGTCTGGAGATTCGGGTAGAGATTTCAAATGCATCAGATGGTCAAAGACAATCTTCAAGCTGGCTTGGAGAGTCATACGAGTCTTGGGCGTCAAGATGTCTCCGTTAGGAATTCTTGGTGGGCGCCCAGGACCGCCACGCTTTCGCTTTGGCGGTGGTTCATCATCAAAGTCATCGGCCTTTCGCTTCTCAACCTTAACACCTGGCTTGCGACCACGTCCCTTCTTGGGTGTTGGCTCAGGCTCAGGTTCAGGATCTTCTGAGCTATCACGACTACCAGCAGGTGAAAGAGGACCATTTAGTTGACCAAGCTTTCTTGCCTTGTTTCGTTCTCGACGATCAGCCCTAGCTGCTTTACGAGCTGCTGCGGCTTCTGGAGAATCCTCATCATCATCCACAGCCATAGTCCATTGCTCCTCCGTGAGACCGTCGTCGTACTTGACGCGAGTGCGCTCTCTTGCACCACGACCTTGTGGCGCCTCTGGTTCGTCGGATATGGGATTCCCATCTGACATGTAGATTTCCGGAAGCTCACTTTCTACCATTAGACGAGGAATACGCTTGCTTTGAGGGTTATTGCCGTAGAGTAAATCTTTGTTTCGTTCCTCGTCCATTTGTCGGAACTTGACAATCTCCTCGTCAGATCGTGCCAAGATTTCGTTGAGCTCTTCATCGTCCATGTCGTCCTGCTCCATAGACTCAGCAGCTTCAGCTGTTTCCAACATAACCCTAAGCATTGCGTCACGATCGGTTTCGGATGACTTATTGTCGAATCTACCAGCTTGAATGACCTTGCCATCCATATCGAGCTTGAACTTTGCTCTTTCCAAAATCTTTTCCTCGACTGAGTTGGAACTGATTAGTCGAAGAATACGAACTTCATTCTTTTGACCAATACGATGGGCACGATCCTGAGCCTGTAAATCTTGATGAGGATTCCAATCCGAATCGTAGATGATGACAGTGTCAGCGGTCTGCAAATTTAAACCCAGACCTCCAGCACGGGTTGACAGCAAGAAACAAAAGTATGGAGAATCTGGTGCGTTAAACTCCTTGAGGAGAAGAGAACGATCATCAGATTTAGTCGTACCATCCAATCTCATAAATTTGATGCCTCTGTAATCTAGAAATTCTCCCATGATGTCCATGATGGCCGTCATCTGGAAAAACATCAAAACTCTATGTCCAGTTGCTTGATACTTTGGCAAAATACGGTCGAGCAACTCGAATTTCCCTGCACTGCGCCATAAAGTATCATTGATGAAATTGTTAGGATTCATTTGATCTTCAACTTCGCGAAACACAAAGGGATGGTTACAAAGCTTTCGCAATTGCATGATCATATTGCTCAGACCCTTAGCTCCAGTCTTGCCTCCTTTCCCATCGCTAACAACGAGCTTGTTGTGAGTGACCATTTGTTTATAGAGACGGGCTTGCAGGGCCGAGAATTTACACTTGATAACTTTTTCAGTCTTGTCAGGAAGGTCCTTTTCGACATCCTTCTTAAGACGACGGAGCAAGAAAGGTCGTAAAACTTTGTGTAGACGTCTAATAACAAGAATTTGTTCTTCTTCGGTAAGCTCCATCTTGTCCTGACCACCCGTGTTGGCGAATGGAGTATTGAACCATTCATCGAAAGACTTGACAGACTTGAAGATGGTTGGAAGAACGAAATTGAGCAACGCCCAGAGTTCCGGTAGATTGTTTTGGAGGGGAGTACCGGTAAGAATTAAACGGTAACGAGTAGTGTAGTACTGTGTGAGAGTAGCACTAAGCTTCGACTGTGCGTTCTTCATACGATGACCTTCATCAATGATCATGTGCACCCATTTGATCTTGCTCAAAATTGGTCTATCCTTGATGATATATTCGTATGTAGTCAAAAGTACTTGGAAATTTCCGTAACGAAGGTGATTTTGTTGTTGTTTTCTTGTGTTTGGCGGACCCTTGTAAACAATTTTTCCAATCGACGGGGCCCACTTTTCGAACTCAAGAGTCCAATTCGTCAAGGTACTCAGCGGAACGATTACTAGGAAAGGGCCATTCTGCTTTTTGACCTCGATCAAATATGTGAGCAAACTGATGGTTTGAATAGTTTTACCAAGACCCATCTCGTCTGCTAAGATACCGTTCAGGTTGTTGTTGTACAGCGAAATCATCCATTGCAAACCCTTCAATTGATATTCCTTCAGAGTGCCACCAACAAGAATGCTAGGTTGCTTGGTGACTTCTTCTTTAATGCGATGAGCAACAGCATAGTAATCGATCTTGCGTGTATCTGGTTCTTCTTCATCATCATCTTCAGACTCATCCTCCTCAAAGTCACCACCATCATCACCATAACGCTCTGCCGCTTTTCGTTGTTGTTCCTTCACCGATGCAGCAAGTTGAGACAAGAAACCATCTGTTTGTCTCAGCAAGTGAGTGATACGAGTATCTTTTGCTTGATCTAACAATTTCAGATATGCCTCTTCATCGTTCGATTTCAAAGCTGCGAGACGCTGCTTCGCTGTTCGCTCGATGCGCTTTTGTTCTTCCTTCTCGATATTTTGATGTTGGGTTACCATCATACGGCCTAATTTAACCATCTTCTGTCTCTGGTTCTGCCCAGCCAAATTGACCTCACGAGCATGGTTAAGGACTGTTTGCAGGTAATCGGTGTGCTTCTTCTTCTCCCGTGTCTCACGAGCGTCACGCTGCTGCTTCTCCAATTTTTCGGTAATCCTAGCTTCTCGGAGTGATTGTTTCTTCATGCGGCGGTAAATGCTTCTGTTGGCCGTCATCGCTAGGTTATCGTATTGAATCATCTGTCTACCGACTCTCTCACGTAACGCCCTCTGTTTATCATACAGTGCTAACATCTTCATCTCGATCAATGCTTTACGCCTAAGAGAGTCATCCGGCACCATATCGTCATCTCGTGCATCTACATGCGCAATGTTTGCAGGTAATGATCTCAATTCATTAAGTCTCGCGTTCATGCGATTGTGGATAATGTCAGCTCGTTTTTGGCGAAGTTCTTCAATATTGACACCGGTCGGAAAGATAGATGGAATTATAGGACGTTGTCCTCGAAGCTTATGCGTGCTATAGCTAATTTGCTTCAGAAGTATTTCACGCGGGTCTTCAAATCCGGTATATTGATGAAATTTGGGCCCTTCGACTTTTTGAGCTGAGGTAGTTTCTACTCCATTGGCAGTAGGCTGGGCATCCTCGCCAGGCTGTTGAGTAGTAGCTAGTACTTGTTCGGTGGACGTAGGCGGTTTCTTTTGCGACGCAAATAGTTGCTGCTGAGTTTGTGACGGAATTCCTAAGTTCTTCGACAAACATTTGAATGCATAAATTTGGTGCTTCAACATGCTCAGCTGTTCTGGCGAAAAATAGCCAGAGCTCCCGGTTGGTTTCTGTGGGCCAGCGGCTACTTTGGATGCGGCAGAGCTTGCTGCAGTCGCGGGAATCGCTGAAGGACCAAGTGAGGATGTCGCAGGTACTTGCGCGCTGGAAATCGTGCTAGAGGTAGACGGAGGTCGGGCCAGAGTCGAACCATTTGCCGCGATGCTGTTAGCATTTTGTTGTTGCTGTTGCATCATCTGCTGCTGTTGTTGTGCAAATGCAGCTTTCTGCCGATGCATGCGAAAGGTTGAGAGAGTTTGGTGGACTTTTATAAACTCGGGATCTTTTTCTGACACGCCTTGTTCTTTCATCTGTTTATACCTCTATGAACCCAAAGAGTTAGCAAGATACAAATTGACACAGTGTGTGGGAAATAATCGAAAATATGGTCTGGGAAAAGCTTACCTGTAATAGAGCTTGTATTTGCGGGTTCATCTCATTAGACATAGATGAACCGAGCTGTTGAACAGCCGGCGCGTTCTGGATTGTCGAGGCCATGGCAGCATAAGGGTATAAAGTGCGTATTAAGTGGACTTTGGGATTGTGTTTGTTGGCGTCAAGGTAAGCTTCAGCACATATCAAAGGCAGCCTTGCGCATGAGGTACAATGTTATGTTGAGGCGCGTATGGTTCAAAAAGATGTATTGATCAAGTCAACAACGATTCGACAATGTGTAGACACGTCGATAGGAAAAAGATGATTGTAATCGCGCGACCAAATGAATGGGCGCGTTTAGTGTTGATGTTGAACGAGCTTTTGATAGATGCAACAACTTGGCGCGATGCTTCTCTCGATAAAGTTGATGTGTGTAAAATGGATGGACCCAAAAGAGAAGTCGATGATCACAAACGGAGAAAACTGGGTATTGTAAGAAAAAGTAGGAATTATTTTCTTTACAAAAAGGGATATCGTAACGAATCAGAAATTTTGGTTAGGATTGAAATTAAAATTGATATCGTTGAAGTCAAGGGGGGATGAGGGGGATTGGCGACTTTGGTAGGCGGTTCTTTTCATCGGTCGTGGAGGTTAAAGTTATCTACTATGGATGATGGAGAAGCGCAAAAAAGGTGCGAAGGCAGTGCTTTGGTGGTTCATAAGTACAGCAACGCGAAAATATCAGCACGCCAGATGGATTTTTGACGCTAAAAGCTTACCGAGCTGATATTCATGCCTCAGGTTTAATATCACATGACTAACAAGTTCTCTACCAGATTCACCAAAAAGAGTTATTAGAAGTGGATATAATTTTTATATGAAGGTTGGGGAAAGGTTTAATACTTTAGATCTATTTGGTTACTATCTATATCTGCTATTTGTATTTGTTGGCTTTTTGAGGTGGAATATCGATTGTTTCATTGATCATGGTTGCTCGTCCTCGCTTTCCTTTATTGTTGCAATGCTCACCCCATGGGGAAGCGGCTGAGTAAGCAAATCCATCTTCTTCACCAAACATTAATACTGCCCTTCATTAAATTCTATTATAATCCTGCACCAATGCATGTGATACTATTACTCCCCAGGCATTCGCTCATGAACAAATACCAGATGCAATATTAACAGTTTCCTCCATAATGCCCAAATGTTTCAAACTCCAACAGCATATATCTATTAATACCGTCAATGCAAGAAATATTCGGAATCTAAAGTCCCACTCCATGCACGGGAAAGATTATTGTAATCCATTCCAGATAGCTCCGACGAATGCTTTTTGTGCAGTCTCCTCTCTACTTCCACTTTCACTAGCCCAAGATTTGACTCCTTTGCCAATAGGAACAAGGCCTGGTTGTGCCGGTAGCTCAATATTTGGTAAAGCTGAATCCCCGAATGGTACCGTATCGTAGGCTCTCGCGGGAATTGTATCATCATCGAGAATAGTACTACCTGCTACACATGGTTGGCCTCTCCATACAACTGACTGAACTCTCATCCATAATCCCGTGATATCGTAGATATCGTCTTGTGTATAGAACAAGCGGCAATTTGCAGCTTCGTATTGAAATTGTAAAGGTGTAAAGGTTTCATCACCATCATGCATATTGTTTCGGAGGTTGAAACGTCCACCAGACATTAAGGTCGAAGTGGACCCAAGAGATACATTGGCATTAATATTTGGGATATATTCTGGGGCTGGATAGTCGGGTAACGGGAGGCTTTTCTGGAGATAAGAAGCTTGTGCATCTGGCAGAGCTTCAATGTGAGAAGCAATGGAGTTGTAGGTAAGCACCTGCGCGCCCTTCGAGCCGCAGACGCCCTGTTGAGGGCCTGGTTGCGGGCGACCACCAACGGCAACTAAAGATCTGTTAGTGGAAATAATCAATGCAACTGAAAATCTACTAATTTACCACTTCGAACACCACCTTGAGCCTTCATCATCTCAGCAAAAATGGCACACGTAGAGCCACAACCGCCATCCATGAGCATCACAACATTTGAGGCATTGAAGACCGCTGGAGGAGGGTTACTGTCACTTAGGTAGCCTGTTACATTAATACCACCTGATTGAGACTACGGAATATTTAGCATGAGTCGACTAACTACAAAGTAAGTAACCTACCATCGTGACGAGATCTGAGAGGTTGTAACGAAGTTCCGCGGTGAAGTTGTCACCATAGATCGGCGTGTTTGGGTCTTCCTGGTTCCAACTTTGGAATGGCTGTCCATTGCCATCAAGCTGTGACTGTGTCTGATAGAGATAATCATGGCTAGCATCATAAGTTCCGGCGCCAGTAAATATGGTCCCCATGTAGTTTACTAGCGGTGTAGCTCGGTATCTTGATGCCCCAAACGGCTCGAGTGCTGGGAAAATCTGTTTGAAAGCATCGTATCCGCTGAACAAATCTCCACCTCCGTTTGCTTGTACGTCTACGATTAAGTACTCCATTTTGGCCTTGTTGCATTCTGCTAAGAACTCGCTAATCACCCTTTGTTGTTCGAGTGCTGCCTTACCGTCCGTTTGGTAAGGATCAATGAAACCCTGCATCACCAATATTGCAGTCATCGTGTCTTCAAAGAAATAACCGCTTGTGTAGCCATCCGGATGCATTGCGATTGGCTCGGGATAGCCTGCAAGTGATGTAATCGATCTCGCCGCAGTCTTGGTTTTGGTGCTTTGCCGACCATCCGAGGCCGAGGAACTCGAAGAAGCTGATTCTGATTTTGGTAGATCAACAACATTGAACAGATCCTGTCCCGAAGATATGGATGTAAAGTTGATGCTTGTCAATGCCTGGGTTCTCGCATTCACAACAGTTCCATTGGCGAAGGTGTATCTTATAACGTCTGCTGAAAATCCATAAAGATAACCTCCAGAGGTGAACGATCCACTACTCCCAAAAAAGGCCAAATTTGGCAACGAATAGAACAGTTGGTTGTAGTTGGCGTCATTGTCTTGATAAATACCCGTATTCTGACTGAGGAATTCAAGATATAGAGTGGCATTTTGATCGTTGACTTTGACCAGCGGCGAAGCTGTCCAATTTCCAGTTTTTGATAGTGTCACGTTTCTCTGCTTGTCAAGATCATCTGTGCAAAATTAGTTTCCAATCACTGAATGATAAAGAAACGGAGTACAAAGCAGAACATACATTTAAAGTATATATCTGGAAGGGATAAGCCATCGGATGATACCGATACCAGCGGTCCATCTAAAGTAGAGAACGAAAAGACGCTCATCAAAGGAAGAGGTAGGTTGACATGAAAATCATGAGGCAAAATATTTCCTAGGGCATGAAGGTCCTTTTCGAAGTCCCATTGGTTTGCATAATATCCCGAGTTGATATTGTCTTTGATTTCCGCCAGCCCTCCGAGCATGTCAGCTCCAGGTAATGGATAATCTGGCGGAGGGTCTTTGAGATAGGCTAGAGTGCTCTGGAACTGCCAGTATGGCTCTATGTAATCGACAAAGTCCGATGAACGTTGCACATCTAAGGGTACAGATTGAAGGCATTGAAGAGCGACAGACGCATTAAAGGTTGGATGGTTTGTTTCTAGAATATTGTATTAGTTACGAACCGTAAACATACAAAGTTCGCTTTACCTTTTGGATGGACTGAGCTATATGATTTGAAAATATTCGCAATTGCTGCGCATGACCCGTCTACTGTTGCTGCTGTTGCTGGATTTAACAAGACACTCATCGACAACAAGGTCAACAGCCTCATTCTTGGATTTTTTGGATGCATTTCAGACAATTGAGATTGAAGCTAAGGAAGAGAAAAAGAGCGAATTGCAAAACGAGAAATCGAGAAAAGATACTGCCCACGGGAATAATTATAAGCATTGCTTATTGTCTTCGTCCTATATTTTTGGAACTACAAATCCTAGGCGGAGTTGAATTATATTGGACTAATTTGGTAGAGTGCTTCCTTTGAATGGCACAAGGCACAGTAGGATTTTCTTCATTGGTTGCAAACCGCGGGATCATGAAGCGAGATTAACATTTTCTTCATTTGGGGCAGTGACCTGCAACCTTATTGATCCAACTGGTAAAGGCTCATACAAACCAAAACAATCATTATAGATCAGGCCTCTACACTTGTGATAGGCTGTAACTGTTATTTCATAAGCCTCACGCATTTGCCGCCACCAACGGGAGAAGTGAATACACCCTCTCAATCAAACTTTTAATCCTTATTCGAGAACAATAAGTGAATTTCAAACTGCAATAGAACTAATTCGGTGGCTATACAGTAAGAAATAAGAGCTCCTCTATTGAGGAATAATGATCAGGTCTTGAGAATGGCAACTATATATGCCTTATACCTTCCTTATATCATTGATGCTTGATGTTTCCTTTGGTACAAACCGCCAGGTCTGTCGACATGATCAATTCGAAGCCCACGAACTATTGTTGCGGGAGCATGAACGTGAGGATCAAAACATATCTGCATGCATGATGCTATTACCTCTGGCCCTCTCCCATCAAAACCACAATTTGACACCGAAAGCTCGAGAATTGAATTATCGCTAGTTCACAATTCTCTTTCGATCTCCCTATTGTTGAGGATGAGGCATCCCATGGGAACAGCGACATGAGAAAGCAAGGTCCCATGGAATGCAGATAGATGATCATAGGATATATTCACAGAGTCAACAAATCCATTCATCGATGCATCACAATCGAAATGGAGGCAGATATTATATATGGGGAGATGAAATGGTTGTTATGTTGCGATCGAGAACACTACTAAACGAAAACCAGGTTTCTCGTTCCTCATCCCTACTGAAGGTTGTCAACTCACGTGACTTACAATGCGATCAAAATAGGTTTTCATTGGGTCTACTGAGCAGAAAACATGTCCAGTATTGCTTTATTGTTCTTGTTGCTACAATTCTTTATTTTTTCCTTAATTTCAAGATATGATTGATCTTCAATATATTACCTGTTTCATTTATCTACCTTACATTCTATTTGCTATCCAGAGTACAAGGGTTTTCAACAATCCAATATTTGAAATAGTTTGTTCTTGTTGAATTCTAGACTCCAAAGACTGTTTGAATTTGAATGTTTCGATCAGATTCAATGATACAAAAGGCTTATTCAAGGGTACTACAATACCTGTGATTTCCGCGCAGTCGGTTTTCCATTATATCTCCACGTGGCATGGTTCACACCCTTCTTGGTGGTATGCTCGATGCAAACCTGGTTCACGAGTATGAGAGAATTGGCTTCATTCAAGTGAGCTTACCTTGCTGCTCTTTCAACCTATCATTCTTCTCATGCCGAATAACCGTATCTATCGGAGGCGCCTGTATTTATCCTTTTTCAGAACGTTTGAGCTGTCATCCTGTCATGTGCTTGCATGATGCGTCAACGGTTGTATCTCACTCTGACTCGGCACTTCTACTTGGAACGGATAGTGGAAAACAAACGGTACGACATGCATATTTAGCCAGTAGCTTGCAAGATAGATTCTTAACGTCTCTGTACAAAGCAGAGAACTATTTAAAAAGGTTTACTTTACGACAGATAAAGTATTGTCGAAGTATTACTACAAATAAAGGGGTATTGAAACAATTCTTGACAGCCGTTTTTTGCTACGACTAGTTAAAGTCAGGAAATTCGGAGTCAACATCTGAGCCGGTAGCATACTCAATACTGATAAGGCTTATGCGACACCTTGAACTTGCATGAGTTCTCGCAAAAGTATCGTCCTGTGCATGATTATTAGCTACTCAAGATTACGCTCACATCCATTCCCTTTACAAGCGTCCGAGTCACTCCTTGCATCCACTGATGATTTTCTGCAATTTGTCGATTTTGGTCAAACAATCACTTCAGTATTACCTGAGTCAAATAACAATGAGACGTAAGCCTCAGCAAAGCTACGTCGGAGATCCACTAGATCCTACACTCAACCTGTGGGATCTATTAATGAGTATATCTAAGAGCACTAACAATGCGTGCTTAGGTCTCCAGTTCAAATTAGTAGATTGTACTCAGAGCGATTCCAGGGCCTTGGCAGATAAGAAGAGTGCTGACCGCAGGATACTAACTTTCAGCGTCATCATTGGTGCTGGTTGTTTGATAACCAAACCAGACATTCAGGCAAAGCGAATTTGGTGTGCGTCGTTACGGTCGTTCCGGATATAGGAACTCGAGGTAATAGAACAGGCAGTTATACACAGTACGTCAACAAAATAGCATGCAAAATGGAAATTTTTCTGACCGCATACTTAGGCATCAGATTATGTTTCTAGAATATACTCCCCATCGTAAACACTCACCAGAGACCAGTAGAAGGGCTGAAAGAGATAATGTACACACGTTGCACGAAGATCGTAGCCCTATGGTAGGGCTGCAGCTGGAGAATTTCTATCAGGTACTGCAAAACACATGACTGAAACTCCATGCGGTGCGACATATAGGCCGAGCCCGATCCAATTGGAAGCATTCTATTTAATGCGTTTGGTGTCATTAGTGTGCCTGGCCTAAATGGCAAGGGCTCAGCCCTTAAAGTTATGCCACTCCCCCTGAAAATAATCAACGTTCCTGTATTCTTTTAAGAAGATTACCGTCACCCCTCAGACCTATCTTTCTCCCTTGCAACTAATTATACAGCTCCTCACCATACCTCGGCTTCCTACCATGGAGCCTAAAGAGGTTCTGGCTACCTGTGGAGGCTCAACACTCGTATTTCATCAAGGAGTCATGTCTATAATGGAAGAAGTCATTATAGTCATGGCAGCCTTGATCTCAGCTACAATAGTGAGGCGAAGACTTGAAGGATCACCGCTCTTCAAGGCACCCTTCTCTCTTGCTAAATTTATAATGACCATTGCAGACTTAGTCTATATAAGACATGGACACTCGACGGAAGTCTTCTCGTCTACAATTCGCAAATCACACACTTCTCGCTGTCTTCTCCACGCCTCGTATCTCGATCATCTCTAAAAATCCGACGAGTAACGCATTTGCATCCCGCAAATCTTTCACCTGCCCCGCCTCCATATCACAACTATCAAGTCACGCCAATCTGAAATCATGTGCTACGTCCTCGTCGAACGTTATTCTGTCTGTGGATGTACCTACTACACCCACGCTATAGACAGGTGTCCTGCATACGGAGTACGGGGCCATCATGTTGAAGAAAGAACATTACTCGTCGGATATGTTTGCAACGTGCATTCACCACCTTACTAGCGCGGATCTTTAACAAGTCCCTCGCAGGTTATTGGAGTTGTGACAGGGGCTTGTAACTACACAAGCAAACGACCGAAGTCCTATAGCACTTCACCAAAATCTCGCAACGTGCAACAAATTATCGTTTAATCAATGCACACTGTTTTGAGCACGGTTATCCTCCTGGGAATGGACTTTAGGGGCTTGGGATTCATTTAAAACTAGCATTGTTTTGGCATTGGGATTTTGCATGACGTATGGTATAGAATTGTATTATTAGTGTTTCTGGTCGACATACTGGGAGCTGGGGATTGGTCAATTACTACAACGGATGAGGCATGCATTATGTTAAGGTTTTCCGGTTTTAGATTTTTTAGATTACCAGTGCGAACTGGCTGTGGGCGCTTGGAACGGCGACAAGGTTTTACGATTTATATGAGTACACTATAGACTTTCACAACACTTGATATATACAATATACATACAATGCGACTGTACTGTTCCCAACTTCTATCGTATACGTCTCAAACTAGAAACTCTAGCTTCTATTTTCTATCTTTGTCACTTCCTACAACCCCATGAGAAAGGACGTAAAATTAACAATACCAACAGCTGTTTATTCATTTATAAACTAACCAATCGGGATCATTCACACTCAGCATTTATATCATCGAAGGATCATCATTCAAATCAAGAAACTAAACTCGATCCGGGAGTTTTTACCAACATTTCCCCCGCCCGATGTCCGAATCAACCAACCAACCAACCAACCAACCGGTATTGACTTCGCATTCGCCATCAGAAACATCAAATCTAAGTACCATGAGAATATAACTACCGACTAGATAGGAAAGCTTAACTCATCATCTTCTCCTACACAGCCGGATTACCTGACTCATCCTCCTATCTTTATATACTCTCCATCCATCCATCCATCCATCCATCCATCCATCCATCCACTATATACTAAATACTCCATCACTGCCTCCGAGCCATCTATTTCCATTCTAGAATATTACGACATCTTAACGTCAAGAACTAATCATATCGCAGAATGTTTTACCTTTATCTGTATCTACTAAAAATAAAAAGAAAGAGTATTAGTAGTGACAACACCAAAATAGATAAACTTACCAAAAAAATATATAATAAAAAAGAGTTTACCAAATTAGGAAATTACGCGAGTGAGGAACTCACCAAGAATATCTTCCGGGAGGATGAGAGACAGGATTTCTGGTACCCGATTTATTGGGGGCCAGGCCAATAAGTCGTGGGGAACGGGGGTTTCTTGGAAGTTTCTTGGTTTGCGGCAAAGTTGCAAGGTGAGATGACGAGATGGTAAGATCGTGGTAAACTCGTGTTTGACTGTGGCGAAGACGTATGCAGGTGAGAGGGCAAGGATTGATAAGTATGATGGTGGATGGGCAGCATGTGGGTTTTGCGGCGTGGCGCGTGGTAGGATGGGTACGAAGCGAGCGCCCCTTTTGGCGGGGATGGGGGAATTGTAGATTTTGACTTTGGTGAGTGGTTGTGGGAATAGGAAATTTTGTTGTCATATAAATTGACTCGGGTCACTGGCTTCTGGTATGGTCTAAGGGAGCATTCTTTGTCTTGTGTTTATAGCTTCATTAAGCGCCAACAGTCATGAATACTACACGTGCTCCTCGATTATCAAACGATGTTTGGCTACACTCATTTTTCAGACGGCAATTTTCCATCCCAGAATGAATTTGAGAATCTCAAGATCAGGGGTACTATGCCCGAAAACGTGGGTACATATGCAAACGCGTGCTTGACTCCGCGAACCACAAAATTAGGCTCATGCAATTCTGGACACCGATTTGCTCACTACCACCTTATTCAGTTTAAAAGGTGGTAACTAAAAAAGTACCTCAATCTGTGCGCTTACCAAGCATGCAGCCTTACTCGGGGCCCATACAATAAGATAATTCCAAATCTTCGGATTTGAGCTTATGAGCGCAGCTGCTAAGTTAAGGCAGAAGGTTGGACCGGTAACCAATAAAGGATAAAATAGATAGTTGGACTCACATCTCGCCGATTTTACTTGATAATGTGTCAATGAGATGGTAGTACAGCGATACTCACCGCGGTTCTCAATAGTCAGGACTGTAATCCAGATCTAGGCTTCCAACACTCGCAAGGCCGAATCTCTTTGAGTATACCCATGAAGTTCAAACCACTACCCAGTGGGATTAAAATTTCCAAAAACGCTTGGTAATTGCAAGAGATACGATGTTCCAAATAAATTCAACAAGTAAGAATCTCTGATTGCTGAACCTTGATCTGTTCTATTGGAAACGGTGATGCTTACTTGCAGAATTTTGAAAGGTCATTGTACGATCTCACTTGCAGATATGCACTAGGATATCTGGAAGCAGTAATCAGACTAGACAAATTTCGCTCGCCGTTTCTCACTGCTTAGAAATATCAATGCGTCGTGCATGTATGCATTGTGATTTGAGTGGTAGTGCACTTCACAACAGAACGAAACTTCGTAGGTGGCAAGAAAACAGAGCATAAATCTGCGGAGAAATTAGCCTTGATAATTTGATAAAATCACTGAGTGTGAAATATTTATCTAGGCCATGATTTAGTCTATTCTTGAATGAAGAACACTGCTGAGGTATTGAGAAGTTGCCTTCGAATCCCCTAATTAAGCGACGCTTTCGGAATGCTGCCAAGACATTCTTCCAAAAAAAAGTGAGACATGATTGATTGTTCGAAAACAATCATTTTGTCATGAGAATTTGTTTTCAAAGGATTCAATCCAAGAAAATGAGCATTTGCATCAACTTTCACAATGGCTAGACAAGCATTGATGAGAGCAATGGTTTTTAACTGCCCAAATCATCGAAGATATTTGCGGAAAAGAAAACTTGCAAGCAGAATAAATACTACCTGAAATTCTCTTATCCACACAATCCTTCAAACATGACTCTACCTTTGCCAAATCATTGTATCGCATCAATCAAGTCCGGATGGCGATAATAACAACATCACCTACATCCAGTGTAGCAAGATATTCTCACCCGTCGGCCGAACCTTCCCCTCTGGCTTTTCGGCCAAAACAACAAGAAGTCTCGCGATTCGAGGGCAAGGTGCAGCGAGCAAAAATTATCCTGGGGTTCTCCACCATTGGCAAGACACATCTTGCTGCGAAAGCTAATCACGAATTCGAATGGTTGCATGTGATAGACTTTTCACTCATCCCTCATGGACTGGATTTCACAAATGATTATAAAGCAGATTATCTGCAAACAATTACCGATGCTGCAGGACAGCCAGGTGTTTTGTTACTTGGAGGTCCGAGATGGGTGGGAGAATTCCTAGTTGCAAATGACTTGGCGTTCAGTAGCGTTTATCCAACCGACGATTGTAGGGAGGAGTATAGAATGAGATGGGACCAGATGGGCGAGGAAGAGGGATTGATTGCCCACAGATTGACATGGTGGGATGATTCGATCGCAGCTATGCAGTGGCCTCATGGGAGATGAAACCACTTTGAACTATATCCGGGCCTGTACCTGGAGGATATTTTCATGAACATATTGACAGCGGCGGACCAGGTGGAAGGTTTAGACGACGAATCAAATCCAGAGGACACATCAAACGAGGTGTGGCATGATGCACATGAAGCACTACAATTGCCTTCTGGTCGCAAAAGCTCACAAACCCAGACGGATGCAATAAAACAAGTAATCGCCAGTATCAACTCCAGTTGGTCCCCAAGAATCCGAGCCTTCCTCAATTACATCTTTCTAATCCTTCAATTCATCTTCCTGTCGACGCTAGCCACACTCATTATGTTGGCCTACAGAGAATGGAATGTTTGGCAGTCGAGGAACAGACCAGACGTCCCCATAATTGGCGAATTTTCTGGTCTTAGCAGGATCCACGATACGTTCAATCGTTGGTTCCTTCCACAGTGTCTATCATCCATACTACCGAACTCCCGGGAAACGTGGCTGGGAGCATCCGCTTTTCGAAAAGAGCTAGTGGTTTTGATACGGAAGTGGCTGGATTTGGAAGAATTGCTGCTGAAGACTTGATGGTATGGTGGATTTGTAGATAAGTTTATAAATAAAACACATATGTAAAACTAAATTCCAAGAGATAATCTTCATGAGAAACATGAGAAAATTGAGAAAAAACCCATATACATCGATTTTATTATATGTTTAATTTTCTGCGTATGAACATGTAATTTTTCCACTCCAAAATCTCTATCTGCTTCTATCGTGTGGATACTAAAGCCACAATGTGGCTGATAAGGAGAGATTTAGACCAATATAAATATCTTGGCTGACATCAAGCTCAATCACTGACAGCAAAATTGGTAAAAACAAGCCCTTGAGGCTTGAGCTGCCGACTGAGCCCACATGGTTGTGTTACCGTGGGTACTTTTGTTGTGCCTTGGTTTAGTTGGTATCTGAGTATCTGAGTGGGAAACAAATCATCACGATGATGAGCTTTGCGGTGAAGATCTTTCAGGAACAAGAATATAAGGTAAGGTACCACAACCGGTAGGGCTTATTTTTCTCCTTCATCTCCTATCTCGATTTCCCTCTTCTCTATCTCAAGATGCGTTCCTCAGCCGTGCTCCTCACACTCGCTCTTCAAGCTACTAATGTAGTCTCTCATTCTCCAAATTCCTATTCTTTTGATCCATTAGAGCATCTGGCTGGAACCGCACCTCCATTTGATCCTCAAGATCCACAAACCGACCCTGCTCCTCCTCAAGGGTGCAATGTGACTCGAGCTGCATATCTCGTCCGCCATGCCGCAATATATGCCAATGATTTCGATTACGAAGAATACATCGAGCCTTTTGTGCAAAAGCTAGCAAATACATCAGTGAACTGGGCGAGCATTCCAAGCCTTTCATTCCTCTCCACATGGCAAGCTCCTATCACCGACCCAGAAATCGAAATGTTGACAAGGTCGGGCAAATTGGAGGCTACAAACCTGGGCGTGGACATTGCGCAAAGATATCAAAGCTTGAGAACACCGAATAAGATATGGACATCCACTGCCGAGAGAACTGTGAAAACTGCGCAGTCATTCTCCCACGGACTAGCAAATGATGCTTCTGACATCGAGATCGTTCAAATATATGAAGGAAAGAACGATAGTGCGAATTCTTTGACTCCATACAAGGCTTGTCCGGCATACAGCTCCTCTGCTGGAAACGAACAGTCCAGCCAATTCCAGGAGATTTATGCTAAGCCTATAACCGCACGTTTCAACAGTCTGGCTCCAGCTTTTAACTTCACTGCTGATGACGTTTATGGAATGTCCCTCCTATGTGGTTATGAGACTGTCATCCGCGGCTCATCTCCCTTCTGCGATCTTTCCGTACTTTCACCAACTGATTGGCTCGGATTTGAATATGCCAACGACATCCAATATTTCTATAACACTGGCTATGGAAATGATGCTTCAGGTGCAATTGGTTTCCCTTGGGTCAATGCCACATTTAACACGTTGATGACGGAGCAAAACAATGCATCAAATGCAACCACCGACCAAGATCTCTATATCTCATTCACTCACCGAGAACTTCCACCAACAGTTATTGTCGCCATGGGTCTCTTCAACAACTCCGCATATTCGGGAGCAAATAACATTAATGGTACTATGCCATTGAACACCATCAACTACAACCGCGCCTGGAAATCCAGCGCCATCCTTCCATTTTTAACAAACGTCGCTATTGAGAAAATGGAATGCGACAGCTTTGGTTATGATGCCGGAACATATTACAGAGTTCTGGTGAACAACAGTCCTCAGGATTTAGTATCATGTACTGGAGGACCAGGAACAAGTTGCAAGGAGGAAGATATTCAGGATTGGTTGAATGAGAGAGCCGAGGTCGTGGGCTCTTTTGTTGATGTTTGTGGTGTGGATTATAATAATGGGACGGATATTTTTAGTATTTATTAATGGGTGTCTTTCGTAGGTAATTAGAGATGGGGATGTTAATGATTAATGCATTAGAATGATAATGTATTATAAAATATAACGAGATACCTTTCATTGAAGATGTGATCAGTTTCTTATATATACCTAGTAGTTCTATATATAAGTGAGTCGTGACTTTCTAATAATTAGCTATCAAAATGAAGCAGTCTTACTTCACACAGATTATTACTCATAAGAAAAGTTACTAAAATCACGTTTCACGTCTATATCTTCTCAATCTTTCTACTCCCTCAAAAACAAAACCTCCCTCCTATCGTATACATCAACTTCCCACCATTCCGCTTCCCGATCCATTTCTCATTTCTCATTTCCCATTCCCCATAACCATCATTACCCCCCTCTCAAACAACAAAGCCAAAGCGCAAGCACTGAGCCGCTCCCCCTCCCACCCCTCAACCCTTCCCCTTCATTAACATCCCCTCCCCTCTATCAATTTCCCAAAATCTTCCTTCTTCCTTCTTCCTTCTTCCTTCTTCCTTCTTCCTTCTTCCTTCTTCCTTCTTCCTTCCTATGAGCATTTCACCACCCACCACCCACAAAAATCGATAGTAAGATTATAATATATCTCTCTAGAATGATCTCCCATTTCAACCAACAAGATAAGATAATTGTGCTATTGCTTTTACGGGTATCTCATTCCGCATTTTGTATAATATATAGGTGTATAAACGTTATATATTTCCATGGATATAGATATACTAGGTAAGCGATGGATTGTCAGTGTATGAGTTGATGACCTTGTAGCTTTGTTTGTTTTGTAGTATTGTTGTTAAGGACCTCGGGAGAGAAAGCTTGTGCAGATATTAGAGAGCGATTGGGTTGTTCAAAAGGTCGCATTTTGCTAGAGAGGAAGATTTCTGTCTGGAAGATATTCCGCTTGCAAAAGGATGGAAGGACTAGAAAGGCTGGAAGCTCTCTTTAGAAGGTCACTGACCTCATTGTAAGCTTTTCTTGTATTTGTGATCCCTACAAACATGTATAAAACCTTTTGCACTGATGCTTTTCTTCAAACCTGGCATTTTACACTGCCTATCATCCCCTGCACTTCCACCAAATGCGTGCCCTTACTGTTCCCTTCACACGGGTTTGCGGCGCTGTAGTATTTACTAGCCATGGGGCAATGCACCATATAAAACTCAATGATCCTTTATGAGATCACTTGGAGCTACCATTAGGTATGAATGGGTGTGATATCATGCTGTTTCCCTAGCGATTAACCTTCCCTTCACGTAATCCATAGCCTCTTTTCTTGTCATCCATCAGTTGGCTGAAATTATTCAACGGCCACCAAATAAATCTGTTATACTCAATCTCCTCCCTCCTTGTGCTTCAGTCACAGTCTCCGCTTCGTGAGTTCCCTCGAATCCTCTATCCCCGTAGTTCTCCACCTTGTTCTCCAAAGCTTGCACATCATTCATCGTGGCTTGCGTCTTCTTCCAATTGTTGAGAATTTCTGTTTGATTCACGACTCTTGTACTCGTCTCATCATCATGAATAAAGATGCCAAAAGCCTTCGCTACCGGAGTACCTCCGACCGTCTCGGACTTTTCAACCGTCCAATATAGATACTCGCCGGTGATCTCTACGTTGTTCATCTCACTGAGATTATATATTACATTGTTGAGACCCTTGCGATTGAGCACCACGATACAGTAATCTTCGGCGCCAGTTGTTGGTGAGGGTGAAAGCTCGCACACAAATAATGTACCTTCTATAGGAAGTTTCTCCCATGTTTTTGATTCCAGAGAGAACATGTACATAGTAGCCGATGCAGCAAGTGACTTGATCTTCTGAATTGAGGGGTGATATCGTCTAAGGACTGATAGATTGAGTTCTTCGTTCGTACGACTAGGAGGTGCGGGACCTGGTACTGGAGTTTCGGTATCATAGTCGGAGACTTGAACTTGACTTAACTGAGAAGGGCCCGGATGGTTTTGACGCTGACGAGGCTTTCGTGGTGTCATTTTGACGGCTTACTTTCTGCGACAAAAGGAAGATTGAGATATCTTAGATTGTAGGTTAAAAGTATGGTCGTTTATGTGAAGCTTTATTGTGTGTTGGTGGGGTGGTTGATGTCGTAGATTTGATGCGACGGAGATGATGCGCGGACTGGTGGACGTTGCGAGTGGATTTGATAAGCGTCGGACACTAAAAACGGTTTCGCTTTCGATTCGTACTTTGTGATGGGTACAAATGGCAAACTGTGTTGCAGATGTCGTTAATGTATCATGTATCATGTATCATGTATCATGTATCATGTATCATGTATCATGGGGTGGGATGCATTGCCATGAAAGATGCAGGATCTCAGCCTCGTGATAGCTGGAAATATCCCATGTTTGAAGTTGACATTTATGACAGACTAGGCTTCTAGAACAACTATAGTGACAGCAGGTTCGGTCCGCACTTACTCCGTAATATAGTAAGTAACCTGCCGAGTATGTATGTATTTATTTTACTTTATCTTTACGAGTACACCAATATAATAATAAACTACTCGAATGAACCGGGTATTCTTTCTCTCTCACTTACCAATACTCGTGTATTGTTCTAATCTTTCTCTTACTCTGTTCCTCCCCTCTCTTAAAATGCAAACGGTAAACGTTTTGTCCTCCGCTTATAATTTCTCTCACTCCTTCTTTTGAAATACAAGTTCTTTCGGTGAGCTTATACTTCTTATCTACGTCATTTACCCCGACATTTGAAAGAACAAGAGGGCAAAAGAAGAAGCTCGAGCACAACTTTCGGGAAAAGGAAGGAGAAAGGGAAAGAGAATCGGAAAAGAAAATAGACCGCTCACAACCAAAATGCTGGGTTAAACCTTCTTCCTACCTTGTATCATGAAACTTTGCTTCGTCTGTTATTTCCAAAACACATTACCAGAACTCAAAGATGGCCATGAGCTCAACAAATTCGATGGATGAGGGGCCGATTGAAGTCGAAGTGCCTATGACCTCGAGTCCACATTCCCTTTCAAAAGCTGTCTATGCCCGGCGACACGAATATACTCGGTCACAGAGAATCAAAATAAAGATTGGTTGCTGGAATGTTGCTGCTTGTCCTGGAACTGAGAAAGATCTCGCGGGATGGTTCGTCCAAGGGAAAGGGATCGACAAAAGACTAGCTGGGCTTAAATTGGCCAATGCGATCGAGAAGGATAATAGCCAGGCAAATATAGAAAGTGTCGACGAACAGGAATCAAGAAGGAATAAAAGAGAATCCACAATTCCGCATGGCGATCAGGGCATAATTGCTGGAGGAGAAGATATCGGCTTGTATGTTTTGGGACTACAAGAAGTTGTTGAGCTCACGTCTGCGAGGGAGTATATTGGCAAAGTTTATTCAAATAATGATCCTGCAACCACATGGAGGAAATGCCTTCTTGCGGCTTTGCCAGAAGGTTATACTTTGGTAGCCGAACAACAGCTCTCTGGTTTACTCATGTTCATATTTGCTTCTCCAACTGTTGCGCCTACAATAAGTTCTGTTAGTACTGTCAGTGTTGGGACTGGATTTATGGGATATCTAGGAAACAAGGGCGCTGTCACTACGAGAATAGTACTTAGCGAAACAACTCGACTAGTATTTGTCAATTCACATTTGGCTTCGGGGACGGATAAGGCACATTTGGATAGACGTATCTGGGATGTTTCGCAAATATTGCAAAGAACGCGTTTCGATCCTATAAGTCGAGGTGGGGTTTTAGATGATACTCAGGAGAGCATTGGGGACGAGGACTTTGCTTTCTGGTTTGGAGATTTAAATTTCAGGTTGGAAGGTTTACCTGGAGACGATATTCGACGATTGTTAATGCTACATACGAAAGGAGAATATGACATAGGAGCGCAATCAAGAAGGAATATCGATAACGAAATCAATGCTAGCGAAGGACCGATTGTAATAAGGCCTGTTGATAGTGACGACGAATCCGAGGAAGAGACACGCAAAAGCAGTAGTACATTCGACCCGAATGATGATTCTTCTACCGTGACAACGCTTCCAGATCCGGATGAATTTATACAAGATCCCAGCCAAGATCCCGCCTCATTACAGGCTACCATTGATTCATTATTACCACATGACCAATTGAGGCATGTTCAGAGGGCTCGAAAGGCATTCCACGATGGATGGAGAGAAGGGCCCGTAACATTCCTCCCAACGTATAAGTACGATGTAGGAAGCATGGGAATTTTTGATTCTAGTGAGAAGAAGAGGGCACCAAGTTGGTGTGACAGGATTTTATTCCGAACACGGAGAGACAAGCTGGCATTCGATTCCAAGATAAATGAAGAAGTATTAGCAAGGAAAAAAGATGAAGAAATGAGGGCCCAAGGAATCGACCATGCCGCAGATGATGAAGATGTTCTTTTCAGCTATGATCCAGATGAAGACGGCGAGCAAAACACCACACCTTCTAGGAGTGATGATTATGACGAATATGATGAATACGACGAGACGGAGGATAATGAAGCAGCACCAGTGATAACTAAAGATGGATTTGTGGATCGAATAAATTTGGATGTTTACACATCACATCAACGAGTCCTATCATCAGATCACAAACCACTCGATGCCGTCTTTACATTAGAATATGATGCAGTTGTACCGGAGTTGAAATCCAAAGTACAGCAAGAGGTTGCAAGAGACCTTGACCGAGCAGAAAATGAATCCCGGCCTGGAATAACCATTGTTGTGGAGCATCCACAGAATGCAGAGGAAAGTCAACGAAACGATAAACCTCGTAAAAATTCTAATGACGGAAATGGAGTAATTAATTTTGGTAACATTGAGTTCGATCACCGAAAAATTAGAAATATAACGATCGCAAATACTAGTCAAGTCACATCCACATTCGCGTTTGTTGATAGACCTGGTGTCGAAGGCCAAGAAGACAGAATCGCTCCGCCATGGCTCAATGTGTGGTTTGCTGGGCATTCCCTAGATGAAGATGATAGAGATGTACAACATCTCAAGCGAGAGATTACTCTGGAACCTGGAGATGCCATTAATGTTACATTGGAGGTTTTAGTCGATGACTTCTCCTCTGTAAAGTCACTAAATGATGGAGATGTCTCACTCGAAGATGTATTGGTATTACGGGTCACAGATGGAAGAGATCATTTTGTTCCAATAAAAGGAAATTGGCAGCAATCTTGTCTTGGACGATCTGTTGATGAACTCATCCATGTACCAGAAGGCGGCGTACGAGCGTTATCACCACATCCACATGGTGAACCTGGGCCTCCTGTTAACAGAGGCCAAGAGGTGACGTGGTCTGCACCACGAGAGCTACTTAAACTCACACAGGTCATCGATTCTCTCACGGATCGCGTGGTTGCTGATTCAAACATGTTAGAAGGCGCTATAATCCCTAGAGATTCTCCAAGCTGGCCATTTGATGAGAAGACTTGGCGATTTAAAGACAAATCTGCTAGGGATACTTTGAGAGGCAAGGTATTGACAGCCCTAGATTCAGATCAGAGTATATTTGATGTATTTCCTGTCGAGGTTCCAGCTGCTCACCGATTAGAGATTGTGGCCGAAGTTCTCACAATATTCTTGCGCAATCTCACCGACGGCATCATACCTACAAACTTATGCGAGCAAATTGACGCAGGAATGGCAGCACAACCGGTAAATGCTTTATCTGATATCGAAGAAACTAAAGCATGGGTTTTAGATGTACTATCTTCTTTACCGCATCACAATATCTCTTTTGTATTCCTTACATCGACTCTATCACGAGTAGCAGGAGAACTAGCACCAATTCCAAAAGTGAGACGTTCTCTTGATACAGCAGTTCGCAGCAGTTTCGATTCTGTGAAGAGAACTCTCAGTTGGAAGGGAAGAGCAGCGCCGCTTCCGGAAGATCCGGCTGCCGTCAGGAGAAGGGAAGTCAATAGAGCTTTTGCGGAAGCATTTGTGGGAACAGTCTTTAGGAAAAATGTACCAACTAATCAGAAAGACAAGAGAATCTTGGAAGAGAGAAGGAGAGATATATTGGAAGCTTTCTTGAAAGGCTTCGTCCCTTGAAAGAGCGAGAGAAAAAGGGTTTTGGGTGTTATTAATAATGATTAATGAGTTGGGTCATGAATGGTTTGGTGTTTTTAATAGAGGGAAGGTAAGATTTTTTGTTTGGATTCGGGGAGATAGAGGATTCTGGGTTGGGATTGCGATTGATGATGATGGGTTGATGATGCTTGGGTGTTTATCTAGATGAGTCTATATAAGATATAAGTGGATAGGAGTAGCCTAGTAAATGGTGGATGCGTGCATGATCTTCTTTTAGTGTGTACTATGTTGCTGTGGCTATGAAAATTTGAATAAGTGATATGGGAAAGAAGTAATTGATAGTTATTGCGCCTAGAATGGCAAAGCTTCAACAGTTTTGGTGGAATGATATGTTGGTAAGGAATGAAGAGTGAAGATTGTATTTCCTTTAAATAGAGCATATCGTGCTTTGAAACACCCTTCTTTCCCAAAAAAAATCCCGACTTGGTACCTGTTATCCTCAGCCCTTTTCCGATTTATAATAATTCTACATTACATATTACTTTTTATAAAAAGAATTATTCAAAAATGTTATTTAAAAATAAAATTTGAGATCTAAGATCTATAAAATTGATTTAGAATTTTAGAATTTAAATCATTGTTTGAGTTTTCTTTGTATTGTGGTGAGTGAGAGAGGGAGTGTATGAGTCAAGATCGGAGAGATGTGAAATATAAAGAGGGGGGAAGGGGGGTCTAAGGAGATTATTGTTTACTAGTTTACTGGTTTATTGGTATATTGAATAATAAGATATAGAGGATAGAGACGCTGTGCTGAAATGCTCGAGTTTTGAATTATATGTTTTGAGTTGTGTATGTTTTGGGTTATATATTTGTTATTTGTTAGTATAGGTGTGGATATTGATATTGATATTGATATTGATATTGATATTGATATTGATATTGATATTGATATTGATATTGATATTGATATTATGATGTGGTGTATTTATCACATCCAACCAAAACCCAATACTTGGATTTGTTATATTTCCCAAGTATTTCCCCATCCTTACTATAATAAGACTCTTATCATTAATCAGATTGCAGGAGATTTTTCTTCGCATTGCTTTGCCTATCTGATGTTAAGATTACATATACATGCGATGTAAGATTACTAACGAGAGTTTCTATTTGATGAAGGATACTTCCTCTCGGTCCTTCAATAGTAATTGTAAAGTATTTTCTCAGTAGCTGGAAATTCAACGAGCGCTTTTTGATATTCTACCGAATGCTCTTCTCTACTTTATGTTCTACGTATATATCAATCCGGAGGAGGAAATTAAGGTAGGCTTTGAAGAGATACTGTTGGGGAACTAAGTGAGTTTGGTATGAAAGGAGGAGGATTTTAGAGGAAAGGTGGTAGTAGGAAAGGTGGTAGTAGGAAAGGTGGTAGTAGGAAAGGTGGTAGTAGGAAAGGTGGTAGTAGGAAAGGTGGTAGTAGGAAAGGTGGTAGTAGGAAAGGTGGTAGTAGGAAAGGTGGTAGTAGGAAAGGTGGTAGTAGGAAAGGTGGTAGTAGGAAAGGTGGTAGTAGGAAAGGTGGTAGTAGGAAAGGTGGTAGTAGGAAAGGTGGTAGTAGGAAAGGTGGTAGTAGGAAAGGTGGTAGTAGGAACCGGATGGTAGCTGGAGATGGATGTTAGTGACGGAGTAAGAGATGTATTCGAATTTGGAAAGAGCTTTGTGAGGGAACGGAGGGAAGGTGTTGCCCAAAAGTGACGCCACCCTTGAGGAGTGGTTAATTGGGTTCATATAATCATTCTTCAGGTCAACAGAAGGACTTAGGATGAGAATTTTGAGTCTGATACCTTCGGAAGATGGATGTGTAGTTGCTTGATACTAAGGGAGACGAGGATGTGCTAAAATGTGCTATATTTATTGAGGTATGGCGACACTGAGACGGGAAGCAAAAGGAATATTGAATAGGATACGAGTTGGATGAGATAGTGTCTTTTGGAGGGAGTATCTTGAAGAGGCTTTATTGTATCTACCACCTCCAAGAGTTCTCAACCACCATCCGAATTTCCGCGAAAGAGATAGGAAGGAGCAAGTTTGGACGAGAAAATATGTCACTAAACACTATTAATATAGAACGCTTGGAGTTTGTATCTTAGTTGTTCAATGTATAGACTACGTGCTGTGCTCGTATCAGATGTAAGTCTCAAAATTAGTTTATAATGTAACTTACAGACAGGTGAGAGCTAAATCGGACTATGGGTATTAGAAAAACGGCGAAGTTCAATACGATGATGAGAAATACTGACATATGATGCGGAAAACATCTGTTCAAGGATTAATGATTTATTCCCATCTTCTAAAATCTTATAGATGATAAAGATAACAACGTTACTATCCAATGACATTGTGAAACCTAGTTCCTCCAAATCAGGTGACAGCTTACAAGACATTTTTATTTTTGAGAACGCCACCGCGGCGCCACCCGTTCTTGTAAGACCTCACTTAAGTACAACAAATCGGGCATACCGACCCCAGTTCATTTACCTTACCAAACCAAAAGTAGTAAAAATGACGATGCCGAGTCGAGAAAATATCCTGACAAATCACCTTGCAGCCCGTATATTTTCACTACTACGTTACCAACTATTAAATACCCGACCCACATTATGTATCTAGGGAACGTGCGCTCCTGTATGTATGCATCGTCGCTCCTGTTGAATCCTTCTGCTACACAACTTCGTATTTTAGGGCTTCGTATTGAGGAAAGGAGCGATGGCTTGGCACACATGTGAGCTGGAAAGAATACGGTGGGTCGTCATTGCTGTAACATTATCGTGAGGTTTCTCTTGCCGTTGAGCATCGTTGTGGTTTCAGTATAAAAATGAAGGCAGTACTCGACGAAACTTCTCATCATTGACTTTTCATCATCACTTCTCATCATCATCAAGCCCCCATCAGTTATCAGTCATCATGTATTTTTCAAAACTTCTCCTCTTTTCCGCTGGAGCCATAACTACAGGCCTCGCTCAACAATTCATGGTTCCTGCCCCATGGTATGTCCAAAAAATCAGCATTGGAAACATCAGACACGGCACCGGCGGCTTGTAAGTTCTTTTCCTCAAACCTAATAACTGATTACATTACTTCTGACATGAGAAAATAGCTGGTCATTCAACTTGATCGACACACCTACTCCAGCTCCTCAAGGTTTGAATGTATCATGCAGTTATACCTCTCAAACTACTTATATATTCGCACTCGATGGTTATCCAGTTGATGCACCATGCAGTGGTGATCCCAATGTGACTTTCAGTCTATACCCTGATGGCGATCATTTTACCTTCAATATCACGCATTTGTATGGAAATTGCGGAACGTAAGTTTGTGTCTGGTGTCCAAGTTCATGAAGCCGTAGACTAATACGTAATTATAGTGCGGATAGCCCAGCCCCTGTAAGCAAAATCAGTTCTTTGATTTCGCAAAAAACACTTTTGGAAAAGTACTGACTTGCTTTCTTGTAGTGCAACGACAATGGAACATGGCAATTCAGTTGGGATGACGTTAGGGGACAAGAGCAAGATGTCCAAAATAACTTTGGACAATCTGGAAGCTTCTATAGAGAAGGCATTTCCATGTATCCAAATCGGGCGATACCCAGCGAGAAGTGCGAGTTCTGTTGATTCAGTAGGAGGTTGATGACGCAGCGACAAGATGTTTTCTGTGCTATGGAAATATATAAAAACTGTTTTCGAAAACCGTTGAATTGAGGTTTTAGATGAAGTCTGCTGGAGTTGGTGAAGGCACAAATAGGGTTTAATAAGACTTATAATTGATAATCTGCTACCATTTGCTTTTTGAGTGCTTTGAGAGACCAGTAGCCGGAACAACATGTTCACAAACCTATGTTGGCTTCAGATGATTGACTGATTAGAGCAATAAAGCTCATGTATCATAGACTCACCTCGAAAGATGCATTCCGTACTGTATTGATGTCGGCTTGTGTTGGAGTAATAGTATATAATCACGAACTGTGTTCGGAACTTGGCTTCGCCATTTAGCAACTGTGCCTAATCGCCGCCAAATGAAATAAAAGCTTCCTTCATAGCCTCAACCTAATTTGTATTGGGAAATGGGAGTGAGATGGCGTTCTTATAACCAAAGACTATCGGAATGTATTACAAGGATTCCAATTGACCATGATACGCATTTGACACTCCACCACAACCTTCACAAGGGATGGATATACCAAATTGGCACTTTCCACAATCCATGCAATGCCAATCTCTCCAATCATTACATTCGTCACAAATGGGACAATGATCAGTACTGTGGGATTCCTCCCATGCACCAGAGCAAAAGGAGAAGAAATGCACGCCATCCTCAAGAAATGCCTTCTTGAATAATACCATCCGGATTGGTTTTCTTTGTGCCTCAGTCTTTGCCTTGAGCCACGTTTTTCCGAGCTCTTGTATTTCTTCATCAGACCCATCGTAGAATATGGATCCTTCTGGCTTATCATAATACTTCTTTTCATCAACTCCCATAATGGTACTTCGTAGCTCCTCCTGTGTATATGCGGAATCGAGGTCCAAATCTGGTCCTTGTGCTTTCATCCAGCTCGCGAAGCAATTTGTAGCGCGCAGCCTCTGCTCCCCGAAAAAGAGGGCAAGTTGGTTTAAATAATTGGCACATGAGGTACATTTGCAGTCTGGACCACAACTGAAGGAATTCTTAGAGCATTCGCATCGACCATTTGCGCAACCATCTTTACAAGAGCAGGAGAAAGATTCTGATATATCACGCCGTTTGAGCTAAGAATAATTAACAAGCGCCTCAGCATGTCATAAAAATAATTGTCTCCTTACTTCTGTGATCTTTCTGTTTCTTTTGGTCATCTCGTCCTCCGATGCTGACATATCATTATCACTTCCCTCGCGAGCATGATCGCCGGCAACATGATCCGGTTCAGAGTCAGATGCAGAATCAGGAGCAGGATCCGGTTCAGCGTCCGGTTCTGACAGGGTTTCATTTATTTTTGCGTGTTCCAAATCGACTACATGAGCTATTTCAGGATGAGAAACATATGCTTGAACAAGAATAGTACGGAGTTGTGATTCCTTCAAATCGTGAACCAGCTTATTCGCTCTGAACAATGCAGCCATTGATATTTGTGAATTTGAATCCTCCATGCCGAGCGCAGTCCTAGGAACTTTAGCAGATCGCTCTATTGATGGTGCTCCTGCCTTTCGTTTATTAGATAAAGACATTTTGAAATGCGGATGTCTTTTAGCAGATATATAGCAAAGTGTAGCTGCGGGCGAATGATCAAGAAGATTGTAGTTGATCCTTTGAGTAGATTCTGGAGATGTGGAAGACGCGTTTCGCATCTGTAGGGATGCGCGAGAGCACGAGGGTGGTCTGTGTAAAAATCTGTACGGTGACTAAGCTAACCTTTCAAAGAAGAGGGTCTTTGTGCTTCTCTTCGTTTGTCCATGATTAAACTGCATTTCAAGAACATTCGAAGCGATCTTCGAGATTACGATTGACACGGTGCTTGATTTCACGTAATATGTCACAATCCATTGATAGATTTATGATTATGAGTAGTTCTCATATTGTTTTCAGACATTAAGATGTTAGAAGAGGTAGAGAAGAAATAGCATTTCCAATTTCTGATCTATCACATCCTTTCATCTCACGCGTTCATGCGCGGGACGCGTTAAGTACTTGCTTTTCTTATACTTCCAGCTTGCCTATATCTCCTTTCGATTCTTTTGTCATTCATAATTGTTATTGTTTCCATTGTCTTTTCTTTTCATTGTATATTAAGTGTCCTTGCAATCATAGATATGAGTTCGAGTCAAGCCGAACATAGTCCTACTCATCCTGCAAAGAGACGCAAGTCTACGCATAATTCTGAGACCATTAAAAGTTTATTGATGGACTTCAAACCTTCACAATTACGCCAAGTTATTGAAATAGCATTGAGCAATGGGAATCTTACGAAATCCATACGCCATATTCATGCCCAATTACCTGGAAAGTCATCGCCCGAAAACCATTCCGAGCCATCAACCATGAATTCGGCGCCAGTTACAGACGAAATCATTGAGAGCATCGAGAAATCTCCATTGCCAAGAAGACATTTAAACCTCGTGCCAGAAACAAAGGAAACTCGACAACCACCATCGCAATCACTTTCAGCGAAAGTTAAGGAAGGTTTATCTGACAGTGCCACACAGTCTTTCGTTCACATACCCAAGAACGTTAGCGGCGGCAATCTGCCTACCCCGAGGAACTTCCAGGAGCCAAAAGAAGTATAATGTCCTGTCTTCAATTTTTAAAGATCTCAGCCTAACAAAATCGTGGCAGATACCTATGACCCCAGAGCCTTGGATGACTCCAGAGCCAGAAATTGACGCTCATTCATTACTTCCAGAACCCGAACTCTACGTTTGTCCACCACCAGTAATTGCAACCTGCAACTGCCGATCCGGATGTTCTTCCACTCGCTGCAAATGTTTCAAGTCAGGGCACGGGTGTTCTCCATCCCCATCCTCTGGCTGCAAATGCGAATCCTGCGTCAACATGCTCAACGATTTATCTTCTTTCTTTGGATCCCCCAAATCTTCCTACTTCAAGATCGCTGCTAGTCCCGACTTCCTGAAATGGATTCGGAAAGAGTCGAGGAATGGAAGATTTGACTTGATTTATCCGGACACGATTGAAGAATTAAGAAGTATGCTAATGGGTGTCAAATTCGGAGATACATCGTCCCCACCAAATTTCCCCGTTTTCTCGGGAAAACTTAGAGGGATAAGAAGGGCATGGATGAAGGCTAATATTACTGATGATGAAAGAGAAGATGTCAAGAAGGAGTTATTTAAAGAAGCTTTTGGGGTCATGGCGGAGCCGAAGAACGATTATTGGTGTTTTTGTAAGAATGAATGGAGGCAAACTATTCTTTGGGCGTTCTGCGCGAAATGCGATGAGTGTAGAGACACTCGAGAGTGGCATTGTGAAAAGTGTGGACATAGGAATATTGGGGAGAATTGTGAATGCAAGAGGGCTATCAAGCGAAAGAAGGGTGATCGGGGTCAGTAATAGGCCAGCGAATATCCTGCTGGCCATTTACGAGCGGGCAGTTTCTTTGCTCTTCGAATGTCGGGCAGGACGCCAATTCTAAGTTATAGAATCGTTTTTATGCGGTGGTAGAACGATATTTTCATCAGCAGCCTAATTTTACACGGACGACTATATTTTTGAACTCTTCGAATATATTTCTAGCTTCTATATATGTATTATCCACAAATTTAACCATGACGTTCAATATTTCAAAACGCGTACCAAAACTTCTAGATTATCAATGACATCTAATTCTAGATATTTCACCCGCGCCAGGTAAATGCTTTTCAAAAATGATTTTCATATGTTTCAGATGCGTTGTAATGTGCTCCAAGCCATCAGACAATGGATGATCATATTCTCTTTGTGAAGAAGGGCTTGGAGTGAGGGCTTGTGTAATGACTGACTGACCAGTCATGCGGTCGCTAAGTTAGTACTGGATATCTGAATTCAATGCTGTCTCGAAGAATCGATACGAGCACGATATCCAGCTTAAAGACCGGTCGTCAGTAATTGAGGTGAACTTATTTAGCCTTTGACTCGTTGTATGCTTTAGATCCGTCTCGTACTCCGGATATATCTCGAGTATTGAATGATTGATCTTTTGCTGTAGATTATAGTCCATTCTAAATATCGAGAGTGTCCATTCTATGTAAAACATTGAAACATTGAAGCTTCGTAAAAATCAAATATGACAAGTCCAACTTCAAGGAAGCCATTAAAATATTGTTTTTCTTCGTATTACGTTCATTGAGGACCTAGATAATTCAATTGAAAGATGGAGATTAAAAAATACACCCGCTAATTGGTAAAAGTACATTGCGTATGCTCCTTCCCTTCCTACTTCATTCCATCTCTCGCCAATTTTTCTTCGCTCTTTCCTTCTTCGGCGCAGTTTTTTTTTTCTTAACTTCTTCACGTTCCCTTCGATGGACGCAAGATAATTCAAAAATATTCTGAACATTGTAAGTCTGGAGATTTATCAATGATACTCATCAATGACCATTTACCATTTCATTTACAAACCACAAGACAATAAATAGCACTTACGTGGGCAACACCGATCCGAACCATAGTCATATTCGATGTTCTTTCAATCCTTATGTACATACAACATAAGACTTACGCTGTGTATATGAGCCCATAAGGAGGTATAGGCTGACCATCTGCCCATTGAACATCTTTACTAACATTTCCATGTAGGTATTGGTGGAGCCTTCCCCTTCCTTGTGAAGAAGAGCATCACTCAGCGGACTTCACTCAAATCCTCTATCTCATGATACAGTGAAAGCTTTCAAACTTTGGAACAGCTTTCTTTCCCGGACATATAGATATTACATGTTGCAGGATAAGAAGAGGAACAGAAATGTGTGCTGGGCTGGGCTGGGCCGGGCCGGACCGGGCTGGCGTTACCTCAGCCCGGAGACTTACAACAACCTGAGATAGGAATATGAGACCAACGCATTCACCAAATCAGATGCGAAGAATTTTCTTTTGTTGTTGTTGAACTACCTACCTAGTAGTAGGTGCTCAAGTCTCTTGAATCACTGAATCGGCCTTATTTAATTCTATTTCTGCCCGAGCTACCCCACATATCGGATATATGCGGAGAATATCCCAAACCAAATAACAATACTTAAACAAATTCTTGCAGCCCACACTCATCAATAACAAAGACAAGTCTTCGTGGCTCAGTTGGTTAGAGCGTTGGTCTCATATTCTTATATGAGGTGGTTGTTAACAATCCACTTTAGCCATCCAAAGGTCGTGAGTTCGAGTCTCACCGAGGACATTTGTTATTTTTGAACTTTCGATACACTTTCCTTTTTAAGGGAATAAAACGTTGCCCAAGGGCTACATTTGATGGATGGATGGTTTTGTTTGGTGTTTGATGTGATGGTGCAAGCTATTTATTGGTGACGGACGAAGGTGAACAAAGAGAGGGCTTTCAGCTCCCGTACATCATGCGAAATCAGGAAGAGAGTATTATTGATGTGGCTGTTTAACTAACTGGTCGAGGGGATATATTGTTTTTCGATGTTTTGGAACTGTTGAACATGGAAAGGAGATAGATATGTGACTGGAGTCATTCATCATTTTATGGATGCAATGGGAAGGATGGGTTTTTCAATCACAAAACCATGCTTACTTACACCATACGCAACACAACACCCGACATTTACATGCCATCATTATCCAAATAAATAATCATCAATGGTATTGATGATTATAGGTCTAGGTCTCGATTTTCTTTTTTCTTTTGAACACAAACCCCCCAAATAAACGGCATTGATGGACAGACAAGCAAAGACAAGCAGGACTTTAGGTTTGAGATTGAGTCTGAATTCTGGGATGTTTGGATCGATCATGTTTTATAAAAAAAAGAAGATCATTAGACATGAGAAAGTTGTGATGAATGGGTACAGAGTGGAATAATGTCTAGGATAATGTTTAGAGTAGATTTGATGATGTTGGTGGTTAGTTGGTAGGTGTTGTTTGGTTCGTGATAGTTGGTAGGTTGGATGATCTGTTTTACTATTGGGAGCAGCAGTTTTTATTGAAATTTGGCTTCGAGATCGTGGATAATGCTAATAATGGCCGTACAAAAATAGGTTCTGGAGTAGGTTACCCCTTTTTTTCGTTTGGTCGTTGAGAATACGAAAAGCCTCTTTTTCAATCAGGAATCGCGTAGTGTTATCGACATTACGACAACCCGCAGACACATCCCTTCAAATCTCAGGTTTTGGGTGGAGAATTGGGTAAAGATGAAACGTCTCCCCGCGGATCTGGAATTGTGGATGGTTGATATGGGTAATTATTGTGACTCGTGAGTCGTGAGGGAAAAGATTGATATTAGATATTTCAGGGGCTGTTAATCAAGATCGGCTTACTGTAAATATCTGGATAATGTCTAACTGGACGTAAGTGTTTCATGAGAGGTGTCAAGTTTAGATGGACCGATTAGGAATGATATGTATTATGTTTTGATTCAACGATATTAGTTCTGGTGGGTGATAGTTGGTGTATTTAGTCGTTGAGGCTTATATCAAACACGAAACTTTAGTGGAATCCGGTGTGGATGGACGAGCGCATGTAGAGTCCAGATTGATAGACAGGTTTTGAGTATAAGGCTTGTGGTTTGAGGTTAGACCGTATATTACTGCGCCCCTTTCCGCGTAACGCTTTCAGGAAGGAAAATAGACCGAGTTTGGGTGGTGAGTTTGGTGATAGTGACGGTGAGTGAGCGTGGGAATGGATTTTCCTGGTGTGGTATGATTAGAGGTGGAAGACAATATTTTAACCATAGGGTTAAATTTTTATAATGTTCTAAGCAAAAGCCAAAAATTGTTCATGTGTGGATAATACGAGGAGGTATGTATACGTATGATATTCGTGATTGTTCTTTTTAAGTTTTCATATTCCGTACATTCCGTACCTATTCGAGTTGTAAAAGAATTCTCCGTTTTATGGAAAAATAATGAACGATTTGGTGATTCTTTTGAGTTAATCTTCAAGGGGAAACCAAAACCAGCATAGCTAGCAAATAAATGCAACTCGGGTGTCTCGTACTCGAGTAGAAGATCTTTGGAACGATTGGCGAATACTTCTAGTGATAAGGAACTAATTTATAGAGCGTCGCATCGGACAACATATTTTAGTGCTTCCGACATGAGCTAAATTATAATTTAGATGTCAATTAAGGTTTCAGGGGCATGCAATCAGTGGGATTGATAGGTTGACTAGAAATGCATCAGAAAATGGTCGACACGAGATGTGGCTTGTTGCTTGTTACTTGTGGGATGAAGAAGAAACTTGATCAAAATGCGTCTGGTGAGGGTTTGAAAATTGGTCGATAGAAGGGAATTCATTGGCCTCGAAAGAGTATCGTTGGTTGTTGTAGACGGGTACTTACTTCGAGTAAGTTTTCTCCTATTCTCCTATTCTCCCAACTTTTGTGTTGGTTCCACCCATCTTCTTATGATCATCCCCGTCTTCATATTTCATTTCACTTCGTTCATTCGAATTCATTTCCCTCTATTCTCTAATCTCTCTATCTTACCTTCTCATACTCCATACTCAATCTCAATAAACAAGCTTTTCATGATTCGCATCATAATTCGCATAGCCAATATCATTTCATTATTTCTTCCCATGAATAGGAAACAAATACGATACAACCGATCCAATCATTCAAATTACGAATAAATTAATCAATTTAATGATTCAACCAATCAATTAACTCATTCATTGCCTAATACCTTCCTCTAGCTACTCGGATTCATCAATTAGGTTGTCCCGTGCCTCTTACCATTTTCGATATTGTAACTGAAGGAGAGATCGATTTATCATTTCTTCTCACCCAAAATCATATCAATATCATCCATTTCATCACACAACAACCAAATAACATTCTTTTGGTTCGTTCCAGAACATTGAAGGCTTACTGCTAAGGATCCCGACTTATCAGTTACCAAACACACTCTTTTCCTATCAGTGCAAGAGTGCGACCATTCATAAAGCTTATTCCGTCAACTCCTCCTACAGTCATTCGACCACTTTCCTGGAAAGGTTCAACCAAGTATCCCGGTTTTGATACTGCATACACAGTACATATACGGTACCTACTGTATGTAGTACTGCATCTCCCCACTCTTCCCAACCTCTTCATCCAAGCTATTCTCAATTTCTCCGACCTTGATAACAACATATCTAAGAAACAAGGATCTGGGAAGATACTCTCAGATATCTCTCCATCCGCAAATCAACCAATAAGCGTTTCATTCTTCTCCCCAGGATTTTACCCTTTTTGAATCGTTCAGAGTTTGGAGAATTAACTTTACGCAATCCAACCCTCAATTCGCCTTCCAGTTCCGATTTCGTTATTTGATTCGGTCAGGACACTTTCTACATCTCTTCCTAAATTCCACCACTGCCTCTGTTCTATCACCACCAGAGAACATTGAGAAACCTCTCGATTATACTTGGATAAATATAACAATTTGGCGGCTTAGAATAGACTTTCTTTGTTGTTAATACATCAACAATTGAAAATACTCAGGAACCTTCCTTTGATTCCGGACAATCCACCTACTGCAACATCTACGAATAACGCTAAGAACAATTCAACCCTTGAATAAACCGCCAAGATGAATGTCGGCAAGAAGTTTGGCAGAGTCAAGCAATGGGCGGGAGAGAAAATGGGCCAGGAGTCCAAGACGGAAGTTTCTGATGAATTCAAGTCTTTGGAGACAGAAATGCAATTGAGACATGAGGGTACGTCTGCCAAAAAGTTATATACAAGTTATACTAACATCTGCCAGGAATGGAAAAGTTACAAAAGTCCATGACTGTTTATGTTAAATCGCTCTCGAAACGAAATGAAGGAGATGACAAAGAAAAGATGTTACCAGGCGCGTTTATGGGTCAGACCATGATACATCATGGAGAGGATTTTGAACCGGACTCCGAATTTGGAAACTGTCTTATTGGTAGGTAGATTTCGAAGGTATTAAGAAAATAGCTAATAGAATTACAGCTATGGGTAGAGCAAATGAAAGAATTTCGCGACAACAGGATACATATGTTGTGGAAGCCACCTCCACATGGTTGGAATCTTTGGAGAGATCTTTAGCTCAGATGAAGGAATATCAGGTTTGTATAAATTCCCGCTGTCTCAATGGGTGATGGCTAATTTGTAAAGTCTGCCAGAAAGAAGCTCGAACAAAGACGATTAGCTTACGATGCCTCCCTTTCAAAGATGCAGAAGGCGAAGAGAGAAGATTTCAGGGTCGAGGAAGAACTTAGATCACAAAAGGCAAAATATGAAGAATCCAGTGAGGACGTTTACAGACGAATGCAGGATATCAAAGAGGCAGAGGCGGATAGTGTTCAAGATTTGGGAGCGTTTTTGGAGGCCGAGCTTGAATATTATGACCGTTGCCGTGAAGAACTTTTGAAATTGAAGAGGGAATGGCCTGCTGCGTAAGTTATTGTTGATATACGCGATAATTCCCGAGCTGACATGATATTAGACGCGGATCGGCGGTACAGCAGCCACGTCAGCCTAGACGCCCCGAAGGACGACCTCGTTCAAACACAGCTCATTCATACAGTGAGAGATATTCCACGTATGAAGAACCTGCCTCAGAGCTAGAGCCTCCACGTCCATCTATCCGATCTAACACTCCTCGTGTCAACACAACTCGAGTGGCATCAACCTCTGGACTTGGTAGAATGGAGGAATATTCCCCTCCAAGTTCCCCACAACGTCCATCGATTGGTCGATCTTCCACATTCCAAGGCCCGACGACTCATTACCGTGAATCTCAAACTTCAAATCGTCTAAATTCAATCCCCTCTGCATCAGACGCTGGTTCTTTACGCGTAAATCTTCGCCCAACTGCTCGTACCAGTATTACCTCCGGGGATGTGTTCAATGATCCATCTGATGATTCGACTCTTAATAGTAATAGTCCAGATAGATCATACGGTGCGCGTTCTGTTAGTCCAGCTACCAGTCATGGTAGCAGGGGAAGTCGATCGGCTAGTATATCGGCAGCAAATGCAAGAAGGGCACCACCTCCACCTCCTAGCAGAACCAAGAAACCAGCTCCTCCTCCACCAGTGAAGAGAGCAGAAATTAGTTCTGTTAGTGTTAATGGTCGTTACTAAAGGATTCCCTTTCTTTTGTTTGAGCGGTTTTCCTAGCGATAGTACATATAACTAAATTCATCGCCCATATTTCGGACGATTACGTTCTCTACTTTATTGCACATACAAACAATTTTTTTCGTTTCGTTTCCTTTTGTTTCTTTGCGCGTCTGATCCAGGGTCAGGAGGAAGGCCATTCATAAAGTTGGGGTCAAAGTTTAGGAAGTAAATAATACCATGGTAGTTCAGGGTTATTCAAATTGATTACGGTCTTCTTTTTTCTGGTTTCTTTTGGTGAATAGGGCTAGTTTATTTTGTTTGAAGGAAGAAAGTGCCTTTAACTTGTTAATTATTGATTGTGGTAGGAGAATTTACGGAGATGTGAAATTGGGTATGTGGAATTGACATGCCTGAGGTATTCATACACGTACAAAGCAAGATAGAAAAATTGGAGGTGTGTGGGTTAAATTAGGTGGATGAGGAGATGGCGAAAAGACGGTACTTAGCTAGATGTTGTAGTTTATGGATCGGATCGATTTTTTTATCATTTTTCTTGGTTACTTGTTTTTTTCTTTTTTGGCGATTTGGGGTTTGGGATTCGCGATGTGTTGTGCTGTGATGTGATATAATGTGGTTTTGAGTGTGATGAGATGTGATGAGATGAGATTATTTGAGTAGGTACTGACTGGTTGGTGTGCTGGGTGATTTGTTGTCGTGTTTTATTTTGAGGTTTGTTTTTGGGCTTTGAGGTAAGAATGATTGAGATTGATATAGAGGGTTTTGTAGAGATTTGGTGGAGATGAGGGATGGGACATGGAGGAGTAGAGATTTAGGTTTGGGGATTGGGGGAGGGTGTATGTGGATTTTTGGATTTTTGCGTTTTTGGGTTTTGGGATATTGGTGGTTTGGGATATTGGGGGGATATTTGAGATGTGGTTGGGGGCTAGGTAGTACTTTGTATTTGGTTGAGTAGGTATAGATGAAGAGGATATGGAGTGGATGTAGGAGTGGAGATGAGGAATGGAGATAGAAATCTTGGTAGTGGACACGCTCCTGGTTGAGAGTTTGGTTTTCTTATACTTTATTTATTTATTTGTTTACTTGAATAGCTAGTTAGTTGGTTGGGTTTTTAGGGGTTCTTAGGGGATGGGGAGGGGTGGGGAAGTGGAAGTGGAAGTGAGATTGTGTGAGATTTTGTTTTTTCAGGTGAGAAAGTGGTGGGAAGGGGATGTTATTGAGATGGTTTATTGATGGGGGTTCTGCGAGTGTAAGTGGGAGGGGAGGTGGGGTGGAGGTACGGTGTAGAGGTGCAGAGGTATGGGGTATGGAGGTTTGGTGAGACTGAGGGTGGAAGGGTAGGGTATAATTCGGAGCGGATGCGTATATTGAGTGTAGAACTTGAGGGTTTGGGTGTGTTTCTGAATTTGTTTTGCTCCCGGTATTTTTAGCCTAGGAATCCTCTGATATTAGTCGTATCTTGTAAGATATAGAGAGGAGATGTGGATCTGTGGTGCTCTTTTGTTATTTGTATCGTGCTTTCGAAAGAGAAGGAGCAGACGAGGATGGCAATATGGGGGATCTTTTCCTTTTTCTCTCCTTTCTTTTCTCTTCCTTTTTGAAGCCGCGATGCTGGTATGGGTCATTCGTTCATTGTTCTCATTTTGCATAAGATGTGGTGGTTTTGCTGTATAAGGAGACTCAGAGTATGCTTCGGTTTTATATGCGTCATGCGAAATAGATAATTGCAGACCGGGCGGCTTTTGGAAGAATAGTCATCGTCCCTTAGTTTGAAGCCCATTTTTGAGGGATTTGGTTATTCATACTAGGTGTGTATTATTTTGATTATTCTATAAGCGATCTGCTTTTTCAAAAGTCATGAATGATAGTTAGTATATTTCGAGACATTTTTGAAGGATCCTGATTTTTCATGTGGTTCATTCAGATCTACTGCTAGCTATGTTTTTTTTTTTTTTTCAAATAGTCATAATCCTCAGTTCTGGAGTCAGTTCTCAGAAATCTACCTATTCATACCGTACTTGTCATTTCTCACACCACTTATATTTTTGGCAATCATAAATATTCATATTGAAGTAGATTCATAAATATCATGAGCAATTGAATACACACTCATCTATATTTTCGGCAAAGACTATATGAATAGGACGTCGAAAATGATATTCTTTTGAATCATCATAATCTATAAAAATGTGCTTAAAAGAGTTGAAGTTCCCGCTCTGCTTTCTTTTCTTTTCCTTTCTTTCCAAACTTATGTTCTACGAAGACATTTTCTATGATATTTGATATTCGATACCTTACATTCGATACTTACATTTGACATCTCCATCTCGATTTCGATAACGCTTTCAATAACTTTAATAACGCTTTACATCTTATTCACTCTTCTCGCAATCACGCCGAAACGAGAAAGTCACTTGCAGGTTGTTCATTATGCGAAAGACTTGGACCACTGAGGCAACTCGTTTATGCATATGGCTTGCCCTAGGCGTGCGTGAATATGAAATGAAACAAATACGAGAAAATACGAAAGAAAGCAACAAGAAGTGGGAACTAACCTATAGTAATTACGGAAATACCATTTCAGGCCTCTGGTTTCTTGAGTCGGACATATATGAGTCCGTTGCAGATTTTATGAGCGTTTTGGACGAAAAAATATCCTTCGACCCTAATAGAGAATTCAATGCCTCCAAAATTGCAAGCTGTCTTTATAAATTTAATCATCACTGGCAAGTACTTGTGGTGGTCCCACAAGAACCAGAAATCGACCTGGGCGACATCTTACCAGGAGAGTTCAGTGAATTCGGTTTCTCAGCGGTTCTCGAAGCAACCATGCGTCTTATGCCTGGTACCAAGAATGATACTCCATTGTGGTGGGAAATTATCCAGAAGAAATGGGTGTTTATTTTCCAGAAATATTTAAAAAACCAGCTCCGAGTACGGCTCATTCCATTCCGCAATCCTATTACGAGGAAGAGGTTCCACTTCATTCGCCTGATCAAAACCCTAACACTCTCGTTTACAATTCCAACTTAGAGGGGCTTAATTCACATCAACTGCCTCCACAATCTTATTCAGGAGGAGGAGGGGCTCTGCTTCATTCGCCTGACCAAAACCCTGGCCCATCCACTTACACTTCCAACCCTTACTTCTCCGCTTACACTTCCAATGTAGGGGCATTCGATCCCCATCAACTACCTTTACAATCTTATCCAGGAGGAGAAGGAATTCCAATTCAGGAGAATTCGGTCAACATCAATTTCCTTCACAACCTAATTCAGGGGAATACGATCAATATCAATTTCCTTCACAGTCTAATTCAGGGGAATTCGGTCAACATCAATTTGCTTCACAGCCTAATTCCGGAGGAGAACATACATCTGGGTTCTTTTCATCTACCACCGGATCCCTGAGGCCAGAATCCATCTCAGGGTTATCAATAGGGCGGTATCTGAGGCTCATCCACTGTTGTCAATATGCCATCTTGCATTCCGCTCAATATTCGCAAGATCAGAGGAATCTCGGGTCTCAACACTCAATATTCGTGTTCCCTCGCCCAGTGCATTTCTTAATTTCTTTATGATGGTTTTATGGAATAAATGAAAAGTTAGAAAATCCTTGAGTGGTACAGGAATCTGCTCTTTTTTTCTTCTTTTTTTTCCTGTTTCTTGTGTTTCGATGTTTTTTGATTGGATTGAATTTGTGTCTAAAGCGGGGGAGAATCTCAGGGGTGTATGGAAAAGTCAAAGTGGTAGAGGCGATGAGGACCGAGGAGCGATGGAAAATGGGGAAGTTCTTGAGATTTTGTGGTTACTAGGCATAAATTCATATCCATTTATCGTTCAACAAAATGCATTTCCTCGGAAATACTCATCGTTGTGATGTATGTGATGATATCTTGACGGTTTGGTTGAATTGCCTGATTTGTTGATGGAATGGTGTGACTTGATTGTTAGTAGGAGTCGAAATAATATGAGGGGTACCTTAAGTGTCATTCATACGTTCTCTTTAGAGTTAATCTGTAATTTCTCCTAGGGCTGATTTTCTTATGATAATCATAAGTCATCAAGTTCAAGCTGGCTTGGTGTTCTTCCTATGATATTTACTTGTATAGTCGCAAATACTCAGTTAAGAGTCAACATGGTTTTGCTTCTTGATATTACACATACTTCTCACTGTTTCTGTTAATTCATATTTTGAGGGTATTCGGGATGATTCGCGATTTTCGCACACATCATCAGTTTAATGATATTCACTTTTTGAACATTCACGAACCTCAATTCTGGAGTCATTTCAAAGTGTATTTTGTCGATTACACTTATAATTTCATGTTTCCCAGGCCATCCTTTCTAACTACATTCATGACTCTGTAGTTCGGGGTGAGTGTGTATCCAGTTCATCTATCTACAGTCATTGATTCTCATTTTGGAGTCAGTTGGTGTTTATTCTCGCACGTCATTCCTTATAATTCTAGTCATAATTCTCTATATTGGAGTCAAAATGTACTCATCATACTTATTTACTGTCAATAATCCTTATCATACCTTCAGTTTCTACTCATTCTCTCCATGAACAGTCAGAACCCCGTGTTTTAGAGCATATTCATACCTTAATACTCGAAATAATCATGAATAATCGTGCTTTGGCCTCGAAGACATGATTCAATTTTTGACTTCAAATGTGCTTAAAAGAGCCGCGACCCCCCCCCCCCCCCCCCTCTCTCTGGTCTACCTTCTTTTTCCTTTTGTTCTACATCTACAACAACATCTATTACATCTCCATAACTTGGAGTTTCGATACAGATTTTACATAGCCGACACAGTTTAACATCATGCACTCTACCATCAGAAGCATTCCACCCTCGACTCCCAATAAGATCTTACAAATACTTGATGCTGCACCTCAAACCCTACATCAACCACACCCATTGCTACCATACAAATATCATCATACTCCATCATCAATCACTTTCCACGCCCCACTTCAATACTAAAACACAACGCCTCTTACTCTGAGCTACCGAAACTCATTTCTACAAGACCATCCACAAATTCTTCAAACTTTCGACGTTGAATGAACCTAATATCCATAACCAACAACAACGAAGAAAACGAAAGTATCGCTTATTCAGAGCTCCGTTCTTCGTCAACATCCACTCATTTACCTTCTCAATACTTCAGCCTCTAACTACTCCAAAGGCTCAGGCTCTTGAAGTACGTCTTAATTACCATCATGGACGCTACTCCAATGTACTGGGACGATGACTTGGAAGTATTAGTGACCTTCCTTGCATATGGCTTACAAAAATTTGATCCTGTAGCCCAATCTGGAATGTACAAGCCGAATGCATGAACATTTATAGTAGGCTTGATGAATGCACTAGTTATAAGCGGGTCCAAAGGCATCGATAAGTTCCGAGCGCAAAGCGTGAAGTGGAGCTTAGAGACTGAAAAGTTTCGTGCGAAGATTAGGCTAGATGCGCCACGACCAGCCATGCCGAATGAATCCTGGCTTCCCAAAAATATCTTGAACATCATATTGGGACATTCGGCGCTAGATCCATACCAGTGGGGAGGGATTACAGTGAGAGGTATTGTGGAAGCCATTAGAGAATTACAAAGGCAATATCCTCGTGAGGGTATACAGTTACCAGGCTGTAGAGAACCTTGGAGTGAAGAGGACGGCGAAATACTTACAAAATATAACCAAGGAAAATTTTGGGAACATGGTAATTTTCGCGAAGTTGAAGCACAAGATGCAAGAAAACTAGCAGAAAGTCAGCGACAAGCTAGTAACTCTGAAGGCATCTCGTATTCTGCGAGAACCTATCAAGAGGGAGTTTACAATACTGGAACCCAACAGCAAGGGACCTATGAAAGTGGAGCTTACAATGCTGGAATTCAGCATCCGGGAGCTTATGCACAGGGAGCCTACAACACTGGAATCCAGCAGCCAGGCACTTATGAAAGCGGAGTCTACAATACTGGAGTCCAGCCAGGGACCTATGAAAGCTGCCCCTACAGTGCTGGGGTTCAGCATCCGCAAACCTATAATACTGGAACCCAGCAGCAAGGAACCTACAATACTGAAAACCAGCAGTCAGGAACCTACGGAGGGGGAGCCTACAATGCTGGAGCTCAGCATCCGGGAACTTACAATACTGGAGACCGGTATTGGGGGACCTAGGCAGAGGGACTCAACGCAGTGGAAGGGTCAAGAAATTAGTCGAAGTGATTATTCCGCTGCTGATCAGACATCCCAATTCTCGTCTCCTAGCGTTCTTCTGCAGTTTCCAACTGTCTCAATGCATTTCACACTCTCTGTGGAGTTTTAACATTGATTGTATGGCAAAGAAAATAAACTGGAGGTGTGGTTTAAACTTTAGAGTCTGGCGTTTTTAACAAAAAATGTGTTTCTTATGAGATAGCAATGGGCTATTCTGCTCATGTCTAGGGAGAAGGTGTTTTCTAGTTTTTCAACTGTGACATACTGCTAGTCGGTACTACTCTCAGAAATGTTTTATTGTGGTTGTTAATAAGCTGTGCCGGCCATAGCGAGAGAACAGGAAATTTACAGTTTTAAGAATTTTAGCATTCGAGGTTTAGGGAAATACCAAAAAGAAATCGTTGTCTTTTTACAAATAACTGACTTAAAGTGACATCCCCTTTTTCACGCCAAGATGTTTTGAAGATGTGGATTCTTCATAAAAGAACTAGGTGAAATTCTTGAGGCAAGTAGAAAATTCCTAGGCCTTGCCCGTGACTCTTTCCTTTTTCATTTGGTGTTGCGACTTCCGTTTAATCAAAATCTTTCCCTTTCTACTTTCCTGGGACTTGATATTTATGGAGATGATATATAGTGGAACTTTTAACACTTGAATATAACACTTCTGCTCATACATCTGTTATTCAACTAAGTCTAGCATATTCTTTTTAAAACATTATGAGGACAAGTGTTCCTTGGAGTGAAAAAGAAAAAGAGTTGTGTAGTTGGCTGATTGCGATGTTGATGTTAGGAGGACTTGAGTATTTAAGTGGTAAAGGTCGGATGGAAATATCAACATTGATGACAGAAATTCATCTCTCCGCCGGAATATATGAGAATTCTCACAGAATTCACAGTGCTAACTCGATAAGGAACCATAAAAACAAGTTTTTTAAGCCAGAATTTGAATTCCCAGGGGCGTCTATGCCAACAAGGCCTGACTGGCTTCCGATAGAGTTCCAATCGCTCGGAAACGACGGTTTCACCTGTGAAGATATTGAGAGATGTGTCAATTTTTTGCGTGATGCGTCGAATGCTGACGGGCCGTCGCAAGTTGAAGCAAATGCAAAGAGTAATTTGGACGTTGAAAAGTCTCCTCAGATTACGGAATCTACTTCTCCTCACCGAGCCGATGGGCCGACCCAGAAATCACAAGATACAACAAACCAACGAAGGAAGCCATCTAAGTCGTCACCATACGCCCGAACATCAAGTAATAGTGGTGTCGCCTTTGATTCCGCCCCGCCGGCTTCAGCCGCTGGGATTAAAAATCCGTTCAAGGGGGACCCTTCAACAATTTGTCTTCCGCCGTTAAGACAATTCGTGGATCAACATTCATCTTCCGTCGCATCCACAGGCTTGAGCCATACGTACATGAGCGACTACAGCAATCATGCCCAGCAGCCCCAGAGCACTTTTGAAAATAAAGAAACTGCTGCTCCAAATATCATACAGGAAAAAGCTGAAGGTGCTCTCGGAGACATAAACAGCAGTGTTTCTAAGGAAAACCCATCTTCCAGAATACCATCCCCGCCACCATCAAACTCCCAGAAAGTTGCACAGGATTAAAATCCTGCGACACAAGCGTACGGCTTCCAACCCGCCAATCCTTCAAATTCTTCTGGCGCAAGTCCGTCGTACACAAGCAGCTCTGATACTCTTCAAAATTTGACTTGCGCTTCCATCGAACAGTCCATCAATGCTCAGAACATTGCAAACAACTCTCCTTTAGCAACCAATGTTCTTCAAGCGAGTCCGAATTTTGCGGAATTAGGCAGCGAAAAATGCGTTTTAACTTCACCGTACAAACATCAAACATAATTCCTCCGGTGGACTACAATCTGGCTGGCGGGGATAGTTGATTCTTCAACTTTGTGTCGAAAAATGAGTACCTATCTTTTGAAATGCAGCGACTTTGAACTCCTATTAAAAGCATATCCAATATTGGATGGTTCGGGTTTGGGAACGGAAATTATTAGCGCTGTGAAAATTATATTACAATACTAGATGCCGTCCTCATCTTTGATACTATGTGAAATCATATGCAGTACTAGGCCGCTCGAAGCTTTAGAAGATTTCGGACCTCTCTTGGCCGTATCGCCTGATCGAAAATTTCCTCCATAGCGGCAAGCTTTTTATCTCGCTTGGATGATTTGTAAAAGGTCCAAAGTCGCTTGGGACGGCCTTTTCGTATTCATGTTGGTATTATTCTTGCTTTGGGCTGAAGTGTCTCTTTTCTGAGGACCAAGAGTTTTTGCAGTTGCACCTGCATCCATCATGCCGTAGAGGGGAGGGGCAAAGCCTGTAACACGGCCTGCATCGTAGTCTGCGCAATATACTGGGTGAGATACTATTTCGTTCGCTTGTTGCATTGCGATGAAGTCGGCAAGGGCGGTTGGAGTAGTCTCCACGTGGAGGACACATTAATGGTAACTGCTTCTGATCAAATGCTGGTACTAGCTTCAGCACCACCGATAACTACAAAGACTAGTACGCCGCTGATTTTTCTTGATTTTCCACCTGAACTATGGGTTGATGGAAAGAGAATGTATGGAGTTGAAGTCACGTGAAATTGAACTTCATTCCAGCCAACTTTGGAGGAGGATATGTGTAAAGCACGAGACGATGATGGCTTTGATGTAAGTTTGGTGGAGATATGGATACCTCAGCAAGATGCTAATGCTTTAGATCTTGTTGATGCATTGGCATCAAGGGAGAAGCTCGCATTAATAAGGCCAGGACAAGTAGGCAAGTATGAGTATATCATACTTCCCCTGCCTCTGCTATTTTATTGCATCGTGCTGCCATCGAAAATGCCATTTTGTTAAGTAGTTATGTATATCGGGTTGATATAAAGACAAATGCATTATCCATAATGCATGCCTATATATGTATGGATGGTGGCTCTCAGCATTAAGTTGTTTGCTGCTGCTCCGAAGATATTGATATCTCCACTTTTATTATTAATAAGCAACTTAGAATTAACCTAAATGAAAGCTCTTCATGTACCCCTCGCGTTCTTTCCCTTGTCTAATCTTTTAATCTTCTGTTCAAGCAAAAGATATCTCAATTCATTAATCCTTTGCACGGAGTACACGGAGTTAGGTTACATCTATCCATTTGGCTAGTGCTTCCCAATCGCGCGAAATAATTATAATACGGGCCAACAACTTTCGGGGATTTCGGGGAGGCGCGCATAGATCAAACGAACCCTTTGTGTAGCGAGCATGACTTCATCACTCGTGACCTATGGTGCTAAGATGTGCTGCAATTTAAAAGGCTAATTTATCATATCAAATGCTCTTCGCGATTTGATGTCGATGAAAAAACTAACATCTTCGTCGGCGCAATGTTGTGCGATGCGGTATCAATTCTCAAAAGGGCGAGCGGCTCAATGCTACGAGAAATGCCGAAGAAGCTATGCACGGCAAGTTACCTATGGCAAGGTTAGGCTTAGGGAATGTCAAGAGTGGATGAATTTGAATCACACTACCGGATTGCCTACCTCAAATCCGTGATGTTACTTCACTATTTTGCCGAGGCAAGCCTGGATAAAGAGCGAATGCAATTTTGGAGTCTGATTGCTGCTCTCAGAGTATTTGGGAAACACATCTCGGCAGTACATGAGATGTAAAATAACATTCGCTCTGTCGCGATTTCCCAGCTCTGCGACATATGGGGGATTTTATTTCCAGTCTTTAAATCTACTCGCTCTCATTTCACGCATCTGATTTCATTCACTGTCCGCCACTTTGGTTTCAATCTGCTTGAGCCTTTGGAGACTGCAGTATTTATCCAGCCGGTATCTGGGGTAGTCTCCACATATCCCCAGATATCTCTTGTAGCCAAGACGTCACTACCCCTGTGGTACAGCAGTATCAAATTTGTTCCGCAGGCTTTTTATCCCACGAATCGCTAAGCGCACCTTAAATCACGGGCCATTAAACTTTACTTTTTTGCCCAATATATATTAGACTTGTTGTTTGATCGTCGTGAGGATCCCTTTCCACGCACATCATTACTTCATTCGCTAAACGTGTTCCCCTATTCTGGAAGGTTGAATGCGCGGATGCTTTCATATGCATGTTCTTTTCTGCCCCTGTTGTCTCTACCACTTTTTCTATATAAGCGCATCAATGTTGAACAAGATGTGTTGCTGCCAAGAGCGGCTTCGAGGTACCCTGTTCAATTGATATGGGCTTGGCAAGAGATCACTCACCATCCTAAAGGTTCTCTTCAAGCAGAAAATAGATTTAGGATGCATGTATATGTGCTAAATATGTTCTTCCTGTTTTCCTTCAGTCCATCAAATGCCATGCCCTTTTCCATTCCGCTAATTCCCAAAATCAAATACCTAAGAATCTAAAAATTACGAGCTCAGAATGCATTTTAACCTTCAAGCGATTCTGCTTTCCGTGTCGTTGTTCGTGCCATCACTTGTTTCTGCCCAGCTAGCTTCCGGTTATCCTATAGGCCCTCTTACTTCTTCAGATTCGAAATGGGCGAAGAAGGTCTGTGATGTCACCAAGTATGGCGCAGTAGCCGATGGAAAGACAGATTTAGGTACTCCTCTTCTTGCAGCGTTTAACGCCTGTGCGAGTGGTGGTGTCGGTATGTTGATAGGCCTATGTTTGCTCTTGTATAATACTGAAGTATGAGTTAGTGAACATACCTCTTGGTAACTATGCTATGTCTACATGGGTAACGCTATCTGGCGGCAAGGCATGGGCTATAAACCTCGAGGGTGTCATATTCAGAACGGGGTGAGCTCTCTCGTAACATTGCATCTATTTCAATTTTCTGAGAACTTGGTTGCAGCACTGCAGGCGGACACATGATTGTCAGTAAGTTTAATCGCCAGTCATCCATACTTGTGGCATTTCCTAATCTCAACCTTAGTCGAAAACTCGACCGACTTCGAACTCTACAGTAGCAGGTCAAGCGGTGCCATTCAAGGTTATGGATACGTGTTTCACGCTCAGGGGACTTATGGGTAAGACAACATGACATATATGCTCTTCGAGAATATTGTTGACACTTAGGGAAGCCCTCGTCTTATTCGGCTCATCAATGTAGTCAGTTTTGCTATCCATGATATTGCTCTTGTCGATTGTAGGTTACCTTCAAATCTTTCTGCATACGATCGAATCCCAAAATACTCAACTCAGTCCCATGCATTAAAGACATTGTACCCAATAAAATCCTCCCAATACTTCTCCCCATTTGCATCTTTTATAACTGCTGAACATTTCATTAGCTCCAGCATTCCACCTCATTCTCGACACGGTACAAAATGGCGAAGTATACAATATGATCATCCGTGGTGGAAACGAGGGTGGATTAGACGGCATCGATGTTTGGGGTTTCAACGTCCATATTCATGATGTTGAGGTTACTAATAAGGACGAATGCGTTACTGTCAAGGTATGTTTTCTAGCCCTTACAATCCTCATCTGTAAAGTCTACTTCATCTACCAGCCTAGATCATTGCATCTCTTGATTGCCTAAAACCATTATTTACTACATGAAATTAACAGAACTTAGAATCCATCCAACCACATGCTCATCGAGAATATCCATTGTAATGTAAGTGGAGGATGTGCAATAGGTAGTCTGGGGTCGGATACTGCCATTTCGAAGATTACTTACAACAATATTTACACCTGGCAATCGAATCAGATGTTTATGATCAAGAGTAACGGTGGATCAGGTATGCATTCTGTCACTCACCATCATAATGCCATCACACTCTAATAAATTCCTCCAGGATCGGTATCCGATAGCGTATTCTCAAATTTCATAGGCCACAGCAACGCATACTCTCTCGATATTGACTCGTATTGGAAATCAACACCAGCAGACGGCAATGGTGTTTTATATACAGGTCTGACTTTCTCGAATTGGAAAGGAACCTGTGCAAATGGTGCTGCTAGAGCACCTATCCAAATTATTTGTCCAACAGGACAGCCTTGCGCGGGCTTGAGCATTACAAATTTTGCCATGTGGACAGATACAGGTAGTTACGAGATATATAAATGTGAAAATGCTTGGGGTGATGGAGGGTGCTTGGTTCACGGATCAGCGCATACAGCTTGTGAGTTTGCATGATGTTTTGATGTTATCATTTGCTAATAAATGCTATGTTAGATGCCATCGTGACACAAACAGTATCTTCAGCTCCTTCCGGCTACTCGGCTGCAAAAATGCCAAATGACCTCGCTGCTGGGTATGCGCTCACGGCTAGTATTCCTATTCCTACGATTCCCACCACTTTCTTCCCTGGACAAGTTCCGGCAACGAAGAGAGCGTACCCATAGTATTGGAGTGGAAAAGTGCCAAAAATGCATAATCATATAAACATCAGAAGTGTAAATAGTTGCTGAAAGAAAAATGATTGAAGAATTTTACTTTGCCCAATTCCTTTATCCTCAGGCATGTTGATGCTTCCATTTGATGATATAGTATTACCAAAGAATATCTGGAAATGTCCGTCTAGAAATAGCAACCGTATCGCGCATTTTTCGTGATAGAAATTTCATATTTCGTTCAACATGCGACTTTCAATGTTTTGACCATAACTCCAATCGCCATGACTCCATTATTTCTCGCAGTGCTTGCGTTATTTATGCAATGTTATCAACCTCCATTCCCTGGTTCTCCGCATTTGCTGCTGTCTCTGAGGTCTCTGGAGCATCTGAATTATACTTAGCATCAAAGCCCTCATCCCAATTGTGAATCAATAGTACTGACCAGTCATTTTGACTTCTCCTTCTTTCATGGCCTGCTTCAATGCTCTTTGACGTGCACAGTTTTGCGCCTTCTGCAACTTTCGAGCTTTCTTTCCGGATACAGGTGCTAAAGGTCCACTGGTAGGGAAGAGAACAGTACTGGCTCTGGTACCTCTTGGATTCTTAGTAATTTTGTTGATAGCATTCTTGCGTTGAGTCTTGGCTCGGTTTGCGATCTTGCGCTTCTTTTGGGGAACGTTGGGATTGCTTTTGGATGCCATTTTTTTGTACTTTGCGATTTTCTAAATGGTGGACTGGGCTGAAGGATGAAGTTCTTTATTTAGTATGGAGAATTGGGATAGGAAAATAATTATTCTGGAAAGCTCGGACTTGTTGCAGGATTAGGAATGGATTAATACTTTCACCGAATCCGATGCTTGCAGCTGCAGCTGCGCCACAAGTCAAAGCCAAGTTTACTACCTGAGTTCCCGAATTCATCATCATTGTCATTAGTTTTCCTGAATATATTCACATTCACATTTAAACTAATATTGCTGATACACCACCTTCTTTCTTTACTACGTGTGAAAATCCAAAGTTCTTTCGAATCGCGAATACTTATTTTATCTGTTTACTACTTGCAGTCCAATTTTACAAATACCCAAACATTATTGTCTTGTTTATTTGAATAATCCATCATCATGTCGTGGGCAGGTAAGGGGAATACATTTGCAAACAATAAGATCATGAAGAGGACTGAACTAATTATAACTATCAAAAGGCTTTAAGAAAAATGTCAACCGGGCTACCACTCAGGTTATGATGAAGACTGGTAAGTGAACAATCTTGAGAAAGGTGAACAAGTTTGAGGAACTTTCGGGGGATTCGGGTGTCGACATCATAGGAATATGATGTTATCCCAAGTTCCTTGCGATGTATTGGATTGTTCATCTTCAGGCAGCAGGCTAATCTTATTTCAAGGCCATGTTGAGAAGACGAATGATCGAGATTATGAAGTTGAGGAAAGGTTAGTTTCAACTTCTTTACACAACTGTAGCAATGGTCGAATACGGCGCCACGGTGGAAAAGAAGAACAATGCAATAAAATCGCTATTGGATGAGCTTTATGCGCGCGATCTGGAGCTGCGAATAAATTGGGAGAATGCGAGCTATTCCAGCGACTCAGAATCCGAAAGCGAAGAACAGTCAGATTATCAGAAGAATTTCGAAGATGGAGAAGAGGCCGTACTCGAGAACCAAATTTCATCGCCCTCTCCCTTTGACTGCATCCACACTATCTCTCTCTTCTCTCGGCTACCATCCATCAAGTCCATATTTGCACTCTGTCGCAACGCAGTCCGATATTTCGAGCGATTACCTTCCATCCACTCCGTCCTCACTTTCAAGATCGACCTTTTCGGGATCAGAATCAGAATCAGAAGGCCTTGAATGGGATTGTTATGTTACAATGTTTACGGCAGCTAGAACGGAGGAGCGAGAGAGAATTGTTGTTGACCAAGTTTCTAGACGTTATCGCACTATGGAAGCCGCTTCATTGAGATTACAAAAGGAGTCGAAAGGCTACTTGGATTCATTGCGAGGTAGGCGGAGTCATTGGTATTTTTATCGAAGGTGGACTAACAACAAATGCAGCAATGACCGCTTCACAAATGCGCATTGCTGAGACCATTGATGCTTTCTATGGTGATGCCGGTGCGAAAGATGGTGTTAGTCGTAGTTACAAGCAAGCTGTAGAGGATCTCGATGCCGAGACAATCAAAGCTCTGGATGGTCCATATCGGTAAGAATTTTAGAGTTCCCAGCGCAAAATGGATAAGGCTAACTTCATTAGTACTACCGTTTTGGAGCCCATCTCTAGATTCTGTGCCTACTTCCCTGATATTAATGAATGTATGCATACTTAACTGACCCATTTTGATTCCTGCTAAACAGTGTTCAGGTATCAAGAAGCGTAACCATAAGCTTCTAGATTATGATGCCATGCGCGCAAAAGTCAAGAAGCTCGTTGAGAAGCCAGATAAGGATGTTACCAAACTTCCTCGCGCTGAAAAGGAGACCGAGATGGCTAAGGCGGCTTACGAGCAACTTAATGATCAACTCTTCAACGAACTTCCCCAACTTATCGACCTTCGTGTTCCTTACCTTGACCCCAGTTTCGAAGCTTTAGTTAAGATCCAACTTCGCTTCTGTGCTGAAGCATATTCTAGAATGGCACAAGTACAGCAATATTTGGATGCTGATACAAGAGAACAATATGCGCAAGGTCATCTTGATAGCAGGGTTGAACAAGTTTTGCAAGAAATACGCGAATTAAGCATTAGTGGAACAGTTTGAGTAGTGGGTACTTCATGAGACTTGATATCAGGAATGCTATCTGCATGGTAGTTCATGAAGATATGAATGGTGTTACATGGATAAGAGTTAGGGTTTTAAATGCCAAACGTTGTCAATTGACTTCGATACCAAAGGAAGGCGTTTGGGAAAGTTGTATACCATTGCCAGACCTAATTATAAAGGACTGAACATGTATTCATCTAGGATTTTTTTTATAGAAACTATAATTCTATCTTGCTGTTTGCGAGATTATAGCCACTAATTTGGGTCATCTGTATGTTGCCTATGATATGATATTTGACGCGCAATAGCGTCATAAAGGTTTGGCTAGATGTCAAGGAACGACTCGTCAAATAGAATAGCTATTGGCAGTGTGGCAAGCTATCATTTCATGAAATATCACCTCATGACAATTGAAGTATGTTGCGTGAATTCATTTTACAAATACCCTATTCTCGATATCGACGTTTAGTTTGCTCCTTCTCAGACATATATATGTGTGTGTGTGCAAACATGCATCCACCACTCCTCTTCCAAAAGATTTCGCAAAACTACTTCCATTCAATCTCAACTATTAATACCTAATATTAACAAAAGTTGGACTGTAATTGTAGATTTAGGTAGGTAAGATTACCTAGGATTAGGATTAGATGGAAGGAGTGAGGAGGGAGAGTGAGAGAGGGGGAGAGAGAGATAAGATGGTAATCTTATAATATCGATGTGAGGATAGGTACCTTGGGTTGGGGATTAGATCATATTATATCTTGTTTTATTTTTATTTTTTCGGATTCTGTTAATGTAAGGTTAACACTTTATCATTTTCCTCTCTTCTAACTATAACAAGTATTATAGGTCATCAAAGTAAAGTATATTCTATTATTGAAAAGAAGAAACTCGTCACTGAAAATTATTATCCTGTTAGGAAAGGGATGAGATGAAATATGATGAGGTGAGATGAGATTTGTTAAGTAAGGTTAATTTATCAATGATGTTTAAGGTATAGAAGGTATTACGAAGTGAGCGATTGGAAGTGAAATAAGGTTACTAGGTAGGTAATTAAATGAAAATATGATCGATGATATAGTTCCAGGGCTAACAAGGCGATGGACGGCTCGGCTTCATACCATGCAGACTACTATTATACTTAAACTTGTATCTATATGCACGCTGATTAATACTGCGTATTCAAGCGGGACATAGTGTACGGAGTAGACGATTCGTTGGATATTAGATGAATGGGGTGGTGAAAGGGATGAATTGGTGATATGTATGTGACTTATCATGGGCTTGCGAATTCGTATACTGTGGTTTTATATACTATATGCGAATTCTTTAGATGCTTCATAGACAGGGAAAGATGAAACTGAATGGTGAATATATCATAACAGTTGAAATGAGGGTTTGAATTAATTACAACTATAATTTGGCTTGTAATCGAGCGGGCGATTGTTCTTAGAACGATCAACTTCGAATGGAAGGAAAAGAAGAAGAATAATAGTAACATAAATAGCAGACCGAAAAGATACTCACCAAAACCTCAATCGACCAATCATTCCAAAGTAAGAATCCCAAATCATTTCATAGCCCTCAAGGGTCAAGACTAATTCTTCTTTTCGTAAAACTTGTATATTTCCAAGGTCGATTTGATATTTGATAGGATATCTATCTATACGCAATGTTAACGTTCGTTAAACGTTGTCGCAACTGTGTAACCGTGACATTCATTACAAGCGCGGCTCAAACACGCGCTTCCTGCAACGACCTATCTACCTACTTCCACTTCCTAGCTTTCAATCTGGGAATCAGAGGGAATTGCTGAAATATTACCTACTAACATATACCCTTGGAGCTAAAATATTAAACGATAGACGATCTAAGATCTTACATATAGTTACCACATTGCAAGCAACTATACGGTTTAAATAAAGCCGATGCATGAGGTCATCTCATCTCGATATCCCAAGCTCTTTATAAGGTAACAGTCACAGTTGAACAATTCCATACACTACAAACTCATCTCCCCAAAATCCTTATAAGTACAATATATCCGTATTTTCCGAACTAAAATCCAAAAATAAACCTACCTCAAGATATCTAACCTTATCTACATGCTCAAATACCTGTATTACAACATACAAAACACCCTTAAACACATACATATACACATAAGACTTACATATATAATATCGATGCCTAAATACCCAGGTACCGTTACACCAATTAGGTACTCATATTCTGTCAGAACCTTATTCGCGCGAGGGAGAGTTATGCATCGGCTTGAAAGTCTTGGAAGTCTTGGATTATTTGGTGGCGTGTTTTTTATGATAGGTCGGATATTTGTATAGGAGCTGAAAAGTTTGGAGGGTGTTGTTGTACAGGATTTAAGGGTTGGGACGATGGGATATAGATAGATGGGATTTTGGACTGTGTGATCCATGTGGTGATGTATAGATAGATGTATATGTTAGAATGGCTAATTATATGAAGCTTTAATCTTGAGATAAAAGATTGAAAGAGCGTAAACCGTACAACCCGTGCAAACAGTCAAAAAGTGCCAAGGTTGGGGGAATCAGTCAAACCTGCGGTCACACCCAAATAACATCAGTCACAGGACATGAATGAAACGAAACCCAGAATGTAGAAGATAGGAAATCAACCACACAATGACACATCTCAAACCTTAAAAATACACTTCCCGCATAAGGATCCAAACAATTTAAACTCGCAAATCAATTCATTGCGAACCCTGAAGTGATCACCAAAAGTGGAAGGGTAAATATGCTTGTCGCTCGTGAGGCTGAAAATGCCATGCCCTTGGCCATCCCACCTTCCCACCTTCCCACCGAATCAGGAGATGGCAGGCACGAAGGGATACTTGTATTTTCACCTGGACTTTCGACCTTTAAATATGAGTTCTGCGTTTACTTTTTCGCTTTCTGTATTTTTTTCTCTCTCTTTCGTGTATTGATATCGATATCGATATTCATATCCATATATTTTAAATTCTAGAGTGATACATACATACATACGACGAGAGACTCCGGATTGATTGAGCAAATCAAGAAGCTTTAATGATGGCTATCGCTGATAAAACTCATGTTCCTGGTGGGAAGACCCCGTTACTTGGTCTTCGTATTGCTCAATTAGTGCTTGCTATTATTATACTTGGTCTTTCGGCTTATGGAGTTTATTGGCTTGTGTTTGATGGAGATGCACTCACATTAGCCTCGGTAAGGCATATTCATTTTCTATCCTTTCAAACTAAAAACTAATATCATATGTTCCTCAGTCCGTTATCTCAATCGTCATCTGTGTCTATGTGATAGTAGCCAACACCGGAGCACCTGCCATATATAACTACTGGGCGGTACTCGGTCTCGATATAATTGCTGTGATACTTTGGGTCGTATCATTCCCTGTCCTTGCATCACAAATTGCAACTGCTGTCACCTACTACGACTACGATGACTATAGTTGTGGTTACTATTATTATTATTCTTGCTCTTATAAGCATAAACGTGGATTAGGTGTCGAAAAGCGTGCAGAGACTACCTGGGAGACTTACAAGGGAATAATGATCGCAACAGCTGCATTGGCGGGTATTCAGTTGTAAGTGTGAAAGTCACTGATTTATGACTTCTTGCTAATTTTATGCAGTGTACTTTTCGCAATTACTCTCATCATTCTCGCCATCAATATTCATCGTCACCGTAATGCTGGAGGTCATTGCGTACCAGGTTCTACAGCTCCTAGACAAAATGAGGTTGAACCAAAAACACAACCCAATACCACGGCGACTGTGGAGCAAAGCCAACCCGAGGTTTATAACCCACCAATCTCTCACACTCACTAAGTGTATTCGCAAGGCTGGTATATTAGGGTGAAGACAAAGGGAAGGATTTGAAGGTACAGGAGACAATGCATTACTGTGGAATATGGAGTCCTGGTTAGAGTGTTCGAGGATACCCGGATGTTTTCTTCGTGTGTATAATGTTATGGACGATTATGAATAATAAGACTGTATGAGAGGAAAGCGCTGAAACTTGTATGCAGCTTTCAATATAATATGGTTCCCATGCCCATCTTTGTACACAAAACCATTCGCGTGAGGTGTACTACTATAGATCGCAAGTTTGAAGGAGCAAGACAATTGATCTGTATCTTTCCTTTCATAATAAACATCTCATTCCCATCTCATAGTAGGACTATGAAGTATCTTGAATCTTCATCATTTACTAGGTGGAAAAACCACGTTTTATCCCCGCACAAAAGAAGCACAAGAAATCTATTCTTAGTCTCCCACGATTCAAAGACGTTATCAACACTAATACCACTAGGTACCTCAATAAATAACCTAACATCATACTACCATTTCCTATCTCTTACTACAGAAAAATGGCATTCGCTAGTATACAGAAAATTTGATATACACCACTTAATTAGTAGATGGAAAATGCAAACGAATGATAAATGGGTAGCTACGATTAGATCGTGACGGACTGCGCCTTAGGGAAGTTCGGTGATGACTCAATCAGTTCTGAATCCTAGATCTAGAATTTAGGTAAGATCTTACCAGTTACCTACTCAAGGCTAAAATGCACCGGTGAATGTATAGTAATAAACTAGAATAGAATCGAAAGTACTAATTTTTTTTTAAAATCTGGTATATAATCATCTTCCCCCTCGATAAAATCCCAAAAGAGTGTGTGTTGGATCAAACTAATAATTTCAAAAAGTTACGATTTTCGGCAGAGAAATAATAGAATTGATTACATTTGAAAGATTCCAGCACCGCTATCGCTAACACATACCACCAAAAGAAAAAGACGAACCCACCCTTGTAAAAATGACGCAGCAAAATCGCGTCCGTTGCGCGCAAAAAAACTCAAGGTTAACCTTACCGGCGACCGAGGAGCCAAAAAAAGATTTAGATAATTATATACTCCTACAAGTACGAGCACAACTACAACCACCACGTCAAACAACACTACAATTTTCAAAACAATCGGGATTACTTACACCACCATCCTCATTATCATCTTCACGCTCCTCATCTCCCACTTCTAAAACATCAACTCGTAAACAACGACGGCAAGCGCTTCTGGCACAATCTCTCGCTCTGGAACTCTCTGCCTCCGTCATCCCTAACTCTAACTCAAACTCCAAAAACAAAAACAAAAACAAAAACAATGACCCCAGCGAAAACCCACCCAACATCCACATAACCCACAATAACCTCTCCAACCTCACCCTCAACCTCACCCTCACAAACCCACCCACCATGCCCCCCTCCACCCGTCTCCTCATCTGCTCCATTGGCAACCCCGCCCCCTACACCAACACACTCCACTCCGCCGGACACACAATCCTCACGCTCCTATCCTCTACGCTCTCGCAACCCAACTTCATCAAATCCCGCAGTCACGGCAACGGTCTCCTATCCCCCGGGCCCATCTACACACTCTGGAAATCGAGCTCCTTGATGAACATATCGGGAACTGGGGTAAATGCCGCCTGGACGACATTTCTACGAGAATCCGCATCTTCCGCTGCTGCGGAATGCAAACTCGTGGTTATTCATGATGAGATGGAACTTGCGCCTGGGAAGATTAATGTTAAGCCCGGGAGTAATAGTCCAAAGGGTCATAATGGGTTGAAGAGTATTCGCGATTCGTTGCGTGGACAGCCGTATACGCGCATTGGGATTGGGATTGGGAGGCCGGAGAGTAGGGATCCCCGGGTTGTGGCGGGGTATGTGTTGAGAAAGATGAGTGCTGAGGAGAAGAGGAAGATTGAGGGGTGTGTTGGGAAGGTGGTGGAGGAGTTGGCAAGGTTGAGTGGAGAGTAGGAAGGGAGGAATATTTTTGGAGTATATTATATGGGACGATTAAGATGGGATGATCGAATTTTATTGGTACAACATTTCATGACATGGGACATTTGGCATTTGGACACAAAATATGGGACGGAATTGGGTTGGTTGCACTGAAGATCTTATCCATTGGATTTTGTACAATTCTTGTAACAAAAGAGACGCCCGCTGATGCATATGATACCCCCAATAGACTAGACAGAAAAAAAGGAAACAGGCAAGCAATCTCCCCGGCGTTTTAATTTACCATTCACAAAATAAATAGACAAATGAAACTAATTAAGCTACTCGAGCCTCATTGTTCTTTCCTAAAGTGCTCGGGCTCTCCGGCGATTCATCATCACTCATCAACCCCTCTAATTCAAACTCTTCCGCATCACGAATCTGCCTTGAATCTGTGTGAGTGTGTCCATTCATACGTGGGATCCTGGCTGGAACTCCTTCCCCATCCTTTGGTGGTACCGCGGGCGCGCTGCTGTTGACTGCATAGATATGAACCAATACGTTGGTTAATAAGAAAATGAGGAAGGCGAAACTGTATAGCACAAGTACGTAGGATACGTGAGTGATTCCTGCATCCGAGATGAGTCTCATTTGTTCCTCGGTAGCTCCCATGAACAAGAAACCTGATGCGTAGAGTAACTGTAATTATTAGCCATATTCATTGGATCCTGAAAAGAAGAGCTTACAAATGGTGGGACATATTGAAAGCTGTTAACATCACCATCCTCAGAGAGTGTAGCCTTGTCTCTCAAGAGAAATCCGATTTCAATAATTCTCGAAAGTCCAGCAGCCATCAAAGTATATCCAAAAACGCTGTGAACCATCGTACTGAGTGGAAGATGTTGTGGGTGACCCGACATAGCCCATCCGGTGATGAGGATGACAAATCCAGGAATAAAATTTCTCTTTGGGGAACCATCTCTCTTTCTGCTCAACCAAATTCCTGCCAAACCAGCAGCCCACCAGATGACTCCCATAGTAGTGTGTTGAATATCATTTGCAACCCAAGCACCACCCCATCTATGTTCGGTGAAAGTGTTGACACAACCCCAAGCTGCAATAACTGCCGAATCGAAGAATTCTTGGGATCGTCCGGTTTTTCTCAACCAAACTTGTCCGACGAGCATGACAATCGTGAGCAGAATACCATAACCGATAAATGCACTGCCCATGATGAAGTGTGCAAGACATTGGCCAAGATGATCATCACGGCAGAAACCCAAAGCTGCAATACCACCGAAAAGCATTTGTACCCAAGCTACGACTGGCATCGCCTTTCCAACAATTCCATGACCATGAACCGCAACTTTTCGAATCTTTCCGTGAAAACCTTTGGTGATGTGAAACTTAAGATAAATGCCGAAAACGACCTGAACGGCAAGCATAAGCATCAGGATATTGGCGAAAGCTGAATGAACGTTCTTTGCAAAAACTCGTCCTCCGTGAAGATGGCCCAAGAAGTATCCCACCACTGCGATAACTGTTCCTAATATTTGGACGGGAACATGCCATCTATTTCGAACAATCTATGACCTTATTAGCATACCGCAATAATTCATTTCACTTTCTGTCCCCTACTCCAAGAACCATTCCGGTCGGAAAGATAATGCCAAAGGCCAACATCTGCAGTAAAATATGAACCCATAATGTCGAATCCTACATCATCGTAATTATTAGCATTCGCTGATTCATCCTCTGATATTTGACGATGAACATACGATAGGTTCTACGCTCATAGCATCTCCATCTTGGATTTTCGACATATCTCCACCGTGTGCGTTCGTTCCTTTTGCAAAGAAGGCGATTCCAGAAGCGGCCATGAAGGCCAGACGACCACCATTCATGGTGAACATATTTGCAACAGCGTTAATGACCAACGGGCGGGCCCCTGTATTGTCTGAGTCTATAGAATTGTGGCAAGACGAGCAAGATTTCTATTGCAATGATGGTTTCGAGACGCGCTGTTTAGGTCCGAGAGTAGGAAAAGACGTGGCTGTTATCCCAAGGACAATGAAGTGTTGAGATGATAGGTGGCAGTCAAATCATGCGATGAAAATGAAAGAAAAATATTATGAAAAGGAGGTAATAAGATTGAGTTTCTTTCTACTCGTATCATATGTAGATGGAATCCGAGATATAATAATCAAGTACCTATGGAGTACTTTGTTTCTAATTCAGCGATATTAAATTGAGGCTTCGTAACCAATTCGAATCTCGCTGATCATGCGATAAATTTGATTGGTGCGGATGCTCCGGCTGATTTGGCACATATCACGTGTTATTATTGCACCGCCACAGTTCAGAGATTGAAAATACTAACATAGTTTTTGACCTTCCCCTTTAGTGCAGCGTTACCATTTCTCGTTTATATATGCACATCGTACTTTGTCATCACGCATGAAAACATGCGATAGCACTACCGCGGTATCCGAGTCATCCTGTCATCATAGGTGCAACTATCTAACGGGGCTTTTATAATATCCGTATACTAAATATATATGCATATGGCAAGGAAGCTTATATAATGTTTAACAGGGCGGCATGTTATTCTGCGGATTCTGTAGTCCTCCGTGTCCAGCTCATATTGACGATGAGCCTACCTTGTAGCTAGCAACAGCAACATAAGCTATGTATTCTAGCTGCGCTCTTCCTCCGTCCAGCAATTCTATGTTGTCTGTCTTTCTCAAATTCTCCTTGATGGCTTCAATGGTCTTGTCACAGTATCATGTCTGGCTTGGTCCAGCCAGCTTCTGTATCTTCCCCATTGAAACTTCAGGGCATCGGAATAGAGTGTATGACCTTAGTCCTTGTACACTTCTTTCACCAAGATGGTCTTGTCCTTCTCGGAGTCTCCCTACTCCAGCACACTACACATGAGAGCAGCTGTTGCACATTCTTGCATACCATCGCTCGGTAAATAAATTTAGGGGGTTCGAATGTTTTAGTTGCTGGATATGCTCCATATTTGAGACAGGTACAGGAAGTGACTATTGGAGTTCCGATGGCTTAAGTGCTCAGCACATCTCCTTCAAAACCCTATGTAGTCGTTAGGAAGTAGTAAAAGGAAAGCATTGCTGATGGGCCGAGAGAGATTGGCTGCCAATGCAAGTTTGGGAATCCAGCTGCATACCCTCGGCAGGCCAAGAGCCAGTGCCAGCCTGGCTCTCGTAAGCCTCTGTAGCTTTATTGTTGACACCAGTTCTTTTGATCGATATTTGCACTGATCCGACGGAAATGTCATATATGGCAGCAGCGGCTGCGACACCACTTTTGAGCCATTGTTACCTTCAAGTTCAGGACTGTTCTCTGACGGGGCTCACAAAACCTTATTGAGCAAATGGAATTTCCCCTGCTTACTAACAATAGCACAGGACAACGGTAACAGTAACCCGAGAGAGACTTATATCTGGTTCCCTATGGCATAAACCTACATCCTCTTGGCTCCGAAAACTAAATTAGCCACAAGCTGTATGTCGCTCGAAAAAGAACCCATGTTCTCCGCGGTCTATTACAGCAAAATAATCGTGTTACTAGTATGAAATCGGCCGATTATATAGGTTGCAATATGAAGCGAGCGTTCTCAACGTCAGTTCCTTTCACCCCATAGTAGTCAAGGTTGCTAGCCGCCACCACACTCAACCGATTCTTTCATTAGATATGCATGCCGATTTTCACGGCGTTTAGGATCCGGGCAAAGGACAGGTGAGTGGAGGGCTGACATAAGGGGTTGTGTTAGCACCAACCCCTTCAAGAGAGCTTCTGAATTATGAGAATTTCCCGAATGAGTCTGGGTTGACGGTTGGTATTACTAGTAGTGTCTCGGACTAAGCTCGCATATATTATGGCTTACAATTTGCATCTTGCCTCCCTGTCTTGCCAAATCTGGATTACTATTTTATAGGCCTGTTGCAGAATCGCCGTTTTTCCCTCGACGTTCACGGGTTCTTCATGATGAAGAATTGGAGCAAGGCCTCACTTCAAGCAGATTGGTTCCCCTCACAGACAAATATTCTGCATAAAGGTGTAAAGTCATGCATCGCCGAACGCTGCTTATTATCGACCATATTTTCCGCCTCGCTCAACAGGATCCATGCCCGGGCTTGACCACGCAGTGAGCCTATGCACGATACGTTTGTAGTCTCCCTGCTGCTATCAGCGTGAGGTACTGATTCATAAGATCATAACTATTCTGCAAGGCGATCAGCTAAGAGCTGCTGATGTCTAGGACCTTGAATGTTGTGCTAGGTAGCGGGGTCGAGGGGAACCGCATAGAAGCATGCCGCATCCGCAAAGGAGTACCCGTATGCTCTTGCTGGTTGCAGGCTGCAAAAATTCATGAAACAAAACCCAAATGTGCAAGTAAAACTTATCAGTTACAGGATCTAACCAATCAAAGCACTACCAGGAAGATGAATATTATCTGTACCTAGGTATTATACGTTGCTTTCTCTCCCAGTAAATTCCCACAATTCTCAGCTTAACATTCCCAACCAACAAGATTTCTTCCGCAAGCAATAATATGAGAAATCCATGACAACTTATTGTAGAATTCACTTTCAAAGATCGCTCCTATTGTCAAACACACAATAGGAACAAATCGCTAGCTTATCAGCACCCAGATATTCTCAAAGCCATAAAATTTCCAACCTCCTCACCCTCAACCCATTCTCACACACCATCTCACAAATAATCAACCTCCTCCATAACCATCTAGTATCCAAAATCAAAACTTTACAAAATCAACAAGCTAAAACCGCAAGGTAAGATAAAAAGATTCCCATTTCCATGAACAGAATTCTAATAACGCGATATAAGATCAACCACCCAATTCCTCCTTACGATCTAGCTACCAACAACATGCATGAATCTACTCCTACTCCTACAATTACAACCGCGCCGGTCACCAGCTCGAATACGGTGCCCTCTACGATTTCAGCAAGCGTCAATAATGCCCCCGGCAACAGAGCTTGTAATATTATGTGAAGTTATGGGTGGAAGGCGGGTGGAAATGGTGATGGCATGGCATGACATAGGTACTTTGGGAGAGTGATGGTTTGTGGGTGACGGAACGGTAGATATAGTTTTGGTATGCTATCAACACCGTGGATGCTTTTTCAGGCCAACCTTACGGCAGGATGGATGGTGGATAGATGGGAAGGATACACTACCTACACATTGTGCGATGAAGTTTTTACAAATCTAGTACAGTGATAGAATATCTCTGCAATCACCATCAAGTTTCTCACTGGATAAATTCTATCTCCAATGATAACCTGATACAAAATACATCGTTGTTTACAGATGTGCTGCGGGAAAATGCGGTTAACATCCAACTTCTTAACCTAAAAGTAAAATTATCACAACCTCCTCTAGTACATACAAAAAATAAACATTTTCACTTATGTGATCAGATTGCAGTATGTATATTTTAACATTGTAGAATTATCAAGTGAAAATTAATGTAAAAGGATGATCCAAAAGTGGGTGGGGTACTAGACATGCATGAATGCATAGCGGGATAGGAGAAATTAGAAACAATTTGATGAAGGGATTTTAGATGTCAGTCCATGCAGTCTTAAGGATAGAATGTAAAATAGCGAAGGTGGAAGCATCGTTATTCGTGTCAAAAATTTAATAACTGCCCTTATCAGATAGTATTCATCAAAACCCATTCAGATCCTCTTTTGACATATGTACAGTAAATATTCGCCATACAATCCGACTTGATTTCGATAAATTTGTTTTGATCTCCACGAGACACCGCCCTGCCAAGATCTGTGAAGACCTGCGCACAATCCTCCTCTAAGTGTGAGTCGATCTCCAACACCCAGCGTATGAAGGCAGCCAATTGCTCTTCAAGACGACCCCTGACTTCGCTATGAGGTTCGGCGAACCGAACTTTGAAAATTTGATGATCCGCGCAGGATTTATCTACGGGGCATAGTTAGCAGTGCTTGAGAAATCTTGAGAAAAAGAAGTACAAAAAGAATCGCTCACTAGAATGAACAACAGTGGGACTAGTAATATCCTTAAGGATACCTGATGGCGTAGTGTCGGAAGATATCTTGCTGTATTTGCGCTTCAGCTCTGTGTGCGGTTTCTCTCCGCTTTCGGTATCCACAAGGCTTTGATCGCGATCAGAGGAAGGTAGATTGTTGCTAGAGACTCCACCAGATTCACAGAGGCGATCACTATCCTTATCTTTAGGATGTTAGCACTAATCGCTCACTATTGGGTCAATTGCTGAATCACCTTTACGTTCCATTCCAGCACCCTGACCTTTTGCCGGGTTCACCCGTTTCCCCTTTCTCACAGACAGATTGAAACTCGCCCACTCATCGCATACCATACCATGTTTATATACGCTCTGAGTCGTAAAGTCACTTGTAAAGGTTCCCCTACGAATTTGATCGATCCTTTTCCAAATATTCGCAAGAAGCGATTTTTCGAGTGATGTATATACCCAAAATTGCTTAGCCTGGGAAAGGGACTGCATATTGACCAGTAGTTGAGAGACATTGTCCGATACAGGGGTAAACGGATGCTCCCCAACAGGGGGCATGAACACTCTGCCATGATCGTGGAGCTCAAAGCATATGCGGGAAACAGAGGCATGATCAGAACATATGCCAGCCTCTCGTATGACAGCGCTAGTGCTACGAGAATAACCAGCGTATGGATTCTCCAAGGCGAGGCATGTATCATCTTGGTCGAAATCAAGCGAACTAGCTTGGATAACGAAGTGGAGCAACTTTGTACGTATCGTAGCGGATTCGGGGCTCGCTGTAACCCCAACTGTTACGCTGAACCAAAACAGCAACTTCGGACTTGACTGCGTGCCGAGGTCTATATTCATTCGGAGATGTTGCATTGGCATGCCAATATAGTTGTATGGTTGAGTGTCGCCCCATCTAATAACTACGGGTACATCTGTACAGCCGAACGTCGGAGAAGACATGGCGGTCTATGTATTCAAGATAGGACACCTGAAAAGACGACTATTAGCGCCATTCTGATGGGTAATAAGATAATGCCGGTAGATGACATTTGACCATCCGACAAGAGGTGATACCTGAACAGCCTACGAGAGGTGCTTACTGGCCATCCTACGAGAGGTTGATACTGACCATCCTACAAGAGGTTGATACTGACCATCCTACAAGAGGTTGATACTGACCATCCTACAAGAGGTTGCTACTGACTATCCTACAGGAGGTTGCTACTAACTATCCTACAGGAGGTTGCTACTGGCCATCCTACAGGAGGTTGCTACTGGCCATCCTACAAGAGGTTGGCACGGAACATCCTACACGAGGTTGGCACGGAACATCCTACACGAGGTTGGCACGGAGCATCCTACACGAGGTTGGCACGGAACATCCTACGGGAGGTTGGTACGGAACATCCTACGGGAGGTTGGTACGGAACATCCTACGGGAGGTTGGTACGGAACATCCTACACGAGGTTAATACCGAACATCCTACACGAGGTTAATACCGAACATCCTGCAAGAGGGGATTCAAGATCCGCCTACTACAGGTGCTGAAAGACGTACCACCACTACGGTTGCTCTAAATAGTAGATACTGTAAAATACAACTCGATTGTAACACTAGAGGAGCGATTTTGATGGAAAGGTCGTACTTAGGGGTAGAAGATGTTGTACGATAGAAATAGATGATACGGGGATGGCGATGGAAAGATTGTGTTTGTATAGTCGTGATAGATGTTGTGCGATAGAAAGATTGTGGTTGATGTTATGAGAGAGATATGGAGATAATGATCGAAAGGAAACGAATGCTGACGTGGCATGGAAAAGGTTTTAATGTCGCGTTCTCACGTGACTAAAACAAGCGATAGGCTCCGCGCTGGTTCAGTAATTAATTGTTAAATTACGGAGACACGTTCCGAGTGCCAAAAACCCCCTGGGGTAGTAATATTGATTAAGGTGTGGAGCGCTTAGCCACTTGTTCAGCTCGAATCATTGTACTGGATTTCCAAAGCCGGATAAACCGGAAGAATGGCTCGAATCGCCCAGCACAATAAATATGAATGCGATTGACAGGATAAGAAAAAGCTTCTGAATAGTATTTATACAAGGCAGGGTGGGTTTTACATTTTATCAACCTGCTCTACGGGTATACGAAGGAGATCTGTAGTCTCGTGCTTGTTTTGCCGGTCTAGCTCAGCGATTCAAATGTTTAATAAAGAAAGTTTCCGCTGCCAAAATGAAAATTTCTATATCTGATAATGTGGAATTGAGGAAATCAAGGTACATATGGATTGTGGTTTAAAAGGAAGGGATACGGATATGCCAAGCAAATTTGGAGCCCAGCCATATTGAAGCGAGTATGGGGAAGTGGGTGGGGTCTATCAAATATCAGATCAGATGGGGTTCATTTAGATATAACAGCTTCTTACCTGGCTCTGCACCAAGTTGTGTTGATTGTTCTTCAGTTGATTGTAGATTATCTAGTACTCCGTACAATGGCGACCTGATTCTGATCGTCAAGTACAGGGTCTTGTGGTATCCTAGCGTCGCACCACTCTTAGCTACCTAAGGAATATATATATATATATATATATATATATACTAGGTATGAATATGAATTAGATATCAAGAAGCAAGTTCATCAAATCTCATGTGCGACAGATGTGTAGGAGTGGTAAGTAAGTGACACTTGTAAGTTAATACCAAAGCACTACTGTGGAAATACGGCGCCTATTTATCTACAAATAGTAGGAATTTTATTTAAATAGTCAAATGAATTTCAAATCACACTCTCGCCCACGGCCAGATAACACAGCTCAATTCAAGAGGATTGAAAGATGGGGAGATATGCAATTAAGCAAAAAGCTATGTGTAACGCCATGTGGGTACATATCCATGCCAACGCCTATGCTAATAACGCTTTATTCCCAGTGTTCAAGCCCCGAGGTACCATTCCTCTCCAGCAAATATCCTCATTATTTCTTCACTGTACCTACAGTCTAGCCGTTTCTGCATGCCTTTACAGAATGCCAGTGAGCCTGAGCTTCTTCCTTACGCCCAAATTGCAAAATTTACTGTTTGTTATTTCGTCAAGCATTTGTGCGCTCCTTCGTTCTCTTTTATCAACCACTCAACCCATCCAATCATCGTTCATCGTGTGACGAAGATCATTCACGGGTCATGGTTCACCGAGGAGTCTCGCTGTGATGTCACCCATATAAGCTTCCTCTAATTCGTAGTCCTCTCCGTTATTGTGGTCGATATGGACGTAGTTGAAGGCTTCCACAACCTTTTCAATGTCAAAGCCCATGGATACGAAACGATCGACGAGAGCTTTGTTGTATCCTTGATATCTGTTGTAGTTTTTTGTTAGCCTATCATTTTACAATAATCATACCAGAGAAAATAGCTGAAGGAAAAGCGGCGTACTTCAACATTTCCTGTCGCGCCTTCTCTTCCTTTGATTGATGCAATACCGGTGCTGAGTATGAAGGGCTAGAAGCGGCGGTTTGAGACCATTTTGTGACTGGAGGAGCACCGGCATGATGAATTGCCCAGTCGCGTGCTTTTTGTCGAAATCGCTCCGGATGGGCAAGGTACATGTTGGCTACTTCTGCATCTTGAGGATCCTTTGGCTCGGGTGTGCTAAGGAGGGATTGGAGGGACAGGAGTGCTGACTTGATCGTCAAAACAGGAGACCAGGCCGAGCCCAAGGTATCAAGGCAGATAGCACCCTATTCAAACGTCAATATTCCTTTCTCTGACCTACAAAGTGAAACCTACAGTCTGACTGCTGATATTCGGATGCCACAGTTTAGTTACGAAACTCATCTGCGGAGGACGGAATGGGTATTCGTTGGGAATCTTGATATCAACAAGATATGTGCCTCCTTCATATGGTGTATCCGGTGGACCTGGAAAGGAAGCTCGAAGGCTGGTTAAGTCGCTGTCACTACCATCCCTTGATTGGCAAAAAATTTGAGACTCGGGATCGTTTGCAATATCGTTGAGCTCTTTGGCAATGCGACGAACTCGGTTCGAAGACATATTTGTAGTGTTATGTTAGATGTGGATAGAGGTTCGAGTTTCGAGATTGGAGGTTGGAGTCTACTCTTTACTTGAGATTCGAGGGTAATGTCTTAAGTTGACTCGGCAATTTTGTTACTGCACTGTATGATTCTGATATTCCTCTGGCTGGTGAGTTGCTATTACCCTCAAGCTATTTCAAAGTCAGATTAAGAACAAAAGCAGGGTAGGCGATGATAAGGAGTAAGGCCAAGGTAACATTTATACAAGACAACTTACGAAGAGGACCTTGAAGAGGTTGTGGTGTAACCAAAGAAGTCACCAATCCCGTGTTGGATTGATACTGTACTTGACTTGAGGATCTTATTAGTTTGGCGGGGTCATTGATAAAATGGCATGGCGTACTTCGTTCTGCTGGTTCTCCGTAGCTGTCCCGCCCACTTTCTGTGAATGTACGGAGGGCACGGTGTTGTATATTTCGCACTTCACAACTTATGAGACCGGAGGGAAGAGAATTAAATCTGCCTGTGATATATCCTGAGTAAGTTAATACGTGTAAATGTAACAATAAAGATTGTTAAGTTTATTGTCAAGTGAGAGTGGTTGATTGTGAGCGGAGGAGATATACGGAGTACGGTATACCGAGTTTTAGCTGTGCCAAAAATAGAATTAAGTGAACAAGTGCCTGATAACCTGACGCTGTGATAAGGCATAAAAAGGCCATGTGCATGATTACATAACAGTCACTGGACGGGGTCCAAGCTCCCCACTAAGAACCCATTCGCGTCGTTCTTGTCGCCTTGTTGCGTTGCTTCGTTTGTAGAGAAGGCTAAAGATTATCAAAGCTGTTGTCATTACAAACAACAATATACCGTCCTTCTCAACTTCAACCACCACAATCACCAAGATCTAAGTGTCTTCATTAGGATTCCGAATATTGTGAATATCTCTACAACTCTACTCAAAGCTTCTTGATATAGCAAGAACAAGATGGTAAGCTTTAATTGATGAGTTGTATGAGCGGCAATGTTAACATATTCTCAAAGGGTCAACAACCGTCTGGTCTTGGTGGTAAACAACCAGGAGGAGATGGAAAAGATGATAAATCCAAGAAGGTATGTAATATATTTGCGCTTTCATGATAGAAATGGATGATGGACTAATTACCCACCAATAGAAGGATAAGCCAAAGTACGAACCACCACCAAGACCAACAACTAGAATCGGCCGCAAGAAGCGTAAGGCTGCTGGTCCAAATGCATCCGCAAAGTTACCAGCCGTGTATCCTACATCTCGATGCAAACTTAGGTATCTTCGAATGCAGCGAATTCACGATCATTTACTCCTCGAAGAAGAATATGTTGAAAACCAGGAACGTTTAAGAAAGGCCAAGGCTGCAAAGGAAGGGACTGCAGCGCCCGCGACCGCTGGAGGCGATGCAGATGCCGCTGACAGAAATGCTGATGAGAGAGGACGTGTGGATGATATGCGTGGTAGTCCGATGGGGGTTGGAACTTTGGAGGAAATGATTGATGATGATCATGCTATTGTTTCAAGTACCACTGGTCCTGAATACTATGTCTCCATCATGTCTTTCGTCGATAAAGATCTCTTGGAGCCCGGTGCAAGTGTTTTGCTACATCACAAATCCGTCTCGATTGTTGGTGTTCTCACTGATGACACTGATCCTTTGGTTTCGGTAATGAAGCTCGACAAAGCTCCAACAGAATCCTACGCAGATATTGGTGGTCTGGAATCGCAGATCCAGGAAGTGCGGGAATCGGTCGAATTACCATTATTACACCCTGAATTGTACGAGGAGATGGGTATCAAGCCACCCAAGGGTGTTATTCTCTATGGTGCACCAGGTACTGGAAAGACTCTGTTGGCGAAAGCGGTTGCAAATCAGACGAGTGCGACATTCTTGCGAATCGTTGGTAGTGAGTTGATCCAAAAGTACTTGGGAGATGGACCTAGACTCGTTCGACAACTTTTCCAGGTACGTATATCCTTAATGTCCATCTGCACGGTGCGTATGCTCATATTTATAGGTTGCTGCCGAAAACGCACCATCGATCGTCTTCATTGATGAAATTGACGCCATTGGTACAAAACGTTACGAATCTACATCTGGTGGAGAACGTGAAATCCAAAGAACTATGTTGGAGCTTCTCAATCAACTTGATGGTTTTGACGACCGTGGAGATGTCAAAGTTATTATGGCTACAAACAAGATTGATACTCTTGACCCTGCTCTCATCCGTCCTGGGCGTATCGACCGAAAAATTCTTTTCGAGAATCCTGATCAACACACTAAGCGCAAGATCTTCACCCTTCACACATCTAAAATGTCCTTGAACGATGATGTCGACTTGGAAGAATTCATCAACCAGAAGGACGATCTTTCGGGTGCTGATATCAAGGCGATCTGTTCTGAAGCTGGATTGATGGCATTAAGAGAGCGTAGAATGCGTGTCCAAATGGCGGATTTCAGGGCTGCAAGAGAACGTGTCTTGAAGACTAAGAGTGAGGGTGAGCCTGAGGGCTTGTACTTGTAAGGCGGAAGATGAACGATGAGGTGAGGGAAGTGTTTGATAAGCTAGAGCGCCTGCTTCTTTTCGTAGCTCGTGTATTCTAGATATCCCACGGTTAATGCATCTGATGTTTCGACGAGCTTTTGCTCTTGATTTGTTCTTTTTGTTCACTGTGTGTCGTATTCACACCTACTAATACATGATTTTTGTCAGACTACTCCATGATTATGTCTGTGCTTCCCATACTGCCACATAAATGCACTATAGGTTTGCTAGCCTCTAGCCAAGCGGCTCACATCAAAATCGAAAGATTTTAATCGACCGAATAAATACGTCGTTGAACACCGAGGTATCATTCTTACTCATGAGATCATGTGTGGTTATGTCGGAAAATTCCAAGCATGGTATGGCATTTCATAGTAGGTTCTGAATGACTAGATCTTCCGTAGAAAATAGGAGGCGTCACTTCCCTAAGTGTTCTCTCGTCTATGTCATTCACAATTTCACATATCTGGTAGTAGTAGTAGTAGTATTGCTATACACATCTCGATTCGACCCGACCCATGATGGATCTTCTCCCTAAAATTCTAGGTAGCAAACTCCATCTTGCAAGGCAACGATGCCGGATATGGACAACATGGAAATTGGCAAATAAAGATTAATTAGGAAGCAAATCTAAAAATGGGGAACATGGCCCGTGGTTGGCTCAAAATTATGCTGCTCACTGACGCTAGTGGAAATGGCTGAGGAAGATCACGTGGCTGCCTTGAGGTTGCCTAAAATCACGAGGTGAGGGCGTTGGTTTCGTGTTGACAACGCGGAGTTCTTGCATTATGCATTGGTACAACTTGGTATGTTGGGAGTCGCGTAAGATTTATAAATGAGACGGGTTTCTGGATGTTGATATCTTTTACTTTTTTCAACGTCCATTTTATATCATCTCCCTTCTGTGAGATTTGGTTCAATTCTATCTCATTGCGAAAGTATCCCTTGAAGATTTCTATCCTACTCAGGATCTGTAATTTCATCATCAGAGTTTAACAACTACACATAAATTGGACCAAGTTTTTTTAACTTGTATGAGAATTTGATTCACATTGTCTCTATATATCCCACTTTTCATCAATCAAACGTCAAAAATACATATTTCCTATAATTCTTCAATTCTCGACCCAGTCTTTCCATATCTCATCATCATGGCATCAGAAACCCTTCCAGAGCGTCCAGCTCCAATTGAGCTTCCAAAACTCCCTGCACCAGTCAGGGATTTCATCCCCTACCTATTTCGAAACCCTACCAAACATATCTCTACCATTGTCGAGCCCTATAAAGCCTATGAATCAGAGCTTCGCAAAGTTTACGCCCAACAGCCCGATCATGAAGCTGTCAAAGATGGAGCTGTCAATTTAGTCCCTATTTTCTCTGGCCATGAGCGTGATCTTAAGGTTCAGGCTAGAGATCTCAAAAATGAGACGAAAGAGGAGTCGGAGAAATACATCATGCCATTGAAGGATGAGGAACGCCGACCTAATGGCTCGCCAGCTGTCGTTAGATCCTTCAAAGATTTCCAGACAAATTTCAATCTCTTCTCCGAGTCTTCATTGGCTGATCTTGATTGGAACAATGTTGTTGCAGCTGGTAGTGCCGTCACTACATCCCTTATTCCAATTCCTGAGAAATGGGCCGGCAGCAAGAGAGCTATGAGAGAATATTATCACCAGCATCTGGCTCCGGCATCTGATGTCGATCTTTTCCTTTATGGACTTAGTGAGGCTGAAGGACTAGAAAAGATCAAGCAGATCGAGACTAACATCAAAGATGCCATCCTTCATGAGACAACTACGATTCGTACGAAAAATGCCATCACAATTGCAAGTCAACATCCCACTCGTCATGTTCAAATCGTTCTCAGACTTTACGATTCTATCTCTCAAATTATAACTGGTTTTGATGTGGATTGTTCTTGTGCTGCGTATGATGGAAAACAAGTTTACATGAGTCCAAGAGCTGTTGGATCATTCATTACCCAATGCAACACAGTTGATCTGACTAGAAGATCGCCAAGTTACGAAAACAGATTGAGCAAATACAGCCACAGAGGTTTTGAAGTTCATTGGCCAATGTTAGATCGCTCAAGGATTGACCCTACTATCTTTGAGCGGTCATTCGGGCGCACCGAAGGACTCGCGAGATTGTTGATCTTGGAGAAGTTGCCAAAAACAGTTGTAAGTGTTTATGTGTGGCTTTAGCAATGATCACATGCTAATTGGAAGTATAGGACCGGGAAAACTACATGGATCAACGTCGAAAAGAGCGTGGCAGACCATCCCTCAACAGAAGTTTTCGCAACCAACGTAGATTGTACGGAAATCTGAAAGACCAAGAAGAGGATGAGGTGGCAGATTGGGCAGAACAGGACGAGATCGCCAACTATCACACCATGACAGTTCCATACGGACAAAAGTACAATGCAGCAAAGATAAATCGTTTGCTGTATGCCAAAGATTTGCTTCTCAATGCGGAATGGAACCAGGACAAAGATCGCGAAGTTTATTTGCATCGTCATCCATGCTTTTTCGGCACTGCAGAAGAAGTTATCAAAGATTGTTGTGGATACTGTCCCATTCCTACTACGGATGAGGAGAAAGAGGTAGCTGAGAAGGAAAGCAAGAACTACGTCTCGGGTACTCTCAAGTTTATCACAGATGATCCCGGTCGTCAGGAGATTGGAAGTTTCAATCCTATAAATGACGATGAATGGACTACTATGAGTTATGTTGGTGATACGGCACGCCTTTGTCAAGCTATCGTGGATGGAGATCTCGAGCATGTTCAGGATTGGTGCTCACAAGAAGGTGTAGATGTGAATCGCCGAGACTTCACCGGACGTACACCTTTACACCTAGCTACCATGACTTCCACTCCAGAAATCGTCAAGTGCCTCGTCGATCACGGAGCCAGAATGATTGCTAGGCTTGTGGACGGTAGAACGGCATTACACATCGCTGCTGCTAGAGGCAACCTGGAAATGATTAGCATCCTCATGAACAAGAGTTTGGCAAATGAAGAGGAGGAAGACAAGAAACAGGCTGGTAAAGTTACATGTCTTGCACCTGATGCTGAGGAAGAATCGGATTCGGCATCAGAAATTACCCTCGACAGTGAACAAGAAGAGTCTGATGCTATGACAATGGGAAGTTTTGTCAAGATACCAGGAAACAAAGAAGAGGATAAGGATGATGTTGTAAGTTTCGTTCCTCCTGGTCCATTTCTCGTTACTGATTGGTTTCCTAGGCTGCGGTTATGGATGATTCAATGGAGGATCCTGATATCTACGACATCAATGTGATTGCTTGGGATTACGGTCTCTCTCCACTTCATCTTGCAATTCTTAATGGTCACCTTGAAGCTATCAAGCTTCTTGTCTCGGAATATGGTGCTGACGTACTATTTCCCGTCAAGTTGATAGAGGCTGGTACAACCAACGCCAAGGGTGTTGTCATGACTTTGGTATTGGCGATGTCGCTTCCCAACGAAAAGGCCAAACAAGTGGTGGAGCTCCTGTTGAAATTAGGAGCAACATCTGCACAATCCGACACCCATCATTTCACAGCCCTTCATTACATCGTTGCTCAAAACAACATGGATGTTTTGGATGTCTTATTTGCTAATGATCGTCCAGCTGCTCAAAAGGTTCTCAATAAGATTGGAATGGAAGGAGGTTATGGTCAGGCCAACACGCCACTTTCTACCGCTGTAAAGAAGACTTGCGGAGAGATGGCATCAAAACTTTTGAAATTGGGAGCACAACCTCAAATCGAATTCGAAGATTGGGTCAAAGTATATACGGCCATGAATACTCATGCCAGAAAGCAAAATACGGAAGCAAATATGAAGCAATTCCAAATAACTGTCCAACAGCCCATCATTGCTGCTATCTGTAAGGAGATGGGTGACGTGGTAGGAGAGCTTCTTTCACATGGCGCCGACCCTCAGACCCTCACAACTATTGCATGGTCGGCGGTAAATAATCCTGAACACCGACACTATTACAACGACCAGAGAGAATCAATCTTGGATGTCATTCAGCACAAATTGGAGGCCCTTCGTGAATGGAAAGAGCCGCCGCATAACCAATGGCAATATCGTCCCCAATATCTCGATACAGAAAAGCCCGAAACCCTTCGTGACGAGGATTTCTACACGGCAGACTTGGAACCAGGTACTTATAAGTACTGGACAGCCTTACAAGATTATCGAAATGAGAAATATCAGAATAAAGTCAATCATGAACGATACGAGAAGTTACTCAAGGACAAAAGGACTGAATTGGAGAAATACAAGGAAGACCGCGAAGCAATTCAAGAAGCGATCAAGGATCTTGAGAAGGCTGAAAAGGTGCTAATCGCGGCTGGCGCAAAACCGTTCACTGAGTTGTTTCCGGACATTCCTCGGACAAAAAAGCGCGAAAGTCATTCGCGGGGCTACAACTATGGGCAAAAGACAAAATGGAAGGCTTACAAGACACAATTCACCTTTTATGTTCCAGACCTGAATGATGGAAAGAGACAGGGCTATTTCATGTTGTTTGAGGCTGCCTGGAACAATGATCTTGATACCATCAAGAATCTGACACTTAGTCCTTGGAAGCGAGGGAGCAATGAATATGCACCACTCAAAATCGCAGTCTGTGATGAAAATGGATTTATGCCTTTCTCGATTGCAGTTCTTCGCGGACATTACGATCTTGCACGTAGGATTGTGGAAATTTGTCTTGCTCAGTATCACAACGCAGATGATGAAGATACTAACAAGGGACGTCAGCGCTGGGGTGTCACGGTTAATAGCAGTGATGATGAGTCGGAGGAACTGCCTATCTTCTCTGAACTAGTTACTGATAAATTTACCATTGACACTCTCGAGGAAGTTTCCAATGTTGTCAAAGGCGATATGCTTCCTTTGAGGATGATTGAATTTTACTGCCCGGCACGACGATTCATCGATAAAGATGAAAGCTCGAGATTAAGCGAGAGAGTTGATCTCTTCAGATATGCTGTTGAGCAGGACGATTTGAAAATGTTTAAATTCCTTTTGGAGGTAGCAACTGAGCAAAAAGCTTTAACGGCTAAATATGAGGATGATCAGCAATGCTACAATCTAAATTCTTCAGTCTTCAACGAAGCTCTCTCCAAAGGTAGAACCACAATGCTGGCAGAAATGATTAAATATTGTGGTGCAGGTATTCCATTTGGCGAGTTAGTCTCAGAAAGTGGTGTTGAACTCAAGACGAAGCCAAGATATTATGAAGGCTTGACAATTGGTGGCAAAAAGAGAAAGGATTGGGCACAACCACCAGGTCACATCCAAGATCTCAACCAATTTGAGGGAAGTCTTCCACCTTTGCTAGAGGCTGCACATATGGGCAACATTGAATCGGTTGAGTGGTTCATGAGTGACGCACCAATGAGACGTTACAAAGAATTTGCCGAGAGAAACAAAAATGATATGCGAGTTCGAACATTAGAATCTGGAAAGGGATTTGAAAAGACAATTTCGAAATGGATGGAGATGAATAGTAAGTCACTATGCTACATTATTGATGTTATGATGATACTGACCATATTCGATAGATGAGCTTCTACTCCACGTTGCCATTCTTTACAATCCGCAAACAGACGATGAAAAGGTCAAACACCTCAACCTTGTCAAACATCTCGTGTCCGTTCTTCCCGAATCAGTCCTTTCACTTAAATCTTCTGCGGGATATACACCTCTACATCTTGCCGTTGATAGACACAACATCTCAATTATTGAGCATCTTCTCTCGGTTGGCGCCTCATCCCGTTCTCGCGATAAACAGAATCGAAATATCATGCATACTCTCGCAAGTGCTGCCGCACGGGTGGATGAGAACACAATTTCCCGTCTAGAATCTATCATCAATTTATTCGACAAGAAGGATGTTCAAGAAATGTTACTAGAAAGAGCAGATGATTATCCAAGCGCCCTTACGCCTCTTGCTTTGTGGATGAGCAAAGCCACACAACACGATATTGAAAGTGTACTAGAAGTACTTATGAAACATTCTACTGGTGAGGAACTAGAGATGATTAATGGAGAGGGTGATTTACCTTTACACGTTGTATGTCCCCTACTCACTCATAACCCGAATCAAAGATACTAATAACCAATCCAGGCAATCAAAACCAACAAACCAAACATAACATCCTTCCTCCTCCGCCAAAAGCCAAATCTTCTCTACCGCGAATCAGCAACTGGTCGTACACCTCTAGAAATGTCCCACGATAACTACATCTCCAACTTTCTATCCCAACCACCCTCCATTAACGAACACTGGCAATATCATCCAAATAGTATTAATAACTATACGCTCAATGCGCGCGATACAAAACGTAAAAATGATGCAGCACCATATTATAAACGACATTTGTTGATCTGGGAGGAATGTTTAAGAGTTCAAGGAGAGCTGAAGAGGAAATTTGACGATGAGGAAGTTGAGGGAAAAAGTAGGGAAGAGGGCGGAAAGAGAAGATTAGTTAGTTTATTTGAGGCGAATGAGGTGGCGAGAAGATTGGCCGGAAGTCATAATAGGAGGGGAAATGGAGTGGGTACGCAATGGGATATTGTGAGTAAGTGGATGTGAATGTAGATGTAGATGTAAAGTACTGGGTGGGACATGAGAACTGGAATTTTTTATTTGGGATGAGGTTAATCTGACGGATCATGATGATGGATTTATAAGTTATGGGCTATCATGATATTTATTTATTTATTTTCGCATAGCATAGCATAGCTACATTATACTCACTGGCCACCTAAAGTAGCTTGAAATCTATTCTTTACTCCGTACAGCCTGTTGCGCAATTCTGACATCCTCAAGCAACTTACTTGAATTATTCCTCAATGTAAAATCTTACTAGATTGTGAAGTGAGCTATTAGTTGATATCGAAATAGGGAAAAATAAGAGTATTTGTTAAAGTGAATGGTTCCTGCGTAGCACGTGCACAGGGCACTAGTCCTGTTAGGACTAGATTGAGAAGCTCTCTTACAGAGAGCTTCGCACTTCCGTAGAACTTAGAAGAGAGATTAACCTACTAAACCAATATTACCTCAGTTCTGCCCTATTGTGACGGAAATCCCTGCTTTCCTCCCACCTTTATTATATAAGAAACCTCAGGTACATTAACCATGTCCACACATGATACGATTACTCGAGATTAGTATGCGATTTAGGTGACCTGACGATCAGATCCGGACAAGTACTAGGTATCAATGGTTATCGGTAAAGTAAGATCATTGGAGGAATAAATATGACTTCTTTTTGCCTAGCCATTGCGGCTAGGCCATTCATTTGTGTATATATAGAGTAGCTATCCCCATCTACAGATGCTCTTCACCTATAGATTCTAAGTTAAATACAATTGCTGGTCTATAAACACCCTTTTGGTCACACCTATCAGCTTCCCACTATTCCCTGTGTGAGGTCATTCCTTTTAACAGTATTTATAAATGAATTAAGTTAATTCATTGAATAAAAAAAGTAATATAATTAATTAATATATTGGTTTGTTAATAAATAAATTTATATATATAGTTTATTATAGTCTTTATTTTCTTTTTTCTTTTTTCTTTTTTCTTTTTTCTTTTTTCTTTTTTCTTTTTTCTTTTTTCTTTTTTCTTTTTTCTTTTTTCTTTTTTCTTTTTTCTTTTTTCTTTTTTCTTTTTTCTTTTTTCTTTTTTCTTTTTTCTTTTTTCTTTTTTCTTTTTTCTTTTTATTTTCAATCTTGAATTCTAATAAACTTTGTAGATTTTAGCTTTATATAAACTATGACGCCTGACACCTCCGGGTCATGTGGCATGCCCTGTTTGTATTTAATCACAGGAAAACTCTCTACTCTTGTTCATGGTTACCCCAAGCCCCCCAAACCTCTCTAAAACACTCTCCGATAAGGCCAGCAACCTTCTCAATAAGGTCAACGATGCTCAATCCATCTTCAACCCAATTACCCAACTCCTAGATACCTACCTAGGCTCTGAGGAAGTCCGTGCTCTCCCACCAAGTTCACGAAGACTCTTTATCTCTCTTTGCTCTTGAGTTTAAGGCAGTTATCGAATAGTACTTCGATGCCTTTGTTACTGGTTATCCTCCCTTTAGAGGAGCTATTACTCTGCTTGTCACCTTCCTTTCTCCTCCTTCCCCCTCAGCTACCATCTACACAAGTACACCCATAGTGCTTATAGGCCCCAAACCCTTTTACATTCAGAAAGCCTCTACTTCAATCATTGCCTTTACAAACAAGATTCCTTTCGATAATCGCTTATTCGTATGAATCAATCAAATATATTTAGCCTGAAACGCTGGATCTTTTGCAATCCTCACAACCCTAAAAAAAGTCCTCGGATCGAACGCCTCCCTCTTAAGGGAGGTCCAAAAGGTCAAAATAAGCTTCGCTCTCTATACCAGCTCAATAGTCAATCTATTAGCCCTTGAAAAACAGAAAGCCATTATATCATCTGTAATCGGAGATTGCAAAATTGAGGTCTAAGAGAAATGGACCATTTACTGTCTAAACTATATCCCCAAGAAAGTTACTATTTTCAATGATCAATTCAAAATAGACTTCATTTTAATTATAAAAGATATGATTTTTGATACTATAAAGGAATACTCTGATCAAGTGCTTACTTATGTTATCTAATCCCAAACAAACCTTTTATCTAATAAATATTACTCAATATGGATAGTAAGCTTCAAGATAGGAGCAGAACTACTCAAAAAGAATCTGAAGATCCTAGGGGCCAATATCAGCATATCCCTCCTAATACAAAAACCAAAGATCATTTAGTGCAACCATTGCTTTCAATAACACAATGTAAGAATATGCCTCAAATTACAAATCTGCTGCTTATATAGTTCGGGAAAGCATACAAAGAGCAATCATACTATCAGTTATAATATTGAACATATATACCCACCCAAATGCCTTTATTATAATGGCCCCCATCTCGTAGATGACCCTACAAATGCCTTCTTCGCCTATAAGAAAGAGAAAGGAAATCAAAATCAGAACGCTAGACAATCTGGAAGATATACCTCGAAAACAGAAACTTTATTTGTGTAAAGACTGGATACTCAAAGCTATTATCCGATGCACAAATGGCCGATTCCCTTACCCCTCTTTCCCCCTCGGACCAACTTAGGCCAAGAACCCCCACCCGCCTATTCGGCTTCACTTACTCCACAATTCTCTTCAGCACCCGCTCCGCTAATCGATTTACAGCAATCGCCAACCCAACCCTCATCCCGTTTAATGAACTGTAAACCGCTTACAATAACCCAAACCAATATAGATAAAAAAGAGATCTCATATAATCTCGCCCTTAATCTAGCAAATATAGATCAAATTGATATCATCACGACCCAGGAGCTATACATATACAAAGATACCTCAAGAAAAATCACCAAAACATATTCCTTCTACAAAATCTTCATTTTAATAGATGATTGGAAGGATACTCCCCAAATTCTGATCTACATCAGAAAAGGAATCGGAATACGAATCAATCAAATTAGACTTATAATCTCACGAGATCTAATCTTTATACAATTACTCCTTACAAACAATTCGATATTTACTATTATAAATATATATAATACTTTAATACAATATATAGATGATAATCAAGCTATCACTTCAATTTTCGAATTACAGAGATTCCCAATAAACGCTATCCTATTAGGCGATCTCAATCTCTATTACCCCAACTGGAATCCTCTACACCTCTCCCCTTTAATACTAATTGAATCCTTTGTAGAATAATCCAACTCCCGAAACCTACACCTCATCTCCCCAATCGGGATCCCTACTCACACAAAAGGGAACGTCCTAGACCTTACCTTCCTTTCAGGGCCCTATACAACATATACTTCCCTCGCTGAACATCTAGATTACACCTCAGATCACTTTACATTAAAAACTCAACTCTATTGGAACTATCAAAGCATAAAACCTATACAAAAACTCAAAGTGGATATATTAAACAAAACACTCTTTAAAGACTTACTAAGAATCAATTTAACCTATATTAAGATCGATCTCGAAGCACCCTCCATCAGAGAGCTAAACCAATTAGCAGAGTCTCTTATACAAGCACTAATAAAAACCTATATAGATATTACAAAGAAATCTACAAAAAGCCTCCTTCAACAACCCTAGTAGAACGAGGACTATACGAAAGCCGCTCACGATCATAGGACCACCAAGACTCCTATATCCAAATGCTCTCTCCGAAAGATAATCCGAAAAGCAAAACACATCTTCTATATTATAGAAGTAAATAAAGTAAAGAATATAAATGATATATATCGAATAACCAAATAGCATCAATCTATAGACATATATCGAACCCTACCTCTAACAGACCCATCAAAACAGATTATTGCAAACACTATCGAAGAGAAAAAGAAAACCCTCATCAATAACCTACTAACAAATCTAGCCGAGATTGACGATATCCTATTCGATACCCTTATAGCCCTAAGCAGATCTATTATCTTCCCTAATATAGCTATACAAGATATAGAGCTGACTATTTTAAAAGCAGGGAATACAATATCTAATATAAACGAAATCCTAACAAAAATCCTACAAATCATATGGCTACAAATAAAAGAAGTAACCCTATCCCTTTTCAAAGGTTGTCTACATTTGGGATATTACCCAAAATGCTTTCGATTAGTTACCATCGTAATCATCCCTAAACCCAACAAGCCAGATTATACCAATCCAAGATCATACCGACCAATTGCCTTGCTCTCGATCCTAGGCAAAGGCCTTAAAAGACTTATTGCGAAGAAGGTATCATAACTGATTTTAAACTACCAAATTCTAACGAATCAACAATTCGGAGCTTTACTCTTGCGATCCTCAGTAAACCTCATCACTTACGTTACATATGATATTGAGGTATCCCTAAAACAAGGGTTAAAGATTACCCTGCTCATAATGGATGTAAAAGATGCTTTTGATATAGTATTACCAGGAAGATTAATAAATTGCCTTCGGGAACAAGAATGGCCAAACAACCTAATTAGATAGGTTCAGTCCTTCGCCATTAATCGATCCATCAAGATCTGATTAAACAACGAGATTGGCCCAAAAACAAAGTTAGAATATGGTCTTCCTTAAGGCTCACCGATCTCCCCGATCCTGTTCATACTCTACATCGCACTTCTCTTTTGGATAGGCAAACCACAAAGCAGATTCGGATATACAGACAATATCGCGATACTAGCGACATCAAATTCATTACAGACAAACTGCGATTCTCTAAAAATGGATATACAAGAAACTCTCGAATAAGGAAAAATCAAAGGTATCACTTTTGACTCTAAGAAATCTAAGCTTATATACTTCTATAAAGAACATTGAACATTAATGAATACCTTTACAATATACACCGGATCTATGAATATAGAGATCAAACCTAGCCCGCTCAAATGGCTTGGAGTCCACTTCGATAGGAAACTGTTGGTACGAGAAGGATACGGAAGACGTAGCACCCACGGATTACGTAGGTCCTGTATGTCTAATTGTATTCTGTCTAAAGAGCTAGCTACATATTGAAGGTAGTAAGTCTTATATAGACTTACTAAAAGAGCTAGTCTCTTTCGCGTTCGCTTAGTTCTTTATTACAGTAGTAATTGAATTGAAGTCATTCACTTCGTTCACACAGAAACTATGCTTCAAACCATATATCCAGATCCTCGCAACCAAAGCCCTCAAAGAAGCTAATACATTGAGATCCCTTAACAATACACATCGAAGAATACTCCCATATCTCACCAGAAGAATAACTGAAGCTTACATACTCAAACAATACTATTTCGCCTTGGAAACTTGATGGCTGGGCTGAACCAGATCAAAGAAGAATGCTCTAAACAAACTGATCTCGATCTCGAATATAATGGATAATTATATAAATCTACTCAATAAAGTGGTAATTATCTATACAAAGGCAATCCTCTTAATATACAAAACTACAAATACAACAATACTCTACAAGGAAGCCAAACTCAGACCATCCGAGATCGAACTAAACCTGATTTTACAATTATACATAGTACAAACCATTAGATTAGACCCCTACCATCCTCTCAGGATCAGAGCAGAGAATATAACCAAAGCCAGAGAATATAATTTCACCCTAAATACAAGATTCGCAAGGCTCATTACAACATTACTGGAGACTGAATACATAAACCCCTTGGCCTTTCTATCCTGGGAAATCAGAGAATCGAGGGTAAAGGCCAAGGCCCATATCAATAGTTCGATGAGCAAAACGAAGATACAAACAACTGAAGACTTCAAAGCCTTTTACACCAAGATTCCAAGAAGCGATATACAAATCTTCTCGGATAACTCAAAAAGTAAAAGTAAGGATAGCATAACTAAGAGCGGATTTATAATCTCACAATTCGATATTCAGATAGTATATCATTCTTTCTTATTAAGCACAAATACAGAAGTATTCGATACGGAAGCTACAACCGCAATAGCAAAGATAACAAAAGCCTTTATACTAATATCAATCAAATTGATTACAGATCTCTGGATCTTCTTAAACAATTACAAGGTTATTCTTCGATTAGGATCCTATTTCAATAGTTCCTTACAGAGAATCTTTGAAGACTTTCTGAAGTTTATACAAGCTTGGGCTATTAGACCAAGGCTCCTACACATCTCCTCTAGGAAAATCCGCATCCGATGAGTCCCAAGGCATCTAGATATCCCTGACAACGAAATAGCTGATAAAGCTGTTAAGGAAAGAACAAAACTCCTCTTTCCCCCCAATCCGATCTATATACTAATATCCCTAAAAAGAATAATCAAAATAAAAGTCAATAAAGCAAACAAACAATTATGGAATATAATCAGGCTACAATACTACAAAGACCTTCAACTCAATTACACTTTTAATACAGATACCCTCTCTCTAAAGAGAACTATACTCTACTATATTCTTGCTATCAGATCACAATATAGCGACTTCACAACATATCATAAATACTTCAATCATATTATAATCTACATCTATTATTCATATAATAAAAAAAAAACTCCACTACACTTTTTCTTTTGCAAAAAAGGAAAAGCCTTTAAAACATTTACAAAGAGCCCCCCTTTCGAAGTTATCCCCTGACTTCTAAACAATCTCACCGATATAGCCAAACTAGCTAAATAACTAGAATACACCAAATTCTACACAAAAATCTGCTTGTGGCATATAGGTGCAAGATAAAAAAAAAAGAACTTTCTTTCTTTCATTGGATTCAAACAGAATTAATAGATCTCTAAGAGTGCTTTTCCTTCCTCTTTTTCCTCTCTTTCATCTTTCCCTTTTCTTTCATTTAAAAAAAAAAAAAAAAAACAAGTATACATACAAACAACCAAAACAAGTACAAGGAGACAGGGAGAGAGATCAAGAGGTAGTGATCTAATAGACGAGGATGACCACAATTACAACCCCAAAAGGCCTACCGGCCCAACCCCCCCCTGCGAAGGCAATTATATAAACCCTGCCCTAGCCCCTTTAAATTGTATAAAAATACTCCCCCTAGCTAGTTAGTAAACTACTCAGAGGCTTCTCCTCTGAGTGTCATTTGTCCAAAACTGGAATAGATGGCTAAGGTTATCATACGCCAAAGCGCATGGGCCTATGGCCTATGACGATAAACACAATCAATCAATCAATCAATCAATCTCTACTCTTGTTCGGATGCGAAGACTCAACATCTGTACGCGGTGCATCCTACAAACCTCCAGCTCTCTTATGAGAGTCTGCAGAGCTAAGTTTGAGTCATTTGATGGAGTCATGGTAATTGGAAGAGGAAGAGGTGCCTGATCACAACGTTTTTACCTGTTTGCAGTTTTTTGACAATCGCATTATCGATGCACTCTCTATAATACTACCTTTATTACGAAACAAAGGACAACATCATCATCTACAACAATACACTACGAAATCATCTCACTTCTTAAAAATGAGACTCCTTTGGAATATAGAGTACAACTCGATATCTTTAATGTATATATATTATATATCGTATACCTCCTATAATCGATACAATTGAAACAATAACAATTTATATACCTTCCACACAAGAACATCGGAGGAGTATTGTTGAAGGACCTGAGCTAATAACGAAATTTACTCTACTCTCATTCAGTAAAGGTATACTATTTATGGAATTGGGACATCTATACAAGCTACTATTTATACATACTATAGTTATACTATATAAGGATTGATGCTCCTTCATAAGCTTTCTATTGGCAGAATAATCAGAATGAGGACAAGGCAATCCCGATGGTGGGCGATTACAGTACGTTCTGGTATATAAGGAGCAATTGGATTGGTGGTATCGGGAAGGGGATCAGGGATGAAGGGTTTTCGAGTACAATGTTTTAACAACATGAGGGGAAGGGAGAGAGATCAAGAGCCAGTGATCTAGTGGACAAGGATGACCACAATAATAACCTCTAAGCCATTGGCTTCAATCTGTCGCGAAGGCAATCATGTAAACCCTGCCCTAGCCCCTTAAATTGTATACAAATACCCTCCCTAGCTAGCTAGTACACTACTCAAAGGCATACTCCTCTGAGCGTCATTTGTCCAAATCTGGAATAGATGGCTAAGGTTATCACGCGCCAAGGCGCGTGGGCCTACGGCCTATGACGATAAACACAATCAATCAATTAATCAATCTCTACTCTTGTTTTCCTTCTTCTTTTCTCCTTAGCTTAGTATTTTCTAAAACAAGATACTTTACCCAGTATTCTTGAGTGACATAACCTTTAATTATTATTTATTAAGAATATTATAAAATTGTTAAAACTGTTAAAATTGTTAAAATTGTTAAAATGGTTAAAATGGTTAAAATTATTTAGAAAAAAATATAAATATAAACTGTAGGTCTCACTAGGTATCAACCAATACAATCCATATGATATCATACCATTCCATTTCTACATCTATCACTAACCACTAACCACTAACCACAAACCTTTGCAATCCCACCTCTAACAACTCCTAACCCCTCCCAATCTCCAACAACCTTTCCAACCCCTCCAAACCTTCACAACTCAACCCTCCCTCCCCATTAGTCCTCAAAACCAAATCCTCCCCACGAACCATATGAACTACAATCGTAACCCCTTTAATACCGTTCATTTTCTCTTTTCCTGCCATTTCACTTCTTAACCCCTGTTTATCCCTCACTTTACCTCTACCTCCACCCCCAGCATCAAAATCTATAGCTCTCCTCTTCCAGATACAATCATTTTTTTCATCATCATTCTTATCCACATCCCTATCCTCACTTCGCACAAGATCATCACCCAGATTTCCCTCCTCGACAAACGCTTCCCTCCCCTCACTCCCACCACCAGAAACCCATCTCATCCTCGCGTCAAAATACCCCCCACTACCCCGCGTCAACTCACTCCTATTCACCTCCACCTCCATAGCAACCCCCCTCACACTTCCCATCCCTCTACTTCTCAAACCCCCATTCTCTCGTCCATAAATCTCACCCCTCATCCCTTCCCATCCAAACCTCTCCTTCAACTTCCCCCTTGCACTAGCTTTCGAACCTTCCCTTCTCTCCCCAGCCCACTCCGACTGACCACAAATATCCGAAATCTCACAATCGCGATCGGTCGAACGTCTAGATACTTGATGCAAAGGAGAATTCGACATCCGTTTCCAATAAAGATAACTTCTTGGAAAATTGACCGATTCTTTATCTCTCCATGGATTGGATGTGAAATAGCTTGGTGAAGAGTTAGTTGGAAATCGAATATTTGATTTTACAGCTCCCTCTCCAATGGATGGATCTTTGGTTCCGTCGGTGGGAGTTGCTGTATCGCGGTTTACGGTAACTTTGGGACTTGCTTCTCTTGGAGCTTTATTGATGGCTTGTCTTCTTAATGGTGCTAAACTTTTTGGTGTGATCGGTGATGAAACCCATGGTGATGGAATTTGATCCATGGATAATGTATCACTTGCCTTCCTGATACCATTAGGAGGACTCTTCTCCAATACATGACTAACCTCCATCGGCGTGTTCCACGGAGTGCCAGATCTTTGAAGAGGAGAAAATTCATCAGGACTCCCTAACCATTCGGAAACACTATCATACTTATGAAGTAACGAACGATCATAAGTTTGAGAACGAGAAAGTATGTAAGGTTTCCTTTTCTGCTTCAAATCAGGATGTTCATTATTCAAAACAAAAGAATCATTTAAAGAGATTTTCGCCGGACTACGATGATGATGTATCATAGGTTTGTGAACCTCATTTGTGCAACATCGAACACTATGAACTGTGCTCTGGCATGCAGAACACTCGCAATCATCAAGACAATGTTGACAATCTCCTAAAATACCTGAACTAACAGGACTACGATCGCAGTGTCCATGACCAGTCCTTGGATAACCGTGACACTCTACGTAATCTGATCCATATTTTTGTTGTCCTGCTCTACATATTGGTTCGTGGGTAAATGGGTAGAAGTTATTTAGGAGTTTTGAGTCTTCTATGTGATCGAATCCGTAGCTGGATTGTACTGAGTGATGTGTCGATTCGTTCAGAACACGATACGAGCTTTTTGAATCTTGCGTATTTTCTGCATGGTCTACACGATCCATCGCAAAGGTATGTTGCGTGTTAGGATGCATTGAGTTGTCTAAGAATTGGTCTGATCTAATAGAAGTTCGCGGGAATTCTCGGTGGTCTGATTCATGACTGAGTTGTGTTGCTCGATTTTTAGATCCATTCAATCGATACAATCTCATGGAGGGTTGTGATGCTTTCGAAGAATCAGGATAGGATTGTGAACGGTAGATGTTCTCATTATTGGTACTTTTCGCTGTAATACCACCATCCATGGCTAGAACATCATCACTACGGGTAAGTGAGTGAGGAGTGGAACGTTGGTAGGTAAAGCTTCCATGACGACTAGGTTGGCAACTTTCGCACCTGTGGTCATATGTCTGTGGTGAGTGTAATTCTGACCTATGCTCGTTGGCGTTATCCTGCGAGGAAGCATCTGTTATAAGATACGGGCGATGTGCTTGGGAGGCGTCCTCGAATTTAGATGTAGATTTTTGAGAATCCTCGGGGACATAAATACCGGGACACGAATGTAATAATTTAGAAGTCGTCAAAACTGGATTAGGCCTAGTATTTATATTTTGTGGTACAGAGCTACTAGGATGAAATGAAGGAAATGGCTCCGTGCGGGTTGGCTTTTGTTTTGGTGTGATGTCCTTAGCAGTTTGTACTGGAAGTGGTAAAGGTCTCAGCATAGACTGCTTTGTGATCTGTCTCTTTGCTGGTCTAGGTGTTGTTATACGCGGTAGTCTTGATGCTGCTTGTCGATTAGCAGAAAAGACTCGATCTTGATCAAAGCTTGCATCTCTGCCTCCGTTCGAAAATGGTAAAAGTCTATCACAAGCTTTACATAACCGATGTCCACATTTCCAACATGTATTTTCATTCTTATCATGAATCCACATACAAAGATGACAGACTCGATGTCTTTGAGGTTTATGGATTTCTTCACGCGCCACTTCGGAGGATGCAAGTCCAGGAGGTCTTTCAATACAATAAGTATCAAACAAGTCTCGAACACTTTGCCGACGAAGTGTGGATGTTGTACGTGTAGATACCTCAGAATTGCTCATCTCATTTTGACGTGTCTCTTCCCTTTGGCGATAATGACTTGACACCTGATTTTGTTTGTGAGATTTTTGAGGATCCGATGGTAATTGTGTTGAAACATAATTGTCCTCTAACCGTTGAATACCCTTGCTGATATCTACCTTGTAACCAGCAATCTTTTCCCGACATCTACTGGACGTCTTCAACGTTTCAGCAACAGAAGCCCAACCACTAGCAAGAGCATCTTCTCGAACCATACCACGCAAACTACTCGGCGAAGGTCCAATTCCATCAGCCCTTGGTGTACCCTTATACCCAGCTCTAGCATGTCCCACATCATGATTCGATCTCGGAGTTTGCAAACCCAAGAACGAATGATTTATCCCAGTCTGAGGTTGTTCATTCGGCTGCGAATTTCTGGAAGCTGGGGTTCCAAAGATATTGGTTGGTCGACGACCAAAGCTAGAGCGAGAGTTTTCCCGTCTCCTATTCAATGGCGGTCTAAGATGAGGAGGTGATTGTGATCGATGAGGTGATTTACTACTTCTCTCTCGTCTTGTTCTTGAAGTCGATCGTATTTGTGGAAATCGAGAGGGTGTTTTTGGAGGTGATTTATTTTTTTGATTGCCCGCAAGCTTTTGAAGGAACAAGATACGAGAAGCGACGGTTCCCACAGTTATGGGAAGATTATTAGGACGATCACTAGGTAATGATGAAGTGGAAGCCGCAGAATCGGCATGTATATTTCGGGCTGCAGCTGATCGCCAAGGATAGTTCATGGCACTTAAGGATACATTAATCTGGGATTGAGATTGACATAAAAGAATGAATGTAACGACTGGATACATACAGGCACTGCGCCTGATGAGTAGTGAAGGAGCAATAAAGAGGATAACCCTAATAGGAAGATGAAGATGAAAGTGATAATGATATTGAAAAAGAATATAAAGATCGAGTACTCTATTTGAAGCTAATGAGTCTCATGGATAAGGAGCCAACCTCGAAATGGTAGGAACGGCCAATAACCATACCTACCTAGTCACAATATGCATAGCTGTCTTGTCTAAATTGTACATCATAGTTCCCCCCGATCATTCAGCCCATCAACCAGTAGTAAAAATCCCATTGAAAACTTATTTGATGAGGGTAAAAATTGACCAGGCTTGTCCATTTAAAAAGCTATGATACTGATTTTCACACAACGCAATAAAAAATAGTTCACTGATGTACATTGTGCAGGTCTCTATCATCTAAGCATCACCAGGGTAGAGTAATTCCTCTACTTGAGATGTGCTTGCAAGGTCTCCAAAACCTAGATGTAAATCATTAGTCCTTGCCCTATCCACATTCAACATCTGAATATCAAAACTCACCTCCAACTCAATCTTAGCCTCAGCAATATCTTGCTCACTTCCACTTCCTCCAACAATCTTCTGAGCCTCAGCAATTTGTGACCTAACTGCCTCTACACTGAAATCCTCCAATGGGAATCCCTCTACTGCATTAATGCTTAATGAAGAGTTTGGTTGAACGACTGCGAATCCTCCGGAAACTGTTTCAATATCCCATTAGCCTCTTGTTTCCTCCCATTTTATAGATATTTCATGGATGATTGCTGTGACGTACGGAAAAATTGCTTGCTTCCACCACTCTCCTCGATAACCTCAACGAGACCTGGCTTCAACTGTTCGATGGATGGAACGTGATTGGCGAGGATACCCATTTCACCGGATTCGGCGGGGATGTTAACTTGGACGACATCTTGGGACCTGTAGACGGACTGCGAATGTATTTGTTAGTCACCTTCTTCCCATGTCCCTATCTGCCATCTCTCCTCAAATGCCCTCCTCTGCTCCTAATCAGCCCATCCCACCCACCACCTATCATCTCCCCGCTCCCTTTCCCTCCCCACCCCAAAAACAAAACCAAACCAAACATACCTGATGAGGCAAAGCCAAGCTCAACTTAATCTACCGCACAGCCAAAAAAAGTCAGCACAACAATTCACCCAAATCCACGCCATCCATTCATCCAACTCAAAACTCAAAACTTCAAAAACCCAAAAACGGAAACTCCCGACCTTATCCGCAACAGCCTCAGCATACCCTCGGCGCATGACCGGGGCCTTCAAAGCCGTAGGACGAACCCGCAGAGCGGCGCGAGCGAAACGCATGGAGTTCATGATGGGTCGAGGTATCAATTGGGGGCTTGACGTTGGTTTTATGAGGGGTTGATGGGAGCTTGCTGGGTGATGTCGGAATGGCTTTCGCTAACTATTTTCTTTAGCTTGATTAGAGGTCACGTGGGATGATTTTACAGAAATGGGAAATTGGAAGGGTTTTTCATTTGATGATATGATACTATTTTGATTACATTCTGAGATATTTTTTGATTGATTTGAGAAGGAATTATTTTCAAACTTCTTGTCGGGTCTCACGTGCTGCGAAATCATGAATTCTTTTCATCAAGTTATCACGTGTTGAATCTGGTGCTTAGTCATTAATCATTAATTATTAATCATCCATCAATCATCCATCCATCCATCAATCCATGATTCCAAGTACCAACCATCGGATCCCAGCACCCAGCTAGGTATCCCGAAAACCCCCATTCCAAACATTCCACACCCCACCCAGACACCCCAATCCGGTCAAAACACGGGAATCCGCAGGACCCCCATCCCATCCACAGCTACCTAGTACCTACCTACCTACCTGGTACCTCAGAAACCACATGAATGACAAGCCACCCACATTTTCTCATTACCGTATTACCGTATAGTACTTACTTACCTTACCACTTTATAATTCATCAAAGTAAACTTCAAAGTAAAGTAGGGAAAACCACCGACGCGGAATTACGGCGCATCACTCAAACCACTTACTTATTACACGATTACATATGATTGCAATATTCACTCACTCTCCTTGGACCCTAACTACCTACTGCGTAAAGCTCTTAGCTCTCTAATCAATCTAGCTATCTATCCGTATGTACTATGGAGTACAGTACAGTACAGTACATTACATAGTATATAGTACGTACAAACTCAGTACATACAGTACATACTACAAGTACAGCACCAACATCAAAGAAAGCAAGCAAAACAAAACAAACATCCACAAAAATTCCACTGGTCAAATTAAATCCCTCATACAGAGTATAATCATATAATCACACAATCATATAACCACAACACAGTTCAAGAATAATTTCAAATTCCCCTACCCATTTACATAGTAGTATCTACATAGCATATACATACCTACTACCTAGTAAATAAAAAGGATATTTTATTCGTTCCGCACATAGTACATACAGTAACAGTAACAATAGCAAGCTACTTTCAAGTTTCAAGTTTCAACTTCGAACAAGAAGGTTCGAAATTCAAATAAATAGAGAACAAAGAAGCCAGCCAAGCCCCAAAATCATTTTTGATGGGTAGGCTACCGGTACTACTAGACTTTTATGACTAGACTAGACTAATAAGGAGCAGACTACGGTAGGTAGTACGGAGTTGACAGCCCCAATTTTCAATTTTTAATTTTCAATTTTCGATTTTTGATGGGGATCCCGAGTCCCGTTAATAGGCCGATCGGATGAAAAAGTACGCGCCGAAAAGGGAAAAATGAGCTGTAGATCTCTTGTGGATGTTTTTGTGTAATTGTTGTGTTCTTATCATTTCTGTGTTCAGCTCGGTCGGTGCTTTATGAAATTTTGAAAATTTTTGATCTATGGAATTTTGAAGTTTGAATTTTGAAAGTTTGTTGTATTGTGTTGTGTTGTGTTGTACAGAGAGAGAGACTAGAGTATTATTGTTATTATTATTATTATTATTATTATTATTATATGAAATCTGTTGTACAAGCAAAGGTTAAAATTTCTCGGCGAATGTGGCACTGCATATTTCGGCGTGGATTGTTTATGCTACTTTATGCTATGCCATGCTTCATTTATGCCATGCCAATTTATGCCATGCTTTACCGTTAACTCATAAATCATCAATCAAGCATTTACGATCTCTGATACTTTACGTAGGTAGTAATAAGTACATACAATCTATTTCCGCCAAGTCACTAGAAGGGTTCGCTCCTACAACGATCCATTGATCCATTATCGATCCCATTGATTCCAATTCTCTTCCGGAAGACAAAAACAGTTCATCCATAACTAGATACCCAAAGACATAAAATGGATCACCACGGGATATTAAATTACGAACATGAAGATCGTATCGCAATAATGTAGTAATTTGTAGTTGGGAGGCTTTTGCACGGTTTCTTGGATGAGCTTTGCACCGCTTTCAAGGAGGTTCACAGGGAGATTTTGATTCAGATGCGATCGTGAAGTTGGGCCTATTTTTGGCCTTGTGTTTGCAGCATTCATAAGGTGGTGAATGGTGGTTGGCACGCTTGGAGTTGGGAGGATCTTCTCCCTTAGAATGTTGCAACTACTCGAAGCGAAGGACGCCAAGGGGGAGAAAGCGGTGTACTCCGTACGTACATCGTACGCACGCTGCGTACGGAGTAGCTATGTATGATTTGGATTAGATTTTGAGGCTGATGAAGGAACTGGTTCATGTTGGGTACAGTTGGTAGTAGGTACAGGTACAGCTAAGGTAAGAAGTATGATGAACTGTCAGATGATTTTAGTCGATACAGTAAGAGCTTACCTACTCAGCTTCCTCCTTTTCTCTGCAAGGAGAATCAAATCTTTCATCATTTTCGCCACTTGGGAGGTGAGCCAGCACATTGCACAAAAAAACACCAAGACGATTAATCAATCTTATGCCAGCACCAATGCCGGTCTCCCAGCGGTGAGAGGGAAATAAATGAAGAAATATCATCGTATATGTAGGCGAAAGTTGTACAGATAACTCTTGATACCCTCTCTACCCTATCCTAAACTCAAGCTACTCGGAGCCGAACACGGATCAAGCTGTCAGCTTGTCAATGCAGGATATTGCTCGAGTATCACATCATTTTCTTATTTCCATCCAATGGTTCTTCGGTATTGGGAATGGCAGATATGGCAATCCGACACGTTTCTGCATTTAAAGCCTTTGCTCACTCAGGGAGGGGTAAACCCTTCCATTGTATGATTGAATGTGGGGTTACTGTATGGATTCCAATTTCCAGCGGTCAAAGTCGTACGGAGCAGTAAAATGCTAGGATTACCATTGGTTCATCGTTTTCCATCCGATTGAGGTGTTACTTCGGCAATATAGATGAACCTTTCATTAATTAATTAGCATCCTATTGGTTTATAGGAAAATGATGTCGTCAGTGAGGACTCCCATCCTTTCCACCAAAATAACTTGATGGTAAGGTGGGATCCCGCCAGGTGAAGGTATCACGAGCCTGTTTGATCTGATACATGTTACCTGAAATGACATGAGCCATGGAGAATGTGACATGACTTGCGCTATGCAAGATATACTTTCCCGCACGTTTCTCGTAGACCCTTTATACCTAAATGCAAAATGACGAGTGCCTTTGAAACGATTCCAAGTAAAATATAAAGTTTGGCACTTTGGTGAGTAGTTCACTGACAGTCTGGTGGAGTATGTGTATCATCAGATGAAATGGATGGATAGAACGGCCAAGAAGATGAATCCACATCCCCCACGTTGCATGATGGTGGAAAAGAGGGATTCATGGAGGAGGAGGTTGGTAGGTAGCGTTTCATAGGTGAGCAGAGTCCCCCGTGTGAATACATGGATGAATACCAGCACTGCTGCTAGAGGTCGTTTTGAAAGGTAAACGGAGTCCTGCAGCTAAGGTTGTGCTTAGAGGATGACTTTTTGCATGCGCGCCAAGGGGAGCACGAATCCGTGATGTTGGCTCTGTAATATTTTGATTTTGCCGCGTCTGGCTGGTTCAATTGCGATGAAGAGATATGATATGATATGATATCTCACGATGTATCATCATGAATGGCTTACCAGATGAAGAATATATTGAACCCATAACGGGAATCAATTGTATGGTTTGGGGAATGGACTCCGAGATTGTGATTGTAAATTGTTAGATGCAGCATCTATTGGAATCGAAGGACAAGATAAAAATGGGTGATGGGTTGATGGATTGATGAATCATCTATAATCCAAGTCATGGGAATGAGGAATGAGTTGAATGTGACACCAACAGTCAATCTGAGAACAAAGGAAAGCAAATCAATTGATATTTGTCCATGTTATGACTTTGAGATGATAATAAAGAAACCATCGGTTAGGGCGATGGGGGCGTGGAGGGGGTAAATTGACAATGGGGAAATTGGAGATGGATCCAATAAACTCCTTATCCAAGTTTCAACGAATCACCAAATTATCATGAGATCTCTAAGAATTGGTCAACCCAAATAATAATTCAATCTCTCCGAGTTCAGGCCGTCCCAAGAGCGGGTGGGAAATTTCATTATTTGAGTTTGCTGTAGTAGCTGTACATGTTTGAATTAGCTACATAATAATAAGTATAAGTGCATGTACATCTTTTCTGTATCCTTCCTGTAGGACGGTTAGGTCAACGGGCGTGCAGTAGGATGGTTTTGCTTGGCTGATACCTCTGTAAGAACCTATCGAAAAGTAAATGAGATTTTGGTGTTTAGCATGCAATAGTTTTGGGTGAGGAATGTTTTGAGTTTGCTTTCCCCTGTAGCTCGTGAAGAGTTGCTAGCATTGTACTCTAGAGTCTACAGGCATAAGAGACCTGAGCTGGTAGAGTGTAACCTAGGTACATGATCATGTCAAATCTCAATCAAACAAGCTGGAAGGAAGGACATTCATTCATGGGTTGACTGGAATAGAATAAATGATATAGTAGTTCTATCGCGGGATCCACTTCTCGATTTACATGGCAGCAGCTGCTGCTGAGCTGCACCACCAAAATTAGAGATGGGGGGAGAGTTATTAGGAGAGAGAGTGGAAGGACAAAGAACGCGGGATTTTTGAGCGGAAGTATGAATGAATGAATGGGATTGGTATGGCAGCTGTCTTGTCACCATGGAAGGTATGTGCAGAGGACAAGAGTAGTGAGTGAATGGCATGAGCGAGAGTATTTTATCTGGGTTGCTTGCGATATCGCGATTTGAATCTTGAGACAGAGACGGTTTTCTCCGATATTGAAATAAATCATGGATCTTCGATGAAAGAAAGTTTTTCTTGTACAGAGTAGTTAGCATCTAGAAAGTGTTGATTTCTGCGAGAATGGCGGCGGATTAATCAAATTATTTTCCATTTGAATTTATTGCATCAAAATAAGTCATTCTTTACCAATATGATCCTTATCCTTCCTTCCTTATCCTTTCTAAGCCCTTCTTCCTTTCTTTTCAAGTTTCGAAACCATTGAAATTCAAATCACCCACTACTGACTGACTGAGTTTGCTAAGATCCCAACCGCTAATAATAACATGATAAACAACACACCATCTATTTATCTGAACCAGATTCAAGATTCATTCAAGTCATTTGTTCATAGTTAATCAGTCATTCGCATGGTTCGCCTCTTTCTCTCTTCCTCTATGGACGGGAAGTAAAACATGAATGATTTCTTGGTGTATGACTAAACCCACATCATATATGCCATATCGTATATGCCCGATTCTGATGTTATTCTTATATTCTTATTATATCCTTAAGCCCAAGTACAAGTAGAAGTAGAGGTACGGGTACAGTGCAGTACAACTACAAGTACAAGTACATACGCTTAAGCACTGGCACAAGCACAAATTACCACATCCCACATCCACCATCCACAAATCCACAGCCACCCTAAAATTTCCAACCCACTTATCTCTCAAAGAAAGGAAAGAAAAAAAAAAGAAAAAAGAAAAAAGCTTTCCCAAATTCCCAATCCGCTTATCCGTCACACATCCGTTACACTATCCTGTACGCATCTTAGTGTGTTCATTATTTATCCACCTCTATTTGGGAAGTGCATATCTATCCACTTACTACCTACTTTGTACTTTCCTCACTCTTCCTACTTACTCTGCGACCTTTTTCATCCATCTGCATTATTTACCAACCAACGACAGACACTCTCCTCTCTGGACCCTCTCACTCTCTCACCCTTACACCCTTCCACACACGCTTACCACATTCAAAGCAGCTTTCGCCAGCATAGAAAGAGCAAGAGCCTCTTGGGAATTCGGGTCTCTTTTATAAAGTCGTGGTTCTTTGATTTCATGATTACTTGATTTCTTTATCACTGAAAATTCCTTCAAATCGAGGATCGAGGCAGTGGCAAAAACAGGTCTTCTTTTCCGACTGGTACTGGCATGGGGACTACTTTACTTTTTTATACCTTAGTATAAACCAGAAAACCAAAACCAAAACCAAAGAAGATTGATTTTTATTCAATTTGTGTGAAAAGATCAGCCCTGGAAAAGGAACAAGACTTCACTTCAGCCCTTAATTGAACGTCATTTTATAAATCCGCAGCACCACCCACCAACTAGCCACCATCTAGCACCGCCCAACAACCCCATAACAAGCAACCGCCCAGCACCCCAAAAAATACACCGTACTTTTCGCTGAACCTAATACCTGTTGCTTATCGACTGAAGAGAAAGACCGTTACGACATAAATTCAGAGTGGAAACCAAACAACAACTTTATTATACACATCACCACTTTTTCTCTCTTCTACCAACAATAATCCTCCATTAGAGAGAGATACCACTTTTTTCTTTCCTTTTATTGCTTTCCTCGCAGTAACCCGGATTAATCTCTTTTTCTGAACATGATGGTTTCTCGACAATTATAGCAATACGGTCCTTAGGGACGCTTTAATTCAACGGTCCTCCTCGGCCCTTGCTTTTCTTTGGGAAAGGCATCTGACGACGAACAACTCTACATTTGTTGCATTTTTACCTCTTACCACCAATCACCAATACGTCGAGCCTTTTGAGGAGTAACTCGATTGTTTCACTTCAATCCACTTCAAATCAATTCAACCACAAAACAACGACGACCTTTTCCTTTAAATTCGGTCTCCCGCAACCATCTCGGAAACCACATTCTGATTTTCATACCACAACCTTTTTTTAATCGACCATATACCAACAGTCGATCCTACTTATATTAATTATACACACACAATGAATCTCAATCACGATCGGAACCACACCATGGAGGGGCAAGATATGTTAACGTGGCGTCCACAAGCGACATCCACTTCAAATATGTCTGCAAATGGCGACGAAGAAATAATATCCGCAGAAGTCGATGAGCCTCCTGAATTACAACCAAACGAATTTACAAAAGCTCCCATTCGCCCTCAAAACGATCGCGCGATTTCCCTTCTTGCAAAAGGTTTGAAAAGCCCGGAATCCGAGACACAAAAACCTGATATACATATTACCACCGACTTAATGCGCCGCCGATCCCTAATGAGCACAGTAAGCTTAGCATCGACTGCCGAACTTACAAGCGATGGAGGCTTCACAAGTCCTGCTCGCACCAATACACCCAGCCCACCATTTCCAAATACATCATATTATTCGATGACTCGGAAACCAACATATCCTCCATCTAATTCAGTCGTACATCATGAAGCGGCTGATCCAATCATTGCAGTTCACACGGAAATTCTTAACGTTTCACCAAAAGCAGCACCAGTCGTACCTCTTGAGGCTGCTCCAAAGAAACGTTGTATCAGTTTCGCTTGTGGTGCGCGAAAGGACCCCGCTCCTAAGACAGGGGTAGTTGCCGTCGCGAAACCCCTTGAGCCTGCAGCTCCCGCAGTTGAAGCTCCAAAACGCAAATCTACCATTAAATTTGCTTGTCCTTCTAAGCCTACGGAAAAATCTGTAGCGAACGTGGAACCCACTGAAAAGACATCCTTGAAACTCGCTGTGCCAGATACTCTACCGCGAAGACGCGTTCCAAGCCGATCACCATCTACTTCAAGAAAGCCTAGACCTGCTACCACATCTTCTGCTCGCCCTCATCGCGAATCCACAGGAACCGTAAGACGTGCATCGCAAAGTCCTGTTGCGATAAGATGTAAGCCCAAGTATGTCATTGCTGGCGAGAAAGATTTACAATCCGAGGCTGCTCGATTTCACGAATTCTGCAGTGAAGGTTTGGAGGAGGATGATTGGATTCGCACAGATGGCGAGATTCCAAAAGCAAAAATTACCATCAATGACACCCTCGCAAAGGAGATTAGAATTCGCAGACTCGGATCGGAAGCCGAAGAAGAAGCTCTGGAGGAAGAAGATGATGAAGACTTTGACGATGGGAACGACTCCGATAATGAAGATGGCTCCGATGAGGATCAAGATGATTATGAGGATGATGAGACTGATCGTGTTTACTCTGATGACGATGCTACAGATGGAAATGAGACAGATAACGAAGCTGGTTTCGCTGATTCTGATGACGAGGATGATACCGAAGGTGATTTTAATTTCTGGACACCAAATAAATTGGAACAAGCACGATTTCCTATTCCAAATGCCGAAGCTAGCACTTACCGTGCTTCTGCAAACCGAACTGCTTCAGCATCATCAATCGAATCTCTTAACGGCACGGCCCCTATAAGAGAATTATCTAGGGGCAAGCGAAGACCGAGAAAGCCTCGCAGCATCAAGATACGCCCAGGAACCCCAGATCTCCCTGATAGTACCGATTTTGTTTGCGGAACACTTGATGAAGATCGTCCTCTCGAAGATGCTTATGTTTCTTGTATGGAAGCGAGAAAATATGCCAGGCACATCGCTACCCCTCAGGATATTGATCCATCTTTCCCAACCTCTGATCCTGAGGATGAAGAAGACGAAATTGATGATGTTGCAAAGACAATTGAGAGTGATGAACATGTTTGGATGCAAGGAAAATTTGAAGATTCTGATTCGGACCGCCGTCGTGCTAGGTCTCGTAGATCTCCGGGCCATTCTCCAAGAAAGTTACACTCTCCTCCACCAAAACAACGTCTTCGCTCTCCACCTCCGAAGCAACGTCTCCGATCACCGCCACCTAAGAAACGTCTCCAGTCACCACCACCAAAGAAACGTCTTCAATCACCTCCGTTACGCAAGTTGTTTGGGGATGAATCTCCAAACAGACCATGTTCTCCACCACCGGCACGCGTCATTGATTCTCCTCCAGCTTCACCTTCCATCACCGGAAGTCGAGCAATCAAGTTTGCTCCTTTAGGATCAAGACCAGGTTTGACTCATACCAAGTCTCTTCCTCGAACTCCAAATGCTTTCTGTCGTCAATATACTGCGAGTCGTATTGCTGCAGCTAATGAAATCGCTGCAAAGGATGATGGTGATGGACCATTACGAGGAGCAATTGATATTGTCAAAGGACTTGAGCAAAAGCGACAAAGACGAAAGGAGAAATTTTATCAAAAGCATTGCGCCAATCGTGCACGCAAAGGACAACCAGAGCGTAGACCACAACCTGGTAAAGGTGCAGAACGTATGCGAGAGTTGGGATTACTTATGGCTGGCAAAACTGGCACTAATGACCCATATATGCTTTCTGCATAGACATATTGCAAAAGCAAACATTTTCTAGTTATTTTCTATTCTTGAACTGTCAGGCTTTCTCTTTCCTCTCTCTGGTAGAAGAGTGTTTTATTTTTTAGATGAGATATACCCCTTCTTTCGGAGTTTTAAGAGGAATTGGAAGAAAGCCTATCGGGAACCCGTGATTGATCGGTCGAATAAAAGACGACGAGACGGCCTCGTCTTCTGTCATTTTTCCATTAATGGATAGATGTTACGGATGCGAAATCCCGATTATTTTATACACACTTTATTTTGTAAATAGGAATGAATAAAATATTCAATAAACATTTATGATGATTTTAATGTATTCTGATTGTGATTCTTGCTCTGTTTTGTGAATTAAAAGTGTGATGTTATACGTGTATTTACATTATTTATAATGATTGATTGATTGATCGATGAGATGAGGTATGATGATCTAGTATATTTTAACCTTTTGGTAGGTAAGATACCTAGTAGATACAGAAAGGTAAGGAAGGTAATGAGGAAATAAGACTCTTTCTTACCTATGATGCAATCACAATCTTTTATTCATTAGCCCACCAACCCCCCAGCATTACCCCGCATCTAAACAAACAAACACAACAATTATAGCAAACTCGGGGTACTCAAGTACTATTGTTATAACTACTAAGTAGGTATCTAGTATCTAGAACACAAATCTTTGACTTTTTTAGAAGATACTCTACTCATTTACCCATCACCCAAACAAAACCATGCCCCCGCAACCACGAATCCTCCTCCTCGGCGGCCACGGCAAAGTCTCCCTACACATGACACCCAAAATCCTCGCCCGTTCCTGGTCTCTGATCTCTCTAATACGGAATGAGGGACATAAGGGAGATATTCTTGAAGCGGCGAAAAAAGCAGAGGAATTGAAGAGTGAAGGAACGGAAGTTGGGAAGTTGGAATTCTTGGTGAGGAGTTTGGAGGAGGTGGGGTGTGTGCGGGATGCGAGGGAAATTTTGGAGGAGGCGAGGCCGGATTGGGTGGTTTGGTGTGCGGGTTTGTGTTTTAGTTTCTTTTTTTTTGATTTTTTTTGAGAGGTTTGGATATTTGAAAGCGGGAGGGGGAGGAAATAGGAGGATTAATAACAGCTATGATATGATTACAACGAATAAAAGCTAATCTAAAAACCCACAACCCACAGGAGCCGGCGGCAAAGGCGACAAATCCCGCACCTATGCCATCGACCAAAACGCCTGCATCCACTTCATCCGCGCCAGTATCTCCACCCCCAGCATCAGCAAATTCCTCCTCGTCTCCGCGCTCATCTGTCGTCGTTCGCGCGCTCCCTGGTGGACCGATGAGGATTGGAATTATGTCGAGAGGGTTAATAGGGAGGTTCTTTCGGATTATTATAATGCGAAGTTGAAGGCTGATCAGGTGCTTGTGGTGGAGGGGGGGATGAGGAAGGATTGGGTTTGGATGGATTTGAGGCCGGGGACTTTGGGGGATGGGAAGGAGAAAGGGAGGGTGTTGTTGGGGAAGACGGGGGGGAGGGGTGCGGTTACTAGGGGGGATGTGGCGGAGGTGGTGGTTAGATTGTTGGGGGTGGAGGGGGGGAGGAGTGGGTATTTTGATTTGGTTAATGGAGATGGGGAGGGGGATGGGGATGAGGGGGTGGAAATAGGAGAGGCGGTTGAGAGGGTTTTGGATAGTGGGGTGGATGCTAGGGATGGGGAGGAATTTGGGGATTTAGTTGGGAGTGACTTTTTGAAGTTGTGAGGTGGGAGAGAAGTCAGGGGGATCAGGTGATGATTCATGGTACCAAACTGAGCTCTGGAATATATAGAGATAACTAGCGCAATAAAAATGGAATTTTGGACTATGTATTTTTTTTTTAATAAAAAAAAATCTATCTAGGTATCTATGCACTTATTTCCTTCAAATGTAAAATAATAAAACGAAAATAGTCGAGAGTTAAATTATTAGATAAATTATCTAGAACCATTCAGTGAGTAAGTGGTATTGGAATAGAAAGATTATTCAGATAAATGACAAAAAATCAACCTCAATCAAGATGAGCCAAAAAAGGCCAAAAAATAAAAGATGATGAAACAAAAACATACAACAGTGGGGATTCGCTGGTGGTCACCCACCCAACTACTAATCCACCGATCTGAAGCTTGTGTATGGCAGAGCGGACGGGATGCCCAATTCTCTTCAGTCTATGGTCGTATGTGGCGATTGGGATTTTGCATTGATTTATATTCCCTAATTGATAAGGTAGTTATAGTATGTATATCCCATTCCATTTACCACTCACACACTAAACCATCTCAATCACTCATTCAATCCCTCCCTCTCTCCGCAGCAAAACTCCCCATCATAATCCGTACACCCCTCTCCCCCTCCGCAATCTCATCATACCCCCAAATCGTATCAGCGATACTACGAACTTTCTCCGCCAGAAGCGGAAGATTATCAGAGATAATCGAATCTTCCATATCGAGTATGCGACCATAGTGGTTACAGGTACTTACGGCGATTGTGGCGCGCGGTTGGCGAATTTGTGTGTAAGCTGTGAAGAGGGAGGGGAGGGATAGCGATAGGTGATGAGAGGGGGAGGATTGGGTAGGAAATGTGGATACTAGGGATGAGGGGGCGTTAGATGGAGCGAGAGGGGTAGAGGGAAGCTGGGAAAGGAGTTTGGTGAGGATGTAGACGTCTTCGACTGATGGGTTGGTTTGATGGTGATTAGCTTGTTGTTGTATACTCGGTTTACTATGGGGAAATCGGAATCACAAACAGATCCTCAATAAACAATAAACTGAACTACCGGGAAGACCTCAGGTAAGTGAAGAAGAAAATGGAAATACATACTACCAAGACCAGCACCCTGCCCAAAATGCGGTGCAGTAGTGTGTGCAGCATCGCCGATTAGAAGGATAGGAAGAGTTGGGTGGTGGAAAGTGGGTGCTGTAGGATGGTAAAATGTTGCCCAGTAAGAGGGGGATTTAATGAGCTGAGAGAGGTTGTGTCAGTGAACGTAGTTTGGGCTTGAGGGGATCTGGGAGAAAGTATATTATGGATAAAGGAAATAGGGGATATATTCTGAATGAAATGGAAAAAGGGAAATAAAATTTGAACTTTACATGAATAACATGAGATGGAAGTGGTCATTCAAAAATAGTCAAATAATTTGATGGCTAGAAGGAAATGAGGAAAATACAAAGACAGTAATATGAAAATACCAAAGAAGATAAAATGCTTTAGGTGAAATCTAGCAAAAAAAAATCAATAACATAAAAAGGTTCAAACAAAAGAAAGCACATGGAATAAAATCCAGCGTTCAAGAAATCATCCACTCACCCTCATAACCCCCTCCACATCTCTCCCCCATCTCCCGTCCAAATAATCCCTCTCCAATTCCTTCTCCACATTCTCTCTCACCCAGTTCCCCTCCCAAACACCTTCCTCCCTATTCGCAAAAGCAACAATATTCATACTCTTCCCACCCTCCACCGGGAAAGAAACCACATGTCCCCCATGTCCCAAATAAAATATCCTCTGTCCGGCTTTCTCCCCTATACTTGCCTTTGCCTCTTCCATTGGTATTAAACCCCTATATGCCACTTTCCCCGTAAAACGTGCTTTTAATGCGTCTGCGTTATTGGTCGGTGTGAGTACTATATCCCGACATAGGGATTTGACGCCATCGGCGCCGATTACTAAGTCTGTGGTTGATGTTGTGCCGTCTTGAAATTGTAGTGTGACTTTAGAATCGCGGACGTCGGAATTGGAAGGAAGAGAAGTAGAAGTAATTCCAATTAAACGTTTTCCAAATCTCACATCGGCAGAAGAAGGGAGGAGTTTGATGAGGACATCCATCAAGGATCTTCTATGCGCGGTACTTTGACCCTCTCTTCCTTCTTTCATTCTTACTTGTGCTATTCTCTTTCCTTCCCATTCTTCATCCTTTCCATGTTTCTCTTGTGAGCTGCCAACTCGATCACCGACTATAAAATCCCACCAGACGTCATCGTCGCCCCAATTTGCAATAGCTTTATAACTTTCCCAGAAATCGGGATGGAGTAGTTTCATGATCCGGTGGCCACTTGCGCCGAATCCAATACCGGCTCCAATTTCCGAGTAGCTGTGGTGAGATTCGTAGATGGTGTAGCGGAGATGAGATCGCTTGTTAGGTGGGAGAGCAGAAATAGAAAGGGCGAGTGTGAGACCAGTCAGACCCGCTCCAATTATGGCGATATTGAGAGTCTCGCTTGGTTCAGGGACGGAGTGGGCTAGGCTGGGGTTTGGCATGATGGGAGTTGGAGGTTGGGCGTGTTTTAGATTGTGAACAGAGATATTGAAGAAGTGAGGAGGAAAGATGTACGAAGATTATTGTAGCGTCCAGATTATTGGTGGAAACTAGACGAGGGTTAGAGACAAGCTGGCGACTTAGTAGAAAGAGGGGGGTAAACGAAACATGAACTATTGAATATGAACCATATTGTAAAGTTTAAAGGTTCTGTAACTCAAACACTGACTAATGATAATATTGTGATATCCAAAAGAAAGGGTAGCTGAGTGGTGATATAGCACCAGAGACAAAACAACCTAAAGATCCCGCTGCGGCACAAGTCGTGTAGCTAAGACAGGATAGAACAAAAGAGGAATGTTTCAAATCTTTACAATGATAAGAAATTATGATCGAATCAAGAACCTTCAACATAGTTCAGATAGTTCCGAAGGTACACTGCATTAAGTATGTTAGGTAACTTCGGAACTGAAATACGAATCCGCGAAACCCAAATGCAAATGGTTCAGCAAGCTTCCGAAGTGAAACCTATGTGTGACATAAAAGTTCCATGCATTGAATCTAAAATAACGTTTAAATAGACTCGCTACTCACGCTACTATGCATCCTAAATGAAGAAGCAAGAAATGCTTCAAAATGGTATGATTATTAATCAGCCAAATTATCCCTAAGCTATGTACCTAGGACTTCTAAAAATTGTGATACCGTGAAACTTTTCCGCTATATCACCACCATGCTGGAAGAAACTACCCCGAGCGCCTACAAGCCACTAATACGTACCTCTAAAAGCAAAGTGACTATCGCCAACCCTATCGACGTCACATCTCTCCAGTAAATAATCCACTTTACCGGCAGCTCTAGACCTATTTTCTATCCACGAGAAAAAATTGCTTAAATAGATATAAGCCCAGCAGCGCAATAAGTCATTATTGAAACGGTTGTATATCTCAAAACGAACAATTGTGCTTCGGTACTTGCAAAACAAAGTGTTGAAGCTACGCCGTCGAAATTACCAATGCTGACTTGAAGCATTGTAGTAGAGCCAATCTTGTATGTTCAAACAATAATATTTGTCACAATGGTCCATAGCATCGGTTGAGCAACATAAATTCCACATGCGAGGAGATATACAGCTCCATACTTGGTAGGCACGTTGGTATGTTTCTGATTAAGGAGGATAACAGTACCAGATATAATCATGCTATATTAAAAACGATCGAATGCTGTAGGATCTTTGAAATGATCGGATAAGACTGAGGAGATCAGTGCAGATTTGCTGCGGCGACAAAGACGAGGATTCACAGAATTTGAACGTGGCGAGAATCTTGATGAAGAGCTATACCGATGTAATCGTTGGAGTAAATATCGCGACGCTATAAAGCGTGATTGTTGCGCATCCTAGAATTATGCCATTACACTTGATTAGCCTAGGATAGCCATTAAATCGAGGTATTCACCATATGTATGTCTTCCAATCTTTAAGGATAGTGAACGTGTGACGATCTGACTCCTCATCCGTCTGTTCAAGAAGTCTTCTTTCTTAATGATATCAGCGAGTGAAGTCCTTTCCTTATCGGACAACCATTTTGCTTGATGTGGCCAAGCCGGAATAAATGGGTAAATGGGAATTGCAACTGGAGCAGTAATACAATTTTCGACGATGAGGGACAGTCTCCACCATGAAGGTCTATCTGCACCCATGATAGTCATTACTATTATTTATACCAGCAATAGCAAATGCAAGCAATGCAGCAAATGCGTTACCAAGAGCGTTGCCAACCATCAACGTGCCTAATCTCCACTGGATTTCGTACGGAGGATAGTACTGACTCAAAATGTAAACACTTGCTGTGGTTTTGGAGGTGTGCTGATTTCTATTCTGACTGATGGTAATACCTGGTATAATTCTCGCTTCTAAATAGGCCAACGAAGAAACGCATGGCATTGAATCCTGCAAGATTTGTGACGAGTCCATTACCAATACCCGTGATCCCTATGCTATTTCAATTCTAGATAATTTATATTTCGAAAGATTTCACAAACCGAGGAAAATTTCTCCAGCAAGAACGATCTGTGTTGAACTACACCGAATATGAGTAATGTGTTACATGGAATCTCGAAAACAATAAGAACCATGCCGACGATGGAAAGATTTATGATGAAATCATTGCCTTGAATATGAAAATCTTTTTGAATGCCGAAGATGCTAGCGCTTCCAATGTTACCGCGATTGAGGACGGTAACTAGCCAAAAAGCACATAAAGCTAGCCAAACATGAAGATTAATCTTCCAAATAAACCTTCAATATTATTTGGGAGGGAGTGGAATGGGACTTGATGGTTTAGGAGACGAAGATTCTCAATTTTTCTTATTTTTAATGTCCCTAATTTCAATACCTATTGCCTTCTCCATTGTTATTTGTTTTCAATATGCTGTGGAAAAATTGATGGATGCTTATCAGAAACTAAGCTTAGACTAAAAAAGATGAGAGAGGATGGTTAAAGTAAAAATTGGGTGGATGGACTGAGTGAATGGTATGGGCTCCGATTATGAATAAGTTAATGAATAATAAAAACTGACTGATCTTTAGTGGAATAAGTTGCAAGCTGTTTCTACCTCAGTGTTTGAAGTTCGTTTTGAAGTAGAAGCCAATAACCTCGACGAGAAGTCATCAAATACACATCCAAAAGCTTTGTGGGACATGTGAAATCGAAGCTAGAAATTTGTTCAAAGCACTTAGAGTCTTCACGGTTTCCGTTTTGTGTAGAGCAAGGAATATTGCTGCTTTCCCATGACATATCCTCACTTGAAGGCATCATTGCAAAGATTTGAATGTCATGATCTACCGCCATTGAACCCAATGTAATCATAGATCATGTGTTTTTAGCCGGTCTGAATGGTATGGCAGACGTGATCCGTGAACCGAGACCTGGATGCTTCCTGGAACTGGAAGACACCGCATACCTACTGGTGAGTGACGCTGCTGCTGTCACTGGACTTACAAGATTCGAAAGAGTATTCAATATCAAGATAGCAATTTCTCAAGCATGTATTTAACATATGTTGCAGAAATTCATATCGAACTGGGACGAGAGTTGTTGGAAGGAACCTTGGAAGAGGGGGAGGTCGTCCGTGACGTTTCAGCGGCTAGACCTAAAGTGGATTAGTTCGAGTTTAATCCAACTCCCTCAAAGTTTCGCTCCAACATCATGATCTTTACTTTATCGTACTATATTAACACTGTCGCTGTGTTATACAATATGACGATACTGCTCTTGCTGTGTTACAGTTCTTGCATTTACAACCCAAAGATTATCAACTGAGACCTGCGTAGAATAGTATTCCAAATTTGCACGTGCACTCGCCGAGCTCTTCGTATAGAATGAAATCTAACGCACCACAATGCAACCTCAAGGTCGCAGTAAGTCACGATTAGGACTCCTGAGGTGACGTAAATTGTTTGGAATTCTCACGTCTTACCAGACTAAGTCTCTGTCTCAGCTATGCAAAATCAACCGCCGTGTTACCTCGATTTCGTCACACCAGAATTCTACCGTAGCACAAAATCGACACGGACTCACGATATAAAAGAATTATTATTCGAATCGCGAATGGTATGGATCTTGCACTACTTGACAAGTGTAGTTACGTGAACTACCAGAATCATTATGGTTACACCGAATGTCCTATTGATCGGTCAACATTTCTTTCACTACCTGCTTCTAAGTTTTGAATGGTATCTCTAAATCTTGGAATATCTAGAATATATCCGTGTCGAAACTGGTACATCATCGCCATCCTATTGTGATCTCGAAAATTTACTTAAAACAACAGTATTGTTCATGCTTTTAATTTTTATAAGGACATGAGGTAAGATTCCTATAGCTGGCTCGTAGCGAAAAAAGTCATGATGACCTCAAAAACGAATTGTGCGACTTTAAGAAGTACAATGAACCACTATCCAAAGAGTTTGAAGGGTCATGAAGTATCATTCCGTACCTACTCGTGCAAATTGCTTAGAATTTTACTCTTAAAGTCTGTTTAAATCTATTCTTCTCTCATCTTCCTCGAGAATGGTTTGCGAAAGTTCTACCTCTTTAATAAAGCCAAAATAACCGTCAATATCATGTCTGAGCTAACAGATTCCGGAACAGCTTGGCTGGCTACTACTATTCCACTTTTATTTATGTCCATGCTTGCTGTCATATTCCGTGTTGCATGGCAATGTGGGCGTTTGAACAAGGCAGATGTAGGCATTTCGATTGCTCTTGTGAGTGTTCTGAATGCGAATATCTAGATATTTATATGTAATTAATTGACACTACATATGCAGGGCTTCATGATCGCTCATGAAATCGTGGGGTGCGTTGGTGAGTACACCCGTCCAAAGGAGCCATTGACCAACCTAACAAAACACTGATAAGGCATATTTACTTGGGGACTGGGCCATGATGTCGCCTCTCTCCATCCCGAAAAGGCTCAAAAAGCTATCATGGTAGGGAATCCTAGATACTAATCAATTTCCCTACTTTTGCTCCAACATGTCAGCTTAAACTATACTAGTATCTCTACATCCTCCAAATCATTTATCAAACCACCATAGCCACGATCCAAATATCTCTACTCTTCTTCTATATCTCTTTCCACCTGCCAGGTAATTTCAAATCCATTTATCATATCACCACTCTATCAATATGCCTATCCATGATCGCTTTCGATACCGCAACAATTTTTCAATGTACACCAATTCCTTATATATGGGATCGCACAATCGCACATGGCCGATGTATCAATAAATCCACTCTCTCAATAACCCACGCCATCACGAATATATTCTTCCATCTCCTTCTTTTCATATTATCCCTACCTATCCTACGTTCTCTTCATTTGAGCCGTAACAAAAAATACGCAATATCAAGCATTTATCTCCTCGGCTGCTTGTAAGTATTCGTACTCCTCCTGATTCCTATCAAAACATCCCATCCAAAATTCCAATCATCTAATCCCTATGCAAAAACAGTATCCTCACAACCAGCATCCTCAACCTCACACCTCTCATCCCATTCTCCATTTTCATCCCCCCAACTCCCCAACTAATCAAAATCCCCAATCCCCAATCCCTCCTCACACACTCCCTCGAACCGCTCCTCTCACTAATCCTCCTCTCCCTCCTCTCTTTCCCCACCTCACACACCACTCCGCCCAAAACCACCACCACCACCCTCACCCGCTTCCCTACCAATTCCCCCTGGAAAACCCTCAAATCCTGCTCTTCATCCTTCAAATCACGCTCGTCGTTTAAATCCCTCTCTTCCAAGTATTCCCAACATACACATACACATACACACCCCGCCGCTTTACATATGGATACTAGTATTCTTGATGAAATGATGATTTATGTTACCGTGTTGGAGGATAGCGGGGTTGTATTGAGAGGAGATAGGCATGGTGAAGAGGTGTGAGTTTGAGTGGAGTGGGTGCGTCAGTTAGGTTATAGATGACGAGATGAACGAGGATGGAAAATTGAATCATTTTGTGATGGTAGTTTAGTTACAATTATTCATTTGATATGATGTGATGGTTGCTTGTGACGATGGAGAGTTTCCTAGTTTGTGGATAAAGCTATTATAGCTAGCTAGCTACCTATATTATATGTATCAAGAACATCCTCCATTCATCTCCCTCTCCATATCGCAGAATTTGACAATTTATTGCTCAAATCCCTCATGAAGTAAAAAGCCCCATATTCCCAGCAAATAGTAGACAAATTGGTATCATAAAGAAGAAATCATAAACCAAATGCACCAGTAGCACCGCCGCCTGCTCCTTATCCTCTGCCAACTGTCCTATACCCCTCATTTAGGTTCTGTCTATTAACTACCATCCCCATACGAAAATGTTCCTTTACCACCTCCCCATCAACTTCTCTCAATTTCTCGCCAAAAAAAACTAATCAGCAATATCCACCCCAAACTCCTCATACAACTCCCCAACTCTCACACCCCTATTATCCGCAATCATACCCAGTAATCCCTGTCCAACATCCTTAATATCATTATAATCGTGCAACAACTTGATATGTCTCTTGACCGTTTCCTTAGCAGGTTGCTCCAATCCTTGCGTGATTTCTTGAATTTTCTCTCGTTTCTGAGCGATTTCGATTCTGAGATTGGCGTTGCGTGTTTGGATTGATGACTATGAACGGACGGTAGTTAATTGATTTGCAGGAAAGTTAAAAGTGCCGGGGGGAGTAGACTTACGAGTTTCATAGCTTTCATCTCGGCTAAGAAGGCACCTTGTCGTTGTAAAGAGGATGAGTTGTTTGATGATGTAGAAAGTTGATTTCCGGAGACTTTGCCTTTAGAATTACGTGTAGCAGATGGGGTGATAATATCTTCGTCTAAAGACTCCGAAGTTTTTGCACCCTCTTTTCCCTTGTTCTTGAGTAAGGTTGGTCTTCCTCTCTTCTTCTCAACAATTAATTCTTCTTGCTCGTCGGCTTCGTCCTCGACAGTTTCCTCAGATTCAGCACAAACAAGCTCTGAATTTGCGGATTTTTGCTGTTCTTGTTCTAAAATTTCCGAATCACTGTCGCTAATATCCCTAGCTTTGGTTGCAGCAGGTCGACCTCGTCTTTTTCTCTGTGCAGGTTGTTCATCATGAGTCTTTGTATCCCCCTCAAAAGTCTCATTACCCTCAATTCTAGTATTTATTGCCTTGGTCAAACCTTCCTCGACAGTCTTTTTTTCTTCAATACTGAAACCCAAAATCTTGGTTCCAGATGGTCGACCTCGTTTTCTTGGCTCTGGCTTGACCTTTTTGACCGGCGGCGACTCATCTTGCAGCTCGTCCTCCTCCTCATCGGAGTTAACAATTTCTGGCGGGATATTCTTGCCAGTAGTATCAATACCTGACATGTTTTTGGCACTTCCAGTACCAAAGCCAGAAGCGCTGCGCGAGGGGCGGCCTCTCTTTCTCTTCTCTGGCGAAGAAGTTGCGGATAAGCTAGCCTCAGTCGCTGGTTCATTGATATCTGCATTCAAAACTTTATGAGCAACAGGTGTAACGTCGTCGTTGGGAGATGACTTAACAGTCTCAGCAGAGTTCTTATTTGCAATAATTAGACTGGAAGATTTACGACTCGAAGGTCTACCTCGTCTCCGCTTCTCTGGCGTAGAATTGACGCTTGGTGGCCCATTGCAATCTGAATTTACAGCCTCTTGCGTCACGATGCAATTAGGATTTCCCCTTGCAATTTCATCTGTAGCAGCTTTTTCAGCACCCAGCTCAGAAGCCTTGCGACTACCAGGTCCACCTCTCTTTCTATTCTCCGATGATGGATTGACAGGAGGTGGCTCATCGTTCCACTGCTCAACAGCAAGAGGCGCAATAATACCAATATCTGCAGCTCTTGCCACTTCGGAATCCGGAGCTCCTTCTAATTTTCCCTTGCCAGCCATCTTTTTGGAACTCTGTTCGGATTCCCCTTGGCTAGCAGTTCCACCCTCTTTTCTTTTCACCGGCGAGGAACCAATATCAGCTAATCTCGAGGATCCAATGCCATTCCCAGAGCCATTGATAATGTCTTTTGAGGACTCTTCCGCATCAATGTCCTCAGGGGGGTTTTCCGAAGCCTCATTGACTGATGGCTTCTCGGGATTCATTTGGGACAACTTTCGACCAGGTCTACCTCTCTTTTTCGGTCGTACAGGTGAACCATCATCCAAATCATCATTTAGGTTTTCATTCAACGTAGTTTCTTGGGCCACAACGTCATCATGTGGTAACGATGAGACCTTGTATGATAATTCTTCAGCCTCCGCGTTTTCAGTCTCAATTCCAGAAGACTTACGCCCTGCAGGTCTTCCTCTTTTTCTCTTGACTGATGAAGATGAGATGGTAACGAATTCGTCAGTGGATTTGTGATTGGGTGTTAAATCATTCATCTTTACATCCTCGAGAATCACCACTGAAACTGTAGGTAAGTTCTCTTTTGCAGCTTCCTCGGTGTCTCCTTTTTCTAGACTTAAAACGGACAAGTTTTTATTGACTGGTTTTCCACTCCTCCATTTAACAGGCGAAGATAAGTTCATGGCCAGCTCATCCATTGTTTCGTTGATTGCGAGCTCTTCAACATCATCAGCATTATCACAGAGATTTGCTGCCATGACACCATTCGATTCGCCCAGATGTCCGCCTGATTCCTCCGCATCTTGCTTCCGAGAACCCAAACCTGAAGACCTTCGGCGAGATGGCCTTTCACTCTTCTTATCTTCTTCCATGGAGGGGATAGGAAAGCTTGAGATTGTTTCGCCTCCCGATCCGGAACCAATGTTTGAATGCGAACTATCTTCATCCATCGAAGCCATCTCTTTCTCGGAATTTTCAACATCACAACTATCGTTCGTAACATTAGATAGTGTAGAAAACTTTCTCACAGCTGCTCTACCTCGCTTCCTCTTCTCCGGTGCAGGGCTATTGGGAGACAAATCATCGGTTGGTGTTCCCTTTGAAGATGAATGCTTTGTTACCTCATCTGCTTTATCGATAAAAGCCACTTTGGAGCCACCTGGTGCATCCACAGTTGCTTTTTCCTGTTCTGTAGCAAGCTCATCAACAGATAATGAAGAAGCTTTCCTACTAGATGGTCTGCCTCGTTTTCTCTTGTCGGAAGCAGGGCTACTTGAAGATGTTTCACTTGCCCGACTTTCCGCAGAAGATGAGTGCCTGATTACCTCGTCTGTTTGGTCGACAAAGTCACCAACAGACAGCGAAGAAACCTTCCTACTAGATGGCCTGCCTCTTTTTTTCTTCTCTTGCACAGGTGTGCTTTCAGTCAAATCGTCCTCAGCCTCCATACTCAACGCCTTATCTGAATCAAATTCGACAAGCTTTGCTTTCTTCTCGATAGGTTCCTTGATGTCACCTTCACCATTAACTATCCCAGATTTCTTTCTTCCTGGTGGCCGACCTCTCTTGTTCGTCTTCTTCTGTGGTATAGTTTCAGAAGGGCATGTCCCCATTTCTATTTTATCTTCGCTCTCAGATTTCGAATCTGCTTTCGGCTTCTTTGCAGAATCAACTGGTGCAATCTCGATTGACTGTCTATCTCCTATAGTTGTATCTATTCTATTTTGAAGGCTCTTAGCTCCCATTGTTTCCGGCCTGTTGAGATTTTTCTTTGGGTCAATGGAGCTTGTTGCACATTCTCTTGCAAATGAGCTTACGATATCTTCGGCCTCTCCATCGCTTATTTCTTCCCTGCTTCCATAATTTGATATATGTGTCCCCTCATCCTTCAAATTATTTATTGGACTATCGAGTGTTCTGTCAATATGACCAAGCTTCCGTGGAGATCGCTGACTTGACTCTGTGATCGCATCGCTGTCGGGAATTTCTATCTGACTTTTTTGTACCGGAGCCTCCATCCTGGGCAACGGAGGCAATTCAACATCTTCTTGCACGCTTTCATCATTCACAGACGTTTGATTAGCGATGCCGAAATCTTGCCCCAGTGAAAGAGCGTGCATATTGTCACTGTACGCAGCGTTCATGATATTTGCATCAGTAGTTTCTTCCGTGGCAGGGGAAATTTTCTCGAGAAACTCATTCTGGGTGGTAAATTTCATAGGTGGTTGGTCGAGAATAGACATTGAACTGGACTTTCCTTCAAGATTTCTCAGATTTTCATAGCTGAGTAAACCGCTAGCCATACTTTCAGCGTCGTGGCCTTCGATTTCGAAATGTGCATTTGTATTGGCGTTCGTTCCAGCTTCAACAGTAATCTCTGGACAAGTTGTTTTTAAAGTTGAGGTATTGTTGAGAGATTCTCTGAATCCATTAATTTCCCCATCTGCAGGCTTATCGATCAGTGGTTCGACTTCCATCTTGCTGGCGGCCTTTCCCGTACTTGACATGTCGTTGTGGCTTTCCTCTGGCACATGTGTCTCGCCATCTAAAACTTGATCCTCCATCCTATCATTCATCTGACCTTTGAAATAATTGCTCTTTTCGAAAGTATCTGCTTCTACAATGACACCAGATTTGACTGTCATTTCAGTCGTAGTTGTACTTGACTCTGGAATATTCTTATGAGTTCCATGAGGTATGTCGGTATTACCAAGGTCGACCACTTCTTCATCAATATTCTCGCTTCCAAAGAAATCCGAAATGCTTCCATCACCATCTCCCTCGCCTCCTACATCATCACGTTTCTCCGGAGTAATACCGCTACCCACTTTATTCAACTCGACATTTTCCACCACCACTCTTTGCTCTTGGCCCTCGGAAGTGTTTTCGTTCAAAGCCTCATCCACCAAGTGAGTGAAAATGTTTGCATGATCGTGCCGAGAACCTATATCGATATCTTCTTCTCTGGTTTTCAACATGGACACGACGTCCTCGGCCTCTTCGACCGGGCCATCATACTGTGGCAAATCCATTTGTCGCGATCTCATCTCAACATCATCAATCCGTATTTTTGATATTGATCCAGTCTCCTGATTCTCATGCACATCATCAGCCGACCCATCGTATTGAGCCAAACCAAATCTCCGTGATGTGCCCTCCTCCACCTCATACACTCTTCCAGCCCCACCAATATTCTCCTCCCTTTCCATAACCTCCTCTATATTCTCTAAGACCACTTCTGTCTGCACCACACCACCGTCTTCTTCCTCCAACTCCATACTCTCCGCCTCCCTAAACCTCTGCCAATCCCACTGTTCATAAAACTCCATCCCCAAATCCATCTCCAAAGTAACTCCATCCATTTCTAATACCTCCACTTTTCTCGTCCCTCTAGTCTCCTTTCTCCCTTCTCCCGACTTCTTTTACAGTTATCTCCCCTATTCCTTCCCACTAATTTTCCACCATCAAAACCCGTCCCGTGGCGATGATAAACTTTAAGTCTTGTATTCAACCTAGCTCAGGTGTTGCTTGGCTGTTATTAAAGTAATTGAAAATGCGATCTTGCATAAATTTAAGATAAGGTAAAAAAATCAAACATATCCTGAAGTAAAAAAGTAAAAGTAAAAGTGAACTTTCTTTCCCAGAACAAACGCGTCGATATCACCTGCGCCCTGCACGGACCTACAAAAACACGAAAAGAGCGGGTTAGTCACGTGGCAATATCAGACCAACTGGCTGTAAGGTTCTGGTTAGATTGAGTGAAGGTAGGTAGTTTACGGGACTCAAGGACTTTGTTTTATATATAAATATAGTATATGTTTCTAGTATGATGATTTCTAGAGGAATCAGACAACTACTAATATTCTTGACGGTCATATGCTAAAAAGGCACAGTTTTTTGTGCCGAGACTATTTCCAAATACTAAGGTCGATACTAACGTGGTGATGTATTGATAAATTGTATATGAAGCAATGATTAAATTGGGTTGTTGACCTGGTGGTCTATCAGAATACTTTGATGTGTGCTGACGGAAGATACCGCGCTGTGCTTGCGGATGAGCAATATGCCTGCTTTCTTTTAGTTTTGCATGTTTGTTTTCGCAGCATGAAAATCACACACATTTGCGAGCCAAAGTTTTGCCATGGAGATAAAAAATATCTCCATTCAAGGTCATTAAACGACCCGCTCGCTGTATCTAACATATCCCGGCAGCAGAACAGACGAAATTTTCCTGGTAGCTATGCCTTATAGCATTCATTAAATGATGAACACAGAAACCAAGAGACTACAGTCTCCAATCCCCCACAGCCCCACATATATACTTCTACCACTGAAGAACTTAGTAGAAACTCTCCACCATAGTATCTTTGTTCTTCCCCGCAATATCACTTGGACCTTGTCCCTCACCCAGCCTGAACACACTCTCCACCACACTCAACTCCGTAGCCGTGGTATCCAGACCGGTAACCGCCATCCAGTCATTAACAACCATACCCGCACCGACCACACTGCTACCTCTGTTCACACTACCCGCAACCAATGGAACCTGTAATAACGAAGATAATTCGTCTTGATCTTGAATACTAGTTTTAGGATGAACGATACCGCCCTGGTTGGAAAGTGCCATATAAGATCCGACAAGGACGTTATCGGCAATGGTCTGACGGAATACTTCGACACCGAGAACATCGGCGATAATTTCTTCGGTTTCGCGCTCCAGATCCGGGTGAACGAGAGCAACGTGATCGTTGGATACTATGACGTTTCCGAGAGCCGAAAGTCTCTCTTCTATTCTCTGTTTGGTTGTACGTCAGTATTGTTGGAAGGAAGTGGGACCTTCAGGGAGTTAAATAGGGCCTTGAAGCAGGCCCAGGCGTTTGGAGTATCGCCGAGCTTAAAGCTGAGAAGCCCAGGACTTCAATTCTCCAATGGCAAAGGAAGAAAACCCACCTGTATCTTAACGCTATCCGGTAAACTATTTCTCAAATGTTGCAATTCCTGATCCGTCGTACTCGTTGGCACCAAAAGTCCCTTCTTATTACCTGCAGTCAAACGTCCAATAATGCGAGTTCCGGCAATTGTCGCATGGCAAATTGGGATAACATCTTGGAGTTCTGCCTCGAATACACTTTTTTATTGGTCTCATTAGTTTTTTGCTTGTCAATCGAGGGGCAGTCAGGATGCGCCGGAGTCGGAAGTATAGTAATCTGAAGATATACATACCTGTAGAAATTTTCACTTGCGCCCACAGCCACCAAGGCATATGAGTTTGTCAATGTAGAGAAGACACCGACTCTGATGAATTCGTCTCGTTAGCATCACATCCAATATTTAGAACCTCTCTCCCGAAGGCAGCTCATCTATCCTCTCCGCGGATTCCCATTTCAATTCCCCTACTTTCCGGCACACCATATCGATTGTGCCTCCAAGTCCATTCATTCCATCATCTTCCGCAAAGATCGGAGGAGGGGTAACATACTCATTTGAGTTCTCAAACTGCGCACGAACAGCCATTTTTAAATGTTTCTCGAAAACTTGATCTTGTCTGTCTGTAATTGTTTCTGGTAAGGTATGAATCTAAAGTCTATAAGAAATGCGCGGTTGTTGTGAGTTGTAGATTATTATTGATTTGCCTGAAGATTTTCGAAGTTCTCTGCACTGGATTTATTAGAGAAATCGGCAAACCCTTCTTGATAACCAAAATACGCTAGCAGGGATTTTATGTGGGATGACTCTTACGGCTTTTCGACTCATTTTTGCTCAGAGTGAAATGTGGCGCTACATTTAGGATTTTCGACTTGCGGAGTATAATTAGTTTGTCACGAATATTATTTATGTGGTCCTGGTATTAAGATGCAGTAGCAGTGCGTCTTAAGGATGATATCTGTGCTAGGATATATTGACATTACTTGGGAGTCGTATTGGCATAACTACTAGCCATAGATACCTAGGTAAGTCACTCATTCTTCGCTCGAAGTGAAGGTGGCGCTGCGTTTTGAGTCACGCTTAGTAATCTGTCATCGAGGATATTGATAATTGATACTCATGTCGTGTTGAACGATGCAGTACGGCTTAAGGGTTCAAATCCCCGTACCTAGGCATACCGTATATGGTATTTTGCTCAGGTTTAGAGAGATAAGTGATCTCCGATCAAGCGATTAAAGTCTATCAAAATGAACATCTAGTGATTTTATTTGTGATCTTTCAAGTGATGAAGATGGTATGCATGAAATAGAGTGTTCTGGACAGTGCAGTCATAGTCAGTATGATGATCTGGATTAGGAGTCAAAGATGCTGAATATATCTCGATTCATATTTTTTACCAATACCGACGTCGAGTGTCTTCGGAGACAATGATTCTTGATATCACTTAAGATTGCGCTTCAACCTACTTCAAAGATATCGTGAAGCACTGAAGATAAAGAGAAACATTTTGAGAGCTGGACATGCCAAAATCCAGCCATTTCTTTATTTTGCATAACTTTATTGGGAGGAAAAGAAGAACCAGGAGGTTCTCGGCTGCTTCAAAATAAACAATTCCATGCATTTTTGCGGGTTATTCAATTGTCTGAAGAATGCTAACTGCAATATCCCAACGTACGCACGATCCCAAAACTCAAACCTTCTATACATTCCCATACTTCCGGAATCCTGCGAACAAAATACTCGTCTCTCTGAACTTGTCTCTACAACATCGTCAGTCGCATCCATCCGCCTGCTCATCATGCAACCCCAAAATCCGCGAAGAGCCTTAGCAGAACTTCATGTCCATAATTTCGTATCCGGTTTTGATCCGACTCTTTTAAGATAACCACGGCGACGGACTGTCACTCGGCATATGACTCTTAACAGGCTTAGGGACGATCCCGCGTCCGTTCCACCCAAAATTATAGTGTATCCTCTCAATTTCAAAGGATTCATAACAAGGCCCATCTGCATTTTTCCATTGAAAACGCACATCCTTTCCCACCGCCCTCTCTGCTTCCAATAAATGAAGTCGTTCATTTTCGTCTTGAAAATCCACAGCACAATGCCCATAATAAAACCAAGTCAGGTAATCAATAAAGGGGAAGTTCTTTCTCCCCACACCTTCCGGACAATTCTCTCCAAGGCAATATCCCTTCCTAAGTGGCTCCTTCAAAAGAAATGTCATTCCAAAGTCGCAACAAGTACGCGGTCCCAATTGCTCAGGCTTCCAATATTTACAAGGCCTTTTAAGCCCAGTTACGCAAAACCCGATATGCCCATCATTTGGATTTTCCAGTGGGGGTACCCAAGAACAGTTCTCCCAAGCTATTATTTCGTAGATGCATTGCTCTCCATCTCCATGCGGGGGAAAGTCGGATGGAACAGATGCACTGGCTCGTGAGAATGCTGGGAATGACCATTGCCTTTGATAACTTTCCATCGTTTCCCAAATACAAGGTGTTCCCACGTCATGGCCATGGCGGTTGAATACATGATGACGACCTGGATTATGTTGTTGATAGTTAGGCTCCCACATGTTCTTTTTGGGAGGCATTGGCAGAAGCACTCGCAAGTTGTTTGATAGTAAGCCACCTGCTATGGGACCAAGTGCGATAAAGAACAGCTGCGTTTGTCTTAGCAGGTATTTGATATAGTTATACTTTGGATAAGAAAGTGATTAGAGAGAAAATGAAGCAAAAGAATACTCAAAAATATTATTGCATATGAGTAAGAGAAGTTTCGTTCCTTTAAAAGGTATTAATCTACAAAAAAAAAAAACAATCTGTTCGTTATAATGCTAACACTGTTCACTCCTTCTTTAAATCTATATTACTCAGGCGCAACTACTTCGCTCTTCCTCATTTGACTTGATTTTGAAGAAACAATTGCAGGCTCTCAGTGCATTCTGAACTCAATATGAAATATCAGAGTTTTGGATGTACTCCAATATCCGGGAAAGTTTCTCGAGCATTCGATAATTCGTGCCGTGCACTACATCCATTTAACACCACACCACATCATGGAATGCATACATTAACTCATTGGTATACAATCATCATATGCACAAAGTATAAAGGCAAGCGCTTAATTCTTAATTTCAAGGTTGCAGACCTACTTCTCCCACGGTACCGGGTATTATGCTATTGTGCTATTGAATTTGTACATTGTGTCCATCTCCAACGTGTCCTCCTTCAAGTTCATACATAAATTTCCGTTCACCGAATACTCCTCATGTTACCATGTTACCATGTCTCCTAACTTCCACACTATCTAAACCTATCATCAAAATCTTAGGCCCGCATACCTAATGATCATTGCTCACCCGCTTTTACTCCTCTCATACTGCAGGAGCCACTCTGTTAATTTCTCCACGATTGTTTCCGGATACAACTTTTCCGGCGAAACCCCCTGGTAAAACCACGCATTGAATCGATATGGGGGATTCGGAACTGGTCTATCCTTCGCGTCCAACTGCTGAAATCCCGGACAATGTGGTCCATAACAAAACCTTTTTCTCTCCTCAACAACCATAATATTATGTTCCTTGCAACATTCATACACGTTCGATTGTGTTTTTACAATTTCGCGCATGGCCTTGCATAAAAAATGACGCAAAATCCTTTATGTTTATCATGCGCGTCCGAATGTGCGCACTCCCACTTTATCGCTTCATATATAAAAGGATATTCTGGAGGAGGGCGACAGGGACGACGAGGAACATCATCGCGATGAGATTTCCCAGATATATATTGTATGGATGTATATGTTGAGGTGGGGTGCTCTGGAAATGCCCAGTTAGTTGGAATCATACTCTGATCCAAATTCGCGTCTGGAAGTCCACTAGAGCTTGATCTTGGGTCGTTATATTGAGTATCGCTTGAACGCTTGGTTATGGCCATTTCCTTGGGTGTATGGGGCTTCTTGGTATGCTCGGAAATGGGTTGCTGGTACAGTAATAATAAGATTGATATTCAATAGAGAGATTTCATCAAACCATGAACTCTCTCTGCTTTGAATGAGGTGTTTGAGTAGCGTTGGATAAGTTTCTTTTTGTCTTCAAAGAATAATAAAATTTTCAGAAACGGACAAAATAAAAATGGGAATTTATACCATTAAATATACATCCTAGGTCTACTAGAAAGTTCTAAATGTCGTCAGATAATCCGAAATGAATCAACCGAATCACTCATTCTGTGTTGGAAGACTCAAATAAAAAAACAGTCAGAGATCCAAAGAATCATGGCATTTTGAAGATTCATTCCTGCTCATTTTTTAAATCCATATTTTCGAATTGAATTTTTAGTCCTCTCTCTCAGTGTTCTGATACACATCCGACGTATTTCCAGCCAAGTTGGTCGTACATGAGCAATGATTTCCATCACTTCCATGATAATACAGCTAGCTCAATCTGTATGAGTCCATTATTACTATTAGTAAAATAATATTTGAGTGAGTATCTTGTAGTTAGATGTAAGAATTTACTACTTGGATTCATGGCATTTTATATAATATTTATATTTCTGTTATTTATCGTATCTGGTTATCTGGGTTATAGAGCGCTTGCGAACAGTGGTTGCCAGGATGACTTTCCTTCAGTGGGGAATTGTGATGGATTGATATCATGTGGAAATTCAATATTACATGGAATCGGAGTTTCGGGGAGCCCTGTCTTGGGTGAGTAATAAAAATTTTGGGTTTTTTAAATATGATAATGTAGTCATGGGATATATAGAGTATTACGCATGCTTCGATGCGAGGCCGACCAAAGAATCACTTACCTACTTGTGGATAATTAGTGATAAGTTTTGCTTATTTTGGTGGGAAGGAAAGTATTACTAAAGGATTTGAATGAAGATTCAATTATTGTGTTGCTGGTACAATCTGGAATTTGGATGTTCGTGTCAGATGAACTCATTCTCTTGAACCTCAGGTGGGCAGTTGGTTGTTTTTTAGGGTTGAAGGTGTCAGCGAGATTGAATTTTGACCACTCATTTTTGATATCACCTGTAATGAGTATATATTCCAGTCTGAACTACAACTACAGGAGCGATTCTATTGTGAAAAAAAATATCATCTTAACGATATCTTTCCCATATTCATGAGCAACGAGGAAGCCGATGCAGAGCTATGAATGTCAACCAATATCACGCATGATTCAGATTCGTATTCAAGCACTCATCAGCATACAAAGAACAAGTATGACACCCAAGTATATCCAAATACATATATGAGCAACTCCTAGTACTTATGATTCTTCAAGATAAAAATGAGTAGTTTGAATTTAAGATTTATGACTTGACTCATGATTTCCTGGTGCATCTGCCCTATATCTTTATTCGTCTCCCCATTTTCTTTCCTTTTCTGCCTCTGAACTTCATACTCCAACAAATAAATCTGGATTAAGTCAATATTTTCAAAGCATACTCAAATCACAACATCCTAATACAAACAAAACAATAAGCTTTTCCATCATCGGTCTCAATTTTACCTCATACTTAACATCATACCAGCCCATCCCTGTACTCACAACCGACTTTCCTACAAGAAATATGTCCGGACGCAATCGTCAACGCTACACTCAACGTAGTGGCTACACCCGCAACTCACATGGCGACATCGACAGGTCCTCCTCGCTTCGAGGTACGGATGTGCCCGTTACGAAACCATATGAATTTCCATCATTCCTCCAAGCAGGTGAACCCCCCCAACCTCTCAATTATTTCCACCAAGCACCAGAACTCGAAATAGAACGTCGTGGCGACACCGCAACTATATCATCTAGATACACCTCATCTCAAGGTCATCTTCTCCTAGCATCAAATCAACAAGAATGCGTCTATAAAGCAATTGCCTGGGATCAATGTTTCAAAACATGTAACTTGGGAGATCAAGGTATTGCAAATAAGGGAATTTGCATCCTTAGTCATAAAACTGCCTGTGCCAATTACAGAATCGGGCAACGGGGTCCCTATGTTTGCTGTGGTACACCGACATTTGAAATTCGTTGGGGCGATAGTAATTAGTGTTTTGGTGAAGGTTGTCCGGGACTTAAGGAATATGCGGACCTGAAAATAGAACCGCACCTTCATTATTGGGATTATCATTTGGAGTTTTATTGTGGGCATGATGCTGAGAAGCTTGCGGAAGAAAGAAAAAATCGACAATTGAAATGGGCGCAACACTTGAGGGAGCAGGAGAGAGATCAGAGAGAGAATAGAGAATTTGCGGCGAAGAAGGATAGGGAAATATCGGGAGAGTTGAGCCATTTTTATGGTGGAAATACTGGGGATTTTGATGATGGGTTGTAGGGCTTTGGCTAGTACATTCTGGCAATGGTACTAAGCTAATTCGGAATCATGTTTGAAAACATAATTTTGGATTACTGTATTTTGTCTTGATGGCTGTATTGGCTCATACTGGTTGGTTAGTGGACGAGATCGATCTAGTATTTGTTTTGTGGTTGGGTTTAGAGATACTTGAGAGGCCACCAAGGCCTGGAGAGCCGATCTTTGATACTTCCGCGCGAAGTAAGCGTTGATATTCAATAAAAGAATAAAAGCATGGATTTTCTAATAATCCAAAGTCATTAAAGGAGTGAAGAATACTGATATCATATTGGACAGCGTTTTCGGATCTAACAAAATATCAATATATAATTAAATAAAAATATAAGTCCCCTACCCTACATTCCGACCGCCCCCTCATTCCGACCACCTTTTTACACCAAAAACCATAATTTTCACTTAATAATAACTTTATAACTAATGAACAAAATTGATTGAAATTTTTATTATAAATAATATATATAGATATAAATGGATTCCAAAAATTTCAGACTTTTCGTGATTTTATTAATTAAGATATTGAAAGTCAAAATCACTTATAATCGATGACAAAATGTTACGCCGAGTAACAGGAAACTCTCACGTGCAATCAATATCATGTGATTGGCTCAGTGAGGGATCAGTGAGCTCAGTATTGAGCTGTATTGATCCTATTGAGTAATCATCAACATAAAGATCTATATAATCTAGATGGATTTCCTTTATATAAAGCTTCATATTCAAGATCAATCATTTAATATACTCTACTATTAATTACGAATTGTATTATTGTTATTACTTTAAATCCTTGTTTGATATTTAGTTATAAATTATCTCGAGAGCTTAGAGCACTTCCATATGATCTAGATGGCAAACCTTATAACATTCTGTAGAACTAAGATTATAGGTGATTTATATAAAAGGCCAATATAGCCTCAGTTCTACCCTATCAGCTTCTCACTATTCTCTGTGTAAAGTCATTTCTTTTAATATAATTGTAACGATACTGTATTAAAGGCAGCGGCTGCCTAAGGTTCGTCGGTTGGTAGTTATAGGTTAAGGCTTTATCACTGGTATTCACTTGAAAGTGAATTCGTTACTAGATCAAATAGAATGTAGGTAAACTAATTGATAACTAAGTTGAGCACGAAGCTCCTAAACTATGAAACTACTCTGACTATATAATGAACGAAGAAGGGAGCCCCCAGGAGCTTTCTGGCTCCTCAGGGCTCCTGGAGCTCTAGGAGCTTTGAGGGCTCCTAGGGCTCCTTATCACGTGATTTATGATGGTGCGTGCATACACGATCTTCAGGTGACCAAGATCACATACTAATTCGATGAAATCTGATCGTGTTTGCACAAGGCCTAAGCTCTCCTAATTAATCAGTTTGCTACCATCGTAACACCATCAATCCTAATGGTGAATCGTGACATCGAGATGATTTATAACTAAACATCAAACAGGGATTTAAAGTAACGACAATAATACAATTCGTAATTAATAGTAGAGTATACTAAATGATTGATCTTGAGTATGAAACTCTATATAAAGGAAATCTATCTAAATTATATAGACCTTTGTATCGATGACTATTCAGTAAGATCAATACAGCTCAGTGTTACGAGGTTTGCCGTCTAGATCACGTGGAAGTGCTCTAGGCTCTCGAGGTGGTTTATAACTGGACGTCAAGCAGGGACTTAAGTAATGACAATGATGCAATTCGTAACTAATAGTAGAATATACTAAATGATTGATCTTGAGCACGAAGCTCTATACAAAGGGAATCCATCTTGATTATATAGACCTTCGTGCCTCGTTAAAAATCGATGGCTATAAACCCGACAATTCGATCACCGCAAAACCGGTCTCGATTTGTCGGTTTCTTGATCATGTGATCAAGAACGTGACCTATGTTACTGTCCGACGTAACACTTATACAAATTGAAAATCATAATTTCAATTTTCAATTTCTCAATCAATAAAATCGTGAAAAATCTGAAATTTTCAGAATGTACTATTATATAAATAACAAATTCGTAATTAAAATTTCAAAGAATTATATTCATAAATAAGAAAGTTATAAAAGCCGATTTTTGTTATTTTTGGTAAGGAAAAGTGGCCGGAATTAAAGGCGGCCGGAAAGTAGGGTACTAGACTTATCTTATATTCGAGAAGATACCTAGGTTAAGGTTACTCGAGTAGATAATCTAGTCTGTGCGCAATATCTTAACCTCAACAAAAAGAAATCACTACATTTCTCAATGAAAAATCGTAAATACCTATTATATAGAACGATACATTGGTGTCTACAGAAGAGTCAAGCGCTTAGCGTATATATCCGAATTCTAAAACCAAGTATGCGTACCCTCAAAGTGAGATTTAGGATTCGGGCATTTTCAACTTCTGTTAAAGGTAGGTAGGTAGGTATGTATGTAGGTACGAGTAAGTACCTACTCATTTGCAATTCAGATAGGTTAGAGGAGATCTCATCTCATCTCATATGGATCGCGATATACTCGGTAAGATGCGCATACTATACTCCGTGTAAGTAAGTATCTAGGTATGGATTTGAATGTTGGATATACAGTACATAGTACCTACTCAAGAATATTGCAATGTGCGAGTAATGAGTAAAGGGTAACGAGTCGGAGTAATGAGTAATGTAATAATAATAAAGATATGTACCTAGGTATTCTTTGTAATGCCTAGACCAGGTGACCGGGTCTCTGGTAAGGTTGGCATGGGGATTAATTGCCCCGGGACCCATTGGCAAGTTTGTTTTGCTGTATCTGTATCGATATCTTATTGTCTGTAACTCTGTCTGTATGTTTAAAAGATGGATATCGAACGCTTTGCTTTGCACATAGCAGGTGACTGGCATGTTCAGACAAAATAGATTTTACGGTGTGCATACGCAGTGCTGTATAGAGTACATATTTCTATTTTTTAATATTTTTTTCATGGGGGTTCAGGGCTGAATTGCTGATACTCGGGTAATGTTCTCTTTTGGGAGGGAGGGTCGCCGATGTTACTCTATCTCTTAACTTGTTACCTACCCAGGTTAATATTTAAGGTATTTATTGATTGATTACATCATGTTATCTGCCTACAGATGGATACTAGGTAGAGAATGTAAACGTTTCGGAATGTTCGGTAGCTAGCTGTTAGTAACAGATATAGAGATTGGAGATCATTACGGAGTAGATATGAGATGAGGGAGGAAATTAAAAAGAAATTCTATCAGATATCTTGGATATGTAATATCATCAGCATTGTCTAGTATATATATATATATATATCAATCTCGATGGGAATCAAATGCGAGAGACTTTCCCGTTGCCAAGTAGGTAAGTACTCACTACTCACTACTTACCTATCTTCAAATTGTAAAAAAAGAATGTAGAGGACAGTGAAGAGCTAGCTAGATAGATGAAGGCCAGAATTAAAAAGTAGGGAATGACCTTGTCAAAAAATGCGATATAAATGAATCCAGAACTCTTGATTGGCATTATAGGAGGTACGATGATGAGATATTAATTAGAAACATTGGAACCGTGCCAAGTGTTCCGTATATTCGAGGGGGACTTTGCGGTTTGATCGCAGATGCATCGATCATGGCAGAGTTTTCCCTGTCGTAACTCGTAAGAGATGGAGAAATGGAGGCACGGTTGATAGATAGAATGTTAGAAAAGAAACGGGTATTACAAGATTGATGGATCGATCGTGCTGAAGGAAATACTACTTACCCTGTTGTATGACTGACTGACTTATAGCTATGTTCTCTATGTAAAAGCAGCTAAGGAAGTAGTAAATAAGTAGGTAAGTAGGTAGGTAAGTAAGATTTAATTTATCTCCATCTCATCTGCATATTGAACGGCGAGGTGTACCAATATTTTCCTATGTTCAAGCTTACACGAAACGAACCATGACGATACGATCTGACCCGTACTTAGTCCAATGAACCCTCGAGCTTTCTATTTTAACATGATAATTTACACATTGCGTTACCTAGATATCTACTTATGTGCTCATTGAAGAAAATCTGATTAGATGACAATGGATTAGATGAAAGTGCAACTTGACAACTGATACACTGTAGAACTTTTTCATCCGAAGATACTTTTATTTTCGTCGTTTAGAAAGTTTAGAGTACTCCATAGAGAACCCTCGGGGCTTTTTTTGACCTGTCGATCAAAATCAATCGTCTGAACACCGCCCCTCCCTTTTTTTTCCTTTTTTTTTTTTTTTTTTTAAACTTTCATCTATCCTTATGAAACGTACAATGCTATTATTTTAGCTGATCTCTCCGTTTCGCATTTTCGCCGTTTCGAAATGACAAGATATATATATCTATTATGATAATTTTACAATACTGATGAATGATGACCTTAACAATAACATATACTTGCCCCACGATGAAAAAGAAGAAATAGTCTTTTCCTGTACTCCAAACTCATGGCTGCAGCCAGCAGCTTAAATGCAGGTACGTGGAAAGACGACCCTTACATACTCCGTACCCACCTGGTGATTATTTTACGAAAAGCCCCTTATTTATAAGGCTCTTATACAGAATAGCGAAGATCTAAAATCTTATCCAAACAAAGTCTCCTTTGATTCTTTGATTCTTTGAACCAATCGTATTGGATCCCGGTAACGTTGCCACTAGCCTTCTCATGGGGGGGGTAATACGCACAGATCAATGATCACTGATCAATGTAAGCTCTCTTTCATAGAACATACCTATTAGAGGTACATAGGTGGGTAGTATATCTTTTCTTTCCTTGCACATCTCCCATCATCTAGGTACTAGGAAGCAGGTAAATATGCTAACATATGCCATAAGCGAAAGATCGACCGAGCATTAACTCTATTAAACACAGTATTATGCCATATAACATTGAAATTATATCGTCGTACCTCTTTGCATGCGTCCATATCATACTCCTATTTTGCGAACCGATATCCATCAGTGTGTACAGACAGTAGTACGTACCTGGGGCTAAGTTGTCAACAGAACAGGGAATATTCATATGATCATTATGCCAAAATATCAAACCGCACCATAACAAACCAAAGCACGACAACAAGTACACTAAAGGACACTAAAGTACATTAAAGCACATTAAAGTATACTAAAGTACACTAAAACTACACTACAACAACCGTATCCATTCCCACAGACGGTGACAGACCCCATCAAAAGACAGAAAGACCTGTAAATAGAGCAAAAGTTTAAACACACAGATGATGTCCAAATAATCAACATAGCATTCGACAATCAATCTCTCTCGTCTTTTCTCTCCATCTTTGGCTAATCTGATCTCCATTGCATCTAACCCGGAAAAGATATTCTTGTCCGCATGCTTCATGCATCGTCACACATACATTCAGACGGGCATATATACATAATATTGAATAAAATTGCGAAAGAAAAGTCTTGGAAAATATCAAAAACGTCACCGCCACATTACTTTAGAATTCAGTCGGTTCTAGATAGATGCGAGGTTGAAATTCATCAACTCGATACAATCACACATCCACATCCATCCGTACAGACCCAAAAAAAGAGTTTACCCCTCCACCCATGGTCAAAATCCAAAGGTTCCGCTTCGAAAACGTTCATTTCGAATCCTCAACCTCAAGCATCATGAGATATCAAAATCAATATCTCACTCACCACCACCACCACAACACAATCAAAGCAGGCAGCTTCCTTACCTTCCTTACCTTTCCACCATCCACATCTTACGCATCATCCTGCGGATTTCCCCTCCTCGTCTTCCTATTGGCCGCCCACACACTACACACATAATTTCCCCAAAATCGAAATATATATATCACTATCATTTATAGCCTTCCCCGCATCATTATTGCTTCATAGCCTGCAGCGCCACAGAACCATTGCAGCTGTCGTTGTTTACGAGCACCGTCACCATATGTACCCCAGCTATCAAACAGATAATGTTTCTTTCCTTCCCGCAACTCAGCTTGGTTGCCTGCGTTTTTGGCATCCTGCTTTTGCATTCTTTTACTCAGGGCTTTTGATATCCAATCCCTTCCCGTCTTTGCATCTATACATGCGACCCTAGTCCTGGTATCATACATACATTCACGCATCAATCCTCTGCTTATGTACTGCCCTAAAGATAAACGCGACGAATTAGTTAAATTTCCACAAGCGACGCGTGAACGAGTGCAAAGCCAACAAGAGAAAGGCTTCACCGTTGCTTTTCCCATCCTAGTATCATTTTATTGTCTGGAGGATAGTCTCTCATTTCTTCAATTTCCATTGATCTGATTCTTGCTTCTCTCCTCCGATACTTCCCGTACCAGGGGAAAATATGAAATTTGAGATGTGAAATGAAGGATTTTATAACATTCGATCCCATCGCGTGGAGTTAAAATATCTTTATTTTTTCGCATCTCGGAAAAGTCTATTTTGATAGGTCGATGAATATTTACACACATATACATAGCAACGGCACTACCACCAACCCAAAACCCAAAACCCAGAACCCAGCAGCCAAAACATTCAAGCACTCAACTCACACGACATATTGTGGAGAACATCATTCATTTATTACCATTTATGTGCTTCAAGCATCCTTCGCAAACAATCCCGAAAAGGAAGACGAAGAATTGTAATAAAGAGGAGACATATTCGACGACGTCAAGGGCCCCATTTATTTTTTTCTCCGTTCAAACAATCATTCATTCATTCTTCGCTCAATCATTCAATCATCACTCACTCATCCACTCACTCATTCATTCATTTTCATTATTCGAGAGGTTCATAAGCTTTCCTCACCGAACAATCAATTCCCTTGCCCCTTCATTCTAGACCCTCGTTTCGCCCGTTCCAAACATACCCTGCACCATCCCACACCGATTCCAGAAGGAAGGGAAAAGAAAAAAAGGTTGTGCACCTCCAGGAGTCCAGGTGCAGCTTCCAGTAGCATTCAATCATTTCAATCCACACGTCCCCGCCTCGCCCTACGAGCGAAACAACACGAGACGAGCACAACCCTACCGGCCCCATCCAAAATAAATTCCCCAAAAGTAAATAAGACGCAAATCAGCCAATCAGCAAATCGGCTGCAGAAAAGAAACTCTATTCGGCATAATCCAAGCTCATCCGTAAGGTTCCTTGGAACTAGACTCGGTATTGGAAAAATAAATTACTTTCGAAATCCAATTCCCACTAACCTGGTCATTATTCTTCTGAAGATATAACTCCACCCAACAACCTTTTATCCCGTCCCGTCGTCAACGCAACGCAACGAGCAACGAGCAACAAGCAACAAATTCCGAATCCCGCAAAACCGTTTTCTCCGAATCTCTTCCCTCCTTTTCTTTTTCCCTAAAATCAAAACGACTACGACTACGACTGCGACTACGAGGACGAAAATCATAAAACATTACCTGTGCAACCACGTGCAACAGATTCCCATTTCGAGAAATAGATCCCACGTTTTGATCCTCTATCTTTGCAGATATTCTTGCGACACTCCTTTCAAAATATCCAAAATTAAATTCTACGACAGAGAGCACCGCATTGCCTGCTGCATTTACTGATCTGCCTACCCACCTGCATATCATATCATCATCCTGCAAGTTGCCGAAGCTCAACCAATCCATGCTCACGGATTCTCCCAAGCTTACTGCACCGCAATATTTCCCACACACAGACATTCATCCATGCAGGATTAGCTACTTACCAAGCAAAAGCTCCTAGCAAACAGTTTAGATATACATCGTACACAACATCTTCCACAACCTTTCCCGACATTCTTTTTCTAGTAACTTCACATTACATACATTAACGATCCCGTCCCTGCGTACTGCGTGGAATTTTCGATACATTATCTTCCCTAGATTATCTTTGCATTCCATCATATCAGATCATCGGCGAAGTAGAAAGATTGGGTGCGAGGAAACGAGGAGGTGAAAGCAAGCCACCAAAGTACGCCTTGGTGTAGCCTCGGAACCATCAGCTTGAGACAAGGTCTGGATACACAACATATTGTCCATACACTCCTTTTGGGTAATACGCCGTACGTACGACTTTGGTTAAAGATTGGATGAACAGTACGTGAAGAAATAGAGGGGTGTCTTGTAATTTTGAATCCGATTCTTTCATCGTCCATTCATCGAGCCAGAATTCCTAAACACTCTCGTCGTGTGTACTGAGAATAATCATCTTTGCGAGAGTTTTGTCTTCTTGTCAGTCGTTTATCTCATCTATCTGACGTCGCGTCCCGCACGCCGCTATTCATTGCTACCTCTCTGAGGCTTTATATCCTTCGTTGCCGCACCATACCACGCATGCTATCACTTCAGTAACGCCACGGCTTCTCTCGTTCACCCAATCGACATCATGACAACCTCAAAGGTATTGCCCTTGAGTTTAGGTTTTCTAGCATTGGCAAGTGAAACTGTCATGCTTACCTTTAACATCATCTTTTCAGTCACCATTTCGAAACATCATACGCCAAACAAAGCAAGCGTATTATCTTACGTCGCGTCTGGTCTTGGAGCTGTCACAGAAGCATTACTTGTGCTACTGGTTATCAGACAAATCAGGTACCAAAACCACATTCAAGACCGTGGAAATGGACGGCTACGAATATATCTTTTTGCCGGACTCACCTCCATATTTACTATATTATCGGCGATAGCCACAGCACTATCATTGTGCTTTATGAGACAGGACTTGTCTTTGCTTCCAACGAAGATTCTCTCCTCCCAAGCGCAATCGATGACGGTGGGCGGATTCATCATCTGGGCGATATCCTTGGCTTCACAAGCTATATTTCTCATTTGTTTAGTGGTCATTCAAAGGAAAGACTTTCATCAACAGATTCAACCATATATCACCGAATCAGAAAGACACACCTCGTCAGAAATGCAGCAACGATCACAACCTCAAAGCATGCATGAAGGATACGATTATGAGAGAAACAGCTCATTAGAAAAGACTCAATGGTCAATTGGTAGCAGATCCCGCTCGGGATCAGATCCAAAGCGATCGATAGGCTCGATTAGATCGTCAATTTCTAATGTTGTACGCCCAATCACTTCGAAGACTCGACTTATCCATTCCAAAAGTCAATGCAGTAATAATTTTCGAGCACCTTCTATTGATTCGGCTCAGCGCGAAACAATTGTATCCATCGAGGACGACTTTGATTCATGGAATACATCCGGTGTAGATGCACAATCTAGACAAGTTATCGAATCAGCTTCACCTAGCCCTCCAAGATTTCTCGAAACAATTCCTGCTAGTCCGACTGGCAGTAGAAGTCCTAGTCCAGGTTTCCCGTTAGATCTTGAACCACCAAGGCCAGCAAGAAATGGAAGTTACAGTCCAGCCGGGAGTATCAGGAGTGGAAAGTCTGTCTATCGAGCGAGGACAGGGGCGATGAGTCCTGACAATACAAATGAAGAAAACATTCATCCTTTATTTAGATCCGACTCTCCTAGTCCAGCACCAGCGGCAACCGCCGAAACAATGATAACGGCTGCTCCGGGCGCTGGATCAATTACCTTATCAGATGTTCACAGTATTCGTTCAATAAATCGATTAAGAAGCGAAAGTCTACCTCCACTCATGCATAATGCCAGTCTGGATAGCATCCGACGAGCAATCGAGGAGGAGGACATGGAAATATCCCTAGAAGTTGAAGGCGAACGTAGCCTAACACCACCCATACCGGAATGGATATTAGGAGCTGGACCACGATCCAGCATGTCCGAGTACAATCGCAAAAAAGGCACATCTCTGAACAAGATATGACAAACGAATATGATGGAAACATTGGGCTATTGAAAAATGGGAGTTAGGGATAATCAAAAATAATGTTTGATAAAAGCTTCCATGGAGGGGATGTAGTGGCCCCGCATATATCGACGAATTTCTTTAAACTCTTATAATGCGGGATTGGGAATGTTCATGATGAAAGAGATACCAATTTTTGATTTTTTTTTTTGTTGTTTGGGCGTCGCTTGACTGGATTGGATTGAATTTACTTGGCTTGAGCTGAGAATTCTTAGATATATCTTAAATCTTAACGAATTAAATGATTAAATTATTTTATAAATTTATTCTTTGAAAGATAAATATTTAAGAAGATGAAATTTGAATTTCTTTTATATTTATATTTATATATATAAGAGATTATATAAAATATTTTAAAATATTTTAGTGTTACACCTGTTGCGATAGAATGTCACATGACCTTGAAAACACGTGATGGAACGGTGAGGAACGGACGTTCCTAGGAACAATCAGGAACGCCCGCTCCTAGGAGCAACGGCTCCTGACTAGCCATCGGCACAAAGGTCTATATAATCAAGATGGATTTCCTTTGTATAGAGCTTCGTGCTCAAGATCAATCATTTAGTATACTCTACTATTAGTTACGAATTGCATTATTGTCATTACTTTAAGTCCCTGCTTGACGCCTAGTTATAAACCACCTCGAGAGCCTAGAGCACTTCCACGTGATCTAGACGGCAAACCTCGTAACAGTGTGAGGTCATTCCTTTTAACATCTTTTAAAATTAAAATTGTTTTTTTATTTTTATTTTATATGATTTCAAAAAGAATAATTTTTTAATAAATTATATTTTAAAAAAGTATTAATAATTTATAAAGAATTAATTTAATAAATTTATGTTACTGTTACGAGGTTTGCCGTCTAGATCACGTGGAAGTGCTCTAGTGTGACCAAAAGGGTGTTTATAGACCAGCAATTGTATTTAACTTAGAATCTACAGGTGAAGAGCACCTGTAGATGGGGATAGCTACTCTATATATACACAAATGAATGGCCTAGCCGCAATAGCTAGGCAAAAAGAAGTCATATTTATTCCTCCAATGATCTTACTTTACCGATAACCATTGATACCTAGTACTTGTCCGGATCTGATCGTCAGGTCACCTAAATCGCATACTAATCTCGAGTAATCGTATCATGTGTGGACATGGTTAATGTACCTGAGGTTTCTTATATAATAAGGGTGGGAGGAAAGCAGGGATTTCCGTCACACTAAGTGATTGAATTGACTCCGTTTACGACTTTTCCGTCACAATATTTAATAATAACAGATTTTGTTAAAGTGAATGGTTCCTATGTAGCACATACACATGGCACTAGTTCTATTAGGACTAGATTGAGAAGCTCTCTGTAGAAGAGCTTCGCACTTCTATAGAACTTAAATAATGTGTGATTTATATATACAAGATCAATATAGCCTCAGTTCTGCCCTATCAGCTTCCCACTATTCCCTGTGTAAGGTCATTCTTTTTTATAGATTTTATAATTAATTAATTAAAAAGTTTTATATACATATCAAATAAAATATTAATTATTAAAAAAGGTTTTATAAAGAAATCATTAAAATTAATATTCAATAATTTAATAGTATTATAAAGTATAGTCAGATATTTGAGTGATTGTAAGGCATCCTGATAATCTGATTGGTTAATGATATCCTCGTCAAGCAAGGCGTCATGAGTTGGCATTCTAGAGAATACCTACCTTAAAAACTTTACAGGGTAAAGTAAGGTCTATGATAGTTTGGTTTGATCTGTCGCAGTGGATGCTGTGAATTTGGTCATCGTTGTATGGTGTAACCTTAACCTTAACCTTATTAAAGTCGAACTCTTTTTGTGGATTAGAAATAGAAATAGAAAGATCTTGATATTGGTTTATATAATAGTGTGATAATGATTATAGTTATTTTTTTTTTTTTTGCTAGCTAGGTAGCTCGATAGATAGGTAGGTAACCTTATTAAAGGCGAGGCTGAAACCTGGAGGCTGAAGATTGAAGATTGTAGTAGACCCTGGTTTCTGCCACATCATACCTACTAGGTGGTGGTAGGTGTATAAAAGACTAGGTAGTCAGTCGTACTTGTATTTTGAGGGTGGGATATTCATTTGTATCTTGAAAGTCTTGGATGGGATTGTAAGATTGCGAATTATTTATTGTATATAGATATTGGTATAGCCTTGAGCTTGTATAGCTACTACTTCACTAGTACAGCAAAGAAATTCGAATACCTACCTATCTAGTATGATGTACGACTAAACTGTAGCCTGGCGCTAATTCATTCACGCCACTAACATGGTCCGTGTGCAAGCGATGAGGTTGTAAGTAAGTAACTGACTCTTTTATTATTAAAACCCTCCAAAGTTCTTTCTATCAAGAAACAAACCCAGAAACTCCCATTGCAACATCTCCAATATACTCGCAACATTTTACTAAACCTTTATTGAAAACTTCAATATCGTATTTGATACCCCTCCTATTACTTTAACATAACAACTTCTTCGACGTCTCACGGCATACCCATCTATCAATCGTCATCGCAGTCGCATTTTTAAATTCGCCAATATGAAGTTGACTTTTAAGGTATATTGTCACTTGCCCTCCCGCTCATCAAAGATTCAACCATTTCATATACTAATTACTGGTGTTCCCATTCAGGACTTGAAGCAGGCGAAATTCGTCATCGAGGCTGAACCTACCGAGCTTGTATGTACCCGATTTGCTCGAACCTCGATAACTTTCCATCCTATCACTATCGCTGCGTCATACCTAGTCGAATCATAGCTAACGCACATAACACAGATTTCTGAGGTTAAGGACAAGATTTCAAAGGAGAAGGGATGGGAAGCGTCGCAGCAAAAGTTGATCTATTCTGGTATGCCTTGGATTCTGGCGCAGATGTTCATGACTGTTAGAGGTTATTGGCGCACGTCTTACTAACAACATCTGTAGGTAAAATTTTACAGGATGCGAACACTGTAGAGTCTTATCACATCGAGGAAAAGGGGTTCATCGTCTGTATGGTTTCAAAGGTAAATATTCCTACTGGCTCAATAATATTCTCCTCGTTTTCCTAATTCTTCATATAGCCCAAGGCTGCTCCAGCTGCATCCTCTTCTGCGACTAAAGCTCCATCAACTCCTGCTCCAGCTACAGCTGCTACCCCCGCTCCACCTGCCGCACCCGCACATTCTTCGAGTACTACAAACACAGCTGTTCCAGCTACACCTTCTCCGGCCGGCGCCTCGGTTCCATCTGTTCAAGCCACGCCATCAAATGAAACTACCGGTCTTGCTATGGGAGCTGAGCGCTCAGCACAAATTGCTGAAATGGAGGCTATGGGTTTCGAGAGATCACAAATCGATTTAGCTATGCGTGCCGCTTTCTTCAATTCGGAGCGTGCTATCGAATACTTGTTGACTGTAGGTTAAGATTAGCTACAGAAGTTTTGGCAATCACTAATCATAACATAGGGTATCCCAGAAAACCTTCTTCAAGAACAACGACAAGCTGCACCAGCTGCACCCGCCGCAGGTCAAGCTTCATCCCAACCTGCTGCGGGTGGTGAGGATGAACCAGTCGATCTTTTTGCTGCAGCAGCTAATGCTGGGAATCGTGGTGGCGCTGCTCGAGCTGATAATGCGGCCGCTCCCGGAGGGGGAGGACTCGGTAACCTCGATTTTCTCCGGAATAACGCCCAGTTTCAACAACTTCGACAGGTCGTTCAACAACAACCTCAGATGCTCGAGCCAATTCTCCAACAAGTTGGAGCTGGTAACCCACAATTGGCCACTCTGATCAGTCAACACCCAGAGCAATTCTTACAACTTTTGAGTGAGAATGCCGATGACGATGCGCCACTTCCACCTGGAGCCCAAGCTATTGAGGTTTCAGGGGAAGAGCGTGATGCTATTGAAAGAGTAAGATATCTGTCCTTTTTTGTATCCTTCCACTAACTTTCCGTAGTTATGTCGTCTTGGTTTCAACAGAGATCAAGCAATTCAAGCTTATTTCGCATGCGACAAGAATGAAGAATTGGCGGCAAATTTTCTTTTTGAGCAACCGGAGGATGAGGAATAAAATTTCCTTATTTCCATGGTTTTCATATCTCCGAATTCACTTTTTTTCTGTTTTATTCCCTTATCATTGAGCAAATGAATAACGAATGAGCTTCGCAATTTTCGTGTGGTAATGCCGGAGAAATGGAGGGAGCTAAGGGGTGGCAGAGTAAGTGTGAAGTAGGAGGCAGGGAGACTTTTATAAAGGTCGCTAAGGGAATCAACTGTGAGGGATGGAGTACCTACGTTGCATAATTTTTCCGTTAACATAGTAAAATGTAACCTGGTTTATCAAATGGAAGCTACTCTGTCTTATACAGAGGAACGACTAAATGATGAATGAATGAATGAATGAGATTTCAATATTTACATGCATACAAGTAAAGTGATTTGTGCATGTGCATGAGCATGAGCATGATCATATGCGTGTGCGTGTGCGTGTGCGTGCTCTGAAACCCAAACTTTGACGGTTATGTATATATATATATATATCTTAGTCTTATAGGAGACTGATTTCATAGTAGCTAGTCGATTACAGTTGATTGGTTGATTGATTGGCTTGTAGGTCTGTAGGCTATTGAAGGTGTGAAGAGCCGGGAAGGGGTACGAGATTCTAAGAAGGGATGAAGGGGTAATGGTGGAAGCGGGAGGGGGAAGGGGGTGGATAGAATTGAAGATGGAGGGGAAAAGGGGGGAGTGAAGGAGTTTGAATTTATGGGGTTTGTGGGCTGTTGCCTGTATATAATCTGCAATTTTTATTAATCTGTGAGCTTGAAGCATGAGATGCAATTCTGCTGAAATATGCAGATGAAATACCTAGGTACTTTACTTTAAAGCATAAGATGGTATATATCGCCCTTTTTATTGTTTCTATATAGGTTAACACCTAGTTGGCTTATATAATACTTCTTCTCCAAGCGCCTCCTGCTGATCCTACCGTTATGTTAGTGTCCATTGTACGGTAACCTATGTGGGTCCACCAATCACATCACCTGAAAAAGTTCCAATATGTTTTAGTGATGATCCATGCTTTTTTGCAGATGGTGCTGCAACAATAAATAAGACTTCAATTTCATGTATTGTTGTTCATTCTCTTCATGATATTGCTACAATATTATATTACATTATTTATCTCGACTCCTATTCGCATTTCCGAATTGAGATTGTCACATTTCATTTTTTCTATCAATGGAATAATTCAGTCATATATTGAAGGTTAACTCCTTCTTCATAAGGCTTCATCCTCCAAAGACCGAAAACACACTAGTCATTAATCCCAGACCGTCGTAACCTTTACTCCGACTTTTTCAAGCTCCATCCATCCATCATATTATTTCACAAGTTCAGCATTTTATTTCCAGAATCAAAGAACATGAAGCCTCCTACATATTCTACACGGTCGAAGCGTAAATCCGACGAAGTAGAACCTTGTTCACCCACTTCAAAAAAATCACGTACATCACAGGATCTCCCACCTTCTTCTCCATTATCATCACCTTCTTCCACATCAGCTGACGCCCTCTTGGCTCAAAGTCCAATGGACTCTGAAAATCTTGATCTCGACTCGAATTTATCCTTTCGAGGAGGTTTTCGCGGTAGAGCTCGTGGACGCGGTAGAATTCGTGGAACGGGAAGAGTCGGTCGAATTGGTAATGCGAAAATTCCCATGACGAAGATGGGTGGTGTGGACATCAATGCCAGTGTGGCGGGTGGGAAATCATCTCGTGGAAGAGGTGGTCATCGCGTGAAAAAGTCAAGTAATGCGAGGATACAGAGTTTGTATCATCGGAAACAATTGCTGAAAACTCAGTACAAACAGGTGGCTTTGCTGCAGAGGGTCGCTCTGGATGTCATTTCAGATAAGTCTTTGCAGGCTATGAGTGAGGATCCAAAGTATCACGAGACTTTGCCTGAATATCAGATTGTGACAGATCAATTGGCTGCGAAATATGCTGAGAGAGTTGCGTTGTTGGAGGCTCACCGTATGGTCCAATTGGAGTATGCGGAGAAGCAGAGGTTGCTTGGTGAGGGATATACTAGGGGCGTATATGAGGTATGCTATTCACTTTTATCTTTATTTTCATGAACATTGTTAACACGTGTATAGACTCGAGTAGAATTGATCAAGGAGAAGTATGATTTAATGATCAAGAGAAGATTGATTGAGGAGCACCAACAAATGGAAATGCGATCTGGTGCCGATAGTCCATCTCAGCATAATGTAAGTAATGAAGATTTTGATCATCCCCATTTTTTACTAATCTTACTAGTTTGATCATTCACACATCAAGAGAATTCCTGAAGAGATTTTCATCCACCCTGCTGATGCGTGGGCCAATGGTGGTCGTGCTGCACAACTCGCGGCCGATGCCGAGAAGGCGCAAGGCAGAAAACGAGGCGGTCGTGGAAAGAAGTCTACCAAGATGCCTGCATCACCATTCAAACCTCTAGATATTATGACGCCGGATGATACAGAAGTCGCACCCAAGAAGACATCCTTGTATCAACCTGCCACCTCATTATCTCTTGCCACTACCGTGGATGGAGATTCTGCAGCTCCCACCCCAGCCGAATTGACCGAACAAGAAGATGCCGATGAATTAGAAACCGATAAATTCGGAGTTTACATACCTAATAAAGCAAGACCTAGAAATGGCGATCCGCCAAATAATCGTATAGTGGTCGAGCCTCCATTTACTTTTGACGAAGATGAGATAGGTATCCGTCATCACCATTACAAAAAGTACAACAAGAATGATCTTCCTACTTTCATTGGGATGGACCCTTCTCCACAGCCGAAGAATTTTCATTATGATCCTTGGGTCAGAAATCATCATTCCACGAACAATCGTCCGGAAGACTTGGATCAAACGATTGTTGAAACTCATAAATTACATCCTACTTTAGGTTTGCCTGTGAAAGGTTCAATTAATCCTACACTTACTGTAAGAAGTGATTGGAGTAAACCTGTTGCGGAGACCAAACCTGTTGTCTTTGTTGTTGAAACTCAGGATGAAGAATCACTCAAACCAAGATTTGAAACTTCTCGCTCTGCATGGATGGCACGTACAGAAAGGGAATTTGCGGATCTTATTGATCAGCTCAAGATGGCTGAATCATTAGAGGCAATTGGACTTCGTGACCCTATCCTTCGACCAATTGAAAAGAGGGTTGAACCTGAAATCGTTGGTAAAATTAGTGATTCTTTGATTCAAGCTGTAACAGAGGCATCGAATCTTTCATCCAAGCCACTTCCACCAGTATCCTCATTAAGAGCGACTTCAGTACCTGGAACACCTGCACCTGCACAAAGAACTCAAGGCTACGATCCAGTTCGAGATACTGGATATTCTCCTCACTTACGTCGGTCTCCAGTCAAAACTTTCAACCAAGTCGGAAACTTGGGTATCCTCGCGGATGCAGCCGAAATACGTGGGGCACCACAATACCGCGGAGGACTTCCTCATCCAATCATCCCAGCTCCAAGACCAATGCCACAAATGTATACCTATTCCCAACCAGAATTCTATAGACCAGGTCCTTCATTTGTACCTCCACCCACACATATGAATCTCCCACCACCTTTACCCATGACTCTCCCACCCCCTCAACCGCAACAGCAGCAAACGCAGTTCTTTCAATATGCTGGTCCACCGCAAGCTCCAGGTGGTCCTCATAATAAATATAAGGAGATTCTCCCTGCCCCGCCACAAAGGCGTGTACAACCGACTTCATTAGCTGTACCACGGAATAATGGATTTAATCCATTTGTAAATGGAACAGGATATGGAAGTGGTACGGGAAGGGGTCCTTGAGCTGATTAATTGGCATACCTAAAACAAATACACATAGACAAGTGTATTAGAGAATCTTGTATTGAAGGAGGCATGGGAATATGCAACTTCGAGTACTGCACTTTCATCGCGCGCTTTTACTATAATGGCCCATGTTCCATACGTGAAGGTTCGATACGATGACTCTTTCATGTGGAGTATTTACCTCTGAACCTCTTTTCTCCGCATTTGTCTCTTTCTTTTTTTTTTTGTACCAACAAACAAATTATTTCTTCATTTTGTCATTTTTTCCATTCTTCTATCAACTAGGCATGCGCGGGATTTGGTTTTAGGTGGGAAAAGGAAATTCTACGATTAAACGTATGTGTCTGTTTGTTTCCTGAACAAATAGACAGACAAATTGTAAGTGGGATTGGAATTGGGAGTGAAATTGGAATGGTGGGCGCAAGCATTTTTAAAAGTTTTGCTCTATTTTTTCTCCGGGTGAAGTGGGAGGAGTTTTATTTTGTTGGGTTGTGACGGTTCGGGATGGTGGAAAGGAAGGGATGGGTAGGAGGATAGGATGATAGGAAGATAGATGGAAATAATAATCCGGACCTGGTATTTTATATTAAAGGAATGAATAAATAGAAATGCAATTTATGTTTTTGATTAATTTGAAATTAGATTTAGTTTTGTTTATATTTAGGGTTTGTTTTTCCAGAGAGTTGTCACGATTCACCATCACGTCGGACAAGTAGGGATCACGTGATGGAGCCTCCAGGAGCATAGGCTCCTGGAAAGGACCAGTATATAAACATTCATTATTTTCATAGTATAGGAGCTTCGTGCTCAACTTAGTTATCAATTAGTTTACCTACATTCTACTTGATCTAGTAACGAATTCACTTCCAAGTGAATACCAGTGATAAAGCCTTAACCCACAACTACCAACAAGACGAAACCTCAGGCAGCCGCTGCCTTCAGTATAGTATCGTTACAAGAGTGTTATAATTCTATTTAAGAAAAAAAAGATGCCCGGATAATCTTTATAATCTTAGTTATATTTTGTTACGACGGCTTCGGATCTCGTATCATGTGACCAATTATGTAATCACATGGTCCCCTCGATCCCCTCGGTCTCTTGATCGAAGGGACCGTAGAGGAACAAGGTGATCTTGAGCACAAAGCTCTATATAAAGGAAATCTATCTTGATTATATAGACCTTTATACCTACAGCTAGTCAGGACCACTGCGCGGTCCTGGACAGCCAGCGTTCCTCAGCGGTCCATAACGTGACTTAATCACGTTACCTTGGTTTAGTCATATGGCGCGGCGTAGAAGATAGCCGTCGTAACATAAGATTTATATTCAGGTTTGAAAGTTGTAAAATTATAAAGAATTTATTTTAACGTAACGTATGGGGAACTCGGACATATGGGGAACTCGGACACTTTTTGCCCATCGCCAACTTGAAACCCTAATAACTTTTATTATGTATACCCAATCACCTTTTACACCTGCTCAGATTGAAGAGAAGCTTCAACAGGCTATAGTTGCACTTCAATTAAAAGAATTTAAATCAATTAGAAAGGCTGCAGAGCATTTTGAAGTCCCTAAGTCCACTCTAGCCGATAGGCTGGCTGGGAAGAAAACACGTTCCCAAACCCACGAAATGGCTCAAATTCTTTCAAACGCAGAAGAAAATACTCTTGTACGATGGATTTCACGACTCACGATCACTGGATTCCCTGCTACACCTATATTGGTGAAGGAAATGGCCGACGAAATTCGTCTTCGACGCGTTCAGGTCGCGTCATCTCGAATTCCTACCCCGACAGAAATTCCACCTATAGGCTACGAATGGATCTATAGATTCCAAAAACGACATCCAGAACTTAAAACATGCTATTCACGTCAATTAGAGTCTAATCGGACTAAAGAGGCAACTCTAGAGAATATTCAGGCTTGGTTTGATATGTTTCGTACGCGTCTCATTGAACGAAAGTATGAATTAGATGATATGTATAATATGGACGAAACCGGATTTGGAGTTGGAAGTACTCAAAGTACGCGTATTATAGTCGATTCTACTCAGAAATCGAATTGGAAAGTTACAGCTGGCAAGCAAGAATGGATAACTGCATTTGAATGTGTCAATGCAGCTGGAAAGGCTCTATCACCTATAGTCATTTTCAAGGCTCAGAATACGAATTCTGCATGGATTCCAAAAGATACATTTCAAAGCTGGCAGTTCTCTACTAGTACGAATGGATGGACCTCAAATAGTCATGGATTAGAATGGCTAAAAAGGGTTTTCGAACCAGAATCCAAGAAAGTGTCAGGTGACCGACCTCGACTTTTGATCATGGATGGCCATTCAAGTCATATTACAGGCAGCTTTATTGCTTTCTGTATAGAGAAGGATATCGATTTACTTATATTACCTCCTCATTGCTCCCACTTGCTTCAGCCACTTGATATTGCGGTGTATGGGCCAATGAAACGATATCATGCTTTGGAGGTCGATCGATATTCTCGAGCTGGTGTAAAGCGAATTCAAAGAGCTGAATAGGTAGAACTCTTTCAAAATATTAGAAAAAAAGCACTGAATTCTTCTAATATTAAAGCTGGCTGGAGAGGAGCTGGTTTAGTACCTTTTGCCCCACGAAAAGTACTCGATACATTACCATTTAACTCCTCCCAGCAACCTTCTACTCCACAAATGAGAACCCCCAATCAAGACCTAGACTTATCTGTACTCAGAAGTTCTCCTCCAGATGGGACAGAACTAATGCAAGCAAATCAGATCTTTAATACAGCTCTAGCAAGCAGTGGTTCTCCTGCATCACCAACTCGTCGATATGCTAAGAGAATGACTAGGCTTGTAGAATCTCAAAATGCTGAGATAGCCTTACTTCGGAAACAGCTCGCTGATGCTCAGGAAGTAATTGAGACTCGAAAAAAGAGAACTAAAGGCAAAAGAGTCAAATTACAAGGTTAATTTGTCTTTAGTACTAAGGAAATACTGAAAATAGTACATGAGGCGGAGGAAAAACCTAAGGAGAAAAAGCCACGAGGACGACCACGCAAGCGCCCAATTGAAGAATCAGAAGAAGAGATTGAAGAAGAAGAGCTAGAGAATAGTTCAAATGATTCAGAATTGGAATTGGAGGATTGTGTGGCTCGTAGAACAAGATCGCGTGTAGAATAATTGAAAAAGTGTCCGAGTTCCCCATATGTCCGAGTTCCCCATACATTACGTTATAAAATTTAATATATAAATTATTATTTCAAAAAGAAAATGAACTTTGAATAACTTCAAGATTTATATATATTTAAATTAGAAAAACTACAAATTATAAGTATCTGACAGACTACTTAGTATAATCTAACCGTAGGTCCTAAGGCGTGTGAAAAATATCTATAATGACTACAACAACCTCGATCTATAGTTACTTCTAGCCCTGAAAGGGGGGCCGGAGTTAAAAATCGTTGTTATAATATTATAACTTGACTTCTATTACAATTAACTCTGTAACTTCCCTCATGAATATTAGTAACATTCATGCTTATGCCCTTCATCAAAACGGTCCGCTCTTATTACTTCCTTTTTTTTTTTTTACAACGGTTAAGAATCATCTTTTCGCCTTTCATCTTCATTCCTCATGTAGTAAATACCGGTACCTACCTACTTACTTACTCAGTAGTGCAGAAATTCCAACTTCGCACTGTGTGATGTGCGGTGAGCGGTGAGTTCTTTCCATCATCATCATGATTATTTTCCTCACTTCCTCAGTTCCGTCGATGATGGAATATCTACCTTCCCAGTCAATCAGTGCATGGTGCTGCTCGGGGTGTGGAACAAATTTGCATGGCTTTACTGATGTGGTTTTTTTTGGTAGGCGTTCATCAAGGCTGAAATATGGAAATGGCTTTTTGCCTTTCTGGGTGCGCCTTCTAAGAAAGATTGTGTGTGTGTACACGTGACATGGTTCTATTTTGGGGATTTGCTTTGTTTCTTGTTACCATGCACCCACCATGTTTGCCTGTCTACTCTCAAGATCCTGGCTGCTATTGCTTTGTACCTTTGAGAGGACTGTCTGAAATCTATATTACCGTTTTTTCGTACTGCTCTTCACTGTCAGGTAGTTCATCTGAGATGGTGGAGGATTCTAGATGTTGTTGAATGTTGTTAGGTTAAATCGCATCATAGCTCACTTAACCTTATTCAGTCCTTCTAGAATATCAATGGCCTCCGACAAGTCTTGGGTGTCTTGCAAGTCACAATTTTAGTTTTTCCCAAGATTATGTGGACAAAGAAAATAGCTCCTTGGGAAGTTGCTAGAACTGCTAGTGCTAACTAGTGTATCAGATTGCGACATCTAAGCATTTCTGTAAAAGAGAGGAAAATAGCTTCTTGTCTCTGTGGCTTGAAGTTATTTTGTCCCCAGAGATAATTTTGTTACGCAGCAGGCTACCATCAATGAAGGCATTCCCGTTTCATAACTTTTTGAGATTTTCTGATTCCCATGAGACTTAATTTGATTGAAAGTCAATGATGAGTTTATGTGAAATCGCTACAAAATAAATTCGGCTTTGTTGAGTGAAACATAATACTAATTTCTTTATGTCCTTCCATTCGCGCTTCTGTTTCGACCTCAAGCCTCGTTCCAGCTGTAGAAAGAACTCAAGGAGCAGTAAAACATTCGATACTGTATATTCCACATCCTTAAGCATCTGGAAAAATGATATAAAGAAGTTTCTACATTCAGAGCGAGTTGATTCTACCAATCCAATTTCTTGGAGAATTTGGAAGGTTGAATTCGAACTCCAGCTTCAGAATCCTCTTACTCTCTCTTACTCTCTTTTACTCTCTCTTACTCTCTCTTCCTGTCTCTCTTCCTGTCTCTCTTCCTGTCTCTCTTCCTGTCTCTCTTCCTGTCTCTCTTCCTGTCTCTCTTCCTGTCTCTCTTCCTGTCTCTCTTCCTATCTCTCCTTCTATCTCTCCCCTTTTCTCTTTTCAAAAACACCTATATATCTATCAACCACCCCATCAAACTTTTTGAATTATCCTCCTACTTAGCCATCTCCCCTCGCGCAAAAGAGCCTGCTCCAATAAATCCCGTCTTTTTTTTTTACCAATTCAACTACAGCTAGTAAGGGTGTTTGCACCTCATATATGCAGAGGATGCAGTGCACTTTTGATACCCAACACAGGGCCAAGATGCCAAGCTCGTGGCAACGATGGAATCGTATGCAATGCCCATCAAAATCCTCCACCCGGGTATATAATGGATTGCAGTTATCTTATGAAAAAAGTGTTGATGCTAATGAGAAACGATAGTCTTACCTGGTGGGAGCGCTTGATGACTTGTTGGGAGCGCGGTAGTTCATAGTCAACACCCCAGAGCTACTAATTCCACATCATCAACACTACCCGGAGGCTCTCCATAGTTACTACGGCCCGAAGGCTCTCTATCGCCAATACAATCCAGAGGCTTTCCATCATCAACGCGACCCGGAGCCACTGGCTAGTGAAGAGTTTGGGACAGTCATCAGATGAGAAGGAGACTCTGAGTTATGGATTAACGAAGGGTCAGGCTCTGCAGCAGTATTTCCGAAATGTAGGAGTTCTTGAAAATTGCAAAACCTCATAAGATGTATCAGTTGGGTTGTATCCGTCGCAGAAAAACAAAAAAAAAATGTTTTTCCAATTCCAGTTTTACAGGATGATCAAGACTGTATCTTTGGCATTTGTTTTCACTGCAGCATTCCCCTGCATTGGCTGTTTGCCTACCTACAAAATTCCCTTTGTGCTTAGTTTAGTGCAGTCAGTCATTTCCTGTCATCTTATTCAACACGGGCATACTGGTCCACCATTGAAAATATCAGATATGGTGTTAGAACCTTAGAAAATAAAAACAGACGCCTTCGGGCAGGCAGCTCTAAATTAGTCTCAGGCAATTTTATAATCCTCGCCTCCTTAGAACTCCCTTTTTCAACCTCTTTCCCCTTTTTCTGATCTCTTCCCTACTTTTGAATATTTGAGATATGGTATTCTCATTTAATTCAAAGATGGAAATGAGTATAACTAGAGTGATGGTTTTAGGTGATAAATACACAAGGAAACTCTCTTTTGATACAAGCAGTTAATGCTAACAATAACCATATCATTTAATTTTCGGTTTCTATTTTCATCCTTTTTTCCTACTTCTCTACTTTGATTTCTGATGTTAAATCAAGCATCTGCTTCTCATTCCTACACGAAGGAGAAGAGTAAACTACTCTCCCCCACTCCTGATAACGACAACCATGGATCCTCTTTTACTCCCGAAGATAAGAGAGGAGGAAAGGGAAGAGGTTGAACACTGCCCCAGGTAGCGGTAAGCTAGCCGATTGCCCTGTTTGTATTACCTTAGCAACCCCTACCGTTTTGAAAGGGAATCTTATCCAGCCGTCCAGTAAAGGAACTACTAACAATACTTGATCAACTGTTGTTAATTCACTCAGTCTCGATCTTGATCTTCAATTTGCCAGTGCTAAGTTGTTTCACAAGGAAATGAGCTATTTTTTAAGAAGAAAAGTTCAAATAAAAGCAAAAGTTTGTATTCGGGTTTCTTCGTACTTGCTTCATGTCACGGGACTCTTTCTAATCTTCCACTATTGATATGCAACGACCAACCTGAACGGCGTGCTCCATTCTTTATGTGTGGCTTTATGCTTGGCTTTGTGCATGTCTTTGTGCATTTTGGAAAGAATCCTATTGTCCATTGCTTATCCATTCAGCTTCAACCCTTTGTGTAGACAAGCCTCTATTAGTATTTCTTTGGAATACATTTGTTGACTGTGATACCGTCAGCTAAGTTCATTGACGACCACGATGATTTCACGTTCACGGCCTACCAAATACTCTAAGAGAACATTCCGTTTCTATCAGGCGAAATGTGTATAAATCAGACGTCCGCGACCTCTAAAATTTCCTCACATTCACATTCTCAACTCATCTTCATCACAATCCAACACAAACACACACACACACACATTCCCAACTCAGCTTCATCACAACCCAACACACACAAACATACAGCTTTCCAGCAAACAGAGATTACCAATCGAAAATGGCACAAGAAGGTCCATGGTCAGAGAGCCAATGGTTTCCCGTGCACGAAAACATTCACCGCGACTGGTATGAATACCACAGTTTCTTCAGTGAAGAAGAAAGTGATCATAGATGGCGCATACGAAATGGCACTTGGCCTCTGAATGAGAGTATCAAAGAGATAGATGGTGAACGGGACGCATGGTTAATCTGCAATCTCATCCTGCGACGCACCGAAGGCCGATCTCCCTCTGCAGATTGGTACGATGAAAAGGACAATTCCAGCTATCACATCACGAATGCTCCTTTCCCACCGCTCAAAGCTACTTATCAACAACGCTCAACAAACTATTATCGTGGTACTACTGAACAACCGTTGGTAGAAGTCCTTGATGTACGCAACTGGTTGGTCGAGAACACGACTTGGTCAATTGGATACTGCGCTGTCTTGAAAATGGATTTCATTTACAGTTCACAGGATTACACACCCCAACACGTAACCCTCGGCGCCATACAGGGCAAGCTTGATTCTCGGAGATTTCAAGTTCCAAAGGTCATACATCACGAAGTGCAGATGAAACGAACAATCACATTCGAAACACAAATTTATGGATTAAATTTGGGACAAGCTTGGCTGTTTCTATCGGATGAAAATAGGTGGCGTTACATAGCTGCTGTAGCGGATTTTTGCTTTGAGCTGTCCAAATTCAAGGGTGATAATATTGGTAGTGTTGATGGAAAAGCCATACAGGATCTCTCTATAGTGGCGGATATCTCCCCGGGGCCGGATTGTCAAAAATAATTTCCCCCGGAAATCATACACAGAGGCTGGGCAACCAAGGGTTTAGAATCTGCTCTCTCAGAATTCTGTTTCTCGCACAATAGTTGTGCCCCAGACAATATCATTCTGGTAGATGGTCTTCCAGAAGATGGTATTCCAGCAGGAGGAGATTCCCTCCCAGCGATTGGTATTGTAGACTGGTCGATTGCAGGATTTGTGCCGAAGGCCTGGGCTCGCACGAGGTTTGCTGTGGATATGGTGTGTGATTTGCCACTCTACCACAGGTTGAGGAAGAATGAGCTTTCAAGAATTCCAGAGGCCGACGCTCATAACTTTAGATGGGGTGTCTGGAAGCTCCTGGGAAATGACTCGTATAATATGCCCGAAGTAAATGATCTGTGGTGGAAGGCTCATCCCGAGATGGCTGCATTTGTGGGACCGGAGTTTATTCAAGGAAGGAGGACTCTTCCCCTATCATTTAGTTGATCCTGATTCTGATTTTGATGCATTATAACTGGTTACTTGAGGTTCAGAGATCTTGATTTGTACTGCACTCCGCGTTTGAAAAGGTCAATCGACCTTGTTGAATTTTTCGTTCAATGATTCCGGATATTTCATTTGTTAAATGTAAGTACCCTTTTCTTCAAACGTAAGTATTTCTTTCTTCAAGTATACATAGTATACTATGCTACACTCCACTTCTCTGAAAAGGTCAATTGCCGGTCAATTGCTTTGTTGAATTTCTCGTTCAATGATTCCGATTATTTCATTTGTTGTGTGTAACCCGTTTTCTTATCCCCCTTTCTTCAAATATACATAGTATACATTACAAAATATTACATTTCTTAGTTTAAACAATTATGGATGAAACAAGCCTTCGTAAAGTGACCTCTTAGCAACAATCGTGAATATACTATCTATGCAATCTAATTGCGAAAGAAGAATACTATAGACGTCAAGCCTCAGGGCGGGACTTGTGAATTTGAGTGTTTAATATACACATTCGAGGTTCTTTATACACAGTGAATACTAATGAAGAATTATAAGTTACAGGGTTGTCAGTCAACTTATAAAAAAAAAGTGATGCAGACTTAGATATATTCTAGTGGATATTTAGATAGTAGAATCCGTATAAAGATTAATTATAATAGTAAAATAGATTATTATACTGTGAGGTTATATATAGGTCATCGTGAATTTATATCTAATGACTATCTATATAAGCGAGTAATCTTACTTTGGAAAATAGAGCTAGAATTAGATAATAACTTGAAGCTTTTCGTAGTTAAAATCTCTACCTTAATGTAACGATGCTGTACTAAAGGCAGCGGCTGCCTAAGGTTCGTCGATTGGTAGTTATGGGTTAAGGCTTTATCAGTTGGTATTCACTTGAAAGTGAATTCGTTACTAGATCAAGTAGAATGTAGGTAAACTAACGTGGTTTATCAGCGAGCGGGCCATATCACCGAGCGGGCCACTTTTACCTCAATTTATCATTTCAAACCCATATTATTTAACAACAATTAAATCAATTGATTGAAACTATCAAGAATCTAATAATCTAGGATCTATTATACTATTCTGACAAGTTCTTGAATTATGACCAGTCTTTCCACACTTACTACAGCATCGACTAGTAGATGATTCCCTATTAAAATTTCCCCCATTTTGACGCTCGTCGCGTTGAATCTGATTATCAACCTCTTGTTGTGATAATATATCTTCAGCTTCTTGTCCAGTAAGTACTCCTCCATTACGTAGTTGAATTTTTTTAGCGCGTCGACGTTTACTTAATACCTCATTTGCTCTTCGAAGCATACGATTCTCAGCACTCAAAAGTGTAACTTCATGTGCTAATCTCTCTGTACCTTTAACTAAAGCTTGTACAGTCTCAAATATAGGTGTAGGAGAGCTTGATTGATGACGAGTTATTCGAGCTTTTACTAGAGTTGATTGTAAGAGAGCCTCAGTTGGATTATGAGGGGTTTGAGAGATCCAGGAGTTGGTAAGTTCCAAGGAGGTAGATGGAGGGGTAGAAGTACGAATCCTAATATCTAGTTTTGAAAGTATAGATTGAGGATCGAATGGTATTAGACCTGCTCCTCGAAAACCAGCTTTCATATTCTGAATAGTAAATGATTGTTGATATGCAGCTTTGAAAGCTATAAAGAATTCAACTTTAGTGATATGATTGATATGTGCCTTGATAAACTCCTCAATTTGAGAACTATATGAACGTTTAAGTACACCGAAACATCCAACATCAAGTGGTTGAGTTAAATGACTTGAATGTGGTGGTAATTTGAGGCATATAATATCATTTGATTTGCAATATGATTGAAAAGGTATTGATTCGTGGCTTTCGTGCTTATCCAATACTAGCATTCGATATTTGCCCTTTCTTTGACGAATAGTATGTTTATCGAAATGCTTTAACCATTCTAGGCCTGTCTCATTATTCGTCCATCCATTGGAAGTAGGTTTAATAGCCCAATCCGCAGGAAAATCGGTTTCGGTATACCAATTGGAAAGATGAACTTGTCCTTGAACTACCAGAAATGGAGGTATAGTTTCACCCTCTCCATTGCCACATATAATTGCTGTAGCCCACTCTCGATTGCCTGGTTGTATTGCCTTGCTTCTGCCATTTCGTTCAGCACTAGTTACAACCATTCCAGGGCATATTATACCCATCATGAAGCCGGTTTCGTCGAAATTGTAGAAATCGGAATCGACAATACCATATTTCGCCCGCATATTCGATACCAATCTAAACCACTCTTCAATAAGCTTGGGATCTTCGCAGAGAGCTCTTTGAAAATCATAAACGCGATTAAAACGCGTCTTTAATTCTGGACATCGTTTAACAAAGCGATAAGCCCAGAGCTTTCCAACCTTCTTCGCACCCCGCGATTCGAGGATATAATTCGCCATATCTTCTACACCATTTAATTTAGGTGCAAACCCTCTCTCATCCATATCGATTATATACTGGATAAGCACTTCCTCTTCTAATTTGGTCAAATTATGACTATTTGCTCGAGATTCGATACGAGGGGTAGTACCGTCTATTCTGCGCTGAATCTTTGTACGCGGGATATTATATAGCTTAGCAGCCTTCCGAATGCTTAATTTTTGGTCTTTATTGATAGCTTCGATAGCTAAAAGTATTCGACCTTCTTGATTATTCGATTCCATAATATATTGTTGATAAATCGCGTATTGAAGTTGAAAGATATAAATTGAGGTAAAAGTGGCCCGCTCGGTGATATGGCCCGCTCGCTGATAAACCACGTTATTTGATAACTAAGTTGAGCACGAAGCTCCTAGGGCTCCTTATCACGTGATTTCTGATGGTGCGTGCGCATACGATCTTCAGGTGACCAAGATCACATACTAATTCGATGAAATCTGATCGTGTTTGCACAAGGCCTAAGCTCTCCTAATTAATCAGTTTGCTATCATCGTAACACCATCAATCCTAATGGTGAATCGTGACACTATTCCCCTCTTAGCCAAGCGTCGTCCCGATCGCTTATAACATCGTCGATTCTCCCCACAAGATATGTACGATCCATTCATGCTTTAGGGAGCATGATTGGGAGAGACTTGATCGGCAGGTTGATAAGTTAAATGCTGAAATTGCTGAATCATCTGCCAAGACTGCTCGTCTAGTTAAGCAGAAGGCTCAGCTCAAAAACGACGTGATGAAATGTTACGTTGTGGGCTCAAATATCTTGATGAGCTCGATACTCTTGAAGAGAAAGAAAGAAAAGAGAAGGAAAAGGAATTTGCTGCGTCCTCGGCGCCTGTTGCTCCCTCCAACCCCTTTGGTCAATTTGGTCAATTAGAACAAACTGGTCCTTCCGACCTTCCTACGACTGGTTTCGACTCTTTCGACCCTTCTTTACTGAGTGCGATGAATTCTCCTTCCGTGCAGGCCGCGTTGAACTCCCCTTCTTTCTGGGAAAATTCGGATTCTGTCGGCGAAACTCCTCAAACTTCTCAAGGTGCTTGAGGTCTTTTTCCAGTTCCCACGTGTTCTCGGAGTCCGGGTAATCTTCCCATTTCACCAAATATTTGACCTTGCCTCTAATATATTTGCAATCTAGTATATTCTCCACCTCGTACTCGGCGTTCTGGTCTGTGGATATGATTTCTGTTTCAGGGGCTTTAGGTGCCCCTGGTGGTGCTAGTTCGAGCAAGGATATATGGAATACTGGATGGATGTTCATATTCTTTGGTAGCGCCAATTCATAATTCAAGGGTCCTTTAACTTTCTTGATTTTGAATGGTCCTAGTTTTTTATAGTCCAGTTTCGCACTTGGTCTCTTAGTTTCGATATTCTTTCGAAGTAAATAGACTTTATCCCCCTCTTTTAGCGTTGGCTCCTGACTACGCTTTTTGTTGTAGTAATGAGCGTTCCTTTCAGCAACGAACTTAAGTTCGGCTGCGAGTTCCTTGTGAATTTCTTTGAGTTTCTTTGTTTGTACCATGGCGGATTGGTTTTCTACTTCTGGAATGCCAGGTTCTCGATATGCGACCAGTTCGTACCCAAAGTTGGCGTAGTTCGGGGTGACTTGTGTTATTTCTGAAGTGGAACTATTATATGCGAATTATGCTAAGAATAGTAGTCCTACCCAGTTGTTCTATTGGTAATTCATATAGCAGCGAAGGTAAGCTTCAACAACCTGGTTTACTCTTTCATTCCCTCCATTCGTTTGTGGGTGGAATACTGTAGACATTTTCCTTTTTACGCCTAGTAGTGCTACTAAGGCGGTCCAGAATTTTGATGTGAAGAGTTTATCCCTATCCGAGAGTATCTCCTCTGGTAATCCATGTACTGCAATGATCTCTTTAAGGAATATAGCTGCTAGGGTTTCTGCAGTTAAAGTGGTTTTGCATGGTACTAATATCATGTATTTGGTTAATCGGTCCATGATAACTAGGAGGTAGTCGTATTCTACTCCTGTCGTTGGATCCTTGGATTTAGGTAATGGTCCTATGAAATCCCATGATATTGACTTCCATGGTGATGGTGGTATTTCGGTTGTGTGCATCTGTCCGTAGGGGGCATAGCGGGAAGCCTTGTTCCTAATACAGGTATCACACTCGGTGACCACTTTATTGACCATGGTTCGGAGTCCCGGACTCCAATACTGTCTTTTAATTCTTAAGTGCGTCCTTCGTACTCCTTGATGTCCATGAGCTGGCAACGCATGCTGCTCCTCGATGAATTCGGGAGCAATGCTACTTGGTAGCCATATTTTCCCTACTACTCGTATCAATCCGTCAACGGTCACTGGCGGCTCAGGCCATTTGACACCTTCCTTGTTTTGTTGTGCCTCTGTGAGTTTGTTTTTCCAGACTTCCGTTGGTTTATTTTCTAAAACAGCGATTTCCGTTAGGTTCGGAACGAGATCCCCATTTAGTAATGATTTCAGGATTGCTGTCTCCTGGTAGGTCTTATCATCCTCGTAACCTGGTGGCCTACTCAGCGCGTCTGCTCTTGCATTATCCTTGCCTTTGACATGCTTGATTATCAAATCAAAACTGGCCAATTCCTCAGCCCATCGAGCTAGTCTACGATTATCCAGGACCTTAGTGGTAGTAAAGGTTCGTAGGTTCATGTGATCAGTATGGATGATTACTGGGAATTTAGCCCCTTGGAGGTACATCCTCTAATGCTTCAGTGACTTGACTATAGCTATAAGTTCCTTCTCATAGATGTTGTAATTTTGTTCTGTTTTATCCATCTTGCTGGAATAATAAGCGACTAGGTGCAGTTTCCCGTTGTCGTCTCTCTGGAGATGGACTCCTGCTACACAGGTATCGGAAGCATCCGTCTCGATGATGCTCTCCCGATCGTCATGATAGTTGTAAAGTATGGGTTCCCTGGTGAATCTATCCTTGATTTCTTGAAAGGCTTGCTCTGCCCTCTCATTCCAGGCGAATCCCATACCTTTCTTTGTCATCTCTGTAAGTGGTTCTACCATTTTGGAAAAGTCTTTGATGAATACTCGACAAAAGTTGGCGAACCCTAGTATGGTTTGTACATCCTTGACGTTTCTAGGTCGTTCCCAATTCCTTACTTTCTCAGTTTTCTCCGGATCTATGCTCATTTGTCCTGGTTCTACGACATATCCCAGGAAGGTTACCTTTTTGACACTAAACTCGCATTTCGATAACTTGAGTCGTGAATCGACCTTCCTAAATGCCTCGAGTACCTTGATGACATGCCCTTCATGCTCCTCTACCTTCTGGGAGAAGACTAGGATATCATCCAAGTAACAGATCACGAATGAGCTAAATTCTTTGAGTATTTCGTTGTTCTGTCGTTGGCATGTGGCAGGTGCATTTGTTAGTCCGAACGGCATGACAGTGTATTCCCATAGCCCGGAAGGTAGTATGAAGGCGGTCTTCCATTCATGCCCTTCCTTGATTCGTATCAAATTGAAAGCATTTCTCTGGTCCAATTTAGTGTAAATCACTGCCTTGCTCAATCTATCCCTTAACTCTTGAGCTTTGGGTATTGGGTACACATCCCTGATGGTCTCATCGTTCACTCGGCGGTAGTCTCCGCAAGGTCGACCATTCGGATCTCCCTTTTTGAATGCTAATAATACGTTGGCTGCGCAAGGGGACTTGGATTTCCTAATCCATCCTTTCTTCTCAGCTTTAGATCTGTATTCTTCCCATACTCTCAGAGTACTGGGGTTATGTGGTCTCAACTTCTCAGCCGGGGGTACGAATCCCTCTTTGAAGTTGATCTCATGATCCCAAGGTTTATGTTCTGGCAGGGCTCTCAAATCCTGCGGGTCTTCGAACAGCTTGGCGAACTTTCTGTACTGCACTGGAATCTCTTTTGCATCGGTCTCGCCGACCAGTGGAGGATCCGTGGCTGCCATAGCACGGTATCCGGCCTCCCCAGAAGTCTGTTCCTTCGGGCCATATAGTCATTCGTTCTTGTATCTGCAACGATCGAATGTAAGAGTATCCTTTACCCAATCAATGTTTGGATTATGCCTCTTAATCCAAGGGGTTCCTAGGACAACTGTATGTCTGCCCAATGGTACTAAGTCCATTTTGACTTACTCGGTATGCCCTCCTTGCATGATCATTTTGATGACGCTAGTTTGTCTACGTACCCAGCCATCTACTCCGACCTTCTTGCCTCCCAACAGCGTTAGCTGGTAGGGGTGCTCCTTTGGCTCGGTGGGAATCCCATTTTCTTTGGCAAAGTCGGGATCCATAAATATTCCCATAGCTCCTGAATCGATCAGGGCCTTGACTTCCTGGTTCTCCAGGTTGACTTCTATGATTAATTGTCCAATCTCTCGGAAGCTACCCTCTAGGGCACCCGCTTCTCGGGATCCCAGTTTCTTGGTTCCAAATCTTACTTGTTTCTTGCCCTTCGCGGCGAAAGGCTTTTTCTGGGAACAATCCCTAGACATATGTCCGCTTTTCCCACAGGTGAAGCATAGGTTGTTTTCCCTGCGTCTCTTTTTCTCTTCAACGCTAAGTCCATTTGGTTTTTGGTGGCGTTCAGCTCCGTCCAATTCCATTGGATCGCCGGCATCATCGTGTCTGTTCTGGCGCTGATGTTTTGGAAACTTTCTACTCTCTTGAGTGATTCCCTTTTTCTCCATTCGTCGTTCATAAAAGCGATTGTCAATTAGAATGGAGGTCTCGATTAATTCGGAAAGGTTTGATGGTTTTGGAGCTCTGGCTAGCTCGTCCTTGATGATATCCTTGAGTCCCTCATAGAACTGGGATCTAAGGTAGTCATCATCCCATGTAATACGCCCGGCGTATTGTTGGAATTTAGCAGTGTAGGCTGTAACTGACCCTGTCTGCTTAAGTTGTCGTAATGCTCTCTCAGCCATGTGATCGGGGTCAACTTCCCCGAAAGCCCTGTCGAATCCTTGTCGGAATGACTCATAAGTATTGAAGAGGCGGCGTGTCTCAGGTTTCATGTTCTCATTGAGTTGTCCGTCGGTTGTCTTGGTCATAAGGTCATTGAAGAAGGGTTCGATCCAATTGAACGCAGTTCCTCGGAAGAACGAGATTAACCACAAGATCCTTTGCATTTGTGTCAAGAAAAGGTGTCCATTGAAAGCGTAGTAGAGATCAGCTTGTGCGACAAAAGCTCGATGCTTGCTACGATCTCCGTGGAACAAGTCAGGGGTGGATACCTGGATTGCTCGTCTCGGCTCCATGGTGGCGGCGGCCTGCTCTGGGGCCCCAATGGAAATGAAGGAAACTGGTTCGGTGGGTTGCTGACTGGAGTCCATCGTAATTGATATAGCTTAACCGTAACGGTGCTCAAAGTGTAACGATACTGTACTGGAGGCAGCGGCTGCCTGAGGTTTCGTCTGATTGGTAGTTGTGGGTTAAGGCTTTATCACTAGTCTTCACTTGGAAGTGAATTCGTTACTAGATCAAGTAGAATGTAGGTAAACTAATTGATAACTAAGTTGAGCACGAAGCTCCTAAACTATGAAACTACTCTGACTATATACTGAACAATAAAGGGGGCCCCTAGGAGCTTTCTGGCTCCTCAAGACTCCTTATCACACGATTTCTGATGGTGCGTGCGCATACGATCTTCAGGTGACCAAGATCACATACTAATTCGATGAAATCTGATCGTGTTTGCACACGGCCTAAGCTCTCCTAATTAATCAGTTTGCTACCATCGTAACACCATCAATCCTAATGGTGAATCGTGACAGTAATATAGTCAACATAGAGGCCTCTTCCACCCAATCTTTTAATATATAGTTTATATATAAGTTTTTTTATATTTAATTTTTAACAATATAAATAGAAAATATTAATATAATCAATATTATATAACGATACTGTACTGGAGGCAGCGGCTGCCTAAGGTTTCGTCTGATTGGTAGTTATGGGTTAAGGCTTTATCACTGGTATTCACTTGGAAGTGAATTCGTTACTAGATCAAGTAGAATGTAGGTAAACCAATTGATAACTAAGTTGAGCACGAAGCTCCTAAACTATGAAACTACTCTGACTATATAATGATCGATAAAGGGAGCCCCCAGGAGCTTTCTGGCTCCTCAGGGCTCCTAGGGCTCCTTATCACGTGATTCCTTTTCATCCCAGGACACTAATCCTAATGGTGAATCGTGACATATTAATCTTTATATTTCTTTTTTGAAATTAATTAAAAAGATATATATTTGTCGGTATATAGCGGGGTATAGAAAGTGTAAAGCTTTAATATATTTCTCTTTGAAATTTATATTAATTGTCTAGAGAATTAGAACTATAAAAATAAAGAACTATATAATATGAGATGATCCAGGGCGACGATACCTCGGCGCTTATTAACCAAGTCATGTTTACTCAGACATACGACTGGACAGACTTGTCTACAGTTTTCCAGCCTACTGCCACGCAGCAAGTCTTACATTACAGTCGGATTTTCCATGAGCTCACAAGCCTCACAAACAGGTAAAGAATCATCTAGGGGTGATGTTAGAGATGAGAATTACGATTAAGAGTTTCCCTACTCCCTGTATCAAATTTTTTATCTTCCGCTTCCCATCCGCTGTCTATCGATATCCCCGTTTCCCCATCTTCGGTGCTCGGCACATGTGGCATTCATTAGTACACGCATGCACGCATGCACACGCGCCACTCACATACCTACTCGATGATGAGAAATACGGAGTCTTCCATGGAAAAGCCGAGCCTAGAGCAAAGCTCACCGCCATATAAATATGTACAACTAGATGTACAACAGTCAATTGACTCATTGAGTGATACCGGTATCCGACCATGGCCAGCGAGTGAGAGTGGAGACGGAGGAGAAATGGATAATGGATGATTGTATTGACTGATTGGCTGTAGACGATCGGGCTGTACTTTCCCAAATGAAATTAGCAAGGTGTATGAATGGAATGTTATCGGAATTTATTTCCCAAATCTTTTTGGCCCTGGAAAAGGTTAAATATTTGGCTGACTCGCTGCTAGGGTATGTATTGAAATAGAAGATAGACTTTTGCCCCTCATTGATGATAATGTACGTACGGAGTACTCGAGTATGACATTGATAAATGTTTAATAGGTACCTACCTATATATCGTTTCTATCCATTTTTGATCAAGATTGTTTCCTGTTATATTCACTTGCCTAGCTGGGCATGAGTACAATACAAGATAAATATTAGTCAAACCTCTCATGTATTTCTGTTAATGCAGAGTATGTCATTGAATTGGCATTATTATTATTCACAACATCTCATCACATGACCAATCATATTTCAATCATTCTTATCCTCTTATGTAACTTCAATGTACATCAACGCTCATGCATACAAAGTACCGTGGCACAATTGAGGATCTCCCTTTCGTGCCGCTCAATCCCTGCCCGTCCCCGCTTTTATTTCCCGTTTCACGTCACGATAAGTCGGATAACAATCCAAAGATAAAGTCAAAGGCTGCAACACATACATTACATGATTACAGAGGTAAAAAAAATCAATAATCAATAATAATAAATATAATATGCATTGACCCTACCCCACTCATTGCAGGAGAGGTGACCAGCAGAGAAAAAGACAACAAAACTGCCACAATTCCTTCTCGATTCCTCATCTCCATCTCTTCCTCTCCCTTTTCTCTCCCTCTTCTCTCTTCTTTTTTCCTTCCCCTTCTTCTTTCACCACTCTCCTCTCTTCAAGAATATCATCCACGTATCCCTCAACAATGGCTTCTCTAAGAGCTGCCGCGCAATTGCGTCCAATGGCTTCAAGAGTCCTTTTACGAACAGGGCGAACATACGCCACTACAAGTGCCAAACCATTTCAAATCGCCGGTGAACCAGAGGCTCCAGTCGTCAGGACCGCCATCCCAGGTCCAGAATCTCAAAAGGCAATTGCAGACTTGGATAAAGTCTTTGATACCCGAAGTGTAAACATGCTTGCCGATTATCAAAAGAGTGTGGGTAACTACATTGCGGATCCGGATGGAAATGTGTTGTTGGATGTGTATGTTCGCATTTACTTTATTATTGCATGCATCGCAGGATACTGACGAGAATGATAGTTATGCACAAATTGCATCAATCCCAGTCGGTTACAATAATCCTCAGCTTCTCAAAGCCACACAGACCGAACAAATGGCATCTGCCATCATAAACCGCCCCGCTCTCGGAAACTTCCCTTCGCACGATTGGGCCGAGATTATTAAGACGGGTGCTCTGAAGGTAGCACCAAAAGGTCTTGATCAGGTGTTCACTGCCATGGCAGGTTCAGATGCCAATGAGACTGCATACAAGGCTGCATTTATGTATCGTCGACAACAAGAGCGTGGTGGTGCACATGTGGAATTCTCCGATGCAGATATTGCTTCATCTATGCTTAATCAAGCACCAGGTGCGCCTCAATTATCTATCCTGTCTTTCAAGAGTGCTTTCCATGGACGTCTCTTCGGATCCCTTTCTACCACTCGCAGTAAGCCAATTCACAAACTCGATATTCCTGCTTTCGACTGGCCGCAAGCTACTTTCCCTCTTCTCAAATACCCACTTGAGGATCACGTCGAGGAGAACAAGAAGATTGAAGAGGAGGCTCTTGCCGATGTTGAACGTATCATCACTACCCATCACCTCCCACCTTGTGCCGTCGTTGTGGAACCCATCCAATCAGAGGGAGGAGACAACCACGCATCACCAGCCTTCTTCCGCGGTCTCAGAGCCCTCACTAAGAAACACAACATCCTCCTGATCGTTGATGAGGTTCAAACCGGTGTAGGTGCTACCGGTAAATTCTGGGCCCACGAACATTGGAACCTAGAGACCCCTCCCGATATCGTCACCTTCTCCAAGAAAGCCCAAACAGCTGGTTACTACTATGGCAACCCCGAGCTCCGCCCTAACAAACCATACCGTCAATTTAACACTTGGATGGGAGATCCAGCCCGTGCTCTCCTCTTCCGTGCTATCATCGAGGAAATCGAACGTTTGGATTTAGTTAACCACACCGCCAGGGTCGGAGACTATCTCTTTAAAGAACTTGAAAGTCTCGCCAAGAAATATCCAGGAGATATCCAAAACTTAAGAGGTAAAGGACAAGGAACTTTCCTCGCCTTTGACAGCAACCGCAGAGATGAGGTAGTCAAGAAGGCTAAGGGCGTTGGCATCAACATTGGAGGTTCTGGCGAGCGAGCCATTCGTCTCAGACCTATGTTGATTTTCCGAGAAGATCACGCCGACATTTTGTTGGAACGCCTCGAGAAGATTTTCAAATCCTAGTTTCCCCTAGGTACCGCTACTTCACTTCTTCTTCTTGAGGTGGAGCAATAAAGCGACAAAAGAAGCTTTGCTTTCTCACACACCAATTTCTTTCGGGATTCAGTTTTTTGATTTTTGATTTTTTGATATTTTTGAAACATTTTTTTGATATTGGTTTTTTGCATTTGGATACGGAAATGAAAATGTAATTTAGCCTGGGTAAATGTGCTTGGAGTTTTCAGGTTGGATCACCACTTGCGTTAATCGCGCGGTGAAGATGAGATGAAATGAGCACGCAGGTTTGCATTGCATATGAATTTTTGGAATATGAAATATAGGAGATGGCATTAGGATGAATATCAGAGATATGACGGGAGCGAAATTTCGCTCACGTTTAAAGGATTTTGAATTGTTTGTTTATTTGAATGTGAATGTGAATGTATTCCTTTACAGAAATCAAATCGAGTGAATATTCTTTGAAGAAAAATATGATAAAGTTGAATGGGAAAGTTTTGTATAGAATGATGAATTGGATAATAGGTAGATAGGTAGGTAAATAGGTAGTAATATGATATAAAATTATAGATAATTATAAAAAAAATAGATATCTATTAAATAAAGATATATATATATATTTATTTATTTAAATAAAAAAAAATAAGATTAAAATAAATATTCAATTAAAGAAATAACGTGGTTTATCAGCAGTCCGCCCACTTTTTGACCATTTAACCACTTCGAATTCTAATTAATCAATCATAACTTATTCAATTGATTTGATGACGAGCCATTCGAGCTTTTACTAGAGTTGATTGTAAGAGAGCCTCAGTTGGATTGTGAGGGGTTTGAGAGATCCTACGCCCATCATAAAGCCGGTTTCATCGAAGTTGTAGAAATCGGAATCGACAATACCATATTTCGCCCGCATATTCAATACCAATCGAAACCACTCTTCAATAAGCTTTGGATCTTCACAAAGAGCTCTTTGGAAATCATAAACGCGATTAAAACGCGTCTTTAACTCTGGGTATCGTTTGACAAAGCGATGAGCCCAGAGCTTTCCAACCTTCTTTGCACCCCGCGATTCGAGGATATAATTCGCCATATCTTCTACACCACTCAATTTAGGTGCAAAAACTCTCTCATCCATATCGATTATATACTGGATAAGCACCTCCTCTTCTAATTTGGTCAAATTATGACCTTTTGATCGATAGTCAGCCATATTAGTACAACCTTTAATTCTATCCCTCAAAGTAGATCGAGGTATATTATAGAGGTTTGCCACTTTCCGAATTGAGAATTGTGGATTAAGTTTAATAGTTCCAATAGCTTCGATAATTCGTACTTCTTTAGAATGAGTTTCTATAAGTAATTATTGAGAAAACGCATATTGAAGTGGAAGAGTTGGAAATGGCCAAAAAGTGGGCGGACTGTTGATAAACCACGTTATATATAATATAATATATTTATTTATCAATTATCTTATAATAAATAAATAAATAAATAAATAAATAAATAAATAAATAAATATACATATAAAAAAGATATCATCTAAATATATCTATTCCCTATTCTTTGTTTCCTATTCCCTCTTCTCTCATCTCCATTATCCGCATAGCCTATTTTCCATCTTCTCTTTTTCATCATCCAGAATTATTTATTCGATTCCTATCTTACTCCTACTCCTACACTGTCTTATTCTATCCATTCATTCATTCACTGATCCATCATCAATACAAATGCATCCAATATCCATTTAAAATTCTATCCTCCATACATTTCAAAACCTCCTATCATGTAAAGAATTGGACTGTAAAGACTCTGCCTCTACTTGAGATAACACTCAGGCTATCTAGATATATGGAGTAGATCGATTATTGCTGCTACCGGAGTAGAAAATAGTAGTAGATATTAAACAAGCAGCAATCCTCTTACCCTCCAAACAATCCAAAAAAAAAAAAAAGAGAAGAGAAGAAATAAAATGGACGCTGCCGCTCCGAATGTCGTTATAAACATGGTATCGTAAAGTAAGCATAAAAGAAGAAAGGAAAATTGTACCGTGAGGGTATGAGTGGCATTAAATTTTCTCGTGACGCATTGAACAATGTGAGATGTGGAAGAGGTTATGACCTCGTCAAAGGGCATATACTCTATAAGTGGCTGTTTCTGTAAATCGTGAAATCGGAAAATTATGTCGTGATATGTCGAATGAAAACAGTCGACAGTGGCAGGTTTGAATTAGAATTCCTTGCGATTAGGTTGGTGTGAAATTTCATGTTGTAAAAGGAAAAGGTAGACATTTGGACAGCTTCGAAGATTCTTCAAAATGAGCAAAGATGCGTGCCGGTGAGAAATTTACAGCTCAGGTCTTCGATCATCCTTTTGGTCCATCGACTTGCGCTCCATAGCTGCGCCTTTATATTGCATTTCCTGCTGTTCTTTATCGCATGCATCGCCACGAATATACATCTGTCGCTTTTCAGTGTTGCCTGGAACATCAAATTGTATCCCTTGGCCTTGATTATCTCTGTGCATTTGACCTTCACGAGACTCAGGCTGAAATTGAGCTCTCATTGATCGATCGAAAGTCTGCTGAGTACCGAATCGCTGGAGGGGCTGTACTTGTCGGGAAAATTGAGCAGCGAGGATAGGAAAGCTGCCTTCACCTGTTCTTGGGACCTATAGGGAAGTTAGCATTCAATAGCTATGGATATCATCATTTCCGTACATTTGATGACCTGGAAGTTGGTCGGCCACGCCTTTTTCTGCCCGAGTCTGTTTGATCGCCAAAGGAAAGAACTGGACTTGGCTCAGACTCTTGAGCCAGAGTAACGACAGGTGTAGCAGATAAAATGTTTTCTAAGCTGATGTCACCACCACTGGCAATGGGGGAGTTGATGGAATTTTTAGGTACTTCGAGTGAACCTAAAATCTCCCCACGCGCGATTTCTTCAGCCTGTCGAAGCTTAAGATCATTCTTGGAAGGTCTACCACGCTTTTTGGGTCCTTGACCTACGAATGGCGAGGCAAAAGAGATTGGGGAGCCATTTGCGGCTGGCTTGGGTTGAATGTTGCGCTGAGCAGAAACGACATCTAAACCTGGGGTTCTGCGTTTTCGAGAAGAATCGACACCGGTCAACTCAAGATCGGAAACAGACTTGCGTTTGTTCTGTAGGCTAGGAGAGCCACCTGAAAGAAATTGAGGGGGAGGTAATTGCGGTGTCAAATTATTGGAATTTCGGCCAGCGAGACTTTCAAAAGTGTTGATACAGGATGCCAAGTTTCGTCCTAGAATCTTCCATCAATATTCCATTCGATCAATGTTTTTCGGTGCTTGAAAGTTGCGTTTGTATGTTTCGCGCGGGGTTATGGAGGTCTGAGAGTTGGAGATCAAGCTGGGGTAAATGTGCATACCTTGGGGAACCTGCATCAACAACCAATTTGGGTTGACGTTACTTTCATTCAAAATTACCAACAACTTCTCTGGTGGTATAGAGCTTGTCTTGATCACCTCTGCAAGGAGGAAGCGCTATTGCAAAAAAAAGCAACCAAAAGTTAGTCTGAGGCGCTCTCGGCAATGAGATGGCTGGTGAAGATTGCGCACTGATCTAAACTTGTACGTAGCTATCATATTTAATTCTTTGCGCAAACATACCTGTTCTTGTTCTGTAAATGGCATCTCCATGATTGTTGTGGAGACTAGTGGTGAGGTGAGGTGAGGTGAGGTGAAAACAATAGTTGAAAGGTTGAAAGGTTGTATGTTTTATGATCAAATGTTTATCTTCATTCGATGCCTTGAGACAAATAGAAACGGATTTTATTGAACGAGTGAATAGGTAGTAGGTATATGAAAGACCAAATTTTTCTTTGACAAATAAAATAAATCAAGAAGTTATTTAAGTACCTACTTGACATTGAATAGTATTTTGGAGGAACGAATCCTTATTCACCTATTAAAAGGATGAAGGTGAGATTAGGAGATGAAAAACAGTTATCAAAGAGGGAGTTATAGATTGTGTAGCAAAATAGGTGTAAGTTTATGAAATGAGAGGTAGAAAATCGATGGAAGCGATGAATGAGACCCGCGTAAGTTGAAGGGTTCTTGGAATAGGAACAGGTCGTGGAAAGAAGCGCGTGTAGCAGAAAAGAGTGAGGTAAGAAAGGATAAATGTTTTGGTTTTGGTTTTGTTTTTGGCTTGCAACAGCGACAACCATCAAAGTATCAAACCATCAATGAGGCCGGCACTCTTCACGCAACGAGATGTGCCTGCACCTGTGCTTGTGCCTTTACCTGTACCTGTACCTTAAAAAAGTGTTCACCGAACGCCGTTACCCACCAAAAAGGTAAGGTTGTTTTGGAATCTCAATTGAAGGAATCAAGTAGATGTACGGAGAGGTAAGCCCGGTGCGGATGGGAGATAAGATCCCCCATTCCCTTTTTCTTTTCTTAGATTTTTGGCTATGTTTTCTCTAGGTTGCTTTAGGAATAATAAACAACATGGGGGAGAGTTATGTCGTGCATATATGCCAGTCCATATGCCAGTCCCATTGAGGGAAATGAATGAGAAGATTTAACTGGATGTATTGAGGCCAGCTAATGCGCTGTGCAATGCAAGATGTTAGGATGAAGAGAGAACTGGGAAGCGGAAGTGATGCACGCATGATATGAAATAATGAAGAAGCTCCGAATGAGTTGAAGGAAGAATTAGAATTTTAGTGGCTGATTCATTGAAGCTTTATTATCTCCTTTGTTGAATTATGGTCAATTGACATTGGTTGTCCTTTTTCCATAAGTATCAATCAATCAATAAATCAATCAATTCTCCGTGTGCCCCAGCTTCCCCGTCTTCCTTCCTTCCTTCCTTCAATCTCCGCCATAATGTATCCGAGGTCTTGTGTGTTTACTAGGTCCCTACCTAATAGTGCGTAGTGCATAGATCCTTTATCTAATCATGATTCTACCTTTCGTCTGCACCTACAAAAAATCAAAATTGTGTACATAATCCATATCTGATGTGATCGTTTCATATAAAAACAAAAAATAGGGGAGAGACTTAAATATGCCATTGGATACCAACTATAGCTCAACTGTCCTTGCAGCTTCCTAGAAATGATTCAATTCTATCCTGAGATTGGCTCAGAAGAGCTTCACCAACCGCCAATTACAAGTCTCAACAGACTTAGTGGAATTGTGGAAGTCAGCACAACCCAACCATTTATTACGACAACTACCTGGTAAGGCTGTGAAATCTGCGACCTCGCCATTGTCATACGGAGCCTTCCTTATACATAACCTAATCCTTCGAAATAATATCTTCTCCCCGAGTATCATGCTTTGTATTCGAAATCTTGGACAATGTTGAATCGATTGGCTTTGGAGGGCTCGATCGCTTTGAGTGGTTATCCTTCCGAGGCCAAAAATGCGACCGTATTAAATGTACTCCGTACCTCCTCTCTTCCTTTGCTTTTGATGTTGATGTTTAGGCGAATCATCCCAACTTGTGATGGAAGCTTCAGATATTCCAGTCGTCAGGTATTCCATTGGCATTGAAACAATGATTTGCCTTCTTCGGGGGAAGTAGTACCTTCATCACCTTATAATCCGAATTCTTTGTGGGGTTGACTATGCGCATGCAGGAATGCGCTGTCAACAATCCATTAGGTACTTAGATACTTAGGTATGAAGATGACCAGTTATTTTTCATCGCTCTCCTCTTGGATATCACTGACGAATAATCACAGATACGATAATGCTATGAGGTCGCAGTAATATTCCTTCCGTCCGATGATGACTGCAAGCCCTATGTGGAAGATCATTGTGGGGTAGAGTTAAGAAACTGGAATGCGCGGTTGCATGATCAACTACTCGAGTATGCATTTATACAGTTTGAATTGATACTGTTGCAGCCATACTTGGGTTATCAATACCTTCAGAAACCGATCTCTTCACGACACCGCTAGCAGCCAACAAGCCCGATTTACACAACGTTCCTACGTTCGCTATCATAATACACATCATGGGGAATTTAAAGTTTGAAGGATCGTAAAATGGCATGCGCGGGTACCATGTAGGAAGAGGGGCCTTTTTTTTTAAAAAAAACTCAAAAAAAAAAAACTCGAGGTCAAAATACAATGTATACATGCTGGAAGGAACTGTGTGGGACACATTTGTCTGGTAAAAGCTCTGATGATTTGGCATCATCTCAGCTCAGCTGGCTTTGGATTTAGGAGATAAGCTCTTGCATCACCATACATTGGGTAAGGTATGACCATACCTTGGATGCAGTGAAGCATTAAATAAGGATAAGGATATCAATTCTTGGAAATCATCTGGCAGATTGGAGTAGTTATCATCTGTCTGCCAGGGTTGAGGGGAGTATAATTTTGATTTTCAGCGTTCTTTCAGAAGTAGCGGAATTAAGGTTAGCCGAGCGCGCAATAGCTCGTCTCAATTTGTATCGTCGTCCTCCTCCGTAGAGCAATTATTAGCAAATATCAACTACTTTGGGGGGGATAGAAAGCCATTTCAATACATGAGTAGTGATATGTGAGCATCGGGATTGAGGAATATAAGAGTTTGGCCTTTGCGACATGTTGCAGAGTTGAAATTGGAGGTTCAGCAGACGCACTTCCATTACTTCGCTCCCATCCCAATTCCTTCCCGTCCAGCTGTTCTGCAGCCCACATTCATTCAGTGTGGCAAACAAGGGCTTTATGTTTTTGTTGATAGAAGTCCGACCATCCATATTTAAGTCTGCGGGACTGCATCGACCTCGTCAGCTAATATTTCGCAACCCTGCAGCTGTTCGCGATTTGCCATCCAGGCGCAACCACTCTCTTGACTTTTAAGTGCGTGCGCAACAAACGCGAATAAATTGCTTGGGAAGTGACGGGAGTTTAAAAAGTGCTACGGTCAATAACAAGGTGTTGCGTTCTACCCAACGTCGCTAGGAGCTTCGCGTCTGCCAACACAACTAAGAACAAAAGGCCGTATCGAACACATCAACTTAGCTAGCTCGGCTTTCCCTTCGCGCCAACACACAAATATAAAGTAATCGCAACACAACTCTACACCATCCACATATTCATAATGGCGGATGACACTAGGGAGATTCGGCCAGAGATTGTAGACGCTGCGCTGAGCGAAATGAAACTTGAGGAAGGGATCGAGGTTCAGGATTTTGCCAATGGCACAAACGGAGACATTTCTACTCCTACAGAAATCAAGAGGTCTCCCTCCAATACCCCAGGTCTTGTAAACTCTCGCTCTCGAACCCCTTCAAGAAGACAAAGCAGCAGCCAAACGCCAAAATCTGGAGATGAAGAGGATGAAGAGGTTATTGGCGGTGACATTACCCTCACCGTCGAACCTGGAAAAGCTCCGAAGCTATCCAGGAAATCATCACAAAAAGTAATTCCTCGACCACCCCCTCTCTTCAACGATCTTCCAGATTCTACAGAAGAGGCAGCTTCAGTTTTTCAGGTAATTAAAGATTGCATTTATGGAGCTAAGCATATGGGGGCTTCCGATCACGATGCATTGGATTGTGATTGTCCCGAGGAATACAGTAAGTCTACAGATATACTTCAAGTACATTCTTTATTTCGACTGCAATCAATCGCAAAATAGAAACTTTAGCTGACATATCTTATCAGGCGATGGAAATAATCATGCCTGCGGAGAGGATTCAGATTGCATTAATCGATTGACCAAGATGGAATGTGGTGGAGGCCACAAAGATTGCAATTGTGGTGTTGCTTGTCAGAACCAACGCTTCCAACGCAGACAATATGCCAAAGTTTCAGTGATCAAGACGGATAAAAAAGGTTACGGGCTACGCGCAAATACCGATCTACATCCTGATGATTTCATTTTCGAGTATATTGGAGAAGTTATCAATGAACCGACATTTCGACGACGCACCATTCAATATGACCAAGAAGGAATCAAACATTTCTATTTCATGTCCCTTACCAAGCATGAATTCGTGGATGCAACAAAGAAAGGGAATCTTGGCCGATTTTGCAATCACTCATGTAATCCGAATTGCTATGTGGATAAGTGGGTGGTCGGGGAAAAGTTGCGCATGGGCATTTTTGCCGAGCGTGCAATCAAAGCCGGCGAGGAACTGGTCTTCAATTACAATGTTGACCGATATGGTGCCGACCCTCAACCTTGTTACTGTGGCGAACCGAACTGTACTGGATTCATCGGAGGCAAGACTCAAACTGAACGCGCTACTAAACTTTCTCATGCTACCATTGAAGCTCTTGGTATTGATGATGGTGATGGTTGGGATTCAGCTGTTGCTAAGAAACCTCGGAAAAAGAAGACAGGTGAGGATGACGAAGAATACGTTAACAATGTTCAACCAAGGGGACTTGATGAAAATGGAGTGCGAAAGGTTATGGCAACCCTTATGCAATGCAAAGAGAAATGGATTGCCGTCAAGCTACTGGGCCGAATTCAACAGTGCGAAGACGACAAAGTTCGAAACAGAGTTATACAAATGCATGGTTATCAAATACTTCGTACGACCTTGACTACTTGGAAGGAAGATAACAACGTGATCCTCCAAGTACTTGATATTCTCTACAAGTTTCCACGACTCACTCGAAACAAAATCGTTGATTCGAAGATCGAAACAGTTCTAGAAGGCTTCACAAATTCCGAGCATGAAGACATTGCTTTCGAGTCAAAGAGACTATTGGAAGCATGGAGCAAATTGGAGTTTGCATATAGAATTCCAAGGAGAGCTCCAACTCTTGTTGCACAAGTATTTGAGCGACGACCAGAACAAGTAGAGAAAGTCACTCAGTCTCCATCTCCAGCCATCATTGCCCCTACTGGGCCCCGGAGCGTTATTCCTCAACGCAATGCCAACTTCATTCTGAATCGACCTATGCCTCGGCGCAACAATTTCAACATGGTATTGCCACCCGGCTGGTTTACCGCGATGGACCAAAATGGAAACGCCTACTATTATAGTAAAACGGGACAAACAACATGGGAGAGGCCATTTATGCCCGCAGGAGCAGTCCCGCCACCACCACCGCCAAAGGCAGCTCCAAAGAGTGTGCAAACGCAAAAGGCTCTTCAAGATATTATTGATAGTATTACAAAGGAGCCTTCGACAACTCCTGCTCTTTCCTCCCATTCTGCTGAAGGCACACCTAAGGAAAAGAAAAGGCCACTTGATAAATGGCGCTCACTACCTCTCGAGAAGCAGATGAAACTTTATGAGAATACCGTATGTTCGATAGTTTGTTTTTCTACGCCGGTCGATTTTTCTTCAAATTTTAATCGTTTATTTCACTGACTTCCACCTCATAGCTATTCCCTCATATCAAACACGTAATGCAAAAATACTCCGGCAAACTCCCCAAGGATGACCTCAAAAAATTTGCAAAGGAATGTGGTAAAAAGCTCGTGGCCTCTGATTTCAAGAACAATCGCGTTGAAGATCCTACAAAGATATCCGAAAAGCATGAAAAGAAGGTTAAGAAATATGTGCGTGATTACTTCGAGAAGGCAGTACAAAAGAAAAAGGAAATGGAGGAAAAGCGAGCGGAAAGGAGAAAACGAGAAGCGCAGCCTAGGAATAATGGAAGTGGAACCAATGGAAAAGAACCAGGGCGAGAAAATGCGACTACAAGTAGTAGTCCGGATGTGGTTGATGTGGATGTGGAGGTCGACGTACCAAGTCCGACAGCATCACCTAGTGGACAACTCGAAATGGAATTTTTGAAAAGGAAAAGAGAAGACAATGACGAAAGTCCGTCAGAAAATAAGAGGGTTAAGGATCATGGCACTGAAAGTGAAACGCCAACTGATTCTTTTACACCACCTCCCCCTCCTCCGCCGCCGCCCGAGGAAGGTATGCCTATATTGGGGTCAGAAGATCCTGAGATGGCTAATGGTAATGGGCAAATTGTAAGTGAGGAAGAGGTGAAGGAAGAAACAGAAGAGGAGAGAGAGTTGAGGATGCAAGAAGAGGATCTGATGAGGGAGAACGAAGAGGCTATGAAGATGGAGATGGAAGTAGAATCAGTTGGAAGGTTAAAGGATGGCGATGACTCCAATCAGCACATTAACGGTGAAAACATGGATAGACATGATGAGACGATGAAGAGTATTGATGGAAGTGGTCATGAAGCAATTTCAACGATTAATTAATTAATCGTGACAGCAGAAACAATTGATTATTCAAACCGAAAAATCAAAAATGATGTGGTGATATTACGAGGGGTGAATATCCAATAGGATAATATCTACTACCTTCTAAGGAATTAACACAAAATTGGGAATAACCTGTGTAATAATGTACCATCATTATTTATAATTATCATTATCATCATCATCACCATCATCATCATCCAGAAAAAAATCTTTGTATTAAATCAGAAGTCCTTTGTATTATATTATATTGTAATAAATAAATAAGAAGCGAATTGAGTTAATAATATTTGATAATTTAATTTATTTATTTACTAATTCTCCAATCTCAAAATCTTTGATTGTTGAGAAGATTTGAAGATGAGATTCTTGTTTTTTGAGGAGTCCTTTTTTTTTAAAAAGTTTAGAGATGAGAGATAGGAATTATATTGATGTAAGGGATTGATTTTGTTTGTTTTTGGAGGATGAGATGGGATGGGGTGGGGGAGAATAGGGGATGGGAGGGAAGGAAAGAAAGGAGAGAAAGGAGAGGGAAGGGGAGGAGAGGGAAGGGGAGGGAAGGGGACGAGGGAAGGGGAGAAAGGAAAGGGGAAACTGTTAGGCTATTTAGGTAGATAGTGTAACGATACTGTACTGAAGGCAGCGGCTGCCTAAGGTTTCATTTGGTTGGTAGTTATGGGTTAAGGCTTTATCACTGGTATTCACTTGGAAGTGAAGTCGTTACTAGAACAAGTAGAATGTAGGTAAACTAATTGATAACTAAGTTGAGCACGAAGCCTCTATACTATGAAACTATTCTGACTATATACTATACGTTTCCCGAGTGCTAGCCCATGCTAGCTGGCTAGCAGAGCTATCACGTCACGTGATCCCATCGGAGCCTCAGGACACTAATCCTGGAACGATTCGTCTCCTAGGATAATTTAGCTCCTAGGACAAATACTATCCTAGGATGCTTGCCCTACATCATTGCGGTTGCCTAAATGTTTATTCTAGGATTATTATTATCCTGGGACACATTTTATCCTAGGATACTTGCCCTAGGATTCCTTATCGATAAGGACCCCCCGGAACCAGCGGCCCAAACCTCCGTACTTGCTTTTATTGTATTATAATAATCGTGATTCGTGACAATTAAATATAAATAAAAAGTAAATTTTTTTATATAATATTTGTTAAAAGGAATGACCTTACACAGGGAATAGTGGGAAGCTGACAGGGCAGAACTGGGGCTATATTGGGCTTTTTATATAAATCATACATTATCTAAGTTCTATGGAAGTGCGAAGCTCTCCTACAGAGAGCTTTGTCACGATTCACCATTAGGATTGATGGTGTTACGATGGTAGCAAACTGATTAATTAGGAGAGCTTAGGCCTTGTGCAAACACGATCAGATTTCATCGAATTAGTATGTGATCTTGGTCACCTGAAGATCGTATGCGCACGCACCATCAGAAATCGCGTGATAAGGAGTCTTGAGGAGCCAGAAAGCTCCTAGAGGCTCCCTTTATCGTTCATTATATAGTCAGAGTAGTTTCATAGTTTAGGAGCTTCGTGCTCAACTTAGTTATCAATTAGTTTACCTACATTCTACTTGATCTAGTAACGACTTCACTTCCAAGTGAAGACTAGTGATAAAGCCTTAACCCACAACTACCAATCAGACGAAACCTCAAGCAGCCGCTGCCTCCGGTACAGTATCGTTACAAGCTTCTCAATCTAGTCCTAATAGGACTAGTGCCCTGTGCACGTGCTACGCAGGAACCATTCACTTTAACAATATTTATAATGTAATATTTATAAGAAGTTAATTAATTATAAAATACAATATAAATAAAATTATATATTTAATTTTATAAATGATAATATTTATCAATAAAAAAATTGTTAATATAATAATATATACAATAAGAGAATACTCGGTTCTTTGAGATATAATAATGGACATTACTGTCACGATTCATTAATTCACGTGACCTCGAGGACCTTTTGGACCTTAGGGTCCCAAGGGTCCTCAAAAGATGATATAGGGTATATAAACATTCATTTAGTCTCGTAGTTAAGGAGCTTCGTGCTCAACTTAGTTATCAATTAGTTTACCTACATTCTACTTGATCTAGTAACGACTTCACTTCCAAGTGAAGACCAGTGATAAAGCCTTAACCCACAACTACCAATCAGACGAAACCTTAGGCAGCCGCTGCCTCCAGTATAGTATCGTTACAATTACTAATAGTTTTACTCATAGATAAGATTTATACAATACAAAATTACAGTAGTGTACTCGCATATCTATAATTTTGCTTTAATACCAGGCGCGAATGTCGTTCCTCTACTCGCTCCACCAATAGCTTCGACGATCTTATCTACTGTATTAAGAATCCATGCATTTCCTTCTTCACCTGCTAACCATTCTCCTCCCTCCACAGGTTCTTCGCCGGATGCTTTATACGTACCATCCTCAAACGCTTTCCGTAAACCAAATACATGGCTGGTGACCTGTGGACCCACTCCTGTTTGTGCTCTTAAGCATGTTATACCGATCAAACTTGTCAGAACTCTGCCGATCTTTACTGGTCGTGATGAAATAGGAGGGTCGCTGAAGAGGCTTGAGTAACAATTCAGAATGAAAACAGGGAGATCTGGATGCGATTCTGCGAGCTTGTCGAGTAATTTTGCTTCAAAGGGCCGGTAAATGGAATCCCATAGTCCGCGACCTCGGATTTTGGTGTCTTCAACATTGGTACTTTCCAATTCACTAGTAATTGAGACTACATTAGCAGACATTCAATGGGCATAAAATGGGGAACGAAATTACCGAGATGGGGTTTTATTCAATGAATTCATGATTTCATTCGGTAGGCTTGCCCGGAACTGACCTAGAACATTGATTGTTCTTGGAATCTAAGATGCATTGTTAGCTTCCGTTGCTGTATTCTCAAGTACATATATGCCATCTCACTCCATTAAAGCCTATACATTTCAAGCCTACTTCCCTCATCTGCTCCACGGTTTTCACCGTCTGCGCATGATCCTTGTCCTTAGTCGCAAGTCGGAAGAGCTCCAACATTGAGTCGGGAGAATTCATCGTCATAGTCGCAGCTGTCTGCCATTCGGAAATATCAGTTTCCCATTTTTATGATTTGGGCTTTTGATAGGAATTGATGTACCGAGATTGTCAGCCATGATGCCAGTCCAACATTGTTCGTGGAGGCTTCCTCCTTTATCTTTTGGAATACTGCGCGGATATTTTTGGGTGCAGGAGCATATCCAGGACGGGCATGTGGTGCGCTTATCAAGGCTTTCAAGGAGGGTGAGAGTTTAGACATAATGAGAGTGGTGAGAATTGTCTCGGAATGAAAATGAATTGCTCCATGAAGTCACTTTTAGGAAGATATGGCAGGGGACAGAAGGGGGTAAATTTGTCTGCCGAGGTGAGTTTGTCGGAGATTAAAATATTGCCATTGCCTGGTATCACGTGACATATGACCCGTTTGGGATGCCGAGGCCAAAATAGAACATTCTATTTTTCAATATCGTATCAAACCCCATGTCACTTCTCAATGCCTGGACCATTGTCTCGGACTTGACGGCCCCAGAAATAGCCTCATAAATCAGAACAGGCATACATAATCATTCACGTTGGACATCGTGTAACGATCAATCCATTTGATGTAGAGTTTGCACGGAAAGTTCGTTTTTGGTACACGATTTATCTTTATCCCTACCATAGCATTTGCTGCGGTCTGCTTTAGAGATCACGCCTGCAATGGATGAGCTACCTGCACAGGTATCAGGGGTATCTACTCATGATGTTAGAAATACAATTTCCAAGAAGTTTCCAAGGCAAGCCGCATGTCTAAACTGTCGACGTAGCAAAACCCGTTGTATCCGTGGCCCCGCGGATGTCAATTGTCAAAGATGCCGTCAGAATGATATGGAATGTCTGGTGCCAGATTTCCATGTAGGAAGGCGGAAAGGTGTCAAAAAGTGAGCCTCCGTCACATGTTTCGAGTAGGGTGTTCATAAGTCCGGATTATTGGATATCCTAGATTTGACTGTCTTGATCCTTGCTAACTTCATTTAGCAAACGAAGTGGACTAGATAAAGTAGTTCATCAACTCGAAAAGGCAATCAAAAGCTCTAAGAACCATAACGTTCCAAAAGAAGAAGGTCGGCGTCTACAGCAGCTTCTTTCCGAAGCCGAAAATCTCGTGTCTGGAGGGAATGAGAACCCTTCCGCCCAATCCATTGGCAGCCGGACCCTCAAACAATTTGATTAACGGACGACGTGAAACCAATGACGCATCCTTGTTTAGCTCTCACGAAACCACTTGTCAAATTGAGATAGATCACGTTGCTTTGGACGATGCTGAAAATCCTCTGCAGCTGCTTGCTCGTGCATCAGACCTTGCAGATACTGCGGCAAAGCAACGATGTATGCCCACTTCCCTTTCAAAGACCGGAGAGCTTCGTCGGTTTTTTGGACCGTTTCAACCACGCCTTGACGTTGGACGTGATATTGACCCTGTCAATATTGGCTTGGTGACTGAAGAGGAAGTGACTATGCTCATAGAATAGTGAGTCGTGCCTAGATCGTCCCAGGGTGTTCAACAGTCCAGATCGCCGTCTAGCAATAAGAGATTTCTTGAATTTTTCGAATTATTCACTGAAATTATCTAGTCAATTTGGAACATCCAAACAAATTGGAACATTGCATTCATTCGGAGTGTAGACTTTGATGGGGATAATTAATTGTATTCAAACATGAAAAGCTTTCAATTTTTTCTGCTCATCCGGACTATTGAACACCCTAAGATTCGTGTTAACGGATATCTCATTGATACTGATGATTTCAATAGTTTCTATACAGATCTTTCGCATACAAGATGGGGTCTCGATCCCTCCATTCACACGGCAGACTTTGTGCGCTCAAGATCTGCGTTTCTTTTAACATCCATGTTAGCCGCATCTGCACTTTTCATTCCTCTAGGGGCAGCTTTATCAAAGCGTCTTTCCAACCATAGGAAATATCTTGTTAAGCATGTTATGTCCAAGAGGTTTAGGTCGCCAGAAATCGTTCTCGCTTTCATGATAAATATCCCATGGATGTCACCAGAAAATCATTGGGCTGAAGACGAGACTTGTTCTTATATGGCTTTGGCGCACTCTGTAGCCCTCGATATATCTCTAAACAAGATCATCATATTGAATGCAAACAGTCTACAGACTGCCGTTCTAAAGTCAGATTGCATTAGTGCAAGAAAAGCTCTCGACATGGACGGTTTTGTTGATGTTGATCCCACGACACGATGGGGCCAGAAATTATTACGTCGGCGTGAAAGAATATGGCTTGCTCTATTCAACCTGGACAGGGGGTGAGCCAACTCCTTACGTTTACATTTGAAGGTGCTGATATTCCTGGAAAGCGTGTGCTTAGCACGAGGGAGAGCCTTTACCGTACAGGTATCTCCTTTCGTTGAAACTTGCGATGCATGGCATAATGCTGATATAGCTGATACCTGGGATGGCTCAATTGTAGCTTCATCTGTTTTGCGGCGAGATATCGTATGTAACTTTTGAGATATTCCCATAGAGACTAATAATGTGAACAGGCCAAGATCATTACTTCTATAAAAGACACGTGTGATAGCACTGCATCGACAGGATTAGAAGGGTATGACATTGCTCAAACCCTTAGACAAAGGGTCGATGACTTTTTCAACCACTGGTATTCGACCTGGACCACCGAAATAGGTCAAGACAAGGATCTTCGGCTGCCTCCTTATGTAGAAATCCTCGTTTCCCACACCCGTCTTGCTATATACAGTAATGTTCTTAATTATCCTGGGCAAACCTCGGCCATCTCTCATTTCTTTCGATCTGCTGGTCTCTCGTCTGCTTTGAATGTTATGAGAGCTGCGGTCCAGGGAGAGCCGCTTCTCAAGTCTATGCCAAACAATACTGCGATAATGGTCTCATTTTCGGCCTGTTTTGCACTTTACTTGTCGACGACGAGTACGAAAAATAATCCCTGTCTGAGAGAAAGTATCAAAGTTCTGATAGAAGAGACTGCGACGGTTTTGGAGAGGATAGGAAATATCACTCCTCACAGGAAAGGGAGTTCAGCGTTATATGGAATGCACTTGCAAGAAATTCTTCGAAATTCCCTGGCATTACGAAGGCCTGTTCCATATGATCCGTCAGTCCTCAATGGTGGACAAGCGGTTAGCAATACAGCACAGGAAACGCAGGAACGCGGATTAGAGCCTGGTTTCTTCGAGCCGCTCCAACTCTCCGCCATGTCGGTTGACCAGATTGTCGAATTCTTTGAAAATGAGGAAGCAACCCTTGGAATTAGTCCAACTAACTTACAGCTGGGCGATACTACAGGAATGGAATGGCTTGACTGGTTCGATTTTTACGAAACTGCAGAAGGCTGATAGCTTGTTCGTTATGGGACTATTATTAACCAGTTCTAATCATTTTGTGGCCATTTGTGCTTGACGTCTAAAATAAAAAAGCCAAGATAGTGGTGCTCTGCAGTGTCTCCAGTAGTCTGTTCAGCCTGCAGCCCGACAATTTATAACAGAGTTTTGGATATTGAAATCATTTTAACCATTAAATTTGATTTGAATACAGTTGGCTGCCTCTGATCACTCGAATGTAATTCGCACACACTATCGATCCCTGCCTCCTGGCTATAATCCATAGCTAACACTTTCCGGGAAGCTTGAAGCAACCAATCGGTCACAGATGGAAATCGTGCACTGAGCAACAAGTGCAATTCCTGGACGTGGATAAGTATTCCGTCCCAACACGATAGAATACGGCGTATTGCCTCCCAGGACTTTCGAAAAGATATCGTTCCTGGATATCACGGTCCTTGTGAACAATGTCCATCGAGACAGGGCGCTGGAAAATCCGAGAGTGGTATTGACATGCTGGACGTTCTTTTGCTTCTTCCTTGGTGGAGGACGACATTACATGTATCTCAGCAGAAGCAGAGAACTGGGAGCCCAAGGACTGAAGATCATGGAGAATATCTTTGGGTATCGTTGCAAGAACATGACGGCCTGAAGATATTGTGCAGTCAAAAAGCGAAAGTCCGGAATCAGTTCCATCCGCAGGTACAAATTCCTCGGGCTTTGTAAGCTCGACAATCATGCTACTCGATAATTCGACGTTATTTATGTTCTCGTGCTTTCGAGCCAGATTTTCTCTTCCATTGTGGAGTTAGCATAATCATGAACAGTAACACGGCCATGGGCGCCACAAGGAAACCACAGTAAACTTACTTAGGAACCACCAACGCTGAATTTAGTGCCATAGCAGAACTCTATGTTCAATATCCAATATCGAGCTAGGCATTGGCCGCTCTTGCGCATTCTCGTAATGTCGAGTTAGCTCACTCACCTCGAAGGACCTTTCAACAGCTATATGTGCTTCTAAAATGGTAGTGTTGTGAGACATTTTGCTGCCATTACTGCCCAACATGTCCGCCTCAATGTTGGCAAACGGAAATTGCTCATCAAAAGCATAACTTCATTTGTTTCAAGAGCACTCTTAGTCAAGCTAGATCCTACAATTGGCAAGTTCCGATCTAGGATGAACCATGTGCCATAGCAAGCGACTTCCATAAGGCTGAATACATAGAAACTAGATATTTCTCTAATAAGGGCATTGATCGCTAAAATCTGGCATTGGCGATCTGGCACAGCTTTCCTAACATTCAGAGGAAGGGCTTTGACCGCTTGTCGCTTCTTAGAACTTCGAGAGCTGTGAAACAATAAGCAGCTTGATTTTTGAATTTTGAGGGATGAAAATACTGATTGGCCTCGCTAAGCGTCTGCGCCAATTTCTAGATATGGAAGTAGCAGCATGCTGACCACTAAAATGTCGGAGGATCTGGCATACAACACCATGCCAGAAATTTTGTATAACTCATTTTGATTATGCCTACTCACTCCAAATCCTATCTGACCGCTGCTTACTCCAGCGCTCCCGTTTGCCCTGAGTTTTCACATGGTTTCCTTTGATACTCCTGCGCATACAGCAACAGTAACTCCGCTGGATGACATTCACGCTTCTGTATAGTCGCACAAATAATGCGGTTGTCGGTGGAAGCAAACACGAACGGTACTTAAGTTCTGACTGCATTTCACTACTATAATCTTTGCGCCCAATTCCTTGCGTGGTGTTGCATCACGAAGATACCCCACCATGGGAACTGCCGAACATTTCGAGGTTCAGTAGCTTTTTGAATAACCTATACCGCTTTTTCGTTCGCTTGGATTTTTAGCTTTGCTGTTAAATTTGGTGGAAAGTGCGGAATCACTGTTGGATATTTTGTGGCGGATAAATCTGTGACGCCCAAGTTATCCCAAGCACGAAATTTTTAGCCAAGACTTGAGCCGTTCTCGTAACACAAAGGGCTTTTTCTTTCAATATACACATATGCTGGCCGCAAAAGCTCCAAAATGAAGTTTGCCATCACAAGCCACGTAACGTTATCGGAATGAGGTAATCTTGGGCGAAATGTGAGCGATGGTCACTCTCGAGTCACGGATCGTTGGAATGGCAAATATTCAACAGGCTGGAGGTTTGCCATGATCTGATAATTGGCTATGCGGACGATAAAATATGTTGACAGATATGAGAATTCTTGGCTTTCCTCCTGAGCCGTCCCTTGTCTGGAAGCGCACGTTTCAGTAAGATCCTCACATTTTGAATACGAAGCTCCTCATAGTATGGCTTTGCGAAATGGTAGTTGGCTGATGTCATCTTTCTACCTTAAACCCCTCCACTAGAGAGAAGCCATGCACTCGATTGAGGCCAGCGAACTCATCATATCACCCTTAACATACTTGAGTAAGCCTGTCATGTCTCCGGAACCCATCCGATTCACAGGTAATCGTTTACCGTATCTCTCACACCGTGTTTGGTTTCATGAATCGACCGCTGTCTCTGGGTGTCGTGGCACCTTTAAATGGTAGATCAATGCATCATTCCCGTGTGATGAGGCAGTCTCACGTAGATTCTGCGAGACCGGGCGCTTTTTCATGGTAGTTGAGGATCGCGCAGACCTATCTAATTCAGCACTGAATCCTTGAAGATTGTGCTGTGGACTTTCATCATGTGCCGGGTGGAGGAAGGAGAACCTTGATATGATGCCAGATGCCGAAGGTTACAGGCGGCAACGGGTGTTAATTTCGAAGAGAATTGACTTGATTGTCACTTTCATGTTCATGGTATCGCACTCATATTTCTACAAGACAAGTATGCACTCCGTGGGCTGAAACGAAGCGGCATTTTCTAGCGTAATCAAGTGCCGGGCTGGAAAAGTTCTAGCATTCTCGATCAAGACTGTCATGACTGTCATGCGCAATTTTCTCAAATAAATTATGGGTGGAAACCAGGCATCTACAAGCAATTGGATTAGAGTACAAAATCTTGGATTTGCTCAGGTATTAGAGGCTCGAGTTTGGGAACTGTTCAATGCCTTTTGCTGTATAGGCCTCTTGAGCGTGTTCATTTTGAGAGAATTTTTGCTAGGATGATTATATGATCCGTTTTTTAACAAAAATATTCAAGTCTATATTTGCTTCGATCTGGTTGTGAGGTTTCTTTGGTTTCCGCCTTCGATTTACTTCGTCGGAAGCAAAAAAATCTGGCAAGAGATACCGGTAGCACATTATAACAGGATTCAACCATGATAGCCCGGAACCGAGTGGTAGATGGAAAATCAATTTACATTCGTTCAGCATCAACTCAAAATTCGAAATGAATTTCATATTTAAGATAATCTGAAAATTCAAGCCAATCTAGGAATCCAAAGTCTTTTGTTGTTGGACGGCAATCCGGAGTATTGAGAACATTGTGCTCATAAATCACACTCATCCCGCTATTCAGCACTGTTCAGAGAAGAGGAGAGATAGCCCTCTGGAAGTACAGAGACTGCTGAAAATGGTACGGTTGAGGAAAGGAAGAAATGGAATTGGAAGTGGGGGTGCAATACGCGTAGTATGTATTAAAGGACTACGCTAGACCTAATCTGATTTATTATGTCACTCAGTACCAAAAAAACAATACAATTTTAATTCTGAGCGGTATGGAATGATGAGTGTCAATGTCCACGGGCGATTAATGCAGGTACCTGCATCAGCCGAAACTACCACGCGGAAACTTGCTGGTGCGAGAACATGGCATCAAAGAGACCGTTGAAAGCGCCACACACGGGTGAGAAACTATCGAAATATATTTTTAGCAGACGTTATATGCCACATGCCTACTGAGATACGCAGGTAGTATTCTCAAACGGGTCGAACTGGAATTGCAACAGTAATCGAAAGACAGCATGATGTTGGCAAAGCGGCACAGCGCATGTAAAGCCCAGATTGGCACTGGGAAGTTTCTTGGTATTGAGCCTGCACCGGCATACCAGACACTGTATCTACTGGCTTCGCATGGCAAAGAACATATTATCTCACTCGCCGCTCCCGAGCTTTGGACACTTTGAACTAAGTTCTTTTTTACTTGTACCTCACTCCGCAGAGCTTCCTAGAAATGTTTCCTCTCGGGTTCGCAATCGCAGCGAGTCTCATAGTTCTGCCATCAGTACATTGTTCTTCGAACGTCAATCTATTGGTATCAGAATGGAGCAACTCTACCGTACAGCATTCACAAGGTGGCAATGCACTGTGTCTTTCTGGAAAGGTCCCTGTTCCCGTCATAGCTACAACGACAAATCTTCTACTACCCGAACTTGCTAGTCAAACAGAGATAACACAAATCTTCCAGGAATTACTCCAGAGCCATTCGAACATTATTAATACGACTTATGGAGGGACCTCCCGTATCAATTCAACATTTAAGGTGGACGCAACATATTGTGTACCTTCCTACGAAGAGACGAATTTCTCTGTAATGACAAATTCCTCCGCAAAGACGATACAGATTTTGACTCATGGTATGGGGCTGGACAAGAGTTATTGGGATATATTACCAGGTTATAGCTACGTGGATGCTGCTGCCGCTGCTGGATATGCTACTCTTAGCTATAATCGTTTAGGTGTTGGGGGTTCCGACCATCCTGATCCGCTCCAGATCGTTCAGGCGACAGTAGATGTCGAGATACAACATGGTCTCACATTATTGGTTCGACAAGGTTATTTCAACAAGATTTTCGAGAATGTAATCGGGGTTGGTCATTCATATGGCTCAATTATCCAGTTAGCCCAGAATGCGAAATACCCTAATGATGTTAATGGCACAGTATTGACGGGGTTTGTTAATGATGTGGCATCTTTAAGCTATACTATTGCTGCCAATAATCCTGCTGTCGCAGCTATCAACAATTCAACGTTATGGGGAAATTTGCCATATGGCTATGTAGTCCACGATACCGCCATTTCCATGCAACTTCCATTTTTTCGGGTACCTTACTTTCCAGAGAGCAGTAAGTGTTACCCGAATTTTCTTTAGAATCATTGCTAACCAATAATTGTAGCATTCAAGCATGAAGTAGCCCAAAAGCAGACCTATACTATCGGTCAACAGTTTACACTGCCTGCTATCTACTCACCCGCACCAAAATTCAAAGGGCCAGTTGATATAGTCATTGGAAAGTACGACTTTCCATTCTGCCAAGGAAGGTGCGATCACCCTGTCGATCTAGCTGCAGCGACCATACCAGTCCTGTACCCAGCGGCAGATTCCAAGTCGGAAAGTTTTGTTGTGCCAGACTCCGGCCATCTCATTAACGCACATTACAATGCTTATGTTCAGTTCGATCAGATCAATGACTTTCTTGATAGAAACGGGTTTTAGCGGACCGTGTCCCTTATTAGCTTGGCACCGTACATAAATTTAACCGTGTTATCGGTGCATATCATAAAATCGATATATCCGGAAATTGATTCGAATCAAATGTCAATCTATCCAATCAATAAAATTGTTGTGCAAGGTGCCAGGATGCCTCGAAGCTCCCTAGTAAAATAATGATGTATAAGTTCAAGGTGTCGCCATTGTTGCATAGGCATCATAAATTGCACTTTCATGTGGTATCCTTGGCATTCAATATTATAGCTGCAGCTTCAAGGGTCGGAACGGCAACCTTCGGTAAAGTATCCGGATGGCTCATGATATTTGACAAAGCGAACCCTTGTTACTCTGCCGTACTTGGTCTGATTATTCGGCTATTGAAGTTGCCCTGCACTAGTTCGCCTCCGGCTCTTCATTCAACAATTAGAGTGCGCGCTAAGCATATCAAACATGGTTCGTGTAATCGTATTAGATGCATCTTAAGTCTAGTGGTATAGACCAGATTATGGCTTTCTGCAATGACGGCCTGTTCGCGATATGCCGCTGAAATCCAGCCTTAATTGATTTGGCATCGTCTAGAAGATGGCCGCGCCACACGGAAGACTTATTCCTCGAGCATAACCATGTCACACATACCCCGCGTCCCTGCATTTTGTTGACATCTGACTCTGATGTGTAGAGTTTGGCGCATGAGCATATTGACAACTATATGCAGGGTGCTGGCAGACAGACAAAGATGGTTGTTGAGACGGTTTTTAAAAAGCTATACATTATCCACATCACTGAAGTCGGGAATACTGAGTGGAAATAAGAGCTTTCTTTCAGTGTTTACCGTTTACATTTGGCCCATACTATCACCTGCAAAGTCATGGTATCTCCATCGCATATCATAGTAGCCAATTTAGTTGTCGCTATTGCAGCAACCATAGCTGTTATTCTCAGATTTGTGTCACGGACGCTTATCAAATCTTTCGCTGCAGACGACTGGCTCATTCTTGCGGCATTACCTTTCGGATGGGGAATGGCAACTTGTACTATCATTGCTGTCCACTTTGGACTTGGACAGCATGCTCGGTCAGTGCCCCCTGAAAATATTGTTCCATTTATCCAGGTAAGTTCTTAGATAATTCCATTGACCAGATGAAGAAAATTGTCCTAAAGTGTAACAGGTCTACTTGGCTTCGGAGCTCATCTGGGCATGCTCAATGGCACTAATAAAAATATCCGTTCTCCTTCTTTATGTTCGCATTTTTGGGACCATGAGATATTTCCGTCTTCTTGCCTATGGCTTCGGCGGCTTCACTATAGCTTGGGCAATAATGGTTATCTTTGTTTGTACTTTTCAATGTCTACCCGTTGCTTATCAGTGGGACAAAACAATCGAAGGAGGCCGGTGTATTGATTCTTGGCTTTTTTTTACCATCGGGTCGTCTTTCGACGTACTCGTTGATTTCGCGCTATTAATCCTTCCTCTCCCTGCGATCTGGAACTTGCAGTTATCAATACTTCAAAAGGTATCGCTAATTGTTATCTTTAGTCTTGGTTCAATGTAAGTTGATCCAAACATGTGTGGTGCGGTTGCTCCTATTGACACTTCAAAGTACTTGCGTCTTCAGTTTAATTCGACTCGTGGCGGTTGCTCAAGCTAAAGACGTACCGGATCCAACTTGTGAGTCTTCCGATGATTTGCACGTGGAACAAGTACTAAGTCAAATGTCTAGTCACTCTCGGAATCGTTGCAATCTGGTCAACGGCAGAACCTTGCCTCGGAATAGTCTCCACTTGCCTTCCTAGTTACAAACCGATCATCACAAGGATTTTCGGCCATAAAGAGGATGCTAGTAGCTCTGGTTCGAGCAAGCCGAGCGGTGGTAACAGTACATTTGGAAGCAAGTTCAGCAAGAATGGCGGTCGGCTCGCCCTCGCGTCAGCTTCCGAGAATGAGGATGATCATCAGTTGATCTACAATCAAAAGGAGTTGATTTCTCTCAAGACTTACGCTACCGCGAGCAACGACAGCACAGCAAGAGTACAGGATATTCCGATGGACAACATTCACGTACAAACAAACATCGATAGTACTTGGACCCATAAAGTCTAGGCTGCGAAATATTCGTTTCTACTCCAAATAATAAAATATGTTTGTTCTAGGTTAATTTATCGACCTCATTTCTGCGCCTTGTCGATGTTTGGAGTATTGATTTGTAGCCCGGAAGGTGATCCACTTCGGCTCGCAAATTCTAGCATTTGTCCGTTAAACTGAGTTTGGTTTTGTTCAACGTTTCTAAATTGCGGACATGTTGCCTCACGTCAAATCATAAGAGGTTTTTCAACAGACTTTTTAATTTTCGAAGTAGCTTGGGAGGTTGAAATACCATAGTATATTCACACGATCGGGGGACATTTAGAAATAGATTGGGACATAGTAATGTGTCCGTAGGTAGTAGCTGGTGAAAGTATAACCGAAATTAGACACGTGCTTGAATATATATTCATTCTTGCATTATCTATTATCTGCTCTTTTGGGTCTCCACGCCGTAAAGAGAGACTGAGAGTTACATAGATACCCTTGATTCTGCTGCTATCGAAATCACTTAAGCAGCAGCACTTTCGATAACTTGAGCCACCTTTCCTGGCATACTCAACATAACCATATGTCCAGCAGAGCACTTTTCAATCTTGCTTTCCGCCGCTCCTGCAAGTTGTTCTTGCAACGACTGTGGGATACATTGATCATTCTCGCATACAAGATAGACGCTTGGCACATCTTTCCAGCCAGTATATGTAATGGTTCCATTCCAGCCGGACGCAGGTTGCGACTTCAAGGCTTTCTCCCACTTCTCAGCATCTTTTTCATCCAGGTCATTAAAAAGAATCTTCTCAGGGTTGGCACAATACATAGCTCCGCCCTATTATTTGGCACAGTTAGACTCTGTTTATTATTGCCCATGACTTCAGGACTACGTAATAACCACCCACCTCCGTGATTTGAAATGGCAAGGGGCCATGAGTGAAGCCTTCTGGGAAGATTGCTGCTGTCAAAAGGACCAATTTTGTCACACCACCCTTCAATCCTTTATCCATGCGTGCTTTAGCTGTTAACCCTTCTATGGCACTCGATCCTATGAAGCCACCGCCCGAATGAAGAACCATCAAGACATCTTCTCCAGCATCAACCAATTTCTGGACAACAGTGCGTACTGCAGCAATGTCATCGTTCATATCTGGGTTACCTGGCGAAATGGTACCAGTGCTGGGCAGAGCGACTACCTGAGTCTTGAGATTGGTGGATTGAAGCTGTGAAATGACTTCGTCGAACACGGTTGGTCCTTCCCAAAACCCCGGCACGAACAAAATTGTAGGGGCCATACTGATAGGCGGATCTTTTTTATCAGCAAACCTCTTAGTATTGTTAAGAGTCAATGTAATTGATGAAACCGGCTGGTTGAATAAGTGTTGGGAACATGAAGGAAGTTAAGATAAACATATTTGACTGAGTGTGCGGCACAGCCTATTGAGTTGAAATGTTTTGTTTGATACATGACGCTTCACGATTGGTCAAATTTATATGGAAGCTGCAGGGTGTGCATGGGGGTTCACAGCACCTCACGGCAAGGATAAGGCATAATCAAGCCTCTCCTGCATGACGGCGTCGATTTTAGCCACATTAACTGCAGGATTCTTATTTGTCAACCATCCGTATCATGCAACTCGTGTAGCAGCTTCTGTACAAAGGTACAGCAGTAATATTTAACCGAAATCACATTCGTGTAATATTTTGCTAAGCTTATGCCTCCGGCTTCCTTCCCGCAACACTAACCATGCTCATTCTTAGACTTGCGCCGTGATACATCTCGGCAATTGCACGCCGATGCATATTCCACCATTCTTCAGCATTACCCCTTTCCCGTTCGATGATACTACCCATTTCTACCGAGGCCATAAGATGTGTCATTGTCCAGGGGTGCGCGATTTCGTCGTCGATCGGCACGTATTGGTTGGCCAGCACGACTAAATTCCGTTTTTGAAATGCTTTGTCTAGCTCTGTAATCCATCTAATGAAGTCAGCATTTCTCTCCCGCGCTTTTAGCGTCCATCCCTACCGAAAATCATTGTATTTGCCCGAAACTAAGCTTTGGGCTTGATTTTTCAACTCGTCCAAGGCCGATTTTGGTACCCCGGGGTCTGTTGATTGCGCATATATACCCCCGAAATCACCATCATCCCATTGCAGGTACCCACCGGGCTCTAACATTTGTCAGAAAATTCTTCAGACGTCTTTACGGGATGCATGAATACTCAATAATGCTAAGAGGTTGTCCAATATTGGGAATGGATCGCCGTTCTCAACAACTAGGCACAAATATCCTGTGTGCACCACATCGAATTGTTCACGTAGAGAATCGGGTATAGGTTTCAATATGTCCAATGTATCCAAGATGACATTCTTGGGCAACCATCCTTTTGGAGGAAATTGTGCAGTGGAGATATCAAATCCTTGAAGTTGGGCTGATGGGTAGTTCTCAGCCAACTCTTTTGCCAAGTCAATGAGCCAAATCCTGCATCTCAACATTAACGCCACACAACACAATGGAGGGGAAAACTTTAACGAAAAGACGCATTTAAAATTCTTACCCTGTACCACAAGCTACATCCGCCACTTTGATATTCTTCCTCAAAGGAATACATGGCTGCAATAAGTGTCCCAGTTGTCTTTTACAGATATAGTGTTGAAGATATAAGCTTTATACCAAGTCAGCATTTGTTATCGAATCTATGATGAAGATATGATGGAGATATGTTGGACAAAACCTACCGCGTGGACGCTTGAAAATCCCTCTGCAATGGATATTTATCGATGCTTCCTTCCACAGGTCCCTCCACGACAGCATCGATGAATCCGTTGATTACTCTCCTAGCCATGGTGCGATAGCTTAGATACCTCAAATTTTACATTTAGTCTCAGTAGATCGAAGGTCTACTTGTATCTCTGATTATGAGGCTGCGATCAAAATTCGGCAAGGAGCATTTTTCTCGTGCCCATGATTAAGCCAGTCGTGGCTTGGATATTTTGTGCCAATGCCATAAAATTGACTGCTTACTCGCCGATGTCTCGCTAGATGAAACAAAAATCTGCAAGTGTACTCTATAGTCCTTTGTGCTAACCACATTCGAAGGATTCGCCATTGAGCGGCATCTTCCCCCGGCTTTGGCCTGGTATTTCGAATGGATTTAATATTCGAAAAAATTAGATATGTCAGAAGGATTGGATGACAAAATAGTGTCGCACCGACTTAAATATATGGTTGAGGATTTTTGAAACTCCTAAGCTGCATATGAGACTCTGATGCTACGTAGATCGATTATCACCTGAATGTCGATACCGCACCTCTGCACGTGAACATTTGTTCTGATCGGCGACTTTACTTTCACCGAGGAAATCCTGGATAACTCTAACTTGCAAAAAGAAGTGCAAGACTAAAAATCAGAAGAATTCAGCAAGTTATTGTCCACATAATTTGGCTTTGTAACGTCGGTTGGAGCCAGCTTGCAAGTACAGGCGATTCACTTCGATTCAACCTGTTAGAACTCAGCTCTGGACCCTCCTGTCCCATAATAGAACCATTATTCAGAGCAAACACAATGTCACAGTCAAATATTCCTATTGCAATCATTGGCCTCGCTTGTCGATTTCCTGGAGGTATCCACGACGCTGAAAGTCTTTGGGAAGTTCTCATCCGAGGACAAAGTACCTGGTCTGATGTACCCACAGATCGTTATAACTGGAGATCGTTTCACCACCCCACGCGTGGATCTACCTCCGCTCACTCGTCTCGTGGAGGATATTTCTTAAAATCCAATGTTGCCGAGTTTGATGCTGGGTTTTTCGGTATTTCTGAGCTTGAGGCTGCAGCTATAGATCCACAACAGCGTATTCTTCTGGAAGTAACATACGAAGCAATGGAAAATGCGGGGCTCTCGATTGACTCGGTTAAAGGTTCTCATACCGGCGTATATGTTGCGACATTTACACATGACTATGAGAATATGATGTATCATGACTCAACATCTCTACCAAAATATGGCATGACTGGTGTTGGGACAGCCATTGCATCCAATCGGATATCATATTTTTTTGATCTTAAAGGCCCTTCAATATCTTTAGATACTGGATGCTCTGGAAGCCTTGTCGCTTTACATCAAGCATGCCAGAGCTTACGACTGGGAGAAACAAACACGAGCTTTGTTGGGGGAACCAATCTCATTCTTAGTCCTGATACTATGTTACCCATGGATAATCTCCAGTGAGTTACAAGCCTGACAAAGTGTTGATAAACTGATTCCAATTGGTGACCACAGTCTTTTGAACAATAATGGCACTTGCTATCCCTTTGATAAACGAGGATCTGGCTACGGACGCGGCGAAGGTGCAGCGTTGATCATTCTTAAGCGTCTAGATGATGCTTTGAGTGCAGGTGACTCAATAAGAGCAATTATTCGCAACACTGCTATTGGACAAGATGGAAAAACAGCCGGAATTACATTCCCGAACCAACACGCTCAAGAGTCTTTGATACGATCAGCTTACAAAGCCATATCATTAAATCCTTGCTATACTGCATACGTGGAAGCCCATGGAACTGGCACTATCGCTGGAGATATCACCGAAATAAACGCCCTTGGCAGAGTATTTTGCGAGAACAGAGAGCATGGCGAGCCGCTATACGTCGGTTCTGTGAAAGGCGCGATTGGCCATCTTGAGAGCGTGAGTGGGCTAGCAGGATTAATCAAAGTTATTTTGATGCTAGAGAAGGGAGTTATGCCTGCAACGCCAGGATTTGAGGAGCCTAAGGACGGATTGAATCTTCCTAAATGGAATATCAAGGTAAATTTTTGCTCTTTACCAAAACCCTATCTAAACGACCCAGTTCGTCTGAATGATTGAATCCAATTGAATGACTCATCCAGTCTTATTGATCCATAATCCTCCAATATCCAAAACAAGGTATATTTCCAGATGTGTTGGGTCATTGGGATGAACTCAAGAATTCAGATTGGCTTGATCATGGAAATAAATCAAAATAGAAGTTGGGCGACTACATTCTAATGACTCAAAGATTCCACAGTCACCACAGAATTGGCCAGACAATCTTCCACGACGAGCAAGCCTGGTAAATCTCCTTCTTTTATCTCTTGTTTCTAGTTCCTTTGGAAATAGACTGACTCTGGTGATGTAGAACTCATTCGGCTATGGCGGTGCAAATGCCCATGCTATCATTGAAGCCGATTTGGTCGATCATGTCGGAACTAACGGCACGGTCTTTGTCAACTGCCATTCAGGCCATCGAAGTAGAGCCTTGGGGGGGGATGAGTTGTCTAAAACGCTCACCAGTGAATTTTTAAATGGAAAAGTCAACGGAAAATCGAAAAAAGCCAGTACCAGGGATCAAACTTACCAGATTTTTTCACTTGTGGCCAAGACCGAAGGAGCGTTGAGGTTAGTAGCAGACGGCCTGAGGAGTTGGGCAAGCAAAAATTTCATTTCAGACCCCCATTCAGCAGATATAGCCTATACGTTAATACGGAGAAGTTCCAACATGCCTTGGCATTCCAGCTTAGTTGCATCCGGAGCTGAGCAACTCATATCCAAGTTAGAACCAAAAGAACTCAGATTAAGTCGCGTATCCATGGCTAGCAAGGTGGATATCTTCTATATTTTCACGGGCCAAGGAACACAATGGCATGGTATGGCCAGAGAACTCATTGATTCTTCAACAGTGTTTCGTGATTCCTTGAATACTTCAGAGACAATCTTAAAGTCTCTAGGATCTTCTTGGAGCCTTCTTGAAGAATTAGGTCGAGATGAGAATACCACGAGAATCGACGAAAGTATGATCTCCCAGCCATCAACGACTGCCATTCAAATTGCTTTGGTGCAGCTGCTACGTAGCCTCAATGTCACGCCTGATAGAGTCTTGGGACATTCTAGCGGTGAACTTGCCGCTGCATATGCTGCAGGTATTTTGGATCATGAATCGGTGTTGAAGCTATCATATTATCGTGGTCTTCTAGGAAATTATTGCAAAAGAGTGTTGTGTAAAAATGGGGCAATGTTAGTAGTGGCATTGAGTGGATATGAAATAATGGCTTACATTAAACGCATAAAAACTGGCCGGGTTTCCGTCGCATGCTTCAATAGCCCTTCTAGCACTACCATTTCGGGTGATGAAGGTGCTATCAACGAATTGAGCGGCATACTCCAGAGATTTGGTATATCCTCCAGAAAGCTCAGAGTCGACACAGCTTATCACTCTCATCATATGGAAATAGTTGCCGAATGGTACCTAAGAAGTATAGAAGATATCCGATGTTTGGATCCAAGCACTTCAACAATCTTCCATTCTTCGGTAACTGGCAAGAGGAAACATAGAGACTTTGACGCTACCTACTGGACAGAAAATCTCGTATCCAAAGTGCTGTTTACTCAGGCTTTACAAGGTCTATGTGAACAAGTAGAGTCAGATATAGACTCTGAAGGAATTTCTTCCTCGTGTATAATTCTAGAAATTGGACCATCTAATGCCCTCAACTTTTCCATAAAGCAAACGCTTACATACAAGCAACTAAATTCAGCTCGATACACTTATATGTCTACATTAAAGAAGGGCTGTAACTCACAGCTTACCTTTCTTGAGGTCATATCATACCTTTTCGATAGTGGGTATCCTGTGGATATTGCTAGCGCTAACAGACTAAATCATCTGACCTGTCGATCCCGGGTTTCTCTTTTAGTGAATTTGCCCACATACCCTTGGGATCATTCTGCATCTTATTGGTACGAGTCGCAAGTATATAAGGAACATCGTTTGCGCAATCACCCTTATCATGATTTACTGGGTATTCGAATACCAGGAAGCCCAAATATCCAACCAAAATGGCGTCACATTCTCAATATCGAAAGTTCACCTTGGCTAAAAGATCATGCCGTTGATGGCAGACTTGTTTTTCCTGGCGCCGGTTATCTAGCTATGGCAATAGAAGCAAAGCGTCAGTTGCTGCTGGACGTTGAGCCTAGAAGAAGTGTTCGCAACTACATTATCAAGGATGTTACCTTTTCAAGATTTCTCGAAATTCCTGACCGGACCAAAAGTACTGAAGTCCAATTGAGCCTTAATAGTCCCATCAATGGTCAAAGTGGCATTGAAGAATGGCAAGAATTTCGAGTTACTTCGACACCGAATTCCGGTGTTACCACGGAGAATTGCAAAGGATTAATTAGGATAGAGCTCGCTAACGATGTTCCTTCACACCGTGATGTTTCTGATTTGGGTGACTTTAAGCAAGAAAAAGACCATGCGGCGAGAGTTGCAGGAGAACGCCTCATGGATCTCGAAAATAACATGTATCACAAACTCGACGAGAAGACCTTCTACCAACGGCTCGAGTCGACCGGAAATTACTGGGGACCAAGCTTTGCAACAATTACAGACTTCATGCTTGGAGACTCTGAAGCTACCGGTAAAATTACTGTACCAAACGTTGCAGAGATGATGCCCGGGGGATTTATACAACCGCATGTTATTCACCCTACTACTTTGGATGCACTCATTCACTCAAGTCTACTTTTGTCGACGTCTACACAGTCATCTGCTTCGGATGTAATGTTTCCTATTTATATACGAGAAGTCTTTATTTCAGCGAATGTCCTGAACAATCCCGGACAGCGGCTTTCGTTTGTGACAAAGTTGAAATCGGCAACCTCAAGCTCTACCTCATCAGATGTTTCTGCTTTCCAGGGAACATCATCACAAAAGAGATCAAAGTGTGTGCAAATTAGGGAAGCTGGATTTCGAAGGACGGCCGGGTCAGGATATAGCTCTGTAGGTTTTGATCCGTCTTCCTGTTACAACTTAGAGTGGGGATTGGACCTGGACTATTCCCAGCCTGAATTACATTCGAAAGTCGAAAAACACCATAAATATGTTGTCACACCAGAGAATAGGCTAAAAATCTTGAATGATCAGGCGTGGTACTATATTGATGCGTGCCTGAATACAATCGACGAGAAAGACGTTGAAAGCAAATATGCTATGTACTATGAATGGATGGTACAATTAAAAAGCTTGAAGAATATCTCGCCACGCCTCGAATACCCGAAATACTCAGCGGAAGACTTTGGAGGTCTTGGGGAAGATGCAGAGGCTGTAAGGCGTATAGGTACGAATCTGAAGTCAATTCTATCCGGCAGGATAGATCCGCTACAGCTTCTCCTAGAGCATGACCTTCTACGACGAATCTATGCAAAAGGTTTGGGGGCACGACAATGCCACCATTATCTGAGTACATATGCCAAGAAGCTCACATTCAAAAACCCAAACATGAAAGTTCTAGAAGTTGGCGCAGGTACGGCGTCGGCTACAATACCTCTGTTCGAAAAATTAAGCGAGGATGGGAAGCTTCCTCTCAGACAATATGATTTTACCGATATATCACCTTGGTTTTTCGAGAATGCTAGAGCTTTGCTTCAAAGGTGGCAAAGTCATCTATGCTTCAAAACATTCGACTGCAACAAAGACCCTATGGAACAAAGGTTTGAGCCTGGGACGTATGATTTAATTATAGCATACAATGCTATTCATGCTAGCAGATCCATTGATGAGTCGATAATAAACTTGAGAAAATTACTCAGGACAGGTGGTAGACTGATACTCCTCGAGATTACTCGGCTCGAGCCATTTGTCAATACTATATTTGGCTTGCTTCCAGGCTGGTACATGGGTAAGTATCACTTTCAACATCCTTTTATCCGGAGTGTTTAGCTGATGGCATGTTCAGATCGAACGGACGGTAGAAAGGGTGCTCCTGTTTTGTCTACCGAACAATGGAATTTTAGACTTCTGCAGGGAGGATTTAACGGCTGCGAGTTTATCAAGCATGACGAAGACGGGCCAAGTAAGACGATGTCTATGATTGTATCAAAGGCTATTCCATTTTCCGAAGAAAAGTCAGCAATTCCCACCTCATATTTAGTTCACGACAATAGTGGGGCTGTCCGAAGTCTTCTGGGACAGAAGCTTCAGAAGCTTTGTTTTCGGTCTTCAACGCCACATATTGCATCACAGAACACCGATAAGGAAGCTGTGTATGTGATAGTTGATGATTCCCTTACTAGTTCTCTGCTGAGCTCTTCACCCCAAGTGATTAGCAGTCTATTAAAAGTCATCGCGGAAGCAAGGAATATTTTCTGGATTATTGCACCTAGGTACCCACTGAAGCTTTCCAGGAGGCTTTCGGGACTTGTCACAGGATTTGCACGAGGAGTTCGCAGTGAGAATCAAGCGATCAACTTTGTCACACTTGATATTCAGGGAGAATCCATTGACTTTGATGAACTTGACCAGAAGATCAATGAAATATTCAACGCGTCATTTTTTCGAAGAAATTCTTGTGTCGACACAGATTACATATACAGAGATGGAAATATTTTCATTCCTCGGTTGAAACCAAACAGAAAATACCAAATGGGATCACTCTCTGATGTGCCCACCCGATCAGTACTCTTTCATCAGACCGAAAAAGTTATCCAGCCACAACGATGTAGATCAAAGTATGATGCTACTTTTCATTTTACTGCAACCAGATTGCCAAAGGCTAAATTGAATCCTGGTAATACCGAGGTCAAGGTGGAAGCATGGAGTGTATCTACAGAAGATCTCTTGGCTGGTTTTGGCAATTCACAACCGGAGTCCGAACATCCCATCGTTGGTGGATTTGCTGGAACTGTAATCGTCGTTGGCAACCAAAGTTGTTGGAAAGTAGGGGACCAAATATGCGGTTGGTCGAAAACTGTTTTCGCAAACAGCGTCAGAATAAATGCCGATGACGTGTGTCGCTATCCCAAGTCGATGTCTTTAGGTGAAGCTGCATCTATACCGACTACATTTATGATGGCCTTTTATGCTTTGGTCGAAATTGCAAGAATGAGAGAGGGGCAGATCGTTGTAATTCATCATGCGGATTCCCCTGTTGGGCATGCTGCTATCCAGGTTGCGAGATATATCGGAGCAAATATAATAGCGGTTATCACCAAACCAGAACATCGCCAGTCTCTCATCGATAAATATGAATTATCTAACGATACAATCATCTTCCCGCATGGTGTTTCAACATACGAGTTGGCTGTCTTGCGCCTCGCAGGTATTGAAGGTCCTCAAGTTATTCTTCATTCAAGCACGGAAGACATACAATTCATTGAGGAGAGCATAGCCTGCTTGGCTCGCTTCGGTACTTTTGTTAAAATCGGAAGCTCTAACATATCTTCGAGAATATCAACCAGCTCGGATATATTCAGGAAAGGAATCTCTCTCATTTCGCTAGATCTAGCCGCAATATCCGAGCTACAGCCCCAAAGAATGTCGGAGCTCATGAGGCATATTAAATTGATGTTCCAAAAGCATAATCCACGGTCAATTAGACCAGTTCTTACTATGAATATTGGAGACCTTGACGGTGCCGTCAATCGTATCGAACAAGAGGATCTTGCTGGCCAAATTGTTTTAGAAGCCGGTGATAATGCGACGGTGAATCTAGCTCTAATTCCCGCTCCATTAATCTTCGACGACGACGCCACATATTTCGTCGTTGGGAACTCGACTATCTTGACTGTGGATATGTACAAGTTCTTTTTGTCACATGGAGCAAGGAATGTCTTGATACTTTTCACAGGACCTTGGGAGGAAAAGACCAAAATCGAGAAGTGGCTGGCGCATGAAGAAAGCAATATCAGAATTGTCTCATCGATTGACGACATTTCGACTCAATTACACGATGCTCCTCCTATTAGAGGCATGATATGGACTGAGTTATTTTCGACAGTAAGTTATTACATCCCACGTAAATCTCGTAGCAACAATCTGCTAATCGTTAATCAAGGTTCATCCAGCCACCGCAGACGGTACAGCAGCTTATGTTCAGAGTGACTTCAACTATGTCGATGCCTTAATGACATATATAAACCCGAATATCCTAGATTTCCTCGTCATGATCTCCTGTTCGTTTGTTTTTCCTAGAGCAAGAAATAGATCCATCGAATGTGCTATATTTTCCTCTAGACAAGCTCTTTTAGCATCACACTTGCATCCGAGAACGAAACTCATTCACGTGGATATGGCTAATCTATCACCTATATCCGAAGATTATCATTCCGAACTCGCAGAGTTATCCGTCGGTCGTAGTTCTTATTCTTGTCGGGAAATGTTTGAGATTTTGGAGTCTGAAATGGCTTCAAATAATGACAACGGACACTATTCTCACATTGTTACTGGACTTCGAGAATCCAAATTGAGTGGATCACGCAAAATTCCGCTGCATTCTCCTTTAATAAAATATCTACCCGAAATTTGGAAGCAAGAAGAACCTTCTCCTAATGCACCTCTTGACAAATCTACCTCTGAAACCACAGATGACAACCTGGAAGATTCTAAGACCGAAGCACAAGCGCACAGGATTGTGAAGCTAGCAGTACAAAAGAAGATTGCTTCTATGATGGCCGTGCATTATGAACTAATTGATGTGAAAATGGCTATTGAAGATTTTGGCTTGGATTCACTAATTATATTCACGTTCAGGAATTGGATTTTCCAAAATTTCCGTGCTAATTTGGATGTGGGAGCTATTACTAGTGCCTCGAATATTGACGATCTTGCATCTAGGATACTATCGGTTAAAGATATCCCTAGAAAGGGGCAATCTGCTCAACATAAGCACGCTTTTGAACCAACCAGTCCATCAAGGTTCCATGCAATATCTCATACAAACTTGTTACCGAAGCAGCCGCTACCCGCGTTAGAAGATACTCTTCGACACTATATAAATGCTGCTCGTCCATTCTGTTCCAACGAGGAACTAGAAAGGACCAAGCAGTTGGCAGAAGAGCTCAAGATTGTTGGCGGCCAAGGACAAATGTTACAAGCTCGTTTGCTTGAGCGAAAGAACGATCCCACAATCGAAAATTGGTTATCAGATATTTATCTAACTCGAAGATTTCTACGTCAACGCGCATCTTTGGTGGCAACTCAAAGTTACTTTGGCACGCATCCAAACGGTCGTGGTCTTCATACCCAAGCGGAGCGAGCAGCAATTGTTACTTTGGCCGCTCTTAAGTTCAAGCAACGTTATGAAAGTGAATCTTTACCGAAACGAGAATTATACGGGCAATCGATCGATACATACGCATATCGATATCTTTTCAACGTTTGTCGGGAGCCACACCCAAACGAAGATATTATTCGCGAGTACCCAAGTGAGAACTACATTGTCGTCTTCAATAATGGTCATGGATATAAGATCGGCCTTACCAAAGATGACGAAGCTATCACATTCTCTGCTTTGAAAACGACCTTTGAGGAGATCATCTATGAACCAATAGAACCGAAATCATGGGTAGGAATCTTGACTGCTGATAATCGGGACGATTGGGCTAAGGTATGTTCCATGATTTGATCTTTACAAACAGTCACTTATCAGTCATAGGCCAGGAATGCGCTACTAGAAGCAGACGAAAGCAATAAAGTATCGATAAAAACCATTGAAGCAGCGGCATTCATCGTTTGTCTCGATGATGGAACACCAGAGACCCCCTCACAACGATTCTCCCAATTTCTCTTTGGGGATGGCTCAAACAGATGGTATGACAAATCACTACAATTTGTCGTCTGTAAGAACGGTGTCTCGGCTTCTGTTTGTGAGCATTCAATATTAGATGGTATAACAATAGAAGTGCTCCATGAATTCATAAACGAGGCAATCATTTCGCACAAACCCTCCCCGAACACCACACCCCGGAATCCCAATACACCAGAAATCCTGCCTCTAATACTTAATCCCAACCTCGAGACTCGCACCCAACACATCCTCCAAAACCTCTCACGACAAACCTCCAAATACACATTCACGCACTTCGAAACCCACAAACTCCAACAAAAATTCCTTTCCGAAAAAGGACTCCCCACGCAGTCCAGCATCCAGCTCGCAATCCAACTCGCAATCCAGCGCTTCTTCAACTATATCCCCAATGCCATCGAAACCGTCTCGCTCGCCCAATTCCGCCAAGGACGCGTCGAAGTCCACCACATAATCACACCCCTAATGGCACAATTCCTCGCAACCAACAAACAAACCCTCAACATCCATTCGCGAGAATTACTCTACGAAGCCGCAAAGGAACACGCGAAATCGCTTACGCGTGCGAGCAAGGGACGAGGATTTAGTCGACACTTGTTAGCGCTCGAATGGATGATTAAGGAAGGGGAAGAAACACCTGCGTTTTTCCAGGATGCGGTGTATGCGAGGATGAAACCGGAACGGGCGGTCACGAGTTGTTTTAATACTGGGTGGTTAGAGGGTGGATTCGTGTATCCGTTTCCGGGGAGTATTTTGGTTTATTTTGAGGTGAAGAGGGAATCGTAAGTTTGTCTTATGGTATGGTTCTGTTTGTATAATCTTGTGTGCTGATTTTCTTCTTTAGGGTTTCATTTTCTATCTTCGGTAATGATGCGGATGTGGAGAGGTTTAGGGAACTTCTTGAGGTTGCTGGAGGTCAGATACGGAGTTTGCTTGATGATTATTGAGGGGGTTTCCAATTTTTGAATGTCCGAATCTGAGATACTTTTTGACACAATCAAATCAACAAATTCTCATCTATGCATTACGCTCTGATTTATTTGCCTGGCGGAGGAAAAAGGGAATTCGAGATAATTAGGCCTATGCATGGAATCAAGGAAACTTTGAGAGTGTGTGGTGCTTAACCTCATTAGGTACTGGAGGTAAATAGCCAGACAGTAAAAGGTTAAGATCTCATATTATGTAAGTATTATTATACACCTTGTACATCTCTAGTAAATCCGCTGTTCTTTACTTTCTAACCATCCTCTCAACCATCTAATCGACCGCTCCTCCCTTCGATCCCTCTTACGTATCTAATCCCGAACGTATCTATTTGTCCAGCACTCTTAATAGATTCCCGGGATAATTCTGTACCTGACAATCTCCTTATACCTCTTCCAATCCTCACCGTACTTTCTTTCGCATTTCTCCTCATCCCTCATTTCTCTATGCACCAACAAGACACCAAAGTAAACCACATAGAAATATGTAATGATCATTCCCCAGCCTCTAGCTGCCCCTTGTGTGACTTCCGTGTGCACTGCTGGTCCACTATACACAAATGAACCGTCGACGAGAGATTGGCCTGATGTGGGAGCTACCGAGCTATGATTGATGAGATAGCCAGCGATACCGGTGGGAAGACAGTAAGACCAAGCCATAATCCAATCACCAGCATAGTTGATATGACGAGCTACACCCCACCAGCCCGAAATGAGAAGTTTGGAGCCGGATTTCGTCTCTAGGTATTTAAGGTGTGCGACACGGGCATCTGTCGGGTCGGTTCTGAAGCGGTTCTTTTCGTTGTTGGAACTACGGAAGATGTAATATCCGATGCCTAGAACAGCGAGGACACCGCTGGTGCCAAGAACGCCAAGAGAAAGGGGGTAAACGGCTAGGTAACGTGCTTGGAGAGAATAGATGAATGGAACCCAGACCAAGTCTCCAAATGATAGCATGAGTCCAAACCCATCAGTGGTAATATCCATGGTGGTGAGGATGGCATTTTCCATCCAATATGAATCAAGCACATACAGTGTTTGGAAGGCTGTAATTAGCAAGATACTATCGGTAACGTATCCGTAAGTCTTGTATTGATGGGCAACAAATGCGTAATCCATTAAAAGCCATCCCATAAGACCTGGTCGTAGCTCACAAAATTCCTTGATATCAATCTCGCCAAGTAAAGGGAGAGTTACTCTTGGGTTGAGTTCACGTCCAATAAACCAATCGTATAGCATATTTCCGGTATGACCTCCAGCAGCCAATTCGCGGAGCTCGGGATTGCCAGGTTTGATGCTAAAACTGCGGATATATACATAAGTGGCAAGACCGTAGGAGATGATGATATTGGCTGTAAGGATTTGTAGGTAATTGTCGTAGATAAAAGTCCAGACTGGGAAATCTGCTCCCTGGGCGATAGTTCCTGCGGCGCATAGAGCGAATGTAAACATCGTAGAAGACCAAGCTATCTTATGCATTAGCGAATAGCGTCCCGACCAATGGCGCGTGTATAGCAGATGTACGTACTATTGAACTTGTATTTGAGCTTTCCCCCACTAGCAAGCTCAACACCTAGCTTTTCCTCGCCCGGCAAGATCCTATGCAAGACCATGCTTAGAAAGTAGTATCCTACTACTTTGAGAAATACATCCCAACTTGACAAACCCGCAAGTCCATTTTCTGGCCATCCAACCTCTTGTTTTAGACTGTTGATTGTAAGGGTCGAAGGGGAGAGCGAGGAGGGAACTGGACATCCAGAAATATCATTGCAGAGAAACGTCGTCGCGTAGCAGAGAAGGGGAAGTCCGAAGGATATACCAAAAGCTCCTATTCTGCGATAATCAGTACAGATCAGTGAATCTGCAAGGGATTGTGCGACTTACGGTCCACCAAATTCATAGCCATGAGGCTCAGCCGCTTTAGAGACTGTGGTAGTCTTCTTTGGAGTCATTTCGTGAACCTGACAATCACTTCAATCGCTTCAATCACTGATGGAAGGAAGAGTGTGAAGTTTGTTGAATGCTGAGATGTTCCCAGGGAGTAAAGTCGAAAATATATACTCTTATCGAGCCCCGTACAAAGCGAGAGAAAGAGGCACCGAAAAAGTGTAAATTATCGTGTCATCCGGAAGTGAGAGATCCCGTTCAAATTATCGATCCTTGTCTCGCGTTCAGAATCTAGCTCACCTAGATTTTCCTTACATGATGATCGACAAGAAAGCTGTGATGGTCCAAGCTTAGTGGTGTACTCCGTGGAGAGTTGAGTGTTGAGTAGAGTGAAGGTTTGAGTGAAGTGTGAAAACATCTTTCCTTTTACATATGATGTTGACTTTGAGTTTCACTCGAGTATATACTAGGTAGCTTTTCAATATAAGGTCTGTGTTTTATTTACTCAAGAAGTTTGAGATGTACAAGATAATTGAATCCATTCATGTTGGATTTACGTACATATGGCTGGTCCCGCTACAAAAACCAAAAACGCTGAACATATGGGGTTGGGTTGGCTTGAGATAATTGACGCTAAATCATGTGATCTCTCAGCTTAGCGCGTTTTACCCTTGTTTACTTGTACTCCGTACGCTTGCCTGAATGTCAACAAACCCCAGAACTTTTAAACATTGATATGATTTCATAGTCCTAACCTTGGAATTCCAACTACAAATACTCATTCTAATCAGCGATAAGGCTGGATTTGTCCCTTGTTTTGGTGCGATACTTCACTCTTTGCAAATTCATTGCAACTAATTACATTGGAAACGCAATTCTGTAATATACCTCCAAGAGATAGTGGTACAAATCTTTAACGATGGCATCCCCTCCGCGCCGCCGATCATCTCGACTTCGTACTCCAGTCAAAGTATGTATAGCATACTTACCCTTATTATCATTGTAACGACTATTGAGAAGATGGACTTATCCTTTGTTCTAGACACTGCCTAATCCAAACACAAATACATATCTCACATCTCTCGCCGAGGTTGATGAAGCTCCTATTTATCCTTCCCTTCCGGTCGTTTCGTCACCAGTTCAAACGCCTCAAACGCCAGCTACTTCCGGCCGTATTGTCCCACCTCGAGAGGAAATGCATCCATCCATGACACATAAATCTACTACCCAAAAGCCCGACTCAGGACTCCGTCATGGTTTTGTTGACATCAACGCAAAGGGCGATGACCAACCCTCTGGTATCCAACAAAAAACCCCCTCAAAAATTGGCATCAGCTCACCAACTTTCGATTTTAAATTCGCGCGTCCTGCACCCCATCTTGGCCCGGAAGCTCAACGCATGATGGATGAACTACGTGAAGAGGCACTCCGTATCAAAGCTAAGCTTGCTGCGGAACGAGAAATGGAACGAAAGAAGAACCCGGAGGGTAGCCATATGGGAGGCCGAAAGATCGCACAAGCAAAGGGCAAAGTTAACAGATACAGTGATGTTCATATGGCAGAGTAAGTCTTGTTCAAGATGCTTTCAATATTTGAAATTATTTCGATGTTTAAAATGCTTCAATGACTGAAAAGATTTCGGCTATTGAAAAGATCACGGTGTTTGAATTTATTTCAATATCTGTAATGATTTCAACGCCTGGAATAATTTCACTGTCTGAATATATTCTGGTGTCTGAAATTATTTCGATACCCAAATGATTTTAATGTTTAAGAAACCTTCAATGTCTATTTCAAATTTTACTCCGTCGGCCGTGATTTCTGACTTCATATAGGTTCAAAAAGATGGACAGCATCGCCAATCATCCATCCTCTTTCCGTGCTCAACCAGGTCGAATTACTCCTACTGCCGCTATCAAGCGCACACGATCTAAAGCTAGGCTGGGTGATAAAGATGTCACTCAAAGTGAAGATTCTTCCCAAGATACTGGTAGTGACCGGCCTGAAAATACTGCACCTGCCAAGCGTGCTCGTCAGCGCATTACAGATGATGCCTCATCTCAACGACCAGTGTCCTGTGGCAAGTCTGAAAATATCCCAATGCCTTCTACCCCACGCCACCAAATTTCCAGCTTTCCTGCACACCTGGCAACACCCACACAAGCATCTATGGCTCGTGCCCAAAGTGTCAAACATCCTGCAACTCAAATTCCCAGCTTGTCCAGATCACCATCAAAGCCAAATCTGCAAAGTACACCTCGCGGTATGACGAAATCTGCTACGGTGAACAATATTGCTGGATCAATGACAGCACCAAGTAAATCTATGCTCCGAACTCCAAGCAGATTCGATCGCGTTAAGTCTATTCTAAAGCATCCAGGCTCAAGCTTCAGCACAAAGAAGACAGACAAGACCTCAGCTATTCCTTCAATTGCTAGAAGTCCAGCCAAGCACAACCTTGCGAAGGACCTACCCTCTGTCCCTACAACTCCTATTGGGGCCGGCCGCTCTAAGAGTATGAAGCATGTTGGATTCACGCCTGAGACGAGGAAGCACAACGAAGCTAAGCACAATGAGACCACCGTTCCACAATCCCCATCTCCAGTAAAGTCTGGCATCCCTCGCTCCAGCTCAAAGTCGAATGTCAAGGTTGGTTCTTCAATTGCCCCTCGCCGACCTGTACCTCAAGAAGAACCTATCAAGCGACAAGCAAAAGATGCTGGGATGTCTGAAACTGATGCGGTCGAGTATCCTTCCCTTGCTGGTGTTAGACCTCTTCCAGAACCACCTCGTCAAGCTCTTCCTCCACACCTTCCTCCCTCAATTCCTGGCACCTTTACTTTCCGCAGTGACCATACTATCAGCTTCGGTGCCTCTCCAAAGGGATTTGGTCCATCGCCTAATCAGGCTACTGTCCGCCAGGTTCGACGCAGTATCTTCCCTGATAGTATGCCTGGCAGCTTTCCTGATGGCAACAAAGAGAACACTGATCCTCCTGTCCGTGAGTCGAGCAAGAAGCCCACTAACCTCTCAGTTATTCCTACTGTTCCTCATGGTATGTCCAACAAGAAGCGTAGAAGAGTTGAGTCTGATGGCGAGGATGAAGCACGCTCACCAAAGAAGCAAAAGGCTCCAGAGGGTGCTATGCTGATGGCTCCGAGACTTCAAGCTGGAAAAAATGTTACTACTTCGACTCCAAGTCCTGCCAAAAAAAGAGGACTAACCCTCAGCCGACTCAATATGCTTGCACGACCAAAGGCCCGGAAATAATTCATTTGGCGACTTTCAGTTTAAATGGCAATTGTCCATTGTTCTATTGTTTATACATTCATACAATCCATGTATGTTCAGGGTTGATTTTAATGGGATTGGAGTATAAGGTTGGCGTCAACCCGAAAATATCGCATGTGCGTGCTTCAAAGTGGGTGGCTGGACCTACAAGATTACTGCATTTGGAAAGAGCTTTGCTTAGGTTATTCTTTCTCGATACAGGAGTTGTAGGATATCATGATTGATGTTTGTGTAGTTAAGTCAATACTCCAGATTGCTTCTTTTAGTTAATGACGAATGAATAAAAAGCTAGTTATTTTGAGTTTCGTCTCGTACTTGCCTATGAAACAAAATAGTGACCTGACATATTCTTCTCACCTTGACTCTCGAAATTCACCTCTTTGATCAACATCGAATATACCTAAATTAGGGGCCGCGTCAATCAGGATGACTGAGACACCATACTGGCACCTTTACACATTCGTTTGCTCCTTTATTATTTGAATTATCACTAAACACTCTCTTTCATCGTTTCTATCATTCATTCGCTCATTACCCATTATACACATAAAAAAGCAATAGTAAACAAAATCCGGTCTTGTATCTATATTTCCACACTTCTCTTAAACAATAAACATGACCGGCCGTCAAGGAACTCCTCGTCCACCTACTTCAACCTTCATTGAGCTTCGTCCTCGCACTCGCCATACTATCTCCGTTCCTCCTCTTTCATTAGCAAGCACTGTAACGGATTCTCTGAAAATAATCGGTATACCGGTCGTCCCAGCTCCTCATTCTCATACTTCAAACGCTCAAGCTCAAGCTCCACTTCCACTTCCGCGACCACCCACTCCCACCAGAGCAAAATCTGCAATAACCACCATGCGCACAATCCAAAAGTCATCAGATCCATCTTTCATATGTACAATCTGCTGGTCTCCACACCATGCACCTTCCAAACCGCGTGTTCTGGGTCGTTCATCTAGAATCGTATGTCATCAGTGTTGGAGAGCTGTGCTGGATTTAAGTATATGCTGGGTTTGTGGAGAATGTATTGTGAGAGGCGATGAGGTAGTTAGTTTGGGATGGTGTTTTTGGCATCGTGGATGTTTTGGTTGTTTGCTTTGTGGAGTGAGGTTGGGAGAGGCGTTTTTGAGGGATTGTGAGAGTGAGAGTGAGAGGGGGGTTGAATTTGGGGATGGAAATAGGAATGGGAATGGTAGTGAGACTGGAGATGGGAGTGCAAGGAAAGGCACAGAGTTGGATAAAATTCCCCTCTGTGAGTGCTGTGAAACAGAGACGAAGATTAAGGGGTATGGAGAGAAGAAGGTGTTGGAGAGGGGATTGGAAAATGTGACGAAATCTGATGGTGGCTTGACGAGATCTAGATTGGAGAAGTTGGATGAGGATAAAGGGTTAGGTGGGAAGAAGGATGTTGTGGTGGGATTGGACGGGGAGGAAATGGTACCTTCTACGCCGTCTTCATCTTCTAGTATCTCACCGATGGACACGAAGATGAAATCAACGAGATCCACCATGATGAATGAAAGGAAGATTAGGAAATTGATAAGAGAGTCTTCGACTCCACAGGTATGTCATTTTTTTTCACTTTAGTTCAACTTTAACTACACGTTTTAACACTGCTCTGAAGGAAGAAATTGCACTTCTCAGCGACGCCTCAAAAATGGGCGTATCCGAAGATGGAAATCCAGAAGACTCCACTCATTCCCATAGCGACAGCGAACCTGCAAATTTCGGGCAATGCGAATTATCCAATTCGTCTAGTTCATCAAATCTCTCTAGTCCCTCTACTGCTTCTAATATCTACGTCTCCATCTATGATCCTGCTGGTCGAGCATTCGTTCCTAGTAAAACGAAACCGCTTCCAAAATGGATGTCATTGCTTCCCAATAATGTACATCGCGAACGCGAAGATTCGCATGGTGATTTTTGTGAGAGGAATGTAGGGACGATGGTGTCGAGAGCTACACTCCCTGATGCGTATGCAGATGGTGCTTCGTCTAGTCATTCGGAGGATTGCCCTGGGGGTCATGGTCCCTTGACGCCGTGTCCGACGGAGGAGGAGAGTAAGGGAGGTACTAGCAGTGGGATTTCGGGGGATGTAACGCCTACAGGTATGTTTTTTTAGGTTTTACTTACTGCATGTTCATGCTATTGGTATGTTTCTTCAAAAGAATATCTAACACACCACAGATCAAACCCCTAACAGCCAGTGCGCCAAGTCCACCTCTGATAGCACATCAACCAGCACCCGCCGACCATCTGTATCAACACTCTCTTCGCTCAATATTCCCAGTCCCCAACAAAGATCCCCCAAGACCACACGTCCCCGCTCCGTTTCTATTGAAGAAAAACTTCCCCGTCCAAATCAACATCCTGCATCCGCATATCGTCGTGCCAACCGCTCTAGCACTATTGAATCTGCACTTAACAAACCCGGCGATTTCATACAAACGGCACAGTATCCCGATCATGCACCAAAAGACATCTCAGAGAGACCTCTAACACCCTATCCCAAAGAAGATGATCCATTCCAAGCCAGTCCCTTCAATACAAACAATACTCACCCTAGAGCACAAGTACCCAGTCTCTTAACCTCTCCACTGAGTAATTTCATCACACCGCGAAAAGGATCATGTTGTGGGCTTAGCACGAGTTTAGAATCTGCATCGGTAGGCGAACTAAAGAGGAGAGAACGCGGAGAATCGTCTTTTGATTCTACGTTTGAGAGTTTTCCTCGACCCGAAATCGGAAAGAGTAATAGTAATTATGCGACGAGTTTGAGGATGAGTCCCACGTTGGGGTTTTTGGATAGGGGCTCAGAGTATTTGGAGAGGTATGTACCTGGGGTTATTTTGCCAGGTGGGAGTGCGAAGGAGAAAGAGGGGGAGAGGGAGAGGGATAAAGAGAAGGAGGGAATTGTGGAGAGGCTTCGGAGGCAGCGGGTTGGGACTGTTAGGTTTGTTTATCTGTTTGTTTTTATTTTTTTTGTCGAAAAAAAGAAAAGTTATCATTGAGAAAGGGAACTTTGATTGATCGATAGAAGTATTAACTAACACTGACAAAAATAAATAGTTTAGGACAAGTAGCCCAAAACGTCAAAGACAAAAAAGAAAAAAAACGAACAGAAACTCATAATCAAACAGAATGGAACTGGACAGATCATGAAGCGAAAAATACAAATGTGGAAGAAGGGAATAATACACAAATGAATAGCAGGACCAGCTCGAGAAGAAATCGAGGAGTTACTGGTGAAGAAGAGAAAAGTCATTTGTCGAGAAGTGGGAGTAAGAGGAGTTTGAGGAAGGGGAGAGGTAGTGAAGAGAGGGGACAGAGTTCTAGGACGGGTAGTAGGACGGGCAGTAAAAAAAGCAAAGAAAAAGAAAGGGAAAAATTGGAAAGAAGAGATGTCAAGGGGAAAGGAAAGGAGATAGAGAAGGAAATCGTAGTAGAAGAGGATATTGAACAGCCGGAAGAAGAAACAGGGGAAAATGGGACTAGGAAGAAACTGAAAAGGGAATTGAAGGGATTATTTGGTGAAGAGTAAATATTGAGTTCTGTGGGGTGGGTAAGCAGCTTTGTGTTGGGAAGGAAATAAATTGCGGCCTGGATGAGATTGATAGGGGGAGGAATGGGTGATGTGGAATGGGAAATTGATAGTTAATGGATAGTGCTATGAGCATCGAGTAGGAAATTCGTTAGGAACCGGGATGCTGTACTTGTACCTATACCTATACCTATACGTATTATTACCAAATTTGTTCTGTTTGTACATCTTAACTTAACTTATCTTTTATGATATCAATGTAAACAAGATGTGGATTTTGAAAAATATTAATTAATACGATGAGTTAAATATGATAATACTTATATATTCTCTTTTGTGACGGAAATCCCTGCTTTCCTCCCACCCTTATTATATAAGAAACCTCAGGTACATTAACCATGTCCACACATGATACGATTACTCGAGATTAGTATACGATTTAGGTGACCTGAGGATCAGATCCGGACAAGTACTAGGTATCAATGGTTATCGGTAAAGTAAGATCATTGGAGGAATAAATATGACTTCTTTTTGCCTAGCCATTGCGGCTAGGCTATTCATTTGTGTATATATAGAGTAGCTATCCCCATCTACAGGTGCTCTTCACCTGTAGATTCTAAGTTAAATACAATTGCTGGTCTATAAACACCCTTTTGGTTACATCTTTCCTTTTCATTTTAAAAGATATCTTATACTTCTTTAAATATATATTTTATAAATCTAGATTTCCTTGATACTAATGAATATATAAAAAATATTTATCATTTGAATTTATATTAATTCATATAGATATAAAAGATAGTTATAGATTATAATCTTAACTCAAATCTAAATATAAATCTATTTTATAAAAAAATCAATTAATAAAAGAACAGGTATTTAATATATGTAAGAGAGGAGTTAATATGAATATAAATAATTAAACGAATTAACTTTATTCTTTTCTTGAACTTAACACTATAGTTAACCTACGTGTAACGATACTATACTGGAGGCAGCGGCTGCCTAAGGTTTCGTCTGGTTGGTAGTTGTGGGTTAAGGCTTTATCACTGGTCTTCACTTGGAAGTGAAGTCGTTACTAGATCAAGTAGAATGTAGGTAAACTAATTGATAACTAAGTTGAGCACGAAGCTCCTTAACTACGAGACTAAATGAATGTTTATATACCCTATATCATCTTTTGAGGACCCTTGGGACCCTAAGGTCCAAAAGGTCCTCGAGGTCACGTGAATTAATGAATCGTGACACTACGATGTATATCTTTTTATAAAGAGTTTATCTTTTTATAAAGAGTTAATTTATATTATATTATAAATGTAATCATCTCCAACCTATCAATTATAATCTTTAAAATAAATGATAAGATTCTTAACAAGAGGCATTAATTTCAGGAGATTTGAGAGGATGATGGAAAATGCAATCTTACATTGTCATTGCTACTGGCAATCTTACAATAGCTACATTACCCAATATATATTTCCTTCCTTCCCTTCCCTTTGCAAGCATTTCTGAATAGTCTAGCTAATGACTATGCCACCGGAAAAGTATAACTGATACAATTTTTAATTGGTATCTCCATTTTTTTTACCTGCTAATTGCTAACTACAGGTAATTTTTAACTCCATAAGCAATTGTACCCTTTACGGGAAATATCCTCTTCGTCAATATCTCATTTTTACCATGATATGACGGACTATGACTATGACCAACTGTATGATAACAGATTTGCAACTCCAGCTATACCTAGTATCTCCGGCTGGTTGATTTTTTAAAATGCATTTAAAGCTCCTTCAAAACTTTCTTCAATTCCTCAACTACAGCATCACCTACTTCGACAGTCTTATTTGAACCACCGATATCGGCAGTTCTGACACCCTTTTCGATAGTTCTGCGGACAGCTTCTTCGACGGCTTTAGCTTCGACAGGGAGGTTGAGAGAGTATTTGAGCATCATCGCGACGGAAAGGATGGTACCGATGGGGTTGACGATGCCTTTTCCGCTGATATCCGGAGCGGAGCCTAGAAGGGTTGTTAGAAAGACAAAAAGAAAAGCGGTAAAAGCTAAAAAAAGAAAGGGAAGCCAAAATAAGAACATACCGTGAATTGGCTCGTAAATACCATTACACTTGCTCTTTCCATCCGGCACACCACTCAAACTTGCACTTGGCAAAAGTCCAATACTACCCGGAATAACACTAGCCTCGTCACTAATAATATCTCCAAACAAATTACTCGTCACCACAATGCCGTTCAACTTTCTTGGATCCTTCACCATCAACATGGCCGCACTATCAATGAGATGATGTCCAATCTTCAACTGGGGGAATTCCGCCGCCATAACATCCGTAACAGTTTTACGCCATAATCTCGAAGTCGCAAGAACATTTGCCTTATCCAAACTCCACACGGGTGCTGGAGGATCTTGCGCAAGTGCAAGATTAGCAGCCAATCTAGTCACACGCTCAATCTCCTCTCTGGAATATGGTTCTGTATCCCAAGCCTTTCCATCCCCCTCATCCTCTTTCCTCTCTCCGAAATAAATACCTCCGGTCAATTCTCGCACGATACAGAAATCGACGCCTTCGCAGACCTTTTCTTTTAAAGGGGAGATTTCGGTCAATGTAGGTGATGCGAAATTACAGGGACGGAGGTTTCCGTATGTGCCCATTTGTTTGCGGAGAGCGAGGATTCCCTGTTCAGGGCGTACTTTTCCAGTTCCCCATTTGGGGCCACCGATTGCGCCGAGGAGAACAGCATCTGCATTTTTGGCAGCTTCGAGAGCTTCGGTTGTGAGGGGTTCACCGTGAGCGTCAATTGAGCACTATATTGAAGAAGGGCTGTAAGTAAATGAATTGGGCGATATATGAGCTTAATGACTGGCAAACTTACACCGCCCAAGAGATGTTCTTGGAAATTGAACTTTCCCGCTGATGGTCTATCGCTTTCTACAACTTTCAGGACTTTAATAGCTTCTGCCACGACCTATATGGGAAAATCAATTAGCAAATTTCCCTCGAAGTTCAATTTGTAGCTCTTGAGGCGGTTATATGCTTAATTCCATGCCCCATATTCTCTCCGCAAACAGCTATTTCATACTCAACAACCAGTAAACAAGCATTATCTTACCTCAGGACCACAGTGATCACCACCAAAAACCACGATGTTGTGAGTTGCCATATTTTGTAGTAGTAATGTTTTTTTAAATGAATATTCAACAAATTGAAGTATAATGGGTATTTAAGAAAAGAAATGATTGAATTGTGTTCAGGGGCGGGAAAAGCTTTGGGGAATAGGACAGGGACTTTATTGTATGCCCCGCCCCCACTATGTCCGATTTCGGAATGAAGCTTCATTGTGCCCGACGTCGGGATTTTATTTTTATATAGCGGAATGAGGTCAGGGAGATCATGGCCATAATCCTGCTAGCCAGAATTTATGATTGTTATTTATTGAGAAGTTTAAAACTTCATCCAAGCAGTTTTGAACATTCAAATCAATTCAGACATACAAATAATCTTATTCATTCAACTCAATTGGAAAATCCAAAGCGATTGATAGTTAGACATGGTTTTGAAATCGAATGATCTACAAATAAGCTCAAGAAGTAAAGATATATCTATGTATTTGGTAAGATCTTACTATTGCTAAGTATCCCAGGAATCCTTCCTTAAATCATTTTACATTCATGCATACTGCAATAATCATCCCTAACTCCCCTATAGCCTTTCACTTCCCTTTTCCCCTTTCTTCTCGGTCGTAAATCTTACTTTGTATTAAATCTTCTTGGGAGCCATTCATCGTGACTTTGATTTGTATTTTATATGCTCTTAATAGGGGGTATCAGTGATGACAAAAGAAATATGAAAAAAGAAACAAAAACGGACAGGTGTTAAAACAAGTGATTTGGAAAATATTCTCCATCTGTGGTTGTTTCTCTGGCTGAAAAAATAATTCGATGGAAGGAATGAATAAAGCTTTAAAGTATCATTCATGGATTTCTCGCGATATGCTTTGGAATGCCAATCCAATTTCGAGTCAAACAAAGATCTAAAGGGACCAAAAGCTTTGAATCAACGAGATGATCTGTAAGATTTATGAGCAAGTGGGGAGGAAGGTATATTCCTCCTTTTTCTTGCAGACTCTCGCATACGACCATTGCGCATATTCGGTGTTTGAGCACAAAAGGCACAGACGTAGACTTTGGGTAGAGCCCTTCGATCTGGGATATTGACGCAGTGCCCATGAAGCCAATGCTCGCAAGATTCACTGAAAATGAGTTAGGAATGTAGATTAAACAAGAATAACAAACTCACCACTGAATCATGAAATAGTTTCCGTCCGGATTATTACAAATACATCGAGTGTTACCACTTCTCGAGCTGGATGGCGTCACCCCATCCGAAGAGTTATTAGACGACGAAGTGTGTTCTGCATATCGACCTGGTCTAGGGGTAGTATCAGAATATAGAAGAAGGCGTCTTCCACTCTTCGGTATTTGTTGATTGTTTCGGCGCTCTCTAACGACTTTCCGCAAGGCAGAAGCTGCATCTCCGGCCTTGACCTCATCAAGTACTGTCTCTGCTTCACTCATCTCATCAATACTTGTGTGCTGACCCGAAGATCGGCTATAACCGCTTGTACTTGTGCTTGGTCTTCGAAAGTCACTAGAAGAACTGTCGAATAAATCAAATTTAGGTGGTCTCTGCCGTGGTAAATTGAAAGAATTGTTTCGACTGGGAATGATGATCGGTTCGTCATCGGTAGATGAATCATATTCAGAATCATAATCGATGACTTGGGATGATGATCGTTGTAAACTCCTCACCGGCGTATCGTCAATTACAACAGTAGCTCGACCATTACTGCCAACAGCTAGCTTTAGATCCCGTCGAAGTCTTGGCAATGTAACTGGAGATTCAGGAATAGAAGAAAGATTTGGATGACGCTGTTGTTTCACAGGTGATAAACGTCCAGATTTAGAGCGTGGCGGCTCTTATTAAAAAATGTCAGCTTGGGTTCCTCGAGTTGGAATTTATTAACTGTACCATTATTACGTCTGTCCCTGCTCTCACTGACGCTGCGTCGAAAACCAGGTCTTGCAGATCCCTTTACTGGTGAACTGGCAGTTCTTCTGTCTATCCGATATCCAAGACTACTCTCTCTAAAACTTCTAGATCGACGAAGTTCTTCTTGCTCGCGAGTATATTCTCGAACTTGGTGTTGGTACGGTTCGAGTTGCTCGGGATATCGAATCGGACTTGTAGCTGCCCTTGGTGCTGGTAACATCGCATCTTCAAAGTCTCCTTGTGACATATTGCCTGTGTTAGGCCTACTGTATACCAAACCAGGATCAACAGCGCCAGGAAAGTTCTCCATGGCTAACGAATTTGAAGTTACCGTCGCACTACTAAAAGCTAATAATGGAAGAGATGTAGGTAATGCTGAAGTTATTGGCAAGGAAGATTTTGAGGCTATCATTCTATGTCGTTTGCGTGGTTCAGCTTTAGGTTCGCTTGACTTTTGCGGCGATAAATTTATAGACTCTTGGAACATTTGATTGCTTCGTCCCCAATCAATAGAATTGCTTGGCCTATGCCCTTGGTGAAAGATACCCGCTGAATCATTAGAGAAGTCCAAATCCATACCATCTATACTAGTATCCCACATTGCTTTATTACTGGCAAAAAAGGGGCCAGATGCTGGTGCAGACATTGGATATCCAAATGGGTCCATATCTGTTGTCGAGGATTGAGCCATTAGTTGAGGATGATGGTTATTAGAATGGGAAGAGCCAAAGCCATCCCCTTGGACTTGAGCGTCATTTGAGACAGTGAATATTTTTGGGGCTAATTTTCTGATACCTTTACTAGCTGAATGTGGAGGTGTAGCAGTTTGACCACTAAAAGGATTATCCAACCTCTTCTTTGACCTTTGGGGTGTCTTGGAAACATCACTAAATTGTGCTTTGGAAGCAGATTGCGGGGCAGTAGAAAAAGGAATTTGTTTGCTGGAAGGTATGGCAGGAGCTATTGCAAGAGCAGAATTTGGTGATAATTGATGCATATGCATTCCCAAATCTGTCATCATATCTCCCTCAACATGAAACTGTCCATTTTGTGTCATGGATGACAATGCTTGTACTGTTGAAGTATCAACAAACGGCCGCTGTCCATTAACAAGACGTCCAGGTGTTGCATTGAACATAGAATAATCTTCTGCAAATTGTGGGGTCCATCCTCCTTGGCTCCCTTCGTAATTTGCTTGCTGCTCCCAACTCATTGCAACTCCTCCCTTTCACCCTTTCGAAATGGGGTTTGAAAATCGAGTCTGTCCAGCCTCCTTCTATACTGCATACATTCAGACCTTGGTGCTCCAATCCTTTTGCTGAATTTAAATTTGATCCCGTTTTCCAAGTTCCCCAAAGCTTCATCAATTGATGAAAGATATTTCCAGATAACAAGACTTTTTCTTCGAAGTGGAGCTCTTTTGAGTTTTGCTTAGCAAATGGAATTCTTCTTGATCTACCCGTAGCCAGCCACACGCTTCCGAAATGATTGTTTCTCAAACTTTATCGCAGAGGCAGGCCAAGGTGATTCGAAAGTGAGGACTCGGTATAGGTGCAGAGCACTATGGGTGTCGAGAATGTTAATAATTTACAGCATGGCAAGGATGTATATCTGTTTGATTTTTCTTGAAGCTAGTTTCACACACGTCAGCATAAGTCTAGAGGAGATTCGACAAGGAAATAATACAAAAGATTCGCACTTACCAGAATAATCGAAAGACAATGGCAAAAATGACAGATGATTTGGAGAAAGGGTACCGAATTGGATGCAAGAGGTTGAAATTGAGTCGTCTACTCCAAATACCAGAATAGCGGGGACCGTTCCAGGCAATCTGAAGGTATATCCACTCTCAATCCGGTACAGTAGCTACTTCAGGTGCTTTGAACTCGGTGCCAGGGTCATAGGCAAGGGTGTTGAATCTGTGAAGATTTCCTGCTCAAACGAAAGGTACAAGATCATAACGAACGTGATTAGTGATTGTTGTACTGCATTACAAATGATTGACTCTTGGTCTGTCGAGTTGCTAGAGAGATGGTAAGAACAGAAGACCTAGGCGGGGAGATGCCAAATGTTGGAGATCTTTCAATGCCTGGAATAGGTCAAATGTAAGTGGAGCAAGGCTTTTTTCGTTGAAAGCTTTGAAGATGGCGGTATAGAATTGGATTGTTGCTGGGCCAATTTAACACAAAACTCGAGCAAATTAAGATAGTCTAGGTAGTTTGAAGACGGCTTGGAGGGAAGAGGAAGTTGGTGTAAAAATGAATCAAGGAAAGTTTTTGACCGAGCGAACGAAGGGGTTTCTTCCCGTTCTAAGAGATGGCCGGAGGCGTTGAACCTGATAAGTTTGTGTGTGAAGGATTGAGCTGAGGGAAGCAAATGAATGGATAAGAATGAAAGATTGTAGTGAGGTGAGACGATAAACAGAGATCAATCATATTATATTGGCAATAACTTCTAAAATCATTTTGAGAACTGCGGAATCTTTTAGACACTAGGTACCTAGGTAGGTATTGCAAGATCTTATTTACTTGGTTGTGTTGTATTCATCATGACAACCAAAGTAGCTTAAAGCTTAAGGTTGCCTCATCAGAATGTTAGTGTCTTAACAAGTGCCTGAATTAACCTTGTCTTGGCGTGGACAATGCCTGTGCTACAGAAGTAGTCGAGATCCTTAGGCCTTTTGATACGCTAATAATCCGTGTCATCCATTTCAACGGCTCTAGTAACCTTGGTTCATCGTTCCCGGGAAGAATGTATCTTGGGCCTTCTATCAAGAAAGTCAGAAAGGATGTTACATACAAAAAAGTCTTATGTCTCTGAATTCAGGAAATCAACATTATATTGTGAATGGCTTCAAACTTTGATATAGTAAGATACATCTCGTCCATTAGGTAGGTAGTTTCACATGCATGTTATATTATTTCTATCATCGCCCAGTTCCATCCCTAGAAAAGGGCAACCAGATCATTGGGTCAGAGTCACTAGTAATGAATGTTCTCACAAATCCCACCTACACTACCTACATACGCCTTCACGCCAACCCTTCTTTCCATGCCTAATTTCATATATCCATCCAATCTTCATGTAAATCTTCCACCATCTCCTCACAACTCTCGCTCCCTCTTTCCCATCACAAGCTGGACGGCGTAACACTCTTGAGGTCAGCCATTCACCCTCCACAAGATTCGTCACGATAAACTAGGTACTTATTTTCTCAATACAAGCTTAAGACAATCGCAAGAATTTACCTTCAAATCTACACTTTTAGCACTTTAGCTAGTGCCTTAACTACATTCTCTCATTGAATCATCGGCACAAAATTGCTCCATTTCCCCGAATCGTCCAACTACCGCCAACCTCGAATGAATATCAACATATACCTTAAACCTAATATACACCACTTCATATAAACATTACCATCGGCATAGGCAGAATATTACTCATTATACCCCAAGCTCTATCCGCTTTCATCCCAAAATATTTGTATACACATCATTCTTACCCCCCCATCAAATCCATAACCATAGCATATAAACCTCTATATTATATTCCCCTCCCTTCCGGATAACCCCGATCTCCAAGGAACTAAACCCCCTACTCCCAAAATCTTCTAGAGTATTCCCCCTATAATTAACCACTACACTCTTCTAATGCACAATCATCTCTCATCCCTGTACTCCATCTTCACATACTTTTGAACTTCTAGCTCAAATCCTACTACTCCCATACCCTACCCTATACCAAATCGCACTATCTTTCGCAAATACTTCCAACTTCCTAACTTCAAGTACCTTTTTTTATATCATTCAATATTCTCGCCATCTCAAACCCCTTCTCCTTATCTCTCCTCATATAATCCTTATTATGATCTCAGCTTCCAGCTCCATATATCACCATCTCACCATCTCACCACCTCGTCATTTTCCCTTCAAGTTCATCCCTCAATAATACCATACTACTCATTGCATAAATCTCCAAATATATAAACCTATCTAATCAGATACACTTTAAAAATCTCTATAAACACTCAGAAACATATTATCCACTGCTATCATCTAGTAAATTATAATAAATTGTTGATAATTTATATATAATATAAAAGAAATATAATATCAAAAATATATAATTAATGAATAACAATCTTATGTTTTATTTCTTTTTGATAAAAAAAAAAAAAATCAATAAATAAATAAATACATCAATAAAAATATATAAATTTTTATAAACCCACTCAAACATCAAAATCACAAAACACCAATAAAAAGAATTCATTATAACAAAAAAAGATTTCATTTTTTCCCAACTCCCCAACTAATTCGCCATCACCATCACCATCACCATCATCGCCAGCCCGCCCGCCCACCGAGTATAAAGCACCAAATCAGATAATAAGACTCTACCCTACCCAAGCCGTCCATCGCTATGCTACCTATCCTAACCTATCCTAACCTAACTTAACATAACCAACCCATCTTATCCCATCCCATCCCATCCCATCTTAACCTATCCTAACCTATATAATGCTATAAACCACCCAATCCTAATCCCTAGAAAAGCAAAAGCCCATCAAACCCATCGAATCAATACCAATACCAATACCAATAGCAAAAAAGTAATAAAAAAAAATCAATAATTTTCTCCTCTTCTTTTTACGCCTTTGCCTTTGCCTTTGCCTATCCCTTCATTGTTCACACCGCATCTGAATCCGAATCTGTTCCTGCATCTTCTCATCTTCTTCTTCTCATCCTATCTCATAAAATCATAACTAAAACACGCCTGCCTGCAGTTACCCACTCGTTTTCTACTTTACTTTATAACAACATATGCTGTAGAAATAAAAGAAAATCTGTCCCAAGTTTCCATTTCCTTTCATTTCTTTTCCTTTTCCCCAGTTTGTCTGTCCTACATCTGTCATTTCTTTCCCGTATCATCACACTAGCATACCAAACCATCGCACCAACAAATCCCAGACCCAACTCCCACACCCACTCCACGCCCACGCCCACGCCCATAAACCATAAATGAAAGTGGAATGTTTCAAGTAAAATGTGGAGAATTTTATACTGCTCCGCGTCTCACCACTATACTCCGGTGTACAAACAAACATGAAAATCTCGTCTTGTGCTTTCGTAGATTTCTCGCATCTTCTCGTTGCAGAAAAGAAAAAATAGGGCAATCAAATAAAAAGAATAATTCTGTCCTCCT